CAGGACTTCGACGACGGAAGTCTCGAAAGTGTGGATGTAAATGGATGGTTGTTGCCGAGGCGTTAGAAGAGGGGAAGTGGCTCTTACGACAACACTCGAAGCCCGAACACAGCCAGCATAACCACGGCCGCAGCATCGGGCCATCTGCTCATCCCTCCCATCGGAGACTCACCGAGCCTATCAGGACAACGGTCGAATCGACAAGCCGTCGGGTCGGAATTCGGGCCCGTGACGTACGTGCTATCGTCCAGGAGCAGCATCCCGAATCATCCTTTACACGGAAAGACATCTATAACGCCAGATCTCGTATCAACCGAGACAAGCTGGATGGCCATACTCCTACTGCAGCACTGATCAAGCTGCTTGACGAGATGAAGGTTCCCTATCTCGTTAAGTGGGGAGACGATGAGCCAAACCGTCTTGTTGGCCTTGTCTGGACATTTCCTTACTGCCTCCAGATGTGGAAGCGGTTCCCCGAGGTGATCAGCTTCGACAACACATATAACACGAACCGCTTCAAGCTTCCCTTATTCCAAGCAACGGGACAGACATGCCTTGGCTCTGTCTATAACGCTGCCTTCGGTCTGATAGATAACGAGAGGAGAGAAGGGTTCCAATTCCTCTCCGAGAGCATTCGACAGCTAGCAGAGCAGCACTCCATCCGGCGACCGGATGTGATCGTCACCGATTTCGACGACCAGATGAAAGCCGCATTGAACGACCAGTTCCCCGATGTACAGCAGCAGCTGTGCATCCACCACATCAATTCGAACATCCTGCTTAAGTCAAAGCAGAGGTGGGTTAACGCCCGCAGCAGCAGCAGAAGTAGCCCTGGTACCAGCGACGGAGAGGCAACTACCCCGCAGCCACAAGCTCAACTAACCCCTCAAGACCGAGAGTTGGTTCACACGCCAATAACCGAGGCTATCCCTCATAACTATCGAGGAGTTCTCATCATGTGGAAGCTCGTCTTATTTGCTGAGACGGAGGAGGCCCACGACGAGGCATGGGCAAACCTCTGTAAGGAGTTTGATGACCAGCGAGCTATCCTGCGGTATCTCCATGGAACCTACATGCCCGTCAGGGCCCAATGGGCCCGCTGTTTCATCCGGAAGTATCGCAATTTCGGGGTCCGTGTCACCTCTGGTACAGAAGCAAGCAACAACAACATCAAGAGCTATCTTCTGAATGGTATGAGCAATCTTTATCGCCTTTTTGAGGCTATGCAGGACATGATGAAGGACCAAGAGCGGGATTTCAACGATGCCTGCGCAGCGGATGAGGTACTTACCGCACGAGAGTATATGGGGTCCAGCTCGGAGTATCTTGGCGAACTCCGAATAGCGCTCTCTTCGAAGGGTCTCGGACTGATCACGAAACAATATCGGCTGGCAAGGAAAGCAATGCCGACAGGAAAGAATCCGTTTCCTGACCCTCTCGGGGATTGCGGCGAGGAATGCTCGGTTTCGACCGAACTTGGAATCCCCTGCTGTCACACAATCTACTCAAAGCTGGGAAGTGGCACGCCTTTCACCAAATGGGAGGTCCATCCTCGGTGGCGCCTACGAGAGCCATCCTCTCGAGATCCATACCGACGAATCCTCGACCCTAAGATCGCCACTGCTCTCCGGGGCAGACCTAAGAACACCACGCAGGTTGTTCCAGCGCGGCTAGCCATCGGGGCAAGCAGCCAGCCCAGTAGCCAGCCAGCCAACAAACCAGCAAGCAAGTCACCACGGCGCAGACGTGGTCGACCACCGGGAAGTCTCAACAAGTCAACGCTAGCTAGGCTTCCACTGGAAGTGAGCCAACAGACCAGCAGCCAGGCTAGTAACCAGGCCAGTACCCCATCCCAGCGCCAAACGCGCAGCCGGTCAGTTGTTCTTGGAGCTGGAAGAACTACAGGAGTACGTGCCAGCGGGCGGCAGACGCAGCCTAGCATTCGTAGGCGAAGGAGTCAGTGGGAGCTGCTTGACAGCGACGAGGAGGTACTTCCCTCGATAGTAGTGAGAGGATAGCGATATGGAGAGCTGGCATCTAGAGCATACTTGAATTGGTCTTGTTCTGCAGATCTTGTTATGAGCTCGATCTAGACCTGGGTTGACCCTATTGGTTCTTTACCGAAGCTGAGGGACTTGTTAAGGGAGCTGGCTTCACCGCCTTTGCGCCGATGTACCTGTGGGTCGAAGGAAAAAAGAGCGAATCAGAGGCCATGGAAGTGACGCCTGTGTAAGAGTGACGCCGGTGTAGCCATTCGTTCACGCCGGTGTAGCAATTGCCTTTTGTAATCACAGCGATGATCCACCTCACCAGTGTTTCGCTACCACCTCCCGTGTAGATGACGTCGACATGGTTATTGAGCCCTGCGGCAAAACCAGAGAACTCGGCAAGATCTTGCAGCTCGGCGACGCTCAGCCTACGTGATGTTTCGTCAAAGATGCTACGCTCGGATACCAGCACAATCAAGCGCTCATACCGCTGTGCGACACTGGCGACTCGAGCGCGAAGTGAATTGCCGTTCCCGCCATTGGCCGTCCTATATGTGTGCGCAAGGTTTGAATCTGCTGTTGATTGTTTCTGCATGACGTTCACCAAGCTTGTCACAATTATGCCTGTCTGTGGTGAGACAATGAAATCTGCCTCCGTTGCAAGTCTGGACGCCTTTGGCGATCTTGTGATGGCGCCTTTGTTCCAGCTCACGGAATTCCATCTCGAGAAGTCCCGTTCAATCACTGACAGTGCTGGGTGCTTAGCCTCTAGCTTGTTGAATACAATGCGATCTACTGCAAGCGACTTGATGATTCTTGCTGGTGGATGTGGGCTACTAGTTAGTGGAAAGTAAGCTGGGCTGTCGGATGCCGGAGTCACCATCTCGAAACCGACTTCGTTCTCTAAAACCTCAGCACGGCGCACTTTCTGGTTTTCCGTCTCCATTCTTGGGCTCTGTGGAGCAACATTGGAAAAGTACGTGCTCGAGGTGAGCTTTCGCTTCTTGTATGCGTGCATGCTCATGAAGTTGTCGAGAAGTATCCCGGTCGCGCTTTCACTGGTGCTGTCCGGCAACAAATCCATTTTGGATGATTCTGCAATATGGTGTGTACGACGATGATCTGGTATGTGTTCTTGCGCACCAAGCCCTATGTCGGCAATTTTGTCGTGAGTGGAAGGAGCCTTCCGACAGCCATCGCCGTCCGGAAGGCTTCGTATTTTCTCCTCGAGAAGTCTGTCAAGTTCAGAACCTACGATGCTCCGTCTCCGAGAAACAGTAATCTGGCCTTGCTGTGATATTATTTCATCCTCATCGACATGGCGTCTCAAGAGATTGACAGAGCCTGTCACGTAGGGGCTGAAGTCGACGCTTGTAGCTATCTGCACCTTGGGGCAGTCGCCCAACATCGCCTCAACATCGGCGAGCTCATCAATCGACTCCTTGATCACAATTCTACCTAGCTCAAAGGAGAATGGGATCCATCGCAGGGGCATGCCAGACAAGACCTGTCGGGAGAGACCTGGAGGTTTCAAGCTGGGCTGAAATTCGCGTAAGACGTGGCGAAAGTGCATTCGACTATCGTGAGCACAATATTGCCACGTCGGCGACTCAATCTTGAAGTTCACGACAGGAACATGTACTCTTGCCGTTGCGTCAGCTGCATCTAGGCGTTCCTGTTGCAATCCTACGCGGAATTTGTCGACAATCTGCTGAACCCCTTCCATGAAGATCTCATGGGGAAGGCATGTGTCATCAAATTCACTGCTGATAATTCCTGGCTTTTGTGGACGGGCGATTTCGCTTGCGTACTCTTGCACAGTCTTGCCATATTCTGTAGTATTTGAAGAATTGTCGTGGAGAAGGAGAGGACTTTCGACCCGAACGGAATCATACGACTTGCTGTGTTTGCTTGTACCGAGGTCTGTGCTTACTGGTGAGGATACAAACACTCGAATGTCGACTTGGGCATGATCACTTTGACACGGGCTGTCCTCATTGAACAGGCGTTTCTCAACGTTCCGCAAGTCATCTTCGATGAGCGTCGCAGGATCGGACGTCAATGGTACTTCGCACACCTCAGCATCAGGAATAAAGAGTTCCGCACTCCCGACAGGACTCAGGAGCGGTGGGGTCATGGAGCGTCTTTCAATGTACTAGTTACGTTCGTCAGTAGAGATGAAAAGATTGACCGTTGCGAATGTTCTTGCCTTTCGGGGCTGCGCGCCTACATCTAATGCACTAGTTTCTCTAGAGACACATTCGAGCGATTGAGCTAAGAACTCCATTGCCTCTCGGCTGGCATCAATTTTGTCCCAAAGAGTGTCACTTGTGAGGGCTTGACGAGTTGTGGCGACACTCGCCGGAAACGCGAGGGCCTCGTCTTGCTCGACGTCGAGCCGTTCCAATGGTAGAGTATCGCCAGTCAATAGTGGAGCCCTTTTGATGCGGCACGCCCTTAGCAGTTCTTGAACATCATGGTCATGGTCAGTACCAAGGAGTGGGAGTTCAATCTTCAAAGCTGACAACTTCAACGCGGACCTGCAGCTCTTGACAGGAACCACGGGACAAACCTCTCTGTCCAAGGTCAACGCCTGGTTCATGAGATCGACTGCGGCTCTTGAAGTGTGCAGCCGCTCGAGGCAGGGTTGGACGAAAGGCCATGCCGAGAGATCCAACTGGGGTAGAGTCGAGTCGTCAAGAGACACATGGGGGCTTTCGGTGCAGGAGACCATGTCGTCGAGATTCGCCAAATGCCCGCCGGGAAATGGTGCTGGCAGTTCCATGTGGTCCACTGTCAAGCCATGGGCGAGCGCGTAGCTCGCCGCTCCGGTCATCTTACTGCCCTGTCCCATGCTTTCATACCCTGCAAGTCCTCATGAGACGGCTGCCATGAGCGGGCGGCGAGGCTGTCGATCCGAAGGTGCTTCGCACTAGTGCTGAGCGGAGATGAGAGACGGTGAAGGGAGGGAGGGCGGGATGAAATGTCGAGGAGAGAAAGAAAAGTTGCTGAATGCCACAGTCTTCCGAAGCTGTCTTCTGGCGTGGATCATCAATCAGGTGGGGCGCCCACCCCCAAAAGATTCGCGCTTGTCACGGTCCCGGAGCTACACACGCATGGTGCCCTGGCGCCCACGCCGCGAGCCCACGGAAGCCCGAACGAGGTCAGCGGATACTGGCTTGCGCCAACCTGGTACAGCCTGCCGTCCTTGCTGACGTGCATGGGGAGGGCGGCCTTGTCGGACACGCCGTTGGGCTTCTTGTACGTCAGCACTGAGCGCTGGGCGCTGGCGTCTAGTACGTTGCCAGTTGTTAGACAGAAGGTGCCGCCACCTTGCTTGCTGTTGCCAGGCACGACGACACGCGCGCGGAAGGTGGGGATAGAGGCCTTCACGGTGCGGATCGTCGTGGTTATGGTGGTACTGGTGGTCTTGGTCCGCAGTACGGTGAAGACGGCGCTGCTGGTGATGAAGGTCACACTGGATCCCAAGTAAGAGCATTCCGAGGAGATCACCGATGTAGGAGTTGCCCTGGGGTTGAGACACTGCGGTGGCGGGAAGAGAGCCTCGCGGATCTCGAGCTCAGGGCCTCTGTGGGAGCAGGGATCTGGTCGTCCGCGGCGAAGCGGCGGGTGTCGGCCTCGCGCTGGCCCTGTTTGTCGGCTTGTTGATGTTCTAAGCTGGCCACCACGAGAATCGGGATGACAAGAAGAACAGCAACTCGATCTACTGGTCGCCCAAGGGACGGTTTGTTGTCATTGCCACCATTGCCAACACACAAAGCTCAGATCTCGACTTTTTCGACCTCGACTTTGAGGGTGAAAGGCCCGAGGGAGAAAAGGATCTCACAGCGTGCCTGCAGCTCCTCAACACAGCCGACCACTACGGCGTCACAGATCTTCAGTGGGACCCTTCAGGTCGTTTTGTCGCATCGTGGGCGTCGGCGTGGAAGCACTCTGTAAGTGCATGCTCTAACCCAAAAGGGCGTTTCGCGGCATGGTTCAACTAACAAGAAGAACAGATGGAAAACGGCTATCACCTGTACGATTTCCGCGGCGAGCAGCTTCGCGAGGAGCTCGTCGAGAAGTTCAAGCAGTGGCTGTGGCGGCCTTGCCCCCCCACGCTTCTGACCAAGGACGAGCAGAAGCAGGTCCGCAAGAACCTGCGTGAGTACTCGAAGATCTTCGAGCAGGAGGATGCCGAGCGTGGTGCCTCCGCCGACTTGGCCGTTGTCGAGGAGAGGAGACGTATCCTCGACGAGTGGCTCGCGTGGCGTGCATCGGTCGAGGAAGAGCTCGCAGAGGACCGCCTTGCTCTTGGCCTGCCGGAGAAGGAGACCCCGGAGGCCGAGAAGACGCCCGAAGAAGGCGAGGCGCAAGTCATCGAGAAGCTTGCGGAGGAAGTGCTGGAGGAGACCGAGGAGATTGTTGCGTGATTTTACCTCTTGTCGTAGGAGAACTAATCATTGGGACCGAGCGACTTGTGGGGAGGCAGAAGGGGTTACTGGGAAAAATTGGCAGGAGATGGCGTTATATGTGGCAACGGCAACGAATTTGGGAAGCTGCCAAGTCTCACGACCTCTTTGAAAGGGAAACGCATCAGCAGCACGAATTCCACGACGAGTAAAACGGCTTTAAGGGGGAGAAAGAGTGGCCAAATCACGACTGGTATCTTGTGTCATCTAGACTGCTGCATCGAAGCCTGGCTAAGTACAAAAGAAATGACTTTCTACGATTCTAAAATCGGGCATTCGACCTCAGGGGGTGAACTCTTGGTTATAAGATGCACAGTGGTGTCGACCTTGAAGCCTCGATCGTTAATGACCTGGACTATTGGCGGTTCGTTGGGTCGGGTACAGACCTCCAGCCTCATTGCCAACTTGTAAAGCCTGGGCCATCATCAGAGTGCATGCGGTTGCTGACATGACACATGACTGACCTCCGACAGGGCAAGGTCAGACAAGCGCGCCATCGTCCCAGGCGCCGCCTCTACTCGAAACCACTGCACTGCCCTTGAATGATTGGCTATCCGGGGTTCGCCTCACGACAGACAAGGGCTGCAGAACATGCGACCATTATCCAGCCCACCTGAATTGACCGGCCACCTTAGGCGACCTGCTTGTAGGCCTGTGTGGCTTTGCTCCTTTGAGACCTGTCTGACTACATAAAGTGTCTTTTGGACGTGGCGGCAACTCGTGACACCTGCACGTGGGCGCGGCTATTCTCGAAATGTGCTGAAACCGATGGCATCAGGAAATAGGGTTTCACGGAGTTGTGGAATCAGATGGATGGCTTGCAGCTCTAGTTCAGCCTCGCTAGTGTCTGTGGCGTGCAGACACATGGAAATCGCACTTTTGGTCGCGTGCTCAGCCCTGGACAGGCTCTGCTCGCGAGTCCCAGCCATCGTTCGGAGGAGCGGCTGGGAGGGGAGCCAACTGGCAGAGTCCAAAGGCAGTGCGGCTTGCGGGTTCGTGGGCCAAGGTGCAGCTCGCCAGGCCGGAGACAGGCTCGAGCTTCGGAGAGGAATGGAGCCTGGTCAGAACTATCCCAGGAACTGTAATTAATTATCATCGCTGATGTGATGCCATGCCATTAGTGCTGACTCCTACATATTCCTCGAAGGTTCCTGATGGAGCCAATGCACGATTTGACAAGTTATGTGGCATTGCATGTGTACCTGTGCCTCTCAGGCAGGAAAGAAAATGGCCCGACTGGTACAGAAAAGTAATTACGGTGCAGAACATAAAGCAGCCATGTGTGAATGCAACGTCCCTGCCTCCGCCGTCGCCATTGAGCAGAGCACTGTGATTGATCGCTGCATAAACGATGTTCGGCAAGGTACAGTGCAGTATGCCTGTGAGGTCAAGCTTGCCCATGCCAGGAATGGAGAACAATTTCCGCGCTTGCATTATGGTTGGCAAGGCTGTGTGATTGGTTTGTCAAGGCTCCCCCTGGAGTGATTGCACAAGGCAACACACCCAGTAGTCAGGCCAAACGAGAGATATGAACGCGGGTAGCGCTGACCTGGCTGATTGACTGCTGACCTCCCGAGCATGGGAGGAAGACAGGTCTTGGGTGCAGCTAGCCAATTTCCATACAGTCAACCCACCACGTCGGACAAGTGCCATTGTCACCACATGGTGACTGTTCTCGAGTGTATCATTCCATGTGTGGCCTTTTGCTCCCCTTCTCCGCACACCGCCCGCATGAGTCGGAACGACAGCGGTCTAGACACCGGCCTGTTCAGGATCCCACAAGTTGGAAGAGGAGACCCATCCCTGATGTTGGCAGCGGGGTTTTTCATTTTGCGATCGGCGATGCAGTGGGGGCAGACCACATGGGAATGAGCGACCGATTACGACGCGGAGGTCTGGTGCACGTCAGTGGCTTCGACTGGTGTGGCCGCCAAAGCCTGGTGTTCCTGGAAGAAGAGGCCAAGATAACGCAGTCTGCACAGGAACCAGAAAGAACCCCATCTGCAAAATTTCTTGGTTTGGCCTTTATGGACAGCCGGGCACCGATGCCCCACGCTATGTTGGCGCAGTTGAGATGTCGGTGTGTGCCTTGGCCAACATGTCGCTCCGAGGCATGCCCTCGTTGTTTCGCCATCTACCGTGCAAGTCAGCGCTCTGTCGTACCGCTGCAACTGTACCTGCCACAGAGCAAAGCATTCGTTCCAAGTCGATGGCAGGCTGACACTGGCGAGCAGCTTGCGGGGGGCGGGGTCTGCGTGTTGCGCCGCGCCGTCGAGGAACAGAGTTCGCTTGACGGACGAGCTGCAGCCTTGACGACGGCTCCGCGCTGGCCGTTTCGAGGGTTTCAGCCAACTCAGGGGTGGTAGTCCAAGGCATTGTCGCTGCGGGCGCCAGGGAGGACTGGAAGGAGAACTGCTGGACTGGCTAGAGCCACGCCGCGTGGGCCCCTGTGCAAGCCGGCGGGTGGCAGGGCAGTGCATGGATCTACAGGGGCAGGCGAATGAAAGGGCGCGGCGGGCGGGCTCCCATGCAGTCCCAGGCACTACACACACGCCACCGGGCCCCGGCGCGCAATCTCGATTGGCCCTCTGGCCTTCCGGCGATCCCTGCCTGCCCTGCTCCTTTGCACACCCTCTCGCAGCAATGATTATTTCCTGTACAGGCCAAGCCTGGCGGGTGGTGTAATCGCCGGCGTGCCTGGCACTGACTGCCAGCAGCACAGTGGTCATCATCAACCATCATGACCCACGCCCGGCAAGCCGGTTTTCTCTCCCTCTGTCGTCGTCGTCCATCCCTGATGCCTCGCCAATTATAGCTGGCCCTTTCTTTAAGCTTCTTTGGGGGTTGCTGGCATTGCACTGTACAGCCTAGCTCTATTGCGCGATCCATTGTGCTCCATCATGAGCCCCGTCCCTTCATTCTTCCATTCCAGCTTTTGATCCGTCTTCCCCAGAGTCTCCGGCTCACACCCTTCCATACGCTCCTTCACCCATTTTACACTCTTGTCCGCGCGACTCCCGTTCTTTCCAGCTTGCTCGTCAGCAGTTGTATCAGCAGCACCACTGCCGCCAACATCCCCGAGCGGTCCACGATAATCCTACGTACCTAGCGCGCCGCAGATTTTGGGCGCCAGACCCTTGTGCCGCAGTAAAACCTAATATCGTCCCAAATAATACTACTTGACCACATACACACAAAACGTCGGCCGATAAGCACCACATCTCCACGCACGCAGAACACCTCGGTACTTGGTCTTCACAAGAAACGTCTGAACCCTCAAACACTTCCGGACTCCTGATCTGCCGTCCCCAGGGTTCAGAGCCGCCTCTTTTGCAGTCTCTATCTGCAGCTCCGCCCACGATACCACGCCTAATACGTCCCAGGGGTCCTGGATACCAGGATCGTGAGACACTTGGTAGCCCTGTCGACCAGTCAGTCTCCGCGCGCTTGTTCAGCTTTCACAGATCGCAAGTGCCGTGCCTTTTGGGAATCACTACCCACGGCGCTGCCGGGTCAACATTCGCTCACCGCAAACTAGTCAACTCCACCAAGGACGCCAGAGCGGCTCCATCACGGACCGTCAGATCACCAAAACTAGCTCGCTGCCTGAGCGTTCTTGTTCTGTGCCACCACAAAAGCTGGTAGGGAGCGAGTTGTCAAACTCAAAAGCAACGAAAAGCACCACCGCCCGATAGTCCATTCGAGACTCGGCTTCCCCCCGGACGAGCCCTAATATCTTGACCATAATCATATCATGCGATCATGAGCACCTGTGTGAGCACATACGAAGGGGTCGATCTTTCCTCCCCAGGCCCAGGTTTACCGCCTGGCATGTCTTCCTCAAAGACATCAGTCGCATCTTCGGTGCAGTCTTTCGCATCCGACGACGACAATACTGTGCTCGCCGACGGTGCGCACTCTGAAGAGATCGGACTGGATGACGACACCATCACGCTCTCGTCCGCTTATGGCCGCGAGCTGCCTGCCTCAATGGGTGGCCTGTGGCAATACGAGAAGAGGTGGAAAAAAATTCCTCGTGTGAGATGGCTCGTGTGAAATTCGCCACAGAGGACTCCAAGATGGACAGAACTACGATTGTGTCAACGCAGCTGCAATTCTCAACAGGGAGACATGAATGGATCCAATTCATGCTGGGTATTATTTCAAATGGACTAGCAGAGTAGAACCATCGAAATAATGTCTGCGGGTTTGAGGCAGCGGTGCAAGGGCTCTCGTTGCAACACCCTAACCCTGGAGTCTTAAGCAGCACTGCCCAGGACCTGAAGATCACCAATGCACAGTGGCAAACGATACTGGATGGCAGGCGAGCCAAGAGGGATCAGGGGAGGCTGGGGAGCCCTAAATGTGACCTAATTATGGTACGTGGTGGGTTTGGCGGCTAAGGGGTCTCTGAATACGAGGTCTTGGTCCCCTTGTCCTCCCCGGCCTAGACAGCGACCCAGCAGATCTCAGCTCAGCTCAGCCGCCGGGCCAGCTAGTCCGCCAACCATATAGCTTTTGTGGCAGGATACGAAAAACATGAAGCGATCGCAAGCCCGAGAATGATGCCAATTTGCTGCGTGGTGAAACTTGATCTCAACCGTTCCGTTATAAGTGGATCCGCATCGGATGGGATGCTTTGTTTCGAGATCAAAAATATCGCAGTCGACCTCGCCCTGCACGACGGTGGCACGTAAATGGCGAGTACGAATGAGGGAAAGGTATTTTGAAGACTCCTCGCAGCTTCCGGGGGCTGGCAGCGCCTGGCTCGACCTCATGCTATCATGCTGAGCTTCCTGCACTGTACCTCCTTGACTCGATTACTGAGCCTTCATCCTCTGGCCGAATTACTGATGGGCATCATTCCTGGTGATCGGCGGTGAGTTACTTAGCATGCATGAAAGCAGTAGGCCGGTTGGGTAGACCAGGTACAACCGAGGGGGTGTGACATGGCCGGTTCTGAAAACATGGCTGCCCAAAAGTTCCTGAGAGACTTCGGCCGCCGGCCTCCCTCGACTCAATGATTGATAAGATGGTGTCCAATGGTTTTCATGAAGCCCTGATCTGCTGCTAAGTCGAAACTTCTGATGAAGCTACGTGGAACGCCACTACTCATGGCTGGCTGACAGCAGTTCATTTACGGCCTCAGGAAATTCGGTCCGCTATTCACAGCCTTAGTCGTTAGCAGGCCAGTCTGTCTGCGTGTGATTGGGCAGACGACTTGAGACGACACATCGCTCTGTTGGTCCTCGCTTTCCGTGCATCGGAACGACGCGGAGGGGATTAGACTGATGCTCCTCCTCGGGTTGGCTGTGTCGATCACCTGCTGTCAAAGCCGTCACAGGGTGTTCCCCTGCCTCAACAATAGACCGACCCTATCTTCTCAAGTCGCCTTTCATACCCCGAAACTCATAGGAGAATAGGTTGACGCCCCCTCCACCTGTCCCTTCTGGGGAGCAGTCACGGGGCTTGTTGACCAGTGTGTCTTCAGAAGACAAGGGGGAATCTGTGATGCCACCTTGCTTCCTGCACGATAATCTTTCTTGTCAAGCATCTGCCCTTGCCTGCTTCCGTGGGTTAGTCATGAGTCGCCTGCCTGATCCAGCCGATTTCTTTGATCGTCATCTTTGGAGTCTTGCGTGTATCGGGGCAGTGAGCTTCTCACCAGATGCGACGCACGCATAGTGCTATGGTGACCGGTGCAGCACTCCCCATCTGGCAATGGGTTGGTCAATAACAGGGAAAGAGTAAACGAAGCTGAAATTGACGGATCCCGTGTGCCTCCAGCCGAAGCAGAGGCCGAGGGCAGCCACCTGTGGGCGCAAGCGCTAGACCAGGCCTTCCCCTGGCATAAGGAGTGCTGGTGATAGGGAGTATGATACTTGTCAGAAGGCTTCCCAGCAGACATGGAGGTCAGCTGTCTGCATCGAGACTTGGTTCTGTCCCAGGACAATCACGCTCTGTGGTCAAATCCTAGTCTCTCACAATCCTGGACATTTGCGTTGACTCGGACGTCCTTGCGTACCATGGAAATGCCAGCACTCTCGTGTTCGAGGTGACTCTTTTGCTGAGCGAGGGCCTCAGCGCAACCACTAAAAACCTTGTTTGAGGTGGGCATGCCTACAATAGCGTTGACACGAAGATTTCCCTTGCGTCGTTCTCGTGTCCTCTACACGCACAAACAGGCCGATGGGTGCAAGGAACTAGGGGACGAGGTACCCGCGTGAAGCTGCGAGTGCCAGTCAGTTTCTTCCCGGCAAGATCGGGCGCTGTCAGCTCGGGGAGGACTAGCACATATCGGACAAATGGAGTGGCAGTGAATGGGCAATAATGCTTCCAAGCCCAGGGCCCCGTGGCTGGCGCAGGAACGACAAGCTCCTTTGCCTTTACAAGTTGCTGGCCAAGCACTGACCCGGCTGAGAGGAGCGTGAATGTCGATATACGGTTGTGACAGCTCGTGACTGAGTGCTGCGCCTACCTGCCACACCTTGTGGTCAGCTCGGCTGAACAGTGGAAACCGTGACGCACGAGGAGCATACCTTACCTTAAGGTGACTACACTATAGTAGTACATGCAACTGCCCTCTCCCAATATAAATCCAGCACTACAGCTCGAGAGCAACCGAAACGGATCCCAAGTACTGGAAGCATAGTGTCTTCTGCGCATCGTCAACCAAGCCCACAGCCACTACACAGACAGGATGGGACGGGCGTCTTGCGTGGTGGGCTGCCTTGGAACCACGTCAACATCGCCAGGCAGGCAAGCCTCCTTGCAGAGCCGTGGGTGCACGACAGGCTTCTATTGGGCCTGCTGTGCTCGTGTGACGAGTGGCCCGGTCCCGGTCCCTCATTATGCCCTTGCCTCTTCATTTCGGCCACGAGGGCACGCAGCGGCCTCCCGATGTTGCTTCCACGGGGATGGACCAGCAACAGCAGTCTCATTCGCTTATCGGGCCGCCTAGTCAGCAGCTTGCCGTCTCGACTGTTTGCCAAAGCAGGCTGGGTCCATTGCTGCTCACATGTCACAGCGACAACAGAGATGGCCGGGGTTGGCTTGTGCTGTGCCACCGCCCCCAGGTGTGCACGGGCTGAAGCGTGGTGCCATTTGTCCCCCGCCAGCTGGTGGGTTCCTTATACTCGCTAAAGGCATATTGGCTCGCTCCACAATTCTGAACAGCATCTTGGCGGCCAGGACGGCGCCATCCGCCTGGGTTCTTATGCAGCTCGCCCTACGTCACCCGCTTATTACCTAATACACACAAGGAAAATCCTTTCTTGGAGCCCGCGACCGCCAACCGCACCGCCGGCACCGGGCAGTTAGTTCTCTTGAGACACCGTGGTGTTGCAAAAGTACTTGGTGCGACGCTACAGGCGCTACGGGATGTCTCGCATGGGCCACACGCCGCCCGCCGCGAGCCGTCGCCCGACCGTCTCACCGGCCCCCTTCTTTTTCAGCTCCAAGATCTCCAACTCCAGATCCCTGTCGCAAAAGAGGGTCTTCTGCCGAACGGTGCCACCATGGGTGGGTTTCGGCAGATGTACTGCATAAACCGATTGCCACATGGTGCGATCTCGGCAGTGTATAAGTTCCCACGTGGAGAGCTCCTTGGATCGGGGACGAGGATCACTGCTTTTTTGAGTCATTGGCCTATCTGCTAGACAGAGACGCTGGGTTCGTCACGCTAGAATCTCTCCTGCTTCATCTCCACAAACTACAGCTGGCTGAGCCTGACGGGATGTGCTATCTTGCCGGTTGGGATAAGAACTCGCGGGCTTCTTCGACGGCTGAACTCTTTCGGAAGAGGGCGTAATTTCTGCGCCGCCGTCAAACTGGCTCAGAACGAACATTAACGACCCCAACTCTCGCTACCAAAAGCCTCGTCTTCGACATACCGCAAGAAGAGCACAATCACCCCGAAACGACACACCAGCTACTACAGGTCTGGTTGAGCTTCACCTAATATCACAAACCCACGTCGATCGCTACCTTCTCGACACGGACTCTCGTGTCGTGATTCGCGTAAGTCTGGAAACTACTTTGAACCCAGGTTGGCAAGTATGACTGACCATCATCCCCCGGCTCTAGTTCTTTACTTCACTTCTACCTTGAACAGCTTATAAAATGGCTGGCCCTGGCGGTGGTCCCCCTCGTCGCAGTCACACCAAGTCCCGCAAGGGCTGTGAGAGCTGGTAAGTTCCCGTGGCTCTTTCACCTATGTCCATTCGACCTGTACTAACCAGCCTGGCTGTAGCAAACGCCGTCACATCCGTTGTGACGAAAACTTTCCTCAATGGTAGGCATCTCACGCCAAAATCCCGAGTCATACGCCATCTAACTGTCATCTAGCCGCAACTGCACCAAGCACAAGGTCCGCTGCCCGTACGACGATGTGCCTGTCCCCGATGAGCGTTCTGCAACGCCTGATAAGCCCGACTTGATGTGGAACCCTCGCATCGAGGCTTCAATCCAGCAGTGGCAGCAGACGGGATTCTTCCCCTTCCCTGCTCTTGGCATCGTCCCTGCCCCTGACCCTCAAGCATACACCCTCGAGGAGCTGCGCCTCATCTATCATGTCTCTGCCATCTGCGATGAAATGTCCGCCATGGATGCCAACGGCTTCACGCTTTGGACTCGCCAGATCCCCACGGTCCTCCGCGTCGGTGCCACCAATGGCTATGTCATGCATGCCTTGATCGCTTTTGCTGCTACGCACATTGCCTTCCTGACTGATTGTCCTTTGGTTGGTAACATGGCTTACGAGCACCGAGGTATCGCATTCAACGGTCTCCAGGAAGCCATCGGTAACTTCTCCCCCAGCAACTCTGATGCTGTGCTTGCCGCTTCTCTCGTCCTTTCGTGGCAGGCAACGGATTGGAGAAGCTGGACGCAGCTCATGCAGGGCACTTCCTCCGTCATTGATGCGATGGAAGGCTGGAAGCACGAATCTCAGTTTGGTGACTTCATGGCTGAAAGCAGCACCTTCCCGACTGCTCCTCCTTCTCCTCGGCCGGACCACAAGCCAAGCCAGCCCCGCAAGGAAGACCTCGATGCCTTCCAGCGCACCATTACGCAGCTTTCCAAGGTCGAAGCCCACCTCAAGCAGAACAAGGAGGACACGAAGCTCATCCAACAGCTGGCTTCGTTCCTGAAGGGTGCTCGCAAGGTGAGCCCGATCCAGTCGATCAGCGACCAATTCGACCGTCTTCAGCCTCTGCGCACCTGGCTCTTTTGGCTTCCAGTCATGTGCCTCAAGCAGAACGGTACCTCGCCTAGCGCGCTCGTTATCCTGGCGCACTACTACACGGCCGCGATGCTCATGGAGCGCCTGTTCCCAGAGATTGGTGCTGCGTACTTTGGCAGCCTCTCAATCGGCCCCGTAGAGGAGATCGCTCGCCGCCTGCTCTCCATCAATGTGTCCGGAACCATGGAAGGTGATGCGCAGACTCCCCTCTCCCTCATGGAGTTTCCTATCGACACCGTCAGCGAGTTTCGTGCTCGCATGGGCTGGCTCCAGCCAGCGCGGACGCAGTCATTCCCCCAGTTCGACCCGCCAAACTTCTACATGGGTGAGGCATACCAGGAAACGCCGCCGCCCTGCACCACTTCGTACATGCCATATGGAGACCACCCTGCGTTCAGCTGGAGCACCGAGGACCTCTCTAGCCTGGCACCGGAGCCGGAACATGGTAGCGCCGTCAGCCCGCTCTCGCTCTCGTCGCCGTATCCTAGCCAGCAGTACCTCAGCATTCCGTCCCCCGCCTATGGTGGCTACAGTCCTGCCTCGTCCACATGCGGTGAAGGCTCTGTAACCTACAGCGACCACGAGGACTTTGCTCTCTTTGACTCTGGCGTCGGATCTTACGCGCAGTACGGCTCTGCTGAAGCGAGCAACTACGGGATCGGGTTCGTTACTCCTATTCAGACTGTGTGGACATAGTCGCGCGGATTTACTGCGGACTACAGCCGACCCTACCGAGGACTCAATTGATTGACGGTTAAACGCCCAGGACTCCATTGGCCTTGACCCCATCTGCGTCCACAGGCTACCTTCCTCTGGAGATTAATAGGATGCCCGAATTGTCATTTTCAAATTGCATAGCGCCTGTTTCCACACACCCCTTTCATCATTGTGGCTGGGAAGCCAGGTCACTCCTCACTGGATGGACCAAAAACTGCATTGGGCCGGCGTTTTCTGATTTTTCTTGTTTTCCCACTCCATGCACCATTGTGCTCGATTTGTGATGGAGGAATGGAGGAGCCACTAGCTGGCATGGACACTATTGGCACTTGTCAGAAGGGGCCAGTATGCCGAGCATCAGCTGTCACGGGTGAGTGGCGGCTGTGCGAGACACTCAGTGCCACCATGGAGTTATCGGAACCGCACAATGATTTAGTATCAGCACTTGAGATTTTAGGGAGGATTGTGCAGGTCGGACAATCTGACAGCCATCATGGATCTTAATGGACAAGCTTCAAGCCCTCTGTATACTCTGATCACCCATTACTGTGACATGTCTCAAATGGACAGCCTGGTCTGTGATGGCGATGGGAGACCTGTACCTGGAGCGCATCATGATGACCAAACACGGCACTCACTCGCTGCATATCACACACGGGTTATTGACACACCTTTGGGAAATCAGAGACTCGCACCTTGTGTGTCTCCACACGCGGGCAAGGGGGGAGAGAACACAGTGCACCATTCTAGCGCTGGAGCTCATGCGTGAGGTGGGGCCAGTAACGAGCAGCAGATGGGCCAATCCCCCAGCCAGTAGGGTTCACCCTCGTCACCATTGTACATACATGGCGCATGCATGGTGATCGCAGGGCTAGCTGAGGCGGGGTCTTTCTCCTTGCAGATAACAAGGAGGATAGGGCTTTTCATGGTTTTTTGTTTTTTTCCCTTTTTCATTCTTCTCTACTATGGTATTTGTGAATAAGCCTCGCTTTGTGCCTGCTAGAGGCATCTTGTGTGTATTGTATTGTACTGGCTGACAAACGGCAAGATTACGGGACCCTGATATTCAATGATGGCTCAAGATCTCTTGGTCTTAATGACTACCTATAATTCTATGTGCTGCTGGCCTGTGCCTCCCCGTTGACCTGGCAGATCTGTCTGGCTGGGGGCCGCTGACCGAGTAATATTGAGGTCATGGCGGGCTGGGACGGAGAGAAGCTACTTAGATGGGCCTAGCGAGAAGCTGTGTGGTAATGGGGCGGATGGGGCCTGGAAATGCGGGGAAGGTGTTGTTGTCCACTTGCTTGTTGCGGAATTCCGGCCATTGGAGGTGTTGTTGTCGAGCAACGTCTGTGCTCCTTGCAGGCGGCGGACAATGGTGTTTCAGGGGCCTAGGGAAGGGGATTTCCCATGTCGAACAGTGCTGGTGGGCTTATCGGGAATATTTTGTTCTTCGATAGAAAGACCCCATCTGGTGGTGCATGGCTTCAGCTGGCTGCCGGCCAATCAGAGAGGCTTGTGTCCGGGCAGTAGTGCAGACCAGGGCCAGGGCCGGCCTGGGGGGGGGGGGGTTGCCGATACGAGGTTTTGGACGGGGAGGGCCAGGGGGGAGGGGAATACCCATGCTTGGCCGTCGAGGTGTGCTTTGTGACAGGACCAACGACCAGTTGTGCTGCTGGTGCGCGGCCGCTGTGGTCAAAGTTTTGGGGGGAGGGGGGGCCACCAGTCAGCGGCCGAGGCAGCCACTTTTGGCGTCGTCCTAGCCCGGCGCCGGGCCCGTGGTGGTTATTCTTAGCAACGGGCAGCACTTAGCAGAGTCACCCAAGACAATACAAGCCGATGCGTGGTGGTGGCGGCTTGAGAGGAAGCGTGCTAGCCGGCCCGTACCCCAGATAAGGTGCATTCCAATCGGAAACCGGTCAGCGTCGAGATAAGTCGACACACTTGCCTATGTCTAGTTAGACTGTCCCAGTGCAGCTGTGTTTTGAGCCGCTCCGGTCAAATCAGCTCACTCTCTCTCGCAATGAGCAGAGCACCATCTTTAACCGGTATTAGGGGTTCTGATCCGGGGAAGCGGCTTATCACTGCCGACATCGCTTTCCCGAATAGGGCATCGCCAGGTGGTTCCTGCGGTCGTGCGGCATCAAAGAATTCTCGGGAAGGGATGCAGCCGCCCACGATTCTGACGCGTCACGTATCAGACCGCCAATGACAACCGCTACCAGCCAGCCACTCCGTGACCCGAGCTTCAGCTCCCCCCCGTTACACACAAGGCATTTTGCCTTTTGCTGCCCTCTTCTCGCCCCCCCCTGAATCCCATGAAGTATTCACATTCAATGCCCTTTCTAACGAGCAGCAGCAGCAGCAACAGGCGCAGCAGCGAGTTCCTTCGCAGCCAACGGGCCCTTCCTCTCATCGCCAAGCACATTGCCCACCTCCGCCTCGTCGTCCTGGGACTGCGACCCGGCCGAGTGGTCCCCGGCGTCAATCGCGCCGTCCTCGACCGCGCCCTTGTTCCTGCGGCGCCGGATAATGTCGTCGACGAAGCGGAAGATGGCGACCGCCAGGCCGAACGCCAGCACGGCGCACGCGACGCTGAAGCCGCGCCGGTACAGCGGGCTGTCATCCCTGCGGAAGATTTGCGCGCCGTAGATGCCGGCAATGTTGGCGCCCATGATGACTCTGTTTTGAACAAGTAAGCACCATGTTAGCATATCCATAGACGTCCAAACACACATACTTGGGCACGGGAAGTATGCCAGGGGATCATAGCAGGATACGGTAATTTGACTGCAAGGGAACTGAGGGATTGCCATACCCAGCCATAGCAAGCGCGCGCTGCTCCGAGTCATGGCACGTGAGCGACAGCCACGCAATGTTAAGCGGGTGCGAGAACGTGCCAAACACCTGTGTCCAGACGACGCCAAAGTACCGCACGCCCTGGATGTTGACGTCCGTGAAGACGCGGTTGAAGATGTAGCCGAGCAAGTGGCAGCTCATGCCTACGATGACGGTCTGCGCCCGGAGGTTGCTGTTTTCATGAGTGAGGCCAGCGGTTAGCCATAGGTCCTGGATACTTAGTCATAGGGGGGAACAAAGTCACTCACAAGTGGTCTGAGACCCAGCTGAATGCGAACGAGACGGGGACCTGCACGAAGAGACCGACAGCAGCCATTGCGTTGCTCACGAGTGCTGGGTAGCCCATGCCAGAGACGATCGTCGGCGCATACGTGTCAAAGGCGCGCTGGGGTCCGTTGTTGCACAGCGTGATGACGAAGTGGCACCAGATCCGCCAGTCGGTGAACTATGCGAGAAAATGCGTCAGTACCCCATCCACGAAATCAGGTGCCCCAAGTCGAAGTGCTCCGGGACAGTATATATATTGTGTTTGCACTTACAGCTCTCTTGAACGCATCAGCCCCAATCTTGCGCTTCTTCTTGCCCTTCATCGGGTCGTCCAGCAGCACACGGGTCTGCAGGATGTGCAGCTCGCGCTGTGTAAACCAGGTAAAGTTGGGCAGAAAGGTGCTGTGCGGGTTCTGGAACGAGTCTGGCAGACAGAAGCCATACACGAAACCGCCGAGGACGGTGAAGGCGCCCATCAGCGCGAACAGCCAGAACCAACCGGGCTGGCCGCCGACGCCGCGCATGTGCAGGATGCCAAAGGCGAGCAGCTTGGCCGACGCCTGGCCGAGCTGGTTGCCAAAGTAGAAGATCATGACCCGCTTCGCCGTCTCGCGGCGGGTGTACCACGTCGACAAGGTCCAGAGGCCTCCGGGGATGAAGCCGGACTCGGTAATGCCTAGGATGAAGCGGGTCGCGATGAAGGCGCCGTAGCCGCGCTGGAAGGCCTGGAAGGTGCTCACGATGCCGAACAGGAACAGCTGCAGGGTGAGCCACTTGCCCGGGCCGACGCGGTAGAGGATCATATTGGAAGGAATTTCGGTGAGGACGATGCCGAGGGACAGCATCTGCTGGCCGACATTGAACTGGTCTTGGTCGATGCCGACGTCTTCCATGAAACGGTCGGTAATGGCGTTGGCCATGTTGCCGCGGTCGAGCTCTACAGTCATGAGAGAGGGTGTGTTAGCTCAAGGTGTTGCGATTGTCCGAGTGTGGTCTCCAGGAAAGACAGCTTACGCAGGCAGAAAAAACCAAGGGTGAGAATTGGCATGATGATCATGTCAAGCCTGTTCGTCGACCTCCGTTAGCATGGACCTCAGCCTCTGGCCGGATCGTCAGCGTGCTCACTTTCTCTTCGCCTTGATCTCCTCATCCTTTGACCAGTCGACGACGAATGCTAGAGGCTGCTCATCTTCCTGAGGCGGTCGAAAGTCCTCCTTGGAGTCCTTGAGATCCACCATGGCTGCGAGGTTTTGTTGAGCAGAACAACACGATCCTTCTCAATGCAAGCTGTTGTCGGAAGGTATAAGCACGAGAGTACTGCAGACCGAGTCGGTGCTGGTGTTCTGCGGTTGCGGCAGATGAGAGGCACGGACAGACCCTATGCCCCGGCGGCTGTTACTGAGTTTTATACGACCCTGCAGGCGTCGTCAAGAGCACGTCAAAAACATCGCCAAGTCGCGGCACGCCATTTGTTCCCGGGCCAGCCAAGCCGGGACCGTGGGATGTCTCACGCTGGGCATTTCCTGAGAGACATATACAGGACACACCCAAAAACCCCTAGCACCCTCATCGAACCAGCAGAACTCGGTAGTCGCGACATGCTCCCACAGCTGACAAGTGTATTGACTGATTGGAGTCTTGGACGTTCTTGGGCTGAGAGCCGGCTGGCCTTGGCAATCCTTGTCGCGAATGTGCAGTGGACATTGAAGGATACTTTGGGTTTGGGTGGGAAAGCGCAGGGCTGAGCATGTACTCAGCCCAGGGCCAGAGCATGAGCGGGTGACATAAGCTCGAGCCATCCGGCTCCGTCTCAGTGTGCCCAGACTCTTGGACCCGAAGTCGTCCTTGCGCCCCGGTATCGCGCCAGTGGGGGGCCAAGACCTTGAGGGACAATGGGGTCTTGCCCTTCTAGCTGGCCTTGCCACACCACGCGGCATACATCTTTTCAAAATGCCAGAGCGAGCGAAGACATCATAATATGAGCTTGTGAGACAATTGACGGTGGCGTTCGCTCAGCTTGTAGCTGCTCTGTGCTGCAATTATGGCAGGCCGGTCAAGTGCTGGGCCTAACTAGACCATTGGTCCTTTCTCCCGTGTGCCATGTGACAATCGAGGGCCTCAATGAGATGCTCTATCTATGATGTTTTTGGTTCACCTTAGCCTCTGTTCTCTTCGTCTTGGTGCTATACATCACTCGAATGAGACTGGGCAGACACTGCCGACACTCGTCTCGAATGGACCGTATTGCGCAACACTCAGACTTCCCAACCCATCAAGAACATAGATGCATGAACTTGCATCCGCCTCGAAACGTGCAGACTTCGGGCCAGTGGTAGCCAACAGGGCCAAGCACGCAAATGCAGAGCAGGCGGGCCGTCAAGTCTCGGCCGTCTGAAATCTTCATGCAGCCTCCAGCAAGGACCCAGCCCGCTGGACCGGGATGAGCCTGGCACTCCTCACCTCGTGGCGAAGGAAAGTGCTCGCCCGCAGCCCCGGCGATCCCACACTCCGCAGCCAAGGGCTCCTCCCGCTTCCAATAGTATGACATTCCAATTTGTCGTTGCCATTAGTGTGACAACGGAGAAGACGACGCCCCCATCCCGCGCCAAGTCGTCTGGAGGTGTCTCGGGCGGCCAGTCCAGATGCGAATGGGCATATGAAAAAGCAGACCCTCGCCTTGTTTATGGGTTCAGCTCTGTCCAATTGGCGAACAGCCATTGTTCGTCTTGCTTGTGTGAGGTCGTTCAGCTATGGTCTAGTTCGTGTGATCACGCGACCTCGGGGGCGATGAGCTTTCTTCTTCCTGATGTCGGATTCACATTCGAACAACTCCGCGGGCTGTTTCGGCTGAGGAACATTATGTCAATAGATCCGGCAAGGACCGCAGTATACAAAGCTCCAGGTTATGCATCTCACGCAATATTCAAGTGGCAACAGCATCTATGCCCCATGATCGTCAGTCTGTTACGTGACATGCCTGACTGGGGACACATGAACGAGGGGCGATTAAGCGAATCTAGACCAGAGGCAACAACTAGGCATCTTGACAGCCAAAAGCGGCTGAAGCGGTGCATCCCTCATGGCCCGAATAGCATCGCGAGCGGAAGTGGAAGCAAGCCTCGAGGATGTGGTGGCAAACTAACATTGTGCTTGATTCCAATGAGGATACGCAAATAGCGACTCAGTTGAAGCTTGAGCTCTGCCACTGGGCACTACTCAAACAGTCCCACCATCCCATGACATGCAATCCTTCGACCACTCAGATGTAAGTCTGCCCCCCGTCTCGCGACCAGAGTACCTCGCGACCACCAAGTCCCCACCAAAATCGCTAAAACTGCTCTTTTTAGGACCCCTGTTACCTCCCCTATTTTATAAGATATAAGCTTATAAGTATATACAGAATATAGCTAAAAGAGTAAAGAATTATATAACGCTAGTTTAAATCTAGTAAATCTTTACGTAAGCTAGCCCTTAAAGCTTGAATCTAAAAGAGTAATTTCCCATAGTTAAGGGCTGTTTTTAGAAACCTTAATATCTCACTTATTATAAATAGTACTAAACTCTACTGAATATTTTTGAGTTTCTAAGACTATAAACTTTTATAAGTACTGATTTTAGCTTTATAGAGTAAGTAACTATAGAGATATTTAACTTTAAAAATCTCCTCTATAGTTAAGACATCTAACTTTACTATATCTCTATAAGTAGGGAGTAAAAGTGGGTCTAAGTAATTTTTTTTAGATAGCTTATAGCCTATTTTCCTATTAAATTTTTATTTTCAGATTTTTAGAGCTAATATTCATAGAGATATAAATATTTTAGGCGATAAAGTCATTTGTATATGTTAACTTAATTATAGGAGAGTTTTACATTTTAGAATTCTTTTACTTAAGAATTAATAAAATAATCTATAAATAGGTTTAGTAGGATATTGTAGTATAGCCTTATAGAGCTATTAATCCTAACTCTAAAAATACTTAAAGTAGGTCTAACGTAATCCACAAGCAAGCGGGCCACACAAGCAAGCGGGCCACCCTCCAGGTACTCGTACGACAATGTATAAGATAATTTAACCACAACGCCTTAAATCAATTGAAACTAGGAGGAATCCTCTTCTTCAGAGGCAGATACAACTTTCTGACACGTACGAGCATTATGGCCGGGCTCGCCGCAGACGCCACATCGTCGCGCGCGCGTTTCTGGCCTCCTCGTACGACCAGTATTCTGACTCGTTTCCGCCCTTAACTGCTCCGTCGCGTCAATTTGAGCCTTCAAATCTTTTGCCTGATCAATTGTTAGGGACCCTCCTTTCTGTAGCTGTTTTCTTTTCGTACGACGACGGCGGCTAAGGCGGTCGTTTGCATCTCGAAGTTCGGCGAGGTCATGGCGCATAGGGTCTGCTCGTGCACCATCATTGTGATTCCTTTATTAAGCTGCCGTAGGCTCTCAATAATGGACGACGGAGAGCTATTCTGGTGTCGTAGGATGCGATTTTTGATATACTCTGTCTGCGATTCGGCCTCAATTGGGTTGTTCGGCGTCTTTGAAACCCAAGGAGGTGGCAGTCCAGCAGAGGAACCTGGCGATGTCGGCGTATGAAACTTCACATCTAGCTGCGAAATCACATAATTCGGGTCGTACGGTACTAGGCCAGTTGCTCTAAAGCCTGCCTGGATGTTTGACTTTGTTATCGCAGCGTCGTACGCCTTATAAAAGGCTGGGAGGAAGTCCTCCTTTGAGATATGGGTAATATGCGCCCGCATAAGACCCTCGATTTCTTTACCGTACGCCCGTTTGAGAGGGCTAAAGCACCCAACATCGAGAGGCTGGAGCTTATGTGATGAATGAGCAGGCATACAGAGCGTTACAATATTCTGTTCCTTACAGTAGAGCTCGAAATCGACGGAATGGTGGCTCTCGTGGCCGTCGAGGATGAGGAGGCGGTAGGTACCCTTCGTACGACGCTTCGTATGGAAATCAAAGTGTTTTACCCAATCTAGACCTCTCTCGTTCGTCGTCCAGCCGTTCTCTGAAAGCGCGATTACCCAGTCGGCCGGTAGAGGGCTATTCGCGGTCCAGGAGTCGAGGTGGACCTTCCCCGCGAAGATGATATATGGTGGGATCGAGTAGCCGTACGACGCGATACCCTGGATTACTGTAACCCATTCCTGATTGCCTTGTTGTACGGCTCTTGGCCTCCCGCGTCGATCGGAGGTTGTAACGACAGTTTCGGCGGAGATCTTGCCCATCGCGAAGCCTGTTTCGTCGAAGTTGTAGATATCGTCATTGTGGATCCCGTATTTCGCGATTATGTTTCGTACGAGCTCAAACCACGCGCGATACGCGTCCGGATCCTCGCAGAGGACTCTCTGGTAGTCGATTCTTCGATTAAAACGCGTACGGAGCTCAGGTTGTCGTCGTACGAAGTTCGCAGCCCAGTTCGTTCCGACGCGTGGCGCGTCGCGTTCGCGGAGGAGTCGATCCGCCATTTCTCGAACACCACTTAAGCGCGGCGGAAACGATCGCGAATCTAGGTCGATTATGTATTGTATAATGCTGTCCTCTTCGTACGAGGTCAAATTCTGGTTATGTGGTCGGAGATCGCGTTTCGCAGGTCGGCCGGCTCGTCTTCGTTGGAGGGTCGTACGAGGCACATTATATAGCAGTGCAGCCTTTCGTACGGTCAATTCTGGGTCAGACTGGAGCGCCTGAAGCGCTAGAATCAAATCGGCTTCAATTAATGGTCGTACCATAATTATTGGTGGAGAAAAAGGGAAAAGAAGATGGCCTGCACGAATATGGTAGGAAAGTGGCCCGCTTGCTTGTGGGGCCCGCTTGCTTGTGGATTACGTTATGCTTAAAACATGACTTGAGTTCGTTCTAAAGAAAGGCACTTAATCAACCCCGATATCTTCTACCCACTTCTGCACCCAGCTCACAAATCGAGCGGCAACACCTTCTAAGACCCCGTTCGCGACTAGCATTTTTTGCCCCTCCTTCTGATTGGCGTGCAGCCATTTAAGAGAGCATGGCAGAGGAGCCTCTCTGGGTGGATTGAACCCCTGATCTATGACAGGTGGTCCCGTTCTGTGCTCATGATTCGTCTCGCTTCGGGAGCCGCTGACTAAATCGGGCAATCGTCACGTTTTGGTTTTTTCGCGTGCGGCCGGCTGCTGCGCCATGTAACAGGACGGGTGACAAGGACTCCTATCCTTGATGCTAGTAGACGTCGGTTTTATCTACCAACCACGATGTTTGACCTGCTGCCAGGTACACCTGTGGTAGAATCACACTCTAAGCAATAAATTCTGACCACACTGAAATTCACTCACTACGCAGAGCCCGAGATCCTCTTTCCACAGATGTCATAGGTAGTGTCATGCCACTCACTGAGGCTACGGAGTACGCCCACGGTCTCCACAGCAATCTCCCGAATGCTTCCTGCTCCGGCTCCTGCATCTTCGACAGTTGCACCCGGTTGACCATCTGGACGACTGTAACGTAGTGTTGACTACACTGAGAATGTATATAAGACTCAACCGTCAGAACGTGGTTGGTCTCAACGTTCCCAATCATCCTCGCCGATTCAGCTCACTCCGTCAATAGCCTTCGTTTATCTCTGACACACCATGGGCAGCTTCAAGAACAACATGGGTCGAGGTAAAAGACCCCTTCTGAATAACAAAGAACTGGTCAATCATTCAATAAATCGTCTCCTTATCCACACACTATATGTTTGTGATAATTTGTGCGCCTCTGGCGGTCATTGTCGTGATGCTTGAACGAGACTCACCAACATCGTGAAAATACAGATATACTTCTATGGCAAAGGGAATGCGAACTTGATGCCATGCCTACGATTGCGATTGACCAACCTCGTCGTCCTGACAGAGGTCAGTACATTGTATCTCAATTACTCTAGCTGGCAGCAACTGTCCAATTCCCGAACTGTGGCTTGTGCACGACGAATGCATGGCCCATGATCACACGTCGAAGTGTCAAGAGCGACCTCCATGTTGGGATTACTCGCGAATCGAATTAGTCATCGACCGTGGAGGTGCTTTGACGCGTAAGTTGGTGTGGCAAGTTGGAGACGCCCTAATCATGGTCGTTGCCCAACTTAGTGTTCCATTTTCCACAGACAAGGGAGTGTTCAAGCTTGGCAGGGGGCGTGTTATAAAGCGAAACCGAGCCAATCACAAATGAATACGAGTTACTCCGCAATATGAGATCGACCCTTGGCGTTTCAGGGACGACATCCCATGATTAGGTACACTGCAGTGCTCTGTGAATTCAGATGCGAACGCGAGCTGCTTCAGCCAATGACGCACACCAGCTCGTTCTGCTCGTAAGCAGCAATATGCGGGGAGTAGACGGCGATACGGTGATGGGAGGGTAACGTGACAGTGGACCAAAATATCTACTTGCCATAAAACCTGCAGACGTCCGTCTGCATCAACGACCACTTGTTGGATTCGACCATTGCGCACTATTCCAAACACTCTTGTCACTTCTACCTACAACCATCTATCCACATCAACAGCAGCATCACCTCAAGGATGCTGTCGTCCACTCTCCCATCGGCCTTGGCTGAAAGATGGCTCTTGGTCGCAACGTCAATCAGTGTACTTGCCTGCGCTTTGGTAGGGCCAAAATTGATAGACCAGTGGCGGCTCTACTGCATACCAATCGTGGCTGCAGAGCTAGGCAACACCGAGAAGAGGCGGCAGGCGTACCTCGCAGGCTCCAGGAAATTATATAACCAAGGATACAAGAAGGTACGCGTATGCACGCTCTCTGGGCAGTGGGCACCGCTACGAGCAAGAAGGCAGTGAGTGTACTGACAATGAGCACGGTACATTTACAGTTTCAAGATAGTGTTTTCAGAATCACTACGTCCCGCCGTACGTTCGCTATCCGCCAGTCCGAGGAGAGAAGGAGGGTGCGCTGACTTTGCATTTCAGAGGCGGATATCGTGGTAGTGTCACCAAAGTTCCTCCCAGAACTGAAGAAATTGTCCGACAGCATTGTGAGCATGGCGGCTGCGGTAGATGAGGTTAGTCCATCGAAATCGATTTCATTCTTAATGATCTCACCAGTCCCTGGGCAGCGCTGATGCACCACCGTTCGAGCAGACGATGGAAACCAAATACCTCAAGATTGAAACGACAGTTCCGATTGTTCCGCACACGATCAAGACGAGCTTGACACCAGCATTAAGTCAGTGAAGACCACACTCTTCTGAGCACATTGCTTTTGTTTGGCTCCTCGACCTAACAAACAACCCGTTGCGCACAGCCCGTTTGAATTCACTACTCGCACAAGAGATCAACGAAGTCCTTGCCATTGAATTGCCTTCGTCACGAGATTGGGCAGAAGTCGATGTTCACGAGTTCCTCGTTCGGACCGTGACCATGGTATCGGGTCGCCTGTTCATCGGCCCAGAGCTCTGCCGCACGCCGCAGTACATTGACACAGCCATCAACTACACCATGGATGTCATGGCGGCGCAACGTGCCGTGCAGATGTTACGGCCATGGCAGAGGCCATTTGCGGCGAGCAGGCTTGCCCAAGTCAAGAAACTCGCGCAGAGAGAGAAGAAAGCCAGCGAGTTCCTGCTGCCCATCATCAAGGCTAGACAAGAGGCTGCCAAGAGCCCAGACTATGACAAGCCCGATGATATGCTCGAGTGGATTCTGGACGCACAGTCCAAGTTTACGGACGAGTGCAGCCAAAACATTGCAAAAGTGCAGCTCGGTTTGAGCTTTGCAGCTATTCACACGACGACACTGACTGCCACGAATGCGTATGTTTCCCCGTTTTCGCATAAGTCTGCGTTGAGCAATGACTCTTGTATCATCATGACAGACTCAATCTAATTGATCCCCCCAGCTTGTACGACCTGGTGGCGCTGCCAGATTTCATTGACGAGCTTCGCGAAGAGGCCAAGAAGGCATTGGCGGAGAACGAGGGCGTCTTCACCAGCGCCGCGTTGCAGTCAATGAAGAAGATGGACAGTTTCTTGAAAGAAACACTTCGACTACACCCGGCAACGATGGGTAAGCTTCCCTTTGCCAACAGAATGATTGAAGCGGAGACGAGAGAATGGGACAGAATTACTGACACCAAAAAATTATTATAGCCTCGTTTCAACGCAAAGTATTGCAGACCTTCAGCCTCTCCAATGGCCAGGTTATACCCGCTGGCGTTACCATCGAAGTTCCCGCGGTGTCGGTCAACTCTGATCCCGAAATCTTCCCGAACCCCGACAAGTTTGACCCTCTGCGATTCTACAAGCTGCGGGAGACCGCCAAGGACAGCGGATCCGTCGAGGGCGCTGCGCTCAACCAGTTCGTCAGCGTCAGCCAGAACAGCCTGACGTTTGGCTTTGGTCGTCACACGTGCCCGGGCAGATTCTTCGCCGCCAATGAGATCAAGATGATTCTGGTCAATGCGGTCTTGCGATATGATTTCAAAATGCCGGATGGCTGCACGGAGCGATTCCCAAACATTGAGTTTGCGCACATGGTACGTGTTGTTACATGACGTCCGAGAGTTGGAGACCATCTCGGGGTGCTGACACTGAATTCCCCTTTAGTCCATTCCGGACATGAAGAAGTTGTTGGCCAGGAAGATCCAGGATGACCTCATGTTTTTTTGAGCCATACTGAATACTGCAGGAGCCGGGCACAAACAGAGGCTGCTGGTGTGAAAGGGGGGGGGTTACGCTAAGTTTGTGTCTCAGGTTTAGATTAGCTTTGGCACTGGAGGAGATGGAGAATACGAGTCCGATACGGAGCGCGGAGTAAAGGCCTATGATCCCCGACTCGGCGCACGGATCCACTGTGGCCCCTGTATGTGGCTTCGTCCTGCGCGACCCTGATGCAATCTACATTACTCCACACAAGTGCTGGCACAACACGTACAGTTCAAGGCCGCTTCTCCCGTTCACACTCATCGAAAATGCCGCGCCTAGGCGCTATCAAGTCGCGAAATGGCTGTGAGAAATGTAAACAACGTCGAGTCAAGGTAAACAATCGCTACAAGCTACTGACCAAGGTATCGACCATGGCACCGCGGGAAATGAGAGACTGACACTAGATGCGATGATTCCAGTGCGACGAGAAAGTTCCATGCAGCGCGTGTACGAGACACGGCATCAGATGCACACTTCTAGATCGTCCCGTGGTCGAGCGGCGAGACAGGCCCAGAGACGCAGAACACGCAGGAAGCATTGTGAATGATCGCTCAGCCCGGCGCGAATCGGCGAGGCTCTTCCAGCTTCGCAGTGTCATGCCAGCACAAGACTCAGTGCTCCAACTTGAATCAGATGACTCCTCTCGAGAATTACAAAGCCAGCAGCAGTACGGATTGTCGCAATCTGCCAACCTGTCAGATCAGCAGCAAATTGGGTACGGCGGCCCGTCTGCCACACGAGACCCGTTTCCATACTTCACTCCCCTGATGAATGACGATCAGACGGCACCCCTCCAGACTCCGCAGCAATGGACGACAGACCTGGAGCTGATGCATCACTACAGCGCTGTCACGTGGCAGTCGCTGCCCCGAGCCGCTGACCACCCGGAGATCTGGCAAGTTGAGGTCCCGAAGCTGGCATTCAAGCATGAGTTCCTGATGCATCAGCTCCTGGCCATCTCCGCCTTCCACATGTTGCACCTGGATCCTGGCTCGTCGACATCCCGAAGACGCCACTATCAACTTCTCGCCATCCAACACCAGAACAAGGCGATTGCCGGGCTCAGAAGCGCCATCCCCCAGCTCGACAGTTCGACCTGTGATGTCATGTTTGTGGCTGCTTCCTTGTCGTTGATCAATGGATTCGCGACTTTTTCTCAACAACCCAGGCGACTTGAACAAGAGCAGCAGCACATGTCTCCCGAGTCAACAGGCACCGGCGGCAGTAGCGAGCCACCAGACTTGGACAACCTGCTGGATGTCTTCCGCCTTCTCCGCGGCCTCAAGAGCATCCTGAGCGCTTATGAAAGCGACGTCGAGAAGAGTTCAATTGGTTGCTTGTTGCGCATAGAGCAGCACTATTCAGTGAACCCCCTTCTGACTTCAATCATTGTCGACGTCAGCGCGAGTGATCTACTACACCTTCGCGGTGGCAACAACGGCGCCACCTCCTACTCGGCTGAAGCCATATGTTGCCAAGAAGCCGCAGCTTGTCTGATTGAGTGGATTGGTCGCGCCATCTCCGACGCCACGGCTCCAGAGCTGAGGCTAGTATCAACATGGCCAATTGCAATCTCCGAGGAATTCATGACACTCATGGGTTCACGGGATCAAAGAGCAATGAGACTGCTGGAACATTACTGTCGGATTCTCGGTCAAGCAGGTGTCAACTACTGGTATCTGTCCGGATGGGCTAAATCCGTCCAGTCCAATATCAGTAGTGACGGAAGTAGTAGTAGTAGTAGTAGTAGTAGTAGTACTCCTAAGCTATCCTAAGTTGGAGTTTGTATGAGCCCAGACTTAGACATTCTGACCATTTTGACCCTGATGAATCTTGGCCGCGAGGGGGTGCAACATTTGTGGCTGTGGCCATCCTGCACCGCTCGAATCACTGCTCAAATCCTTTCCTGCGCCATTCTTCCTGCGCTTTGCATCGCGGTATGGGTCTTTGCCGTGTACGGCCATAGAATTCGGGAGAGCCCGAGATGGCGAAAAGAATTCTGATAAGGAAAAGGAAGAGCACCTCCCCCAACAGTGCGATCAGTCCCAGATAACCGCGGTCTGTAGATTATAAGTTTGAGATTTCCTTTATGTATTATCAAACACATCAGTATAGTGCTGCGTGCAGTTAATGGCGACATGGTGGGTATATGTCTGCTCAGAGAGTAATATCTTGACAACGGCTTATTATTGTGCGTAATGGACCACATATCTGCTGGAAGACGGCATTGTTAGAACCACGGAGGACATTCGGAAAGATATAAGGACGTGGTTGCACAACAATGCCGTTCTGTTTAATATTATCTGCCGGCCATGGTTCCAATGACGCTCGATAATACCAGAGACGGTGCTAGTAAACGAGCGACTAATTATCGCGGGCTTGCTTGAGCGTCTACCTGCAGGGACAACGGCACGTTCTCGACTAGAATGGAAAACGGCAATACTAATGCTAAACCGGCATCAGGACAACCGCTCAACTCTAATACCATAGTAAGAAATATCTTTGAGACTGGATATACATCTAGGCCAATCGAATGTCATGGCATTGGTGTATGCATTGATCGTTTTGATGTTGATGCGCGCGGCGTTCAATTTGCCCTCCTCACGCGCGTATGTTCGGGCGGCGGGCGAACGTTCCATACATCTCGTGCAAAGCAACAAATCAGGTCTCAATGGAGATGTTGGCCATGATGATCTTAGCCGCGGCAAGTAAGCCGGCCGTCGTTCACGCTTGCGAAGTCGTCTGTACATTACTTACTGTCAGCACCGTCCACAAGCTTGGACACGATGATTGCAGAAAAAACAGGGAACCGACCAATAGCGATGCAAGTCTCACTAGAGCTGCCGTCGCCGGCCGTACAATACGTGCACACTGTCGTTCCGCTCGAGAAATGGTGAGCTCCTGGGCTGGTGTCGCACGAGTTGGCGTAACCGCCGCTGCGAGACAAATATAAAGGTCAGTCGTCAGTGGATTGTGAAATGGGCGCGAGGCAAACAGTCAAAGATGGAGCAAAAGCCGGCGGGCAACCGAATAAACAGCGAGGATAGAACTTACCCGGGAAGATGAACGAGTTTGCCGTTCGCATTACCCAGACACTGGTTGAGATCAATGCTCTCTGGCCGGATAAGACCGTCGTCGGCGCGGCACGTGCCGCTGAGGATCGTGCCGTGCTCTACTTTCCACGCGTCGTCGTCGCAAAACTTGTACATTTGGCGCTTGTCTTGAGCGATTTCACCCTGAGTAAGGGCCATGGGGCTGGCGCCCACAAGAGCCACAGTGATTGTGAGGAGTGTGGCGTAGGTGGCGATCATTTTGTGTATCTATGTGCAAGGCCAATTGGAGCTTGGTGAACAATGTCTTGGTGTGTATTGTTCGGTCATTGGCGAATGAACTTTGATGCCTCTTCAATCATTTGTGGTTACTATGAAGCTTCAAGCTACCTTGTATTCATCGAGAAAGCTGATGACTTGTTCGTGGACAGTCTCTAGGGCTGATGCCAGAAATAGAAAGTGTGCATCATCGTCGAGCCACTGCGGCAACTTCATCTTGGCGAAATCCTTCGTTTTCAGGGGCGTCACTTCAGACCCACTGGGCCTTGTACGTCAGCCACGTTGACGAGGTTGAGGACCCAGGAGACGAGCAAACACCTTGCCTAATAGGGTTTTCAAGCGCTAGGGAGCAGAGCCGCTCGGACAATCCCTGACATGTTGCCAGGGTCGGCGGGCTCTGTCTCCTCAAGCCCTGGTAGGATGACCCGTTTCGGGAAGAAAGCCTTCTCCTCGGCCAAGCTTCGCGACGAATGCGGCACAGCAAATTATCTGGGGATGGCATGGCTGCTGTGAATGACGACAAATCCACAGATCGGCGACACGAGATGTTGATGGACTCTGCGGAAACGTGCGAGGCGATAGGTACTGGGAGAGACATCCCACTGATAGATGGGAAAAGTTCGACATAACGCACGCGCCAATAAGAATGACACAGCACCCTCGGACTTTTGAGGTGTCCAGCCATGAGGTTCAGGACCAAACAGGGTTAGCAAAACATTCAAGGTCAATCATAATTAACGGGGATTGCAGGTGTGTAAGAACTCATGGATGAAGTAAGCCTGGGGAGGCGTGGGCAAAGGAGTCTACCATTGCATTATGATCGTTTAGGACCATTGTGACGTCACTGATCTCTTGGAAAAATCACATAATTGAGGATGATGCCTTGAGAGAACTGAGGTTGGTATTGAAGCGAGTGTTATTTCTTTCAATGAATATTGATCCAAGATGGTCCCTGTCCATCATTCAGGGCGGTAGTGACAGTCATTACCTGGGGTAAGCAGGGGTGGTCCCATAGTGAAGCAGGTCAGGGTTAACCCCCCGGTCGGTGCGAGTGACAGTCATTACCGTGACGGTCATTACCACAGGGTCTGAGAAACGGCTGGACCCCTTTCCCTGTCTGAACCTAACCTTCACCCCAGCTAACCCTATGCCGTGTCTCCCCCCTTTATTCATACCGCGGCCTGGACGGGCGCGCATACTGTAAGGCGAAAGCCGTCGTAGTTACTAGTCTTACATGTAGAAACAGAGATATACCTATTTACACTATCTTCCTCTTTAATTTAACGCTCGATTTGTGTGAACAGCCACCTACCGTAAGCATATTACCGCTATCTAGCGATAACAATACGCTACGAAGCCGACGCCGGTCGCACCGGGGGTCAGGTCGGACTGCTAAGCTAGCCTGCAGCTAACGCTAGTAGTAGCTAGGAGCACCGTGTCCTCCTCTACGTCTCGTATAGGGTCGGGATCCGGCCGGACGACGGTATACGGTTACACTTCTAGCGGACGCACCGTCTTAAGGGCGAGGCACTACGCCAGATTATCGACTACAGCTACGCCGCCGAGCTAATCGCGAACCCGTACACTATGCCACTACCAGCCGACGGATCGCTACATATAGAGCAGCTACCGGTCGTAGACGGCTTTAGCTGCTCGGACTGCCGCTTCCTAACGACGAGCCCGAAGCTAATTAAGGTCCACCGCTCGCGAGCGGGACACGCCTAGGCGACGGGCGGCCGTGGTAGTAACAGCGGCTAGAGCGAGGTACGGCTCCAGACTCTATCGCCGGGGAGCTATGCGCGGTACTAGGTAGTCGAGCAAGGACCTACTAGAACGGCCAGTCCCGGCGTATCCGGCCCTACTTCTACTTCCTCGCAGCATATTTTAGACGAACGCCTAGTAAGATGCGAAGAAAGTCTAGCGGCCGAGCTAGAGGAGACACGGCGGACGGTCGATAGCCGGCAGGGACCTACCTTCGAGTCTACGTAGGTCCGTGAGATAGGCTAGGTAAGGCACCTAGCCGGTAGCAATATAGGCGTGCACTTCCGGACGAGCTTAAGCGCCCTATCTGCTACAGCGCGCGCTAAATTACGGGGCGAGGCAGAAATTATCGAGCAGGACCGCCTCCTCCGGCTCGGGGCGAGCTTCGAGCGGCTTGTTGCGAAGGCTCTCGAGCGGACAGCGCAAGTGCCGAACGAGGTACTCCGCTACCTAGCTAGCTCGGATACTAGCCGCCCGGCCGCAGGCCCCTTTAAGGCGGAGAAGGAGCAGGCCATAAAGGACCGGTACCTAGTCTATTAGAAGCGATATCTCTGCTACTACGTCCGGGCAGGACGGCTAGGCCGGAAAGAGGCTACAGAGAAGCTCCGGATCCGGTTTAACAACGCCCAGTGGTCTACACTCGCGGACATTATCCAGAGATTAGATAATACCTCTAATAGGAGAAGGGGCGACGATATCTCCGTAGTCTCGTCCATATACAGCGGGTCCGAGGAGCCGGAGACTCTAGGGTACAAGATAGACGGAGGAGATAATCACATCGAGGATCTAATAGACCAGGCCGTAATAGCCTTCTTGTCACGATCCTGCCTCCGGGGTCAACCGTAGGGCAGGGCGCTGGGGTTGCTGTTCTGGAAGATAGGTAAAGCCTTCGCAATCCTCACTGACTCCTGCTGTCGTTCTCTCTCGATGGGTTGTCGTGTCTCTTGGAAGAGATACCAGTCTCGGCAATTGAGTGACTAGTTCAAGTGTGTGGTGAAACTGATACTTAGATTGATCGCTGAAGTACAAAGGTAAGGACTGTCTGTCTAGGAAATCCATCGCGTCTATATATCCTTTGTCCTTCATCGTGTGCACCATCGCTGGTCAGTGATGGTCAGTCCTGACTGTTGGTGACCGTCGGTCTTGGTAGTCCTGATGGCCATGCATGGGATGCATGACCAGTGGTACCGTACCCGGTCCTTATCCTTATCGCGGTCCTTGGTTCATGATGACATAAGAAACCTGTAACTTACAGCTTATACCATGTCCGCTAAGTTGCATGTGGCTTCGCCGCAGCCTTGATAGTCCTGTCTCGAAGCCTCTTGCTTCTTCCTATGTATTCCCTCAATTCTGGCATTAATTCCACGGCTGGTACAATCATCCTTCGATTTCTGCCCACTCCGCCAGTCGGCCACTCTGCTATACACGTACCCCAGATCAGCAGTGAAGCGCTGTGGCAACCTTCACCTGTGATTCTACCGTACACCTGCCACTCCGCCACTCCGCCACTCCGCCACTCTGCCACTCTGCCACTCTGCCACTCTGCCACTCTGCCACTCTGCTACTCTGCCACTCTGCCAGTCCGCCACTCTGCCACTCTGCCACTCTGCCACTCTGCCACTCTGCCACTCTGCCACTCTGCCACTCTGCCACTCTGCCACTCTGCCACTCTGCCACTCTGCCACTCTGCCACTCTGCCACTCTGCCACTCTGCCACTCTGCCACTCTGCCACTCTGCTACTCTGCCACTCTGCCAGTCCGCCACCTCCGCCAGCCTGCCACTTCGTGACCCTATATGTCCAAATAAGCAGCCAGTCTCCCTGAACAAAAAGACCCGGTGGTCAAGCGGTACGACGCTGCTGGCAATTGCCTGGCAGAATCCCCGGTTCAACCCCGGGCCGGGTCACTTGCATGCTTTCAGTTTCATTCTGCTGCCGCGGCGTGAAGCTCGGGGCTTGCTCTCTCTCTTTTGCCTCCTTATACGCCGTCTCCTTATAAGCGGAGTCCTCGGTTCGACTCCGGGTTGTAGCGACGACCGTGCTTTACTCTCTGCTTTATATAACGTTAACTTAAGTTAACTTATGCGATAAGGAATTGCACGACTCGCAACAGAGTCTGCCGTCAAAGCCGACCTCCCCAAATTTCCTTTCTGCTCTCGGAACTGAGTTCTTGGCAGATAGACCTGAAGGAAGACTAACCCGCCTTGAGCTGTGGCTGGGGCATCCTGAGCTCGCATCGACGAAGCAAGACATGGAGCGGGAAACTACAAAGACGACTCGTGACGCCACCTGTATGGAAACTTGGGGTCCATGACTGCGCCACTTGTGCCCCTGTGCGGGCTTTGTAACGCCTGATAAGTGCACCAAGCCCCGAGGCTTGACCCACTCGGGCCCGAGTAACCCCCGATTCGTGTACCCGACTCTTGGCTGGGCAACTACCGGCAATAATATTCAAACTCCACGTAGATTACCTTTTAATAAGCCTGTGTATAAAAGAAATGAAAGAATATCTTCTACACTGGAACTTGCACCAGAATCTTCGGCTGATCTTTTATTATATTGCAGCTCACCTAACCCATTGGCTGTGTTGCTGACGGTTTACCCGCAATCTCCTTCCACCTCGCGCCAATGACTACAATGATCGTGCTCATTACTGGTTGCAGTGAAGGTGGCGCTGGCGCGGCCTTGGCGAAAGAATTTCATTCTCGCGGCCATCGGGTCTTCGCCACGGCTCGCAATGTCTTGGGATTAGCTTCGCTGGAGGCCCTGGGAATCGAAACCCTGCCGCTGGACGTCACCGGTCAGATATCTCGAGACACGGCCGCGGCGACTATTTCAAAATTAACGGGAGGAATCCTCCATATCCTCATCAACAATGCGGCCGTGTACAGCCTCATGCCTCTCGCCGACACGAACCTGGAGGATGCGCGTCAAGTCTTTGAGGCCAACGTCTTCGGGGTGCTGGCCGTGACGCAGGCGTTCCTCCCTTTGCTCATCAACGCGGCTGGCACTGGGCTCGTGGCAAATGTGAGCAGCATATCTGCCGGGCTGTGCCCACCCTGGCAAGGCATCTACTCAGCCAGCAAAGCCGCCCTTACGGCGATAGGGCATACGATGCGGCTAGAATTCGCGCCACTAGGAGTGCGTGTCACCACAATCATATCTGGGGGAGTGGACACACCGCTCAAGCGACAGGCCGCATTCGTCCCGGCAGGAAGCTACTACAGCTCCTTAGCAAATTCTATTGAATTGAACGGGACGTCCAGCGATTACACCCCCATGAGCCCAACAGAATATGCCAAGCTGGTAGCAAACGACTTATTGAAGCCTCATCCTAGACCGTTGCTCTGGAGAGGCGCTTTCGCGTCTGTGGCCTGGGGGCTGAGCTGGCTCGGCTGGGTAGGTATGATGGACAACGGGCAAAGGACACGAAGCGGCCTATCGACTATCATACGGTGATTGTTCGTAGGACTCATACATTGGGGGATTGTGCGTTTCTGAAGGGAAATTCGCCAACTTGAAATGGGAGATAGAGCTGGTCTGTATTGACGGCGGACTCGCTTGTGTGCACCACTCGCTTGTGGACTACGTTAGGGCAAATATAGTAGATGAGGAGTCGTTTTTCAACGGGTGCTGTACCCGATTTTAACACAGCCTACTGCACGGAGTGCCATTCAGCAGCACCGTCATCCACGTGTCGGAATACGGTTGGCCCTAGGTCTAATCTTCGCCATTGATAAAGGCGCAGCAGACCTAGGGTCTCCCAGACAAATTCTGGCAGTGTTATCCCTTAGAGGAGTCATAAGAAGCCCAGCTGTGCGTACCTTTGGCTGATACAGGTATCTTCCTCAAGTCCTAAAGAGCGTCCCCTTTCGGCGGTTTTATGAGACACACTACTGGAGCTCCAATACCAAGCTCTCAAGATTCTCAATAACTATAAAATGACAGTATCCGATTCCCTAATCTACAGTCTAACATTAGGAAGTTATTAGCAGCCCTGTGGCTGCTATGGAAGGGTGATTCATGCTACGTCGCCACGCCCATCAGTACCTTCAAATCAACGGAACAATTAGATCCGGCTAGCGTCGGAGCGCTGGCATGGGGAATTTATTCTCCGGAAGCCGAGGCTTGCCAAGGCGTACAGCTCCTTGCACCATGATTAGTTCACGTGCTTAAAACTGATATGAGAGAATTTGAAGACAGACGGAAACTCTTACGCTGATAATGGGCGGCGGCTATTGTGAGAACTGCTAGGTCTACCTGAGATGCTTTGGACCCTGGCCTAACCAAGTTGGGTTGGCGCCCAATCACACACCCTAATAACCCCCAATAAGACATGAGGGTGTGGCTTTTCGTTGTGGCTTGAAGTGGCGCAGGAATTATGGTGAAGTTGGAGGCGAGAGCTGTGGTGAAGACGGCAACGCACGGATCGTTTAGTGGCCCGAGCTCAGATTTTCTATGGGGAGCAAGACACGGAAGAAAGAGCCTTTCGTTCCTCAAGGCATTAGAAATGTAACAAGGCATTAGAAATGTAACGAGGGGTTGATCCTGTCTAGTCTTGACTTGATTTCTACAAAAACTATTCTGGGAGTCGCAGGGTAGTACCATCGGACCAGGGGCCGGTTAATATTTCTTGGACTCGACGTAGACTAAGATGAAGTTTGAACATGACCAGAGACCAGAGCAGGTCGAACAATCGTCAAGCCATGTCTGCAATCTCATCTGCAATCTTCTATGAGCAGTGTAGCTCCCATTCTTGTGCAGGGCCAAGCCTCTGATCATGACTACCTGCGCAGCTTCCGTGGCCAGTATGCATGTCGAGCGGCTGATGCCGATTTGTTCATAGACTGTCAGCTTTGGGGGATCCGCAGCCTTTCCTTTCTGGTCGAAACCCATTTCCTCAGTTTTCATAGCAGCATTTCTCTTTTGGATCCAGCTGCTGATGGGAACAAAGAGGAAGCCGCCAGCCGCAGCGCCAGAGATGGTGTAGAGGCCCGGGTAAGTGCCCAAGCCGGCCTGCACGAGGACGGTGCTGGCACAGGCTCCGGCGAGGGCCATGCCCAGTCCCTGCATCAGTCCGCCGATGATGTTGCCGGCATATTTGCCGCTGCTACCAAGAACTCCGGAAATCGGCGAAGGGCTGCGAGGGGAGGATTTGGGCAGACCTCTGCCGGAGAAGAGGCCAAAGATGAGTCTGTGGATGGTGAAGAAGACCACCGGGGCCGTTCTATTTTCCTGTCGTTGGAGGCTTGATTTAGTTGCTGCCACCCGTTGCCCGGCCGATGGAGAGGGTGTGAACGAGCACCCCCAGAAACATGCCATATTGATGGTGCAAAATTGACGAAGGCGCAGGAATAACACCGCTGCAGATACTTTGGCTCTTGATGGACAGATGGATGCGTCCGTTGGCAGAATCCTTACCCGTTGAGTGGGTGAGAACCCCATGGTGGAAGGTCGGTCAGAATAGTGATCTTGCAGTCGCACCTGGTCGGATACGTTGAGTTCATGTGCCGATCAGCCCCCTGTCCCCCGGAAGAAGCCGAGACAGTGCTCCCTTCCGCTTACCCAGCCATATTGCAGTGCGGAGTTGAAGTGGACACTCGGCGTATCCACAAACCCCGCATGGTTCAACCTTGGTGTCACGATCAGGCCACTGATGTTCCATAATTGCCAGCGCATGGGGTCGACCACCTGACTCGACATTGGAGGTCCTATTCTGACAGACAGGTACTGTAGCTAATGCCGTCCATGATGGCAAATCGAGTTGATGTGGCAAAAGGCATGCAGGCAGTGTGCTGCCCTTAGGCTCCTTCATGACACATCGTCGGAGCGACGACGGGTAGAGCCAACAGTGTTCCACAACGTTCCATACACTTCCGTCTCGTGCCGACCACATTTCCACGGTCTCCAGTGAGCAGCATATGGGGACTTACCAACGAAACCTTGAAGAGTTCTTATCTACATGCTCATCAGCAATTCTTGTAAGTCTAGACCCCCCATTGCGACCAGTGCGCATGGCGACCACCCCCCAACCTGCGCATGAGGGCATCACCGACCACATGGTCACTCTGCAATAACTGAACAAGCATTCGTTAAAAAGGCTTCAAATCAATTGATCCGCACCTCAATGCAGCTCTCCTCGTCAATGTCGTCTTCAATGATCTCTACCTCGTCGTCGCTGCTGTCGGTGTCGTCATCCGTGCTGAAGTCCGCCCCCATCTCGAGCTGCAATTGCCTCTTTGCGCGCTCCACGTTTACGACCTGAACAAACTGTTTATTGGGATCCGGATCGACTCTGCGGCGTTTAGCAGGCTTTGAAGCATCTAATGCAGCTTGGAGACGGTCTTTTTGGTGTTCTGCGGTGGTGCGCGCGATGTTCGAAGTGTCGATTGCCTTCCCGACCTTGTTGAAGAGCTTCCTGCAGGTCGCCGCCCCTAAAGGTACACCACACTTTACCAACTCCCTATGCATTTTATAGACATCGCGAGATGTTTTTGGTGTTTTGACGTCAATTGCGCACAAGGGCGTCAAAAAATCTGGCTCTAAAACCGTCGTTTGGGCCCGATTTTGGGGATTCTGCTGGGCCTCCCGTACCTCCTCATAGTCCCGCATCACGAAGCGGGAACCCAGCGCCTTCAACCGATTGTGAGGCCACACCCCTGTGCCTTTGAAGCCTCCTAAGATGTTCTCCTTATTGAGCTTTCTTTTGCGCGCAATTTGGTATGCTTCAAGGAACTCCCGCTTGCCTGGGGACTCGTTCATAGTGTTATATGCAACCTCCGCGACCGCTTGACGATAGTGGTCCTTCACCGCCGAGAACACGCCCACATCGAGTGGCTGAAGAACATGTGAGGTATGAGCCGGGAGGTAAATCAGCCAGATTTTATTGATGAAGCACTCCGTCATAAATTCCTCTGTTGCGTGCGACTTGTGGCCGTCGAGAAGAAGGCATCGCCACTCTCTAGAATCCGTAGGCTTGGTGTTGGGAATAAATACCTCCTTGAGCCATTTCAGAGCAATATCATTGCTGGTCCACCCGTTTGGTGATGTGTCAAAACACCAATGCTTCCACCTGTCAAGTTCGACGTCGGGAAACCACTGCTGCTGCACGGATTGGCCCTTAAAAATAACAAGGGGAGGGATGAAGCCACCGCCAGCAGAAATGGCCTCAATTATCGTGATCCAGGTGCTCCTGGCGCCGTCCTTTTTCAAGGTAAAGTCGCGCAAGGCATCACTGACCACGAAGCCATTGTGACCTAGGCCCTCCGCGAAGCCACACTCGTCAACGTTCCATATGTTCTCGGGCCGTACTCGTTTGCCCTTCAATAACGTCAGGCGGTCGAAGAAGATGTCGATATTGGCCTTGGAGGCACCGTCGTATCGTTTGTATTCAATAAGTCGTGATCTCGAGGTCTTCAAGGTCGGGTTGCGGCGGATGAAGCGTCGGTACCAGTGCTTGCCGAGGTGTGCGGAGGGGTTGTCGAGAGCCAGCAGGCGCATCGAGAAGTGCTTGAATTGCTTCAATGGAGCTGCATAGCCCATTGCTGCTTGGTCGAGGGCCCAAGAGACCAGATAATCCTCCTGGGTCACGGAGAGGGTTTGTCGGACTTGGTACCTTTGCTTGAAGGTTGGGCACGCGTCAAGGCGACGACGTAGGTAGGATCTGTCGACATCGTGTCGTCTAGCAGCCGTCGCGACAGGTACGCCAGCCTCAACTTCATCCAGTGCGCGCAGGGCGCGCAATTGGTAGTCTTTTGCGACCATGACGATAGCTTCCTTTTTGACGGTCACAATGCAGGTGGTCGGGTCGCGGTGCGACGCGGTTGAGCAGGTTTATATGGGAAAATGTATGGTGGGGTGCTCAACCGCGTCGCGACGCGACCCCTGGTCGCGATGCGCACTGGTCGCAATGGGGGGTCTAGACTTACCCGGGTCAGCTACAGCCAGAGATGATCGCTAACTACCGAGAGATCAGCCGTCTATGGCACGAGTATCTGTCCATCATTCAGGCCGGTAGTGACCGTCACTACCAGGGGCAAGTTGGGGTAAGCCCATAGTCAAGGGTGGGTTGGGTAAACCCCTGTCGGGTCGAGTGACGGTCATTACCATGACGGTCATTACCACAAGGGGGTCCGGGGCGCGGCTGGACCCCTAGTCGTGTCTGAACCCCAACCTTAACCCTCAGCCAACCCTGCGCTGTGCCGTGTCTCCTCCCCTCTCATTAAATGACCCATGATATATACCGCGGCCTGGACGGTCTCGCAACCTGTACGGCGAGAAGCCGTCAGAATTGCTAGTTATTACGCGTAGAATAGAAAATACACCTCATACATACACTATCTAACCCTTCAATCTGACAGTCCAGTTGTGATCAAAGGACTATCTGGCGATGGCGATACACTTCGAGGCTGACGCTGGTCGCACCGGGGGGCAGGTCGGACTGCTGAGCTGGCCTGCGGCTGACGCCGGTAGTAGCCAAGAGCATCGCGTCCTCCTCTGCGTCTCGTGCAGGGTCGCGATCCGGCCGGACGACGGCATACGACTACACTTCTGGCGGACGCACCGTCTCAAGGGCGAGGCACTCGGCCAGATTGTCGACTACAGCCACGCCGCGGAGCCAATCGCGAACCCGTATACTGTGCCACTGCCAGCCGACGGATCGCCACATATAGAGCAGCTACCGGTCGTAGACGGCTTCAGCTGCTCGGACTGCCGTTTCCTAACGACGAGCCCGAAGCTAATCAAGGTCCACCGCTCGCGAGCGGGACACGCCCAGGCGACGGGCGGCCGTGGTAGTAACGGCGGCTGGAGCGAGGTACGGCTCCAGACTCTATCGCTGGGGAGCCATGCGCGGTACTGGGCAGTCGAGCAAGGACCTGCCAGAACGGCCAGTCCCGGCGTATCCGGCCCTACTTCTGCTTCCTCGCAGTACATATTAGACGAACGCCTCGCAAGATACGAAGAAAGCCTAGCGGCCGAGCTAGAGGAGACACGGCGGACGGTTGATAGCCGGCAGGGACCTACCTTCGAGTCGACCTGGGTCCGCGAGATGGGCTGGGCAAGGCACCTAGCCGGCAGCGACATGAGCGAGCACTTCCGAGCAGGCCGGAATGCCCTTACTACTACGGAACGTGCTAAGCTACGGTCTGAGGCAGAGCTTGCCGAGCAACAGCGTCTGATCCGACTCGGGGCTAGCTTCGACAGGCAGATCACGAAAGGCCTAGAGCGAACAAGTCGAGTACCGAACGAAGTACTCCGATACCTCGCTAGCACAGATGCTAGCCGCCCAGCAGCTGCCCCTTTCAAGACGGAGAAGGGCCAGGATACGAAGGATCGATACCAGGCCTACTGGAAGCGCTACCTTTACTACTGCGTCCGGGTAGGGCGACTCGGTCGAGAGGTAGCGACGGAGAAGTTCCGGATCCGGTTCGACGATTCCCAGTGGGCTGCACTAGAGGATATTATCCAGCGACTTGATACTAGCTTCGACAGCGACCAGGACGCCAGCACCTCTCCAGCCTCGTCAACTTGTGTTAGGTCTAAAGAGCCAGCTATTCTAGGGGCCGAGGTGGACGAAGAAGACGACCAGATTACGGACCCAATAGACCAGGTCGTAATGGCTTTCTGCGTCAGGTCGCTCCAGCAGAAGATTGCTATCCAGTTATTCAACAACCCGCTCCTACACTTCACGGCCGTACTAGGAATTAGTGGTACCCGGAAGAGTTATGCCTGGCGGCCGGCGGCGGAATATACTGGGCAAATCGCGGGGCTCGTCTGGTGTGCCCGCCTTCTACTACTAGAGCATATCTTCGCAGCCGAGGGCGACGATGAGGATCTTTGCCTGGGAGCTATCGAGCACTTCCGGGCACAGCATCGCGAGTGGCTCGCCGACGGCTCTTTCTCACCATTTAGCGCGATGATCCGGATGATGACGTACGGAAAAGGCTTCCGTAAGAAGGAGGGCGGCACGCCACGACTCATGTGGGAGGACAATAGGGAGGCACTACGATATCTTGGCCAGCGTATCCCGCTTGACGACTTCCGGGTAATGGCAGCTAGTCTCGTCACAGATACGGAGGAGCTTGCCGACCAGCTTATGTTTCGGGAGTGGATTCCGCTAAGCCAGGTCGTCGTGCTCCGACGAATCATGGACAGTCTCAGCTTCGAGGGACCTGGAGCTTCGTTCGCCACGCACGAGAAGAACAGCTGGCTCGAGCCCGGCTTCCGCAAGCTAATCGGTCCATGTGCTACGCAGCTCTGGGATGACGAGGCAGGAACCTTTCGTGCGGCACAGGTCCAGCAGTGGCTCGGCCAGCTCCAGTCCTTCCGCCAGGCCTTACTTGTCAGCACGCACACGCGGGGAGGCCAGCCAGGGAGAGGGCCGGAGATTATAACGATCCGGCACTGCGACACGCAGGACATGCTCCGGAATGTCTTTGTATTCGACGGCCAGGTGATGCTGGTAACGGACCGCGATAAGGGCAAGGCTATCCGCGGGATCGGCCGAAAGGTTGCCCGTTTCTTGCCAGACACGGTTGGACGACTGATGGTCGCCGACATTCTATGGCTGCTGCCGTTCGAGAGACTACTACTTACGAAGACTAAGGCCCAGGGGCTATCTAAGCCACTCGATGCATGGCTCTGGAAGGACAGCCGCAAAGGAATCTGGACAACGACGGAGCTTAGTACTAAGCTAGCAGCAGCGACAACAGAGCATATTGGGGTCAAGCTAGGTGTGGCTGACTACCGCCACGTCGCTATCGAACTCGGCCGGCACATTCGAGGACTAGTCGTCCAGCAGCTAGAGGTTGACATGGCTGATGAGGCTGACTGGGACAACCCGCAGAGCTTCGAAGACGGGCTCACTGGGGAGGCGCGCCGCCAGAATAAGGTCGAGTACGTCTGGGACTTACAGGCCACGCACGGCAGCGCCATCCCCGCCTACGTCGTGTCTAGGCCGGGCCAGTTTGGATTATCCTAGCTTCGTGCTTTTCCCCAAAGGTTCACTTGCAAGGTGGATCTCTACATTCTCCTGCCCTGCCATCATCTCTATTTTTTTGTGTCTCTTTTACTCTCGTCAGCTAGATCACACTAGACCTGCTGCGATATCATGGTTCATGTCATGTCTTGCACCCGCCGGCGTCATATCCCGTTTACCTGCCTTTCTTCATTGTTTTATGGGTTCTTTAGTTTCCAAAGTTCTGCTGCTGTCATCAAAGAGCTACTTGTGTGGCCATAACATAGTAGTAGCTCTTTTCTTGCCAAAGAAAATATCTTCCGAGGTCAACACGAAGCAAGAGCATGACTGTGTCGAGCTAGCTATGGCTAGCTTTTCGTTCTTTCCCCCCAGACGAATGAACGCATCCCACGACCATTTACGCAATTCTGTGACTTTTCGCCTCACCCTCCTGTGAAGCTACGCTAGAGGGACATCATAGATCACAAAATCCCCGCCTTGCCCGTTTGGTAGCCATGTCACTCTAGCAAAATGTTGTGGTCGACGCCTCTCTCCATTGTGACACGCTCGCATACCTACCTATATATACCTATCCCCTTAATACCATTCATGATGTCCCCTCTTGTCTCTATGCCAATGTCGAAAGAGAACCCAGTGTGCTGTTCATCAGACACTAGGTGCTTGATAAGCGGTCCTTCAAGGATGTCAAACCCCGCTGGGAACTCTTTCACACCACCAAAACTGTCTAAGTATGCCGTTTCCCGTAGTGTCATGCTGCGACGACCGACACCCATGCCTATTGTTGAGCCTCCAGTAACTGAAAGCCAGAATGTTTGTACAGCGAAAAATGTAAGGTAGATGATGATCCACCATGGAAAATGATCATGACGCCGTGCCTGGCTGTGAAAAAGAAAATGCGAAACAGGTGACCTGCTAATCATGTGCACCAATGACTCCAATACGCCGAAATAATGCAAAGCCAACTCCCGTGATCAAGTGCTCCACCATGACCGCGCCGCTGCCCTTTCCCATGCTACTTGCGATGCCACCAATCCCATCATACCAAAGGCAGAAGCTCATATAAACTTCGACATGGCAGTGCTCAAGTCGACGAAGTCGACCGGCTTCGTGACGTAGTCACTGAACCCGGCTGCGATACATTTCTCTTGCACATCGGACATGACGTTTGCGGAGAGTGCAATGATCGGAAGCTTCGAGTGGCCCTCCTTTGCTTCCCAAGCTCGGATTTCGCGGCATGCTTGGTAACCGTCCTTCCGAGGCATGTGTAAATCACACTACATACCACTGTCAGTATCGTGTTCTGACGCGCTTCTTATGGAGAAGAATGTTTGGGGACTTACCAAGATTAAAGAGTAGTATCCCGAGCCATGCGAAAACACCTTCTCCGTGCACTCGACACCATCCGCAGCAATTTCGGCGTCAATTCCAACTTTCTTGAGGTAGCGCACCAGGACCTTCTGATTGACGGGATTGTCCTCGACGAGCATTACTCTATAGCCCTTGTTGCCGATCCTCTTTTCGACATCATTGTAATTTTGCTTCTGGCTCTCCACCATCTGTGCTGCGCTTGACCTGTTGAGGTCCACGCTTAGATCGCGTTCATTCCCAGGATCAAAGATGACCGCGAAACGTGATGGCTTGACAGGCTTGTAGACAAACGTGATACGCTTCTCGTCCAGGAGTTGCTGGTGTGCTGGATCAGACGCCAGCTTGAGAACTGACTGTCTTTGAACAGAGTCTGAGAGGACGAGAACGGAGGTGCGACCACCTGAGCTTTCAATAATCCGGTCGACAACGCCAATGACTTCTTCAGCGGAACTGAGATTGAGGACGACATGAGTGAAGGTCACTGATTCGTGCCCGCCAATCAGCTTCTCCGCATCCGCGCTTGTTTCCACAGCCGTGATCTGGTGCGGCACGTCCTTCGGCAGCGTCATCTCTATATGCTTGGTTGTGGCTTCGCGTGAATGCTTCTGAGCGCAAATCACGAGAATCGAATACATAGGTGGCCTGAAGTGTGGTGGTATCTCCGAGTCGTCTTGTATCGGCGTACCTGGAATCCGCGGCTTCTCAAAGGGCAACTGCAAGCGCATCTGAGACAAATCCTGCCCACTCGCCTTTGCAGCTTCGCTAAAGTGTGCTAGTCCTACATGGACCGATGACACACTGGAGCGTGCCGTGCGTGCGGATGACCGCACTGAAGGGTCGGAACTTGCCGACGAGTTGAGAGCTGGCGAGATCGTTCCAACGTCGGATCCAGGACTGGCAGTGTTGAAACCATTCAGTGTCTGCTGGAGTAAAAAGGGTCTTAGTGCTTGAGCATGCTTATCAGCAGCCGGTGTTGCGACGGTTGGTAGCATTGGAGGAGTCCCAATTGTGTTAGGATGGTCTTCTGCACTTGGCAGGCCGAACCGAGCGGTGAAGGTAAAAGTCGAGCCTTGCCCCGGAACAGCTGTGCCATTCATCTGGCCACCGTGCAGCTCAACAAGTTGTCGAGAGATAACCAGACCTAAACCACTCCCGCCGTGCTGGCGCGTGCTGCTCCCATCAATCTGACTGAAGGGCTTGAAAATGAGGTCGGCCTCCTCTTTGGTAAAGCCTCGTCCTGTGTCAATTATCGAGAATTCAAGCATGATGCTATCTTCGTCCGAGGTCGCAGAGTCATCGACGCACACCCTACATCGACTGAAAACTTCTCCCTCCGACGTGAATTTGATCGCGTTTCCGATGACATTGAGGAGGACCTGCCGAATGCGGACCTTGTCTCCCTTCACCCATGATGGGACATTCTCTTCCACAATGTAATTGAGCTCAAGCCGTTTCGCAATCGCCATGGCGGACACCAACTCGTTGACGTCCTCAATGAGAGAGCGAGTGTGAAACCACTCAAACTTGAGCTTCATCATGCCTGCGTCGACCTTGGAGAGGTCTAGAATGTCGTTGATGATCATGAGAAGACTCTTGGCGCTCGTTTGTATGGTGTTTGTGTAGTCCCGCTGCTCTTCATTCAGCGTAGTCTCCTGGAGAAAGCTCACCATGCCGGAAATACCAATCAGTGGCGTGCGAATCTCGTGAGACATGTTGCTGAGGAAACGCGCTTTAGACTCCATGGCCTCCTTAAGCTTGGCTTCGAGTAGTTTGTGGTCGTTGATATCAGTTGCTGATCCAAAGTATGAGCTGGCGCCGTTCCCAAAGTCAATATTGTCAATCTCCACGCATCGCACTAGGTGCCACCTGTAGTCGCCGGGCTTGGAGCGTAGGCGGACTTCCGTTGTGTATGACACGCGACCATCACTATCCGTCGCTACTTTGATGATTCCCTTTCTGACAAGATCGGCAAGATCGCCAGACTGAAATTCAGGTGTGAGGGTATTGTCGCTGGTGCTGCTGCGCGAAAGATTTGAGGGATCTTCATCTGCCGATTGTGAGCTCTTTCCCGCGGTCTGGCTCGAGCCTGGGCTTGATACATCTGTTTGGAAGAACGACATCTGATTGCGAATGCTTGGTAGGCGGCACTTGGCGAGGTCGTCTGGATGCACGAAGTCCATGAAACCAAGTCCAAGGGTGGCCTCTGAGGTCTGTCCAGTATATGAGAGCCACTGGTTATTTGCAAAGGTGATGCCTTCCTGTTCAGTCGCGGTGAAAATGATCTGAGGGATAAGGTTGGCTAGCAAACGATGCTTCGCTTCCGAGGCCTCGACTTCAACTTGACGCACACTTTTGAGCTCTGCAACATGCTGGTCGTGAATGTCCATGTAGGAACCGATGAACTGGACCAGTACGCCGCGCTTGTCTCTCAAAGGAACCGCCCTTGCCTGGTGCCATCGGTAATCGCCAGTGAAACGTCGGAGTCGAATTGTCCGCTCAAACGAGCTACCTGACCGGAGTGAGTCGCTCCAGGCCAGTATGTAGTCATCCCTGTCTTCAGGGTGAAGACTTGCCCATGGGTCGGCCACAAGATCACCGATTGTCTGGCCTCGGTAGAAAAGATACCTGCTGTTGACCCAAACTATTTCTCCTGCTACTGGGAGTGCTACAAAGACATGGACTGGCAGGCTATCCAGCATGATGCTTTTGAGCCGATCTGAGGGCGGCAGCATACTGAACTGCGCCGTGGGCCCTGTTTGAATGCGCGGGTGGGACGTAGTCGGCTTAGATAGCAGAGAAGCACTAGGGGGCAGAGACTGGAAGGTGGCAGCAAAGTCTGCCCCGTACGAGTGCATCAACGTGTGTTTCTGTCCCGGTGTGCCGACAGTAGTGTGACTAGAAGGTCGCAAGAGCTTGTCGTCAGAATCCGGAGCATGGTCCGATTCGCTGTGCGTGCTATTGGGTTCTGCGGAACTTTTCGATGACGGCCGGGTAGAAGACTTTTCATCTCCATCACCTCTATTAGCGACTACGAGGCCAGGCTCATTAACTGCCGGGGTATGAGGGATCTGTCTTAGGCTTCCAGACCTCCGATGGGTATGTTCAATGGTGGAGGTCTCCTTCGCCAGACGGCTGCCACGAGACGCAATATCTTCTTGCGCGGTGTCATCGCTAGGGCCGGCATGACGCGGGCGAGTATTAAAGTAGCTGTCGCCGGGCACCATCCCGGGGCTGACTCCAGCAGTCCGACGTTCTGCTGCAAAGCCGGAAGATTTTGACTCCCAGTTTGGCGTGATAGCGGCAGGTGAGCCCGCAATACTCCTGGACCTAGCCGAGTAATCACTGGGGCTAGTGATACTGCCTGTGGCCGATAGCTGCGAGTGGTACTGGGAGGACATTGCGTCATAGCTGAAATTGCGTAGCGAGGCAGGATTCTGTAATGGCCTGCCGTCCAGATCCACACCGCCAAAGCCGGATGTCGTAGGTCGTTTCCGATCCAACCCAAGCACTTCGGTTTCAAGCATAGTGTAATGGCTGCAGAGCGAATACGATGTCGCCAAATGGGGTGCGAGATGCTGCAAGGAATGCCTGAGGTTGGATGGATACGGTATAACAGGGCTCAGAATAGAAAGAATAGCCCAGGTGGACGGGGCTGATCCTGGGTGTCCTCGGCGGACGTCGGGGATTGCGCTTTGGCGCCACCAGGTCGCGATGCGTTTCTTTGACCCAGGGCGGCAGAGTTGAGTTTGAATGCTTTCGTAGGCTTGGAGAGTAGGATATGGTGCAATGGGACATGTAACACAGTCCAAGAATTGTCTACGCCAATCGCCTCGGGAGTTTGGATCGCCGTATAATCGTGTGGACTCGCGCCAGGATTGAATGAATCCTCATCAATGACAGCATCTGTGAAGACAGGGTTTTCTGAAGGATCGGATCGCACGGCAGGCGATGGTGCAGGAGATTGTGACCACGGGGATGGTGGTGTTTGTTCAAATTCTTCGTACTTCGGCGTTGGGGGACGCGGGGCACCACTGTCGATGGAAGCGAGAATGTCTGCAATTTTGCTTCTTTCCTGGGGTAGCTTTCTGCCTTTGGCCGTGGTCTGCGAGGCTGTGACGCTGTCGAGGAGTGATGAAAGCTGAGTGCTTGAATCTGACGTTGTTTGCTTCCTCAAGCCCTTCTTCGACTCCGACGAGCCGTTCGACCAGCTGGTGCGTGGGCCCTTCTTCTTTTCATCCTCGAAGGGGTTCAAGTACGGGTAGCTTCGCGTTAGCGCAATCACTTTACCTCGCTCAATCACTCTTGCAATGCCGTTATGATCTATCAAAGGATCTGCCTCCAGATCAAGGGCCTGGAGCATAGGAAGTACACGGCCTCTCATGTCTCGGCCCATGAACAATGGAGCTTCCCATGAAGGCATAGGTTGATTCTCTTCTTCGGCGTCATGTTTCTCCAGAGCGCGCTTGTTGAGGGCTGGATGAGGCGAAGCTGGACGTGGGGCATTCGTCGTGGGGTAGAAGCTCTTGCTACGAAGTATGGACCCCGGGCGTTGGGGGGCAGGCGATGCTGCTGAGTTTGTATGCGTATCCTGGGCACCTTTCTGCTTCTCATACGACGTAAAAGAATGTCGACTGAACATGCCCGGCCGCACTGGGCGATCATTCTTCAGCGGAAGATCCGGGGTCGAAGCTGGCTCCTCCTCGGTGCTCTGTGGTGCGAAGCTAGATCGACCCATGTAGCCCATGCTGAGCTCATCTTCCTCACTCGCGTTGAATGTGGCTTTTTGGCCCCATGGCACATTCTCTAGATCGGTGTTGTCTGCAGGTATTGACAATGTCACACGCTCCGCTTTGAAGTGTTCCGTCATGATCTGGACCACAGTATTCCACCAAGCATCGAGACCAGGCTCGGCCGCGAGCAGTAACGATAGGTCATACAGGTTTGGGGACGGGTAGTCGAAATTTGGCTGTGGCTCAGGATGACCAGTGGGCTGGAAGGTCATGGCAGAAGCAGGGGTGGAAGGATCCGATCGCAGCTGCTCCTGCAGCAAGAAGTGGCTGGCAAACTGACCTCCAGTGGAATGGAGGAGGGGAGTTTGCGATTGTGGGCTGGCCATCATGGGTCCATGGCCAAGTTTGAGCCCGGGCGGGTTCATCCTGGGAAACGGGTACGATGGCGTTCGAGCCACGAGACCAGGCGTTATGCCGCCTCTGACAGTTGTGTTTGACTGGGTCGATGTTGTCAGTAAGTCATCCGCAGGCGTCGCAGTTATATGCGACGACTCGATAACGGGTGAGACGCCAGGCGCACGTGCTGTCGTGACGTGGGCCTCAGGCGAGCCCTTCCAGCCCTGTTCATGCTGGGACAGATATCGAGTAAGGCCTTCCTTATAGGCTACCACCGGGTTGCCTATAATGTCTGGCGAGCTTTGGGAAATGCTCACCTCCCTGTTCTTTTTCTTGGACCCGTGCTCGGGTGATTGCTTGAGTGACGAGGCGTGCTTGACGGCACTCAACTTGGGTCTAGCGGTGCCAGTCCTTTCCGAACTACCACCGCCGCATAGACTGACCAGATTACTGCTGAGGCGGGCACTCAGGCGCTTGAGAGGATTTGGTGATCGTGGCAAGGCGTCCCCAGCCAAGGGGCTTTCCCGTTTCTCATCTATACTGACGCGAGCCGGATCTCTGGCCGCCACATATCTGGCATCCGGATTCCCTTCATACTCGTGTCTGTCAAGGACCTCTGGGCCATGTTGGATTGGTGGTCGAGACCTGGAGTCGTCGGGCTGAGTAGGGGCGGTCATCCCTTAGCAAAAGCGCGCCCCCATGCAGCAGCAGCGTTGGGGACTTGTGATGTGAGGGCAGTGATCGGTCTCTGCGTGACTCGGCATGAAAGAAGTGTGTATGCTGTTCTCCGCGGTGGGTGGTCGTGTGCTGGGCGCTCAACTGGTCGTTTGGAGCGGGTACAACCGTGTCGAGGCAGGAGTCGACGGTGGCGTTTGGGTGGACGGTGACGACAGTGGTTTCGAGGCCTGGCCGGAGACCTCTGGGCTGAAGAAAGGACGGGCCTGACCGCCGGAAACGCGAAGAAACGAAGCGACAGTGGCGGGCGAAACCTCGTGACGGGCGGGAATGCAGGCGGGCAGGCAGTCGCGGGAGGCGCAGAGACGAACGTGATGTAAAGTGGTGACGGCCTTGTGGGGATGTCACGGCGGGTGTTGGCTCGAGCGTGCATATGACGTAGCGCCAAGCCTGGCATCAAGGCGTCGCTGGTCAAAGTGGCAGGCAGGCAGGGCATGGCAGGGCACTGGCCACCGCTTCAACAGGGGCCATGCAGGCCTCCCTTTCTGCTCCCGCGCGCCTTTCCTCAAAACAGACGGACCATCCTCCAGAGCGCTCTCTTTCTCATTCATGCTGATGACGGCTCGCTCGCCTGCATCGCAGCTGCGTCTTGTGTCTTCCTTCCACGCGATGCGCCTCGCCCTTCTCGAAGCGTGCGAGCGTGCAGATCGGCCCCCGCCAGGCCGGCTATTGCTTCCGAGCCGTCAGTCCCCAGCACCCGTCGTCACGCCAGCCAGAGCGGAGGCCTCGGCAGAGCTTGCAGTCGTGCCCTTTGAAGGCACATCTTCTCCTGGTCTGCATTATTGCTTGGGGTTGCGTTTTCATAGCAGTCCTCATAATGTTCCAATCTCTCTTGTCCCGTCACGGCCTCTGTAGCTCAACCCGTCTCGAGTTAGCCAAAAGCTGAAGACAGCTGGTTGACATCATAGATTGCTCGCTAATTCGCGCCTCAAACCCTTGCACCTCGACAAGGCCACTTGCCGGGGTAACTCTTTACTGTGCGCAACAGGACAACAACCCGGCGCCAGCTTAAAATTCGCCTGTGGCTTCGGGAGCAATGGGGAACTGAATGGGAAAAGAGGATCCAGGATTGTGTCCCGCCTTTCTTAAGCAGGGATTAGCCTACGGAGTCCTACATAGTTGCGCAAGCATGGGCTTGGGGACTATCCTACGGCAACGGACCCAGCGCTCTTGTGAGCTCGCGATTCCAGCCTTGACTATTGGTTTTGGGTTGTCCTCTTTGCGACTGCTGTGGCTGGAACCAAAACCCTATCGACCTCTACATACCATGACCTCCAGGTCGTCGTGATCCACACAGCTTCACTCATCGGCCATGGGGCAGGACATGGGTAACCCCTCTCCGATTGCAGGTTTGCCAGGCCACTGATAGGTTTTTCCGGGGCAATGCTGTTCTCCGGCCTATTGGCGGTTCGCGGCCCCTTCAACGGACAAGGGGCCGTATGCAGCAATGGTAAGGACCTCTCAATACAGAAATGAGCTTCGCCTGGAGGACACACAGTAAAAGAATTCTCGTCACTCTTCCTCACAGCGTCCCGCAGCTACACATTTTGAGGCACCTCAAGACAAGGCTGCATCCTTTGCGCTGATTCACCGCTCTCCTGGTAAGCGCGCTTCGCTCCGCTCTGAGCCCCAAGAATTGAGTCGCCCGCCCTAAGGGAATTCCATCTGCGGGAGAGGCTGGCTGCACGCCTCAGGTTTTCACGTCGCACGATAGGAGTCAGCGCCCTAAAATCACTGGAGCCCTGAAGCCACACTCACGTGGTCGAAGTTGACCACGAAGAACAAGCATGGTGATTCTTTTCGGGCGCCGAGAGACATGCGGTCTTATGAGTCGGGGTTTAGGCATCGTTTTAAACATCGTGAAGGACGTGCCTAGTACTGTCAACGCGGCCATTACCGCATTATGACAAAGCAGCTGGCCAGCTCGGAGCTTGCGCAGGTGGGCGGGGTCAAAAAGGAGTTTTACAGCTTGTACTACCATCCATGGATGCCATATGCTTTGTTCGAGCATGCGGGCCGATGGTCACGCCCTCTTGGCTCTGGAGTGCTCCGCAATTTGTCCAGGGCAGTGTTATCGCGTTCTTACGGGGATCGTTGACGGGCCAGCCACCCGTTCCATTTGTGTAGACGGTGGCCATGCCGATCCATCAGTTGTCCATTTTCTACATCCCGGTCTGAATCGCGATCGGAAAATGCACACTCCTATTTCTGCTGCCACGTTCCCGACCACCGGCCGGAGCTACTGGCCCGTCAGGGAAGCTTGGCTGACATTGCAGTCATCCGATTCGACCACAGTCCCCAGCCACAGCCGTATCCACAAGACACAAAGGGGGGCTATGCATCGCCTGTGTGTGTGTCCATGCAAGGTGGCATCATATCGGTGCGTAGATGCATACGACAGTGACAAATCAGCACAGCGGGCAAGAAAGAGCCTGAGGGGACAGATCCATGAAGGGTATGGAGTGCTAGCAGTGGGTGGTTGTGTTGTGAAGCACACCTCCCGAGCGCGAATCATGAACTTCAGCCTCCGCAAGCTCTTTAGGCGAATGAAAAGACGACACCGGCCGATTTGCGGTGCAACTGGCACTCCCCTGAGTATAATAGTCGCCAATTGGTCTGAATGAGCATCGGATGAGTGGGTGGGAGAGAATGCAGCAAAACATCACGTGTGCGATTGTCCATGCAGGTAGAAGATCGCTTGTGTCGTGCAACGTACTTGAGGCTGTGTGACTGGATCAGGAGTAACACCAACATGTATGCCCCGATCTCAAGGGGGCCACTTCCTTGGTCGCTGCAATCCCTCGGCGATTGCAACAGAGCTTGTCGACCGTTACACGAACCGCCGCACAGAAAACCTACCTTTACGAAGCGATGTGGCGAATCCACAGCGTGAGGGCGAGGCGTCCAACGCATCCAGCCCATAGCTGCCATAGGACTGGGCTTGTTTGATGGCACAAGTCAGCAGGCGACCATACGACGTACCCATGCTGGATGCCAGTTTGAACGCCGTATATTGCGGCCATTGTTGATGGGCATGTTGTCTGACAACTTCGGACCGAGTTGGGAACAAGGGACGGCTGCGGAAACCCGTGCTTGTACGTACGAGCCCATCGCAACACTCAGATCAAGTCGCATGACAATGCATCAAAGAATGGCAGACTTAGCGCAGGAAATCTAGCGTACGTAGGGCCAATAAAAAGAGTCAAAGAGTCTAATGAAGGTGCTTGCGCACCATAGTTAGCGGCCAACCCTCCACCGTGAGTAGTACCTTAGTGATTTAGATTGTGGCAACCTATTGGGACGCTATCGAGCGCCATCGAGCGCCGATCTTGCTTTTAGTACACCGTTCTCGGTGCCTTCTGCAGGGTCAATTGCTGAACTTTGAAGGTAAAATCGCCAGAGCAAGCACTCCCAATACCACTCCAAATATCTCCACCACCTCGTCAACCCTATGACTGCATCGTATACGAAGCTGAGAACTTCCTTGCGAGTTCTCCGCTGGGGAAATTCGCCTTTTGGAAAAGAGATTTCAGAGTGTCAATGATTTGGATATTCTCTGCTCCATGACAGGTCTTGGTCCGGATAATTACCTTGGAGAAGTCCGCCAAGGTGATTATCCGGACCAAGACCTGTCATGGAGCAGAGAATATCCGATAGATAGCACATAATAGCTTCGAAGTCTAAACTGTCGCCGAAAGCTTAAAGACGGCTTCGCCTCATTAACGGCTTAGTATAGATGCTTCCGCCAAGTATCAAAATCACGGACCCTACAAACTTACCTGAACCTCGCCTCTTCTCCACGTACCTGAATTTCACCTCGCAGGTAGCGCGTCGCAGGTCAGCACAGGGGGGCCCCGCGCACGACCCTTGACTATAGCTCCGCCCCCGGTACTGGAGCGCACTACCGCCCGGAATGATGGGCAGGACGCCTCCGCGCACGGGGTGGGTAAATCCCTACTTCGAAGACCTGATTCACTAACCGCTCTTGCTAACGACAGCTCGCGTAGTCCTATATAATATTCTTAAGTGTGATAGACTGACGGGTCTACTGCGGCCAGGACACCAGTAGGAAAGAAGGCTTCTCTAGGCGGCTTTATACTATATATCAAGGAGTGCTTGATGCCTCGCTGGAAGTATCTTCACCAAAACGTGACTTGAGTCCGAGCCTGTCCTACATGACAGGTTGGTTGTGCTATTCGAAGCTCATCGCGATCTCATCCTTGATAGCTTGCTTCCACTCTGGTGGGTGCTGCTTAGGCCCTAGCGTGTTACGACACCGACACCCTGGGCCCTGCCGTCGACGATATAGGTAGTGGAAGGGGCCCATCGTCTCCTCTGCCCAGTACTGATAAGTCCTGTAACCCTGGCGTAGCTGGTAGTTGGGGTACGGCGCGTGGACGAGCACCCACTCAAGTTGTGGCAGCTTAGCCTCGGCACTGGCGAGCAATGAACCTAGGTCGTGGCTCAGATCATGTTGAGGTACTGGGTTATAGAAGCGAGGGTTAGGGATACTCGTCCAAAAGTATCGCAGGCTGGGGGGTAGGTAGTCCCCTAGATCCGCGAAGTCTGGTGGGATGTATGCTTTGTCGTGATCTCCGGGGTAAGCCCCGACGCCGTCCTTAGGGCGCTCAAAGTATGTCAGCCTCGACATGGGTGCACTGAGCCACTCGAGTTTGATGTTTGCCGCCCGTAGGTTACCTAGCACCCCGCTGTCTCGTTCCTCAAACTGGCCGGCCGCTGTCTTGTATAGCTGGAGCTCGAAGCGGCGTAGTCCGGTCCCGTATGTCCTGATCGCCTCGCCGAGCGGACCGAAGTCGATCCTAGCGCGGGGATACTCGTCGTACGCATCCGCATCCCCAGGATCCACGTCTACGACAAGGCTCCTCAGGTCAGAGCCGAGTTCCCTCAGGACGAGATCGCGGATCACTAGACTACTGCTCTTAGGGTTTCGCGGCGTGCCCGGGAAAGCAGCCGATCTGAGCTCGAGGCGCTGGATATGAGGCGCAATCGGCCAGGGTCGGGATGGTGCCCCTGGGTTAGATGGTGCCGAGCTTCCTCTGCCCCAGCTGAGATACGACGTGTAGCAGCTCACGAGGCCTTGGAACGAAAGAAATGCCGAGACTGCAGCATTGCTCACGGTCCCAATATCGTTCTCCATAGGAGTAAGCTCAAGCGTATGGAGACGCGAGAGGGGAGAAGGTAGTCGTGCCTGCAGGCCTCGATCGGCCGTGCCGAGAGCACGTCCACAGAAGGAGAAGAACCGTGCAAGGAGTGAACCGTGGCTATCTGCAACGACGCGCAACGATGCAAACTCGACCTGGTCTGCTAGGGTGAGTGACCAGATGGCGAGGAGGTCATAGGAGAGTACATAGTGCCCTCGATATCTGGAAACATCGACACTATGGGGCCAGGTTGTTGTGACTTCTCTCGCTTCGACGATCAGGCTGTCGAGAAAGGTACAGAAGCTGGTCGAGTAGGTCTGCTGAATCTGTGACTGGATCGCCGGGTCCTCGAAGGCTTCGAGGAGGCGCGCTACAGGTAAGGGTGTTCCCTTCAGCACCAAGTGACGGACAATCTGGATTTCATCCGGGCGGCGGCGCAGGTAGGTAAATTCCTGGCTAGAGCTGAACTGGTATCCATCGCAGAGAGGATCAGTCTGCGTGAACTGGAGTGTTTGATAGATGAGTGGCTGAGCGACAGTTCGAAAATGAGACGAAACTAAGCAAAGCCAGCTTATCTGTCGCGAGTCCGCACCGCGATCAGCGTTGACCATGCACAGCTGGTCGATAGTGAGCAGAGTGTGAGCGAAGATCCGAATCTCGGGGGCCTTGCCTTGGCGCCTGACTCTTGTCCCCTGGCATGCCGAGAAGTGAAGAGCATGCATTAATTATTGTTCGTCTACCACTGATGTATAATATTGAAATCACGGACCACGGGTTCAAGATGGAGGCACATAGGTCATTACCCTGAGACCCGTTTCCGCTTTTCGGACTACATTTCTGCGTGTATGCTCTGCACTTGTAGATTTCGTAATATTATGGCGAAAGTGACAGCAGGTCAACTTGATTGGAATTTTGACGCAACAGGACAAATAAGCCTCCAGATCAAAGCCGTCCTCTTTTGGTAGAGCCTGCTTATGTATTTGCGAAGGGCGATTTGCCGCTCCAGAAGATGCGCGATAGCTGTGTGGCTGTGCTCCGTCTATCTCTGTTAGACGTCGCAAAAGGCGAATGCGCGGATAAGGTCGTCATAATAGTGGCGCGGAGGGCACGGCCTTCTAGATGAGTCAACAGGGCAAGCCCTGATATGTGACGTTAGCACAAAGGAACCTTTCACGCGGCACGACGTTCAAGAGAAAGTAGCACACAGACACTCTCGACATTTGGGAGTTGTTTGACCGAGGTTTGGACGATGTGGAACTTATGAATTTGCATAACGATGCTAATGAATGGACTTTGAAACCACGTAAGTATTGCCTTGTCTATTGAACTATGAAAACCTTGCCTAACGTAGATCGTGACGTGATTGAGGGATGGTTGGACAAAAACTGGTCGAGAGTCTATACAAGACGTATGGACAGATTGAAGAGTATCTCCAGTCTGCTTATGTTCGAACTTTCGAGAAAGTCAAGAAAGACACAAAGAATCTCCGACACCACGAGGTCCGTAAGCACTTGCGCTTGGAAGACCAAAAGCGAACTGGGCTGGAGGGGAGTTAAGGAGGGCAGGAGAGACTGTAAAGGATCCGTGGCAGAGAGTGTGGATGAGATGAAGGACCTGCATGTGGTGATAGATGGATGCCTCGCTGTAGCAGTCGGGATCGTAGCAGGAATCTGGAGTCACGATACTTACATCGGTCTTAGTCGGTGCACGGCTTTGGTGTAGTAATTGAGTTTTGCCTTCCTGATATCCGCCGCTTCCAGCAGGCTGACCCTGAGTACCCACTCAACCCGCATTGCTTGTGCTGCTGTCGGCTTGCTGGCGCTCTTGTACCCCGAAATGGAAGCAAGGCACCTCCCGGCTCGTTTCCATCTTGTTTCGCTGAGTGCGGTATCATCCCGCGACGTACTCGGCAGCCGAGATCTCCTTATCAACACCAATCACCATGGGCCCGTCATCGAGAAGCACGCCACATCCAAATCCGCCGTACTGAAGGAGCTTCACGTTGTCATTGCAATACATTTGGCGATTGTATGGGTCAAGATCGATGAACTGCGGCCCGCAAATGGTGAACAAAGCCTTACCAAAATGAGAGGGACGTCGCGGTGTGCACGGTCGACACTGCATGCGTGTGGACCCCTGGAAGTTGACTCGATTACGGGGTGGAATAAGACAGTAGGTAGGTCTGAGGACATTATCTACGCATGCTGCGAAGGGTCTCTAAGTAACCTAGGTCCGGTCGGCTTCCTTCTTGCCTCGAAACCTGGGCGAGCCCGCGAGATCTCGTCTACCGATCGGCTGGTCCACAGACCTTTATCGTCCTTGTCGTCTATGCCTGCAGCAAAACTCTGCCAACAGATGCTAGAGTTTCCTGGTTTAGTGGATTGGCTGACCACAGACAAGGCAGTCAAGACGCTCCGTCCACTCCTTGAGACCACCGGTCACTTCTTCCCGCAGATCAGTAATCTCGACAACTAGCGGACTGACGTCACTTCTAATGATGGCAGAGAAATAACCCTCGAATGGTTTTGCCTCCGGGGCATCTGAATGGCGGCCGCGGCCTCTCTTTTTTGGTTCGGGCGCCTGTCCCGTGCGCTCTGCCGTGATAATGGGAAGCACGTTGTTGACATCAGCCATCTTGACGGTGTTTTGCTCCTCGGGCTTCACATCAATAGAAGGCTCCGCCGTTGGTGCTGCTCCTGACTTGCTGGGTGACAGAGGCTGGCGGCCAGTCTCATTATCTCGCTCGTCCTTGACGGGCGCCGGCTTGTGAGGTTTGTTGGTTCCGAGGCGTGCGAAAGTGCGGAGGAGAGCCTCGTGGACCAGGTACTTGTCGTGCAGCCACTTGCGGCACTTCTCGTTGGTACAGCGAATGAGCTTCTTGTCGGGGTTTTCGGGACGGTTGCAGCGGCAATACCTTCCAACAGACTGATATCAATACATGAGTCAGCAGCGTCTCAATAGCAGGCAATTTCCAGAGTCCTGTGCGAATGTGGATGGCATATCGAGAGGTCCATGGTTCGCACGTCAAAGGCTTGGCGCCAGTACAGAGCCGGCTGTACTTCATCTTCATTTGTCTCGTCCCACTGATGAACGGTAGCGCTTGCCGTGACACTGACGACGTTGATGACATCCACTGCAAAGACGACGAATGTCAGCTATCCACGCGATACACACCAGTTTGGGCGCGCAAAATTCCTTACTGTGATTGGAAGCGATGAGCTCGTTGTTGCCGTGGTAAGGCTGTCTACCCTTGATGACCCGCTTTCCTTCTGTCGTGCCTGCCGGCAGCTCGTCAGGCCAGTACATCCAGTAGACGCGCGCATACACGTGATGCTCGTCCGCAGCGCGGATTTCGAGAATCCTTGCGACCCAGTCGTCATCCGACTTCTGTCTAGGTTGACGGGACTCGCCGAGGTTTTTCTGGCGCTCAATAGTGTTGTCGTTGGCCACGAAGACGAAGCCTTCACTGTGGTACTTGACACCATTCACTATACACCAGGATGTCAGTATCAAGGCACGCAATGTCAGAGGACGGAGCAAAAAACATCGCAAGACAGATTGGGACAAAAGAGTGGTGGTGTGGGCCTGCGTACAAACGAAGCTGTTATATCTGGTCATATTCATCCACTTGGCAAACGGAGCGATCTGGTAGTGGCGGTCCATGGTGTTATCCTTGGCGTTGAACTTGCCGATCGGAGAGAATGGCGAGACCTGGAGGTGAATTTTTGGCGGAGGCGCGGGCCGATCCTCTGAACCGCCACGGCGGCGCTTTGTCTTCATCTCCTTCTCATCGGGATCCGGATGGATGACGGTGAAAGGGCACTCGGCCACATTCTCGGTGGACTCCTCCGGCCGAGGCCGCTTGCGAGCGGTGGCCATTGCTGCAGAATCGTATGTTCTTCGAACCTTGAAGATTGGCGTGCTTTTGGCAGCAGCGTTACCAGTTTGCTATGCCGATATTCGCGCGTGGGATTCAAGCGACGTGTCTGGGCCGCGTGGACGGCTGAGCAGTAGCCGAGGAACAGACGGTTAAAGCTCAGCGCAATCTCTTGGAAAGGAAAATAGAGCAAGTAGGCCCAGGCAGCAGCGGAGCGTCTGCAACAAAGCGCCGCGTTGGAGTTGCGCGCAGCCTCGGAGGGGGGGTGGCAAGTGCTGTGCGGATGGCGCAGCAGGAGCTACTACAGGATCCGCAGCTAGAGAGCTACGCTGGCGTGGCGCACGCGGCAGGGGACCCTGTCTCTATCCAGCGGCAAGAAGGAGGGATACTGCCCACGATGATATGAGACTTGCAGCAAGCAAAGAGGATGGATATCGGCTGCTATGCGCGGCGCAGGCGAGGAAAAGCTTGTAAAGGTGTGTGGGCTTGGTTGGGCGGTTGATGCGGCCCGAGGTGCTGACTGACGCGCAGACGCGGACACGCGCACGGCTTTGAACAGGAGCAAATTCGAGCTGATTCTGAGGGAGCGACGAGAGCGCAGGCGTTTTCGCGATTTGACAGGCGCGAAGATTGACACGGAGCGGCGCGCGGCGGTGACGCTCGCGTGCAGCGGCTACTCTAGTGGACAAGGGCGTGGGCCGGTGGCCGGCGTGGCGCGTGGAATCAGCTCGTGCTTGGGTAGGTGGGCAGGCAGCACCATCTAGCAACTCGACAAGCTGCAGCTCGTCAGAATGGGCTGGCCACTGTCCTTCTCGTTACGGGCACCAGCCAGCACAACACCACCCCCTCCGAAATCCTGGTGGCGGGGGTGAATCGTGTCAGCCAAGCCCAGCCGCCTCTGCTTTGTGTGTTCCCCCGCCATGCTGGGCACCACCACAGCGACCTAAAGTCAGATTCTCCATTAAGGCACCCCCAAATGCAGAAGATTACGCGCGAGTATTATACTTACGCGCCAATCCCTCTGGACCTGTAATGCGATACGCAGAGGCCTAATTCGTGACAACGCGAGATCCCCCGATGATCATTACCAGGCCCTTCTGGATCCTGGACAGAGCTGGCATGCAGACCAGCTACGCGCTGGAGCTCGGCCATGTCCGGCCCCACTCCGCATATTCGGTCACCACTTTTGCCGCCATCTTGGCCTCACAGTCTTGACCTCCACCGCCGCCATCCGGCCCCGGCTCCGCCCTTGCATGCGTGGTAGCTTGCCCCGCTGCCGGCGTTCCTACGACCCAGTACCGCGTGCGGTGCATTGCCGACGAGAACGACTGTAGTCGCACTTCTTTCCAATACGTGTGGCCTATGCCTGCCGAACAGTCCTTTTGGCCGGGATCATGGCTGACCGCCTCTCTCGCCCGGTGCTTCTGAATCTCTTCCCGCCTTCTTGTCACGAATCAGCACGCTATACAGCAGAATCCGGAGTAGACCTGCAGCTCCGTGATAGTTGGACTGCCGCCCACCGGGGGCTCTGCCTCGTATGGGTCCACGTGCCTTTGGAAGCCTTCTGCTGCTGCTGCCGCTGCTGATTTGACCGCCCGTAGCTGGCCACCCTTGAGCCGGTGCCTCGTAGAACCCAGACCACCCTTGCATATGGAGCGAGCCATTCTCCACACGCTCGCAGACCAGATGCTTGGCCATCGTTTGCAGGCAACGTCTCGCTGATCACGGTGGGCCCGCTTTCTCAGTCTCCCGCCCACCTCCGTTCAGGACACCAGCTAGATGTCGCTCGAATAGAGAGTCCAGTAGTGGATTTCTATGGAATTCAAAGAACACCAATGAGTTTAGAAAACCCAAAGCTATCGTATATTATGATGGGAGGAGGATGCCGTGAAGGCCCTTTTTAATAGGTAGGTGCACGAAGGCGTACTCAAGGACGACCTCTTCCTTTTGGAAAGCCCCACTCTGCCGGGGTCCTCACGTCGTGTGTTGGGCGGTCACGATAGCCCAATTACAGACATGATCCAGCGTGTTCTATCTTTCAACCATATCCATCGCGTGCATCACTTTGAGGCGGCAGCTTGAGATTTGGTCAGTGCGCCTCTTTCCATGGCATTGTATTTTCAGTCGCAGCACACTTGGCAGCGCAGCCTAAGGTCTCGTCAAATGCTGGTGACCTACTATGTATTGTACCCGGCTTTCTAAGGCGATCCATGACTCCGAAGGCACTGCAACCATACGCTCTATGGAGAGATCGAAAGTGGTCTTCTAAGGGGACATAAGATTGGCTGCTGAGAGTTGCGAAGAAGCATTCCTCCAGCGATATCAACAGTCCGACACAGGAGCACTTGCCCGGCCTCGCCAGTAGTGCTGGCTCGGATGCATCAGGGCGGTGGCTCCGAGCCCCGGGGGTCCTCACATGTTCGAATTGGTGCCCAGAAGCTCGTCCTCCTCCACTCGTCCAGGTATTCGCGGAATGAGAAGCATCAACATTACTCCAGTCTTTGTCGCCCCTGAGGGGGCATTCGCAGGGCTGCCAAGCCAATCTGGCCACATGGGGCGCGATCGTGGCCTGTAGTCCCCAAACGTACTCGACCTTGTTCTGCCTGCGTGCTTCGCCAGTAAGCCGGTCCTCAAAGTTCTGCGCGTTGTCACAGTTGGCCTCATCACCCATATCAACCTCGAGCTGCTGGATACCTAGTCCTCGAATGTGTCGACCTAGCTCGATAGCCACGTGGCGATAGTCAGCCACGCCCAGCTTCACACCAATACGCGCTGTCGTGACGGCTACATGACCGTCACCACGCCAAGACTGACGGTCATCACCAGAAGCATGAACGTCATACAGGAGGGGGTGACCACGTAACCTCAGCGATGAAGGACAAAGATGTATAGTCAAAGGATTCCCCTTACTCTAGATAGTCACCTCCTTTGTACTTCAGCGATCAATTTAAGTATCATTTTCACACACACTTGAACTGGTCACTCGATTGCCGAGACTGATATCTCTTCGAAGAGGCACGACAACGCCCAAAGAGAGAACGACAGCAGGAGTTAGTGATATTACAAAGGCTCAACCCACCTTTCCAGAACAGCAAGCTAGCGCCCTGCCAGTCGGTTGACCCCGGAGGCTGGATCGTGACACTGGGCTCCGTATGGTGAAATAGCGTGTCGGCATTCGGGGCTACAGCAGATGAGGACATTGTATGTCAGGTCGGCGTAAAGCTGTAGGTATATTAAGACGGGTCGGGATCCTTTCCGCGTTCCAGCGTGGTCGCAAAGTCGGTTAGTGACTGGTTGCGCATCGTTCTACTAGAGGCTACCCGGCTGCTGTCTGTTTTTTTGGATTTATCGGTGGATCACATTGAGTGAAAAATATGGGGGTAGAAAGAAAATTTAGGGTAAAGAGTGTTGAGTAAATTCGCGGGAAATGGGGCTAGAATAAGATAGACCTGCTACGTGCACAGACCTGTCGTTGATTATGACATGTCCAGAGAGAGAACGAGCGAGACTTCACGGTGTGCAGGGATGCTGTCGGAGATGTGTGGCGCGCGTGGGTCCCATGGATTTAGCTAAAAAGCGCCCTGGAATCAGACAGTAAGGTACTATAGTACTAAGTTCCTCAGGTATAGGTTCCTAGTACTCTTTTGTTGTCGCTTACTAGTACCCTTTTTTGTCGCCTGTTAATTTGGCGCTGAGTCTGCGATGACCGACGGCTAGCGCACCGTGCTCGGGGCGGTCTCATCCGCTGTGTTTTTCATTCTAACTAGATAGTCTTGGCGGTTCCGTAAACATCCTTTGGTCAATGTTAGGTTAGGGATACGTGACATCGTGTGACTCAGTAAAACCTTTTACGTGGAGCTAGTTCCTTTTTGCCAAGTTGGCTCGTGGGTACATATACCCAGGAACCTACGCGGCGGAGGAGTACAAATGGGTTCAGCTGAAAGTACTGGTTCTTATTAAAATGCAAAACCATGTCACGCAAGCTTTTCAAGAGCTTGTTGCAAAGGATTGGACTGAGATCCACGAGTTGGCAAGCTTTAAAAAAGAACGAGATCAGGCCTTGAGAAGGGCCAGTTAATTACCGCTGGAATCTCTGTTGCTGAAGCTTAGAGCTTTTGCCGAGAATCAAGATGTAAAGAAACTGATCGAGGCTGAAGTTGGGATAGATCAGATCAACTTGCGGGCATTTTTCACGCTCGTTACTAAGCACATTGCGAGAGAATACGCCAAAATCAGCATTGAGGACGCGAAGGCATACTACGCCCTTGCATCGCTAATCAAACTCTGGATTCGTTCGTGCATCAATGGTCAATGGGAACAAATAGGAGTTCAACCATGGGAACAAACAGAGTTTCAAGTATCGCAAAACTTCCGGTTTCTACAGGTTATGGACTCAATTGGAAAAAGCAGGCTGCACAAGATTAAGCGACTTGAAGCTCACACGTGTATGAAACACTTGACCGGCGAACTAACTGAGATAAAATGGTCCGGCATTAAAACACTTCACCCTCTTTGGAAGACTTTCAAAAAGTACCGCCGGAATCTGGCTCGGGAGGAGTTGGATCCGGATGAATTGTCCAAAAGACTCGATGACATAATCAGAAAATGGAAAGTGGGAAATAGAAAGAACAAATTCGAAGAGATGCGCCACAAAACGAGCCAACCCTATCTACAGCTTGCAGCTCTCGTAGGTAGATTCATACTCGAGCAGACCGGGGCTACTGAGGCCGAACGCCTCCTGCCACTGGCCCAAGCGGTGAATAAAGTTAGCCGTAACTCCTGGGCGATAAAAGACTTTATCTTGTCTCTCCAATCGAAGAGCGCTACGGAGATAATCAAAGAGAGCGTTCCGAAGACTAAAGGAACTGCGAGCAAAATGAGTCCTATGAGGCTCAATGTTGTACCAAGAGCTAAGACGGGCACGAAGACGAAGAGGGTGAAGAGCCTTGCCAAACAAGAAGGACATCAAAGCAAGGTCACGGATAATCGATAACTTATAGAAGAGGAGCTACGTGGGTACGAATACTATTTGAAAACCGCGTTGTCTGAGTTCCTGGACAATATAGTCCAAAATGAACTCTATACCGTGGGGATCTGGCCAAAAGTTAAAAACGGGAGCTTCGTGGCTTCCGAAACTTTGATGGCCTTCCGCGAACTTATACGTTTGGAAATCAAGAAAGAAGCCAAATACACAGACGAAGAATCCATAGCAAGACTCCGTACAGATCTTCGACCTGGAGTCGTATTCCGCGGCCACTCCAAAGCATGCGAGAAAATCCCGAACAATATACATAAACTAATAATTCGGGCCCGGACGAGATTCCCCAAGGTTACGAAATTATCTCCTTGAGCCTAGCTAGTCACTCTCTTTGTGCTTCAGCTAGAGTTCTAAGCATCATTTCTACCAACATTTGAACTAGTATCCGATTGCCAGAAGTGACATCTCTACCGAAGAGACACGAGCCCCTGTAAATACGACAAGTCGAGAGCGTAGAACTTCCACCCCAGCGCCAAGCCAGACGGGTGACCCCGGAGGCTGGATGATGAACCCTGCCCCACCCCAAAGTAGGCCAAGGCCCAGAGTAGCTCGAGGTCCTTAGTGATGTGTGCCGCCTATGTAACCTGCTACTGTACGGTGCTAGGCCTCTTGCTCTAAAGCCTGAATGGATGTTCGACTTTGTTATCATAGTGTCGTTCGCCTTTTGAAAGGCTCGGAGGAAGTCCTCCTGTAAGATATGTGTGATATGAGTGCTCTCGATCTCTTTACCATACACCCGTCTAAGAGGGCTAAAGCGCCCGACTGTATGACGAATGGGTAAGCATATAGAGCATAATAATATCCTACTCCTTATAATATAGATCGAGATTGACAGGATGGTGGCTCTGTTAACCGTTGAGGATAAGGAGGCGGGAGGTCCCTTTCGTATAACTCTTCATACCGTAATTGAAGTACTTTACCTATTCTAGACTTCTCTCGTTCTTCGTCCTACCGTTTTCTGAAAGCGCGATCACCTAGTCGGGCAGTAGAGGGGTATTCGTGGTCTACGAGTCGAGATAGACCACGCCCGCGAAGAAGATATACGACGGGATCGAATAGCAGTGCGACGCGATGCCCTGGATTACAGTAACCTATTCCCAGTTCCCTTGTTTACACGACGTTTGGCCTCCAGCGGCGATAGTAGATCGTAACGACCGTTTCCGCAGAGATTTTGTCTATCGCGAAACCCGTCTCGTCGAAGCTGTAGACCTGGGCTCGGCAGTCCCTTCAATCTACTACTTCGACTCTCAATTGCACCAAACGCTCTCAAATTGGTTGACTCCATTGACGCATCTGTCATGATATTCACCAGCACTTTTCCCTTGGCAGTCTTTGCCAGTACCTATAGGATGTGCAAGCAAAATCAGCGGCGGAGTATTTTTCGAGCCAGGCGACTACGTTAGCCGAGCAGGTTGCGGTGTGCTCGTGATCCCAGCACTCTAAGGACTACATGGTGAAGTCGACATCGTACTTGGTGCAGCCGTAGTCCGTTTTATATTGAATGTCGATTGGCATGTAATTTTCAATGAACTTGACACCGTGCGCCGTAACGATTGACAACCCTGGTATTGGAATAGAAGCAGGACCGAGAGGGTCCGGAACAGACTCAGGGTCTGGATAGAGTAAGTAAGCAGTATCTTGGCGTCCTCAAGTACACCACGACATTGCCGATCATGCCGATTTAAAATCCTCGATTCTCTTTGTTCTTCGTCTGGTACGTTAGTGGCGCTCAAGCCAGACTGTGGATGCCGTACGACGAGGGGGGCGACACCCATCTGGGGTGCACTGGCCGATCAGTCTCTGGGACTGGCAGTCAATCAGGAACCAAGTCACAGCGAGAGATCTCTATGAATTGTGATTGTGGAGGAAAGGGGTGTTTAGTCATAAACCCCTCATCATCCAACAAGAATTAACGTCAGATTTTCGCCGTTCTGCCATATAGCGGAATCGAGCTTCTCGTACGCGCGGAATGACACGGCGAGGCTGCTCAGAATGCTTCTACAGACCTTGCCTGAGTTGGATATCCGGAACCACTTCCGTAATGCAAAAACTTACATGGGTGGAGCAGCATGGCCCACCCTTGGAGAAGTGGGTGTCTACTGGCAAGCAGCCACGGGATCCCTTGCTCGCTCGAGAATGAGAGCAGCCAGAAATGGAGCAGCAAAGTGCGGGCCAGCAAAGAGAAGGAGCCACCAAAAATGGAGCGCGGCTAGTGGACCCTGCATTGACGCCATTGCGGCTTCCTGATGATGGTCACTGGGTGCAGACATGGCCTTGAACCGTTGTGACAGAACAGAGCGTCCATTCAGCCATTGCCTCTGAAGTGGTATTGTCATACCGACAACCATAGTTACCCCAAGCGCCAATGTTAGTAGAACCTGCGAGTCCTCCACTTGGTCATGTGCCTTTCTTGCTCGTGAGCTGCTCTCTTTTCACAGTGGCTCACTGTCGACATTCAGCTCGTTCGTGTCCGGAGCTGGCACTTCGAAGCTTGGGCACTCCTGCTTGGCCCAATTCCGCTATCATGTGTAGCCACCCCTGTGGTTATCACTCTCCGGTGATCGTGCTCAAGTAGTCGCATGCCGAAGAGGCGCTGATGACGTTGGCCTCGAATTGCTTGGTCAGCCGGAACTATCATCAGTGTATTTACAGCGAGAGGAAGCGAAGAGAGTTTTCCAGTGTAGTCTTCCCTTGTTACCAGTTACCAGCGACCTCCCATCGCACGGTCTCCTCTCGGTGATCCCCATAATGTGTCTCGGTACTAGCATATTCCTATGGCGTCGTGGTGGCACTCACCCGAACAACATAACTTACTGGACGCTGCCCGGCTTTTGGATGACGTCGCTCGTTTCCGAGAGTGTGTGTGCAGTATTGCACCTCCTAAGGTTTGCCACAATTACTTCCGAGATGTCATTTGCAGTCTGAAACCGTGCTCGACAACAAACGTGCTATCATGACGAGCCGCGTACTGTATGGTCCGTACTGCCGACAGAGAACTAAGGCACGGCTCTGGCTGTGTGCGTCAAAGTATAGGTAAGGGAATGGCACGAGCGCCCAAGAACGAGGGAGCAAGGTTTGACGCAAGGACGATCGCCAAGCGCAGTAGGCATAGCAGCAAGTCCTGGATGGATGATGAAGACATGCACATGTAGATACAGCCCTGGCCTTAGTACTGGATCGATCTTCATTAGTAGTAAACGAGGACCAGCCCAAGCCCAGTATCAACTCCCTCTCAATACCACCCATCCCTTCATATCCTCGTCGGGCCCAGATTCATAACTTCTTGCTGCGAAGGTATCAGTATTGGACATGTCTACACAGCGGCAGTACTGTACGATTTCGAAGCTACGTTCAATAAGACGACTCTCGTTCCGATATCGAGAGCTCTTGCTTGAATCTTTGTTCTTCATTCGACATGCTGGAGGCTTATTGGACGGCAAAATAGTGGCGGACCCAACAGGATCGCTTTCTCTATTAAGAATAAATGAGATATCCATGCGTGGGTCCCTGGTCCTGCGTCTGCGGACTAAATAAAGGAGAGATGCGAGGGAACCCATTGCAGCACCTTGATGTACAATACAGGAGCTCACCAAGGGCTGGACAGCTACTTTTATACTCGAAGATCGCGAGCCACCTCCCCTTCCCATTCTGAAGCACGGTCAGTAAAGGAGCAGGCTAGAGGCAGCGCGCAAGAGCAGCTACACCAAGAATGGCGCTTTCAGACCAACTTGATCCCGCGAGTAGGGACCCCACAAGCGCCACAAATAGTTGAGAGGGCTTGCGCAAGGCGGAGCATTTATATGACGGACACAGTACTGTAGCACGCGAACCTCATAGCCATGGAAGTCTCCATCAGGATACCCAACTAGAGCTTGCTCCGGCACGCGACTCGTGCAGACCTCCAAACTAGCGCGAGTGCCACTGCCAAGATCCCCAGTACGCCTCGTGGGAGCCAATAGTTGTCTCGGTGCCATATCGCCGGAGGCTGGACCTATATGGTCTGGCCGCGCCATAGCGGCGGAGCGACAGCCCTGCTCGCGGAAGTCTTTGTGTGGGTGTATGAATGCTGCAATTGATCCCTAGCAAAGTTGTGGACATGACAATGAAGCTGAGCCGGCTGTGGAGAGCCGAAGACTTGGGATGTCGGTCATGGGTAGCTATCCCTGCGGTAAGTTGCTTGGCAAATGTGGAACCGGCTGTGCACTTGAGGTGGGACTTGGGTTCAATCAGTTCGGGGTACTCATCCGGGGTAGAAGGTCAGGGATCGGATTAAGCGTGGCTGGCGGGCCGCGGCAAGGTGTCGGCCGGACAAGCATGGCCCTTCGGGACCCGGCCCCCTTTGCGCCGAGACACCTGACCTTCTCACTTGTGGCAGTCACATCACTGCTCTTTTCAGACGAGCCCTCGATGGCCTGCAGGAACCTAGCAGCTCGAAAACTGCCTTGGCGTATATCACGTTCGGGTTGATGAGAAAAGTCACGCTTGTCCCAAATTTTCTTCGCCTTCCCAGAAGTGACGTGCCGATACTCTGGAGGTGCTTCGACCCAGCTGTGCAGTGGTGGATAAGGGCTATCGGGGATCATGTTAAACCTTGTCGCAGCGAGAAGGCAAAGGCAGGTAAGCACTATTTTGAAGGTGAGGCAATTGATGACCTGAGCACCGCTTTTGCCAGGAACTCGCCATGGAGTTGAACATGACTCAGCAGAATGGTACTCTTTGGGACCAAATCCGGTGCCCAGAACGATGCCATTCAGAGACGCACAGCCACCGGGAGAGCGAAATCCTGGGTCAGCGCCGTCTACTGTGCTTGGAATCACAGGACGAAGGGCATGCTAGCCCTGAAAACAAATGAGGTGCCCAGAACCATGCCATTAGAGACACAGGCACCGGAAGAGCGAAATCCGGGGTCAATCTGGCACCTTCTAAAAGACCTTGCATGGGTGTCCTTCGCCCTGGCTCTTATCCAGACACCCACGCACCGTTTCCCGCTCCCCTTAGCCGGATGCTCTGCGTCAACATCACAGCTCACCACGTATCGGGTAGGAGACGCCGGAGCTCTCAACGAGGAAGCGCAGCAAAGGGTGGCGTTTCATAGTGCTTGCTCCCAGCTGAACCTGCAGAGAGAGTGATCATGGCCACATGAGAAATCATCCATTGCAGTCTGCCGTAGGGCTCAGACTCGGAGACAGTATGACGACAACGGCGAGGAAAGCGCGATGAGGTTACAAGCTAATATGCTATATGTGACATCCTTGGCCTAGGTTTGAATCGTTTTCTCGAGGCGTGAGCTCCGTTCTACTATGCTCTTGACATGGTCAAGTCGTGGCAGCATGATTTCCAAGGTTCTTGAGATCGAAAGGATTCTGTTGAGCCATCTGCCGGTCTGGTTTACTAGCCAATATGCTTGGCTGTTTCCAACTCGGATGGCAGCCTTGAGGAAGCCGAAGCCGAGGTGCCGTAGTTGGGAGCGCTTCATCAAGTCGTCAAGCTTGAGACTTGCCCGAAAGAATCTGTTGACAAGGTGACTCATATTCTCGTCGTCGTTCAGGACACACTGGCCGGCAAGGCCCGAGGTTGTGGACATCTTGTAATTTGCCAAGATGTGGTAGCAACGGGCCCGATATGCACGTGTCGACACTGACGAGTTGACGGCAAGGTGGCTGCAACAACGCATTCTACCACAGCGGCCTGGGAATGATCTTCACCAACGAGATTGTCCAGGAAGGGGATGAAGTAGAGATGACGCCCGTTGTTCTTAAAACGACGGATATCGTAGTAGACCCTCTGCGCACGGCCTTCGGACACAGATCCTGAACAAGGAAGGACACGAAGCCTCCTCAATGCGACAATGCCAAAGCCTTCCTAAGGCGCTATCACGACCTCTGAGAACGTGAGGTCCGTCCTTGGTCGACATCGTTGCGCGGGCCATCAAAGTCCAGAAAATTTATCGCAGACAGCATGTGAAGCTTCCGCGTGTACACAGACAAGTGGCCTGTCCCTACTTCCTTGGCCGGGACCGCCTAGAAATGCCAGCAGAACGATTTGGCTTCAACAACTGCATGGACAAGCACCAGATATTGCCACCAGTGCAAGAAGAAGTTCGGCATTATAGCCAGCAACTGTGACAATGTTAAACGGTTCTGTCGGATCCGAGATGTAGGCATCGCCGGCGTCAAGCTCTGTTCTTCTAAGCTCAAGCTGGAGCTCTGAGCACCATCTACCTGCTCTCACAAGGTATCTAAAACGCGCCTCTTGCTGCTGGATTCCATCGAAGAGCTCCGGTAATTAGGCTACCTTCTCTGTCTCTTTGGGTTTTGGCTTGGGTCATCCTTGCTTTTCATCGCTCGTTCTCGCATACCTCATCGCACTCATTGCTTTTATCGCCCTCTCCTCTAAAGCTTTATCAATCACTGATCGACAGTTAGTCTACGTCCGAGATATGTTCGCGAGATGTACTGACCTATCATAGCCCATTCCCTGAGTTTCTCAGGCCCATGTTCATCGGACAGCGCTGCGTAATCCAAACAAGCTCATGTCGCTGTGGTAGTACCCGCATCGGATCAGCTCCGCCAGCCGTGTGCAGTTTGCTTTGGACCGGCTGTAGATCACGCCTTATTGCCTCCCGCTCATGCGGCCGGTCAGTCGGATGACATGCTTCACGACCTCGTCCTCGACTGCGCTCCGACCTGGTCCCGTGACTTGCATGACGTTATAGCTGATGTTCTTCTTGTCGGTCCTTGCTCGGATGATTTCGGCGTCCCCTACAAGCATTATCTGGCGGAACCAAGCCTCAAGCCGCACCGGTAGTGTAGCTGTCAGTAAGATGACCGGACAGCCGTACCGGTAGATACACTTCAGCTCCGTAAGCCGCTTTCGATAGCTAGCGTCCATAATTATCGTATGGCACTCGTCGACAAAGAACCGCTTGAGCAGACCCCGGCTTCGCAGCCAGTCCGTATAAGTCGAGAACTCTGTGCTATTGACCTGATCTGCACTGACGAAGACGAGCCGTGACACCCGCGGCTTCTCCTCTCGCCCGGTTGCCTGTGCTGGCTGCCACTGCTGACAGTCTAGCCCGAGACCAGCTGCACGTCTGACCAGATCGCTAATTAGTGCCACAAATGGTACTATGACGATGCTGATGCCTGCGTTCACGCCGCTCATGTATGCTGTCAACGAAGGGCATACAAAGGCGGTGCGGCTACTAATAGAAAGAGGTGCTGATATCAACTTTCGTGGTAACGTGGGAACATCATTAGCTTGTGCCTCTGAAAACGGATTCGCAGATCTTGTGCAGCTACTGCTTCACAAGGGCGCCGAGGTAGATTACCCGGATCGGGCCGGCCGGACGCCACTCTCATGGGCGTCTAGCAATCCGCACGACGAGGTAGTGCTGCTACTGCTCAACAACGGCGCTGAGGTTGATCGTGCAGATGAGACCGGTCGGACACCGATCTCATGGGCTGCCGGCATGGGATGCGAGCGGAATGTGATGCTGCTGCTCGATAGAGACGCCAGAATTGACGAAAGAGACTCCTTTGGTCGGACACCGCTCGCATGGGCTGTCTACAACAGGGCCGAAGCCGTCGTGCGGCTGCTGCTAGACAGTGGCGCAGAGCCCGACAGTAAAGACATTCATGGTCGGACGCCGACATCATTAGCTGCCGAAAAGGGATACATCAGCATTATAGATCTGCTGCTAGCGAGAGGCGTTCAGGTGGATAGCCGAGATATTGATGGAAGACTCCATTGTCATGGGCGACATCTTGGGGGCGTGACGACGTTATGCAGAAACTGCTAGATAGCGGCGCCGACATTGATAACCGCGACGAGGATGGTCGTACGCTAATAGACTTGGCCAGGATAAGTAGAAAAAGCAGCACAGCTTCGCATTGCGGCTTAGCTCCGTGCGGCAAGTATAAGCCCGATTGATTGAATATAGTAGGAAAGCTATGGAGACGAATAAAGAATTGATAATAACCAGCAAGACGAGATGTTGAAAGTACGTCTTTATCCGGGCCGCTGTCGCTTCGCGGGGCGTCCAGGTAAGCCCACCTCACTTCCTTCTGTCCCAAGAGTCTCTAACAGCTCGGGGTATTGCTGCCAACATCGAGGCTGTGTACACGAATGGCCAATAGCTTCGCCCCATTGTTCTTGAACGTTAGTAGAGTTCCCCTCTGAAAAGCTTGACGCATTCCACAATCGTGTGACTTCATTAATGAAAAATCGCCCATCGGTTGCGACTTCTGAGATGCCAATGTCGAGACGTACGCCATCCTTAAGTGAGGCAAGACCAGGTTCAAAATCGGCAAGCCTAAAAAGAATGGCAAACCACAGAGAGGCGAACTGCTTCAGTTCATGATACTTGCGCTTTTGAGCGTGCTCATCCCCAACTCCTTCCCCAAATATTTCGTGACTGAATGGACTCTGATTCATATCCGAGAATTGAACCTTGCCGGCAGAAGCGGTTGGTCTGGTGATGGTGATACTAATGATCTTACCTGGGGGAATGAGACCGTCTATAGCCTCTTGAGATAGATCACGCACCATACAGACCCGAAGTTCGCCAAATTTGACTAATGAGTCGACATACTCTTGGTGGAAGAGATGGTTCCTGGGCTGAATATCGGCATCCCATTTGTTCCCAGGGATTCGGCACTTCAGTCCCTTGCGATTGCTGACTTTAACAAGCTTGACTCCCTCTCCACTGGTGCTATGTGTCGGCTTGATAACCATGCGGCCAGCATGAGAAGGTGGCAGGTTACACGTCGCCGATAGCCCACCATCGCACGTTATGGGTCGGTATGCGAGCCAGCTCATTCCTTGGCCGTCGAATTTTGCGGCCCACTCGTCGAGGATTCTAAGATCGCCAACTTTGCTTGCCTGGAATGTTGCCTCCTCCGTGGTAGGATATGCTTTAATAAAAGCATTGTTGTCCATAAACAGTTTCATATATTCGCAATATTCATCGAAAGAGGGCCCCTCCGGCACCAGGATGGGCGTTGACATGCATCCGAGAAGAACGAGCTTCTTCCTCTCAGATGTGGCATCGGCAAGCTGTTCGCGAAGGTCTCGGAACAAGTCTGCACTCCATGTTAAAGTCGCCGACATCGTAAGGCACGGGTTCTTGATGGTTGCCGAGATCGCCATGATCAACGGCTCATAGACCCATACGGTCTCGTCATCGTCATGTTCTTGGTGTTTGAAATGCGGCTCGACATTTACTAGATCGAGAGCAGACGACTTTAGCCTCTTCCCCTCCTGAGACATCGGAACACCTAATGGTATAGCGGAGTCAGATCGACCCTCCTCAACCAGGGGGCCAAATGGGACTCCGAGCCAGATCATATCGACTGGAAGGGGTTTTGGCTCCGGACGAGCGGTAAGCTGGTGGTTGTGGCTGATCGTGGTTGAATATTGTATGCGGACCACCTCAAGCGAATCTAAGAGCGGAGGAAACTTGTCGACCACTCGTTGTGCGCTCCACGCAACGGGACATTGTTTATATCCGCAGACATAGAATCGGGTCCTCTCCCTCTTCTCCTTCGTTCTGGCCTTGTATCCATGTCGGCTGGCAAACACTGACACGATCCGTTCTAAATCTTCGAATGAAGGAAATGTCCAACCGCATGGTGGGGCGCCGTCACTTTTATAGTCGATCTTAGCCCGGCCCGGGGCAAAATACTTCATAGCCTCCATAGGCAGTGATAACACGGAGAATGAAGACGCAAAGATGATTGAGAGACGTCGCTTTGGCCAAAAGGGGGTTCGCGAAATGCGGGGCGCTGGGGAAGTTTTCCACGAGCGTGGAAGCTTTTCCATGGGCGTGGAAATTTCTCCACAGGCGTGGAAGCTTTTCCACGGGCGTGGAAATTTCTCCACAGGCGTGGAAGCTTTTCCACGGGCGTGGAAATTTTTCCACAGCCGTGCCTAAAGTCGCGTGAGTAGCGGTCCCAACCACCCCAACACCGCATTTAAGATTACTGTACTACAAACAAACCGCTCCAGCTGGGCGAGACGAAGGGTGGAGTCAGATGCTGGGGTCTAGCCGACAGAACGTAAACAAACAATTGGCTTGGCGTCCGTTGGCTTTCTAACGGGATCAACGGGGACCTGGGCCAGATACGTAATAGCACCGCGAAAAATGGCAGACAGGTTCGAAAAACCTTAGAAATAAAGACGTGCCATCATGATCATCATCCTTCCGATTGGGCTTGGCATAATTGTGCACGATGCGTGCTGCGCGATGGCCTGTCAAAGACCTGACGAATGTTAAGCCGCGTTGCCCCACCCCACTTGCCACTTTAGGGAGGAGGAGCTAGCAGGACATGGTGGATGTTGTACACATGCGACAGAGCCGCCCCCGCCCCAGTGCTGAAACAGGACTCCACCACAACAGCGGTGAGCTCCCTCGGTATTCGGTCACGGGGCATCCCACAAGCTCAGCACGTCGGACTGGCTGGGCTTGTGGGCCGTCGTCTTCGGCCCAAAAGAAAAACAAAAAAAACAATTATCTACGGCTTGTTCGGGGTGGGACATCGGCCACAGCGCACCAGGCGGAACGCCGCTCCGCGTCCCTGCTGCAGGAGAGGACGTGGTTCGACGCGGACTTAAACTTGCATGAACAGAGGGGCAACAATATGTAGGAAGTTGTATTACATACCAAGTGGGAAGAGCGCCTGGTAGCGGCTTACTCCTTGCCGCCAGATGGTAGGGGAGGCAATTAGCTAAGCTTCGTCTCGCTAGATCAGGTCACACATATTGCTGGCTGAGACAAGCAAGGTTCGGGCAAATTCTTGACAGGAAGTGTAACTAAACGAGAGATACATTGACCAGCTTTATGTACATACAAATGTCGATTCGCCTACGAATGGCCCGCACCTACACTGCCAGACACTATGTCTCACCTTCCCAGACCGCGGCGAGGAGGTTCCGTAGGGCAAGAAATCTATGGGTACCCTTGACATTGTTTTACGAATGTCCTTCCCATACACATAAGACATTCTTGTAGAGAGTATGAGCCGGGAATCACCGCACCCCGCAACTCACTTGCGACATTACAGAAGGTCCGCTATCCACTTGATTTCTTCGTAATGGTGACCAGGAAGGGAATCGAGCGGCTCCGCCCAGGGGATTCCGAACCGACGACGCCACGTTGCAGAGACTGCCGCAGCCACCATCTGGCTCGCAGAGCAAGAGAAGAAAGACGGCTCCACCAGTGCAGCCCGGAGGACACGCAAGACTTCGAAGCGTATGTATTGCTCCAAGGGGGTGCGCGAATCGGGAGGATACACAAAGTCGAGGAAGTGGATTGGGGTTGAGCCGTTGACGCAGTGGCCAATGCGGTGCAGGATGCTCGCCCGTGTGCTGAGAATGCTGTCCATGGAGAGCTGGCGATCTGTATCCATGACTGCGGTCTCCAGCATCGCCTCAACGATGGCTCTGTGGACTGCGGTGAGGCCGAGTGCCATGTCAAGACATGCGCTGCCGACCTTCGCGTAGAGCACCTCCCTGGTCGGCTCAAAAATGGCCCATTTTTCAGGTTTGAGGATGGCACGGAGAGCAATGTTGACTGCGGCGAAGACGACTTTGTGCTCGAAGCGGAAGCGCTCGTCGAGCGACAAGATGTAGTGGATAACGCCTTCACAGAGCTCTTGCAAGAGATCCTTGGTATCTGTATCCCAGTCCTCCTAGGCTGCCGGGACGCAGAGCTGGTTCTCGTGCATCGCTGCGTTGATCATGAGACCTGCGGACGCGCCGATTAGACCTTGCGCTTTTGCTTGGTGTCAATCATTCAGGTGACGGGTGTGACGGCTGCAATCGTCGGAGCCGGCCTCAGGGCCAAGTTGGGAAAACAACTCGTCCATGTGTACGTTCTTCTGGCGGGTCTTCCTTGCCACTTGGTGAGATGGCGACTGCCTCTGCCCAGAGACTTTGTAGACTAAGCATGTTTGGCTTGGTCTCTGTCCACTAAGAAAGAAGAGGTGCTGGCGGAGTCAGCAGACGAATGCAGACTCAACGATTCAGAATCGCCCTGTCTGGTGTATTGGCAGGTGCTGGAGGCGGTCTCGAATGGTACGCTTACCTCGGTGCTGGCTCGTGCACCCGTGAAGCAGATCGGGGTTGATGATGATGGAGAAAAGAGTGATGGCCTGGTGATGGCTGCCGGGGAAGTGCGGTCTTTAGCACCTAGTGACAAGGTGCATTGACGGCGGATGCCTGACAGCCAGCGACGCTGGGTGCCTGGCAGCCCTCAAAGTGGGTCCGCTTCAACCCCTTTGCACCACATAACGCCACCTAGTCACCCGTGGAGCTCGCACTGCAAGTGCTCCCGCTCTCCTGGAGATATGTCCCCCCGGGGTGCTCTGCTTATTAGCCAGCATGAAGGAGCCGAAGCATCGCAGGGACGCTTGTCCTGATAATTCAAGGGGTAGCTGACCGCATTGTGGCGGCCCGAGGCTTCGCCAGGTGGCCGCACAGACTCACCAAACATGGCTGGAGGGAGGTTTGGCTGCCTTCAGCGGACGCAAGCATGACGGCAAGCAGGAGCTGAGTATCCCCGCCTGCAACGAACATTCGCGAGTAGCGGGTAGGTGGCCTTTGCATGTCAGGACACTTCCAGGGTCATTGCCACCGCGCAAGCTCAAAAGAGGGCAAGCATGAGGGCGCACAATCAGACCTTCACCAGGGGGCCTCAGGACCAGTCCTAGGCCAAGCCCTCAGAGCAGACGGGCAGTTTCATTATGGCCACCTGAAGCCGACAATGAACCGTAATTTTCAATACGAGGCTGCATTCCTCTGAGCCGATGATATGACTTTCCTGGGAGTTCTTTTTGCACGCACTCTTTGCATTCTCAAACAAAGCATCGACAGTCTGGGCAGCGCCAACCAAGTGCTGTGCATGGCTCATGACCCAGACCGCGATTGCACCCTGGCGACCGACCCGCCGGGCGACACTGCCTCGACCAACTTACATGTTGAGCCGGTAAGCAAGAACCGAAGGAAGCCATGGGCCGCCGCGGTCGCTGCGCTGTGGCGGGCTCGTGGCGACAACCCAGTCCGGCATCCGAGGGAGGTTTCGTTTGTTCCAACGTGCCGCCTTACGACCGCTGTGCGACCCATGCCCTGTGACTCCGATGCGCAGTCACGCAAAGCCCATTCGCGTAGCTACTGCAGCGTGTTTGCTATATCGCACCATAATGCTCGGCCGCCTAGGACTCGGCTCGCTTTTTAAACCCGTTGCAGCACCGGTCTGCCCGAGCTCCGGGTCGCTGAATGTAAAAGTTTTGAGGGTGCCGTCGCTGACAATGTGCGCCGGGCCAAAGCAGCTGTGCCATCTTTAATGGTTGCCATGCAACGCGCTCGCCAGCAGCCGAATGAATGTCCCCGCCCCGTACTCGATTAGAAACCAAAGCGATCATCACTGGTCACACGTTCATTGCATGGCCCTCTCGAGAGGTCATCGTCGGGGTTCTTACAGAGCACGAGCCTCAGGGCGGTGCGGCCGCCCAGCTCCTTTTCACCAATTTCGGGGGATTGTGTCGAGCCTAGCAGGCAGACTCGGCGCACGCACAAGGGGGCTGCACACATACGCGCCGACTGCTGGACGGCTGCCTATCTCTTGATAGATTTCTGCTGGTAAAACTCGAGGTTGCCTTCCCCGTCTTGATTCCCGTCTTGATTCTAGGACTCAGTTCCCGGTGTACATCGTCCTCGTGCCATACCGTGTCCAGGCATGCATAACGAGTCCCAAAGGACTCAGCTCTGCGGTCATCAGAAGGAGGAACAGCGAGGAGGACGAGTAGTCTGTCAATGTCGGCATAGTGATTCATGCTTCCACGCTTTGCTTTCTTGCCTGCTGATCGCCATATTTCTGTGACTGCCAGATAGTTTTCGAGGTACATGTTCTTCCTCTGAGGCCTTGTAACCGAACAAAATCCTACCCGACATGATATTCTGCCATTTCCGGAGCAGGATATGACCCTGGCGTTGAGTCATCTCCTCCAAACCAGCTCGACAACTTCGTCAGGCACTCCACGGTCTTCAACTCCTTTCCACACATACAGCTGTCTCATGAGATCTGCCCTGACTTCCGTGTATTTGAGGTAGTACGTTTTGTGATCACTGTCGGGCACCCTGTCGCGCGGCGGCCCCATGCTGTACTCGTACTTCGGGTCCTCGCCTGCATAGACGTTGCCCCATGTTCGCTCTATCTTGTTCAGATCGAGCGAATCCACACCCTTTGGGTACACGGTGATCGAGTAGCCATTACTAAGGACAGTATCGTTGCCAAAGATGAATCGTTGAAGGAAGCAGTTCCTGTGGCACAAGCTCGCTTAGTCAGCATACACGTTGCTGGGACCCCGGTGCTTCACGAGAATGAATTACCCGCAAAAGTTCGTCGCCTGCGCCATGGAAACTACAGGTTCGCTGTACCAGCTTTTCCTGTGGCGCAAGTTCAAAGGCTCAACGCCAGATTCGAAGAAGCCGCGCAGGTCGCCCAGCAAATCGTGTTGATATCTTTATCGAGGAGGTTAGACTCTTATCACAAGACATCAATGATGGGGTGGAAGGACTTACAGATCTGGCAGTACGGTCAGACGCGCCCTACTGTGGCGGTAGACACAGTCACGGATGATGATGTCTCCCAGCTGAGGCGGGGACTCCTCGATGCACTGGAGGGCCTGGTCCAGGTTCCCGATCTTCCTGGCCAGATGTGCAGAGAGATATACGCCAGCACCGCCATAAGCCATGAGACCGAATCGGGTGAGAGAGCCCCAGTCCTCCGTCAGCCCGCCAACATAAAGGTCTTTGTTTTCGTGATCAAGAGAGCTGAGTGCCGTGGATAAAGGCTCCAGGTGCGGAAAGAACGTGTCGTCGTCAAGCAGAGCGAACCACTTTGTCTCTGGCCCGCTTTCGGCGAGCATCTTGCTGAGAACTGCAAAATGTGATTGAGACATGGAATGGTTGCTGGCGATGGGCGGTATGAAGATGGCGTTGATCTTGAGGCTGTGAAACTGTGCAAGCAGGTCGGCGACTTCGTCCTCATGCCCATGTAGTCTTCGATCACCACGACGAGGAGTGTGCCCCGGTCAGACGTCCAATGAGCAATCGAGTCGACGCTCTGACTTAGACGAACCAAAGACGTGGCCATACCGAATGCCAGGTCTTCAGCTTTGGCTGATCGTGGGTATGCATTTTCGAATGGTAGGAGAATCGCATCGCACGGCTCTATCTGCAGAGATCCGGGTTGATCTAGCCTTGCCTCGATGGACTCCGCGACGAGCCGTAGGGCAACCCTCGTGACACTTCTTCTGTCGACAGGTAGATTGCGAGAAAGCTGGACACAGCTTTGTGTGTATTTGAACGTTGACGAGAGCCTGATATGTCCGCCTTTACCCGCTCGACGCACAAATCCGAGGGTTGCAAGATCTGTCCTTGTTACGTCAGACTCGCTAGCCGAAAGAATGTAACCCCGTCTGTTCCACGGTACATCAGCCAAAGGTGACCCAGAATCAGTAACGAGACAATTGTGTCCACGATGCGTGTGATGTGCATTTCTTGTATTCTTGGTGGGGTAAGGCTTATTAAGTTCAATCGTTTTTAGCGAACACGAGTCAAACTGTAGTACAATGGCAGGCCCATGTTAGATAAGTCACGAGCCAGTGCATTTGCTTGATAAGATGCAAAAATCAAGCATCACCTGGTGACAGCAACTAGCAAGCATCATGGCTCATGGCTGAGTGAGGAGCCTGGGGGATCTGTTTGTTTCTATAGTCTCTGCCGGCTACACGGGACCGGCATTCGCCTTTACACGTTTAAGAAATGCTCAAAATGATGCGCTGGGGAAGGGGTCCCCGTCTCCTTGTTTGACTAACCTGAGTTATCTGCAACCAAGCCGCATTCCTATCTAACCTTGGGAATTGCACGTGTACAGTACTGTATTTGCAAAAGCTTCTGCATGGTTATCTTACTCGAAGCATCCCTGTCTAGCTCTGTTTGTGGTGCAAAGTCAAGTACAGTGTTTGTGGAGTGTCTTTCAGGCATGCAGAGGGAAGGCGGCCGATCTTGTAGATTCTAGGGAATTGAATTGTTAGACCTATCACCCGCAAGGGGAGGGCGCCTATTAGAATAAAGTAGCTCTAACAAACACTCACGCCTACGACGTCTCAGTACATATAAGGCCAGCTTAAACGCCAGGTGTACTTGCATTTCAGTGACCGCCCAGCAAAACTAGGAACTACTAGTATCGTGCGGCCTCTTCCGAAATCAGCAGCCATGGCTTCAAATCAGGCAGGGCACTCCAAGAAGTCGCGAAAGAAGTTTCTGGTCTTTGTTGATTGTCCCGACCCTGATAACTAGTTCATGGTTCTCTCCATCATTCGGCGTAACCCACGTCGACGTGTTTGTGTCATTCTCTCGCCTCGACCCGTCGACCTCACTGTTAAGAATTATGGTGGTCATTTCACTGAAGTGTACAACGCCGTTTCGGAGTACACTAAGCGACCGAATGGAGAGGTCGATCACAACGAAGTCATAAGACGCATGTTAACACCGTTTACCGAAAAGCCGAAAAGGGTTACGGAAATCAGGCAAGACATCGCGGAGAAGTGGTTCAGCAAGCCAGACCGACTTTTTGAGGCCGATGGCAGCCATTTTAAGTCCATTGCAAGTACCTATATCAGGCTCATTGCGCACTATTGGAGGACCCTTCTGGACGATCTCGACATACCTCGAGATCGCTACCAGTTCTATTCAGACGAAGATTCAATGAAGAATATATCACCAGGAATGAGACACCAGGGCCACAAACCTGATTACATATGGGCATTTCGAGAAGAAGATGAGAGTGTTACGGCTCTGAAGAAGCGGCTCGACGAAGCCTTGGAGTCAAACGATGGCGAAGAGCGCGAAAGGCTCATACTCGGGGTGTGGAACGACTACATTCAGATGAAAGATGGCAAACGACGAGCTTCCGATCAGGCCGACATCGTCCTCCCATTTGATCAGCTCATAGAGGAGGAAAACGCCCTGCGTTGAGAGAAACGAACTGCAGCCGAGAAAAGTAAGCTGAAGAAAGCTCTCCACTAGTCTACGGTCTGCTTCGTAGAAAGGATGCAGGCCCGCGCGCGGCCATAGGCGGACCCTTCACCGAAGCTCTCAAGTGGGTTGAGAACGATCTGCCCATGGAGAGAGCCACAACTATGGCTTGCTACATTTACGGCCATCTCAACATCTTGACCAATCAGTTCAACGTTGCTGTCGACATGTATTCGGCATGGAGATTCCTGAAGCTTGTTGAAGAGAAAAAAATACACACCGTCCTGGTGCCGACGGAGATTATTAAGGAGAAAGAATGGCGAAACAACAAACTTGCCAAGGCCTTCGAGAACTATCCAAGACTCTCTGAACTAGTGCGTGGCTTCACGAAGAGCGGCGAACTGCAGGATGCCACTATGTTCGACTGGAATACAGCTCTCATCGATAGCTGTCCCGGTCTCTTGAAGACCAAGCGTGTACGCCCCGTTCTGAGAATGATGCGGGAGGTCGGGGCAGGGAAAGATCCAGAGGAGGTCGATTTCGAAGGAAGCTTGGAGGCAAGCCCGAAGCCCCCTACCGTAATGTTGAGGGTTGAAGTAGTGAGATCCAGGGGGCCACACTACCTGACAATGTGTTGGACCGAGAAGGGTTTCAACGGAAGGATCTTGAAGAAGTACCATGATAAGATCCCGAAGATGATGACCGAAGATCTGACAGGTAGGAAGAAATCATTCTGGGGCAGCATCATGCGATTCACCCTTCCTCAACAGTATTCTAGACTATGACCATGGAGCTCCGTTTGCGGCATGCCTGCTGGAGGGACCTGTCCTCGATCCATGCTCAATAGGAACATTGTAGCACCTTCCTGTAGATCTAGCAAGAGTATATAGCTTGGTGATACAATGGCTCAGTGTTAGGAAGTCGGGTGGCAGATACGTGCTATCCCAGACCTCTATTCCGATCGGAGTCGTACGGATCGACACTGCATATAATATCACCGTCAATGTTGCTCGCATGACCAAAACAACCCCGACCTTTTACGTCCAAGGCTAGCTCGATTTTCCAACTCTATGTTTTAGCTTCGATGAACTCATTTGCGTCCTTTTCTTTCCACCTTCACATCTAGATTATCACGCAAAGGGTCGTTCGTCATTAGAGAAGTGCTCCTTTGAGCTCCCACCCTTGTGCGCGAGAAGAAATCTGCAAGTAAAATTACTTCGCACGCTAGGAGCATCCTGACCCAGCAGGATCAGCCATCATCCCTTTCCCCGGAGCCTCCAACGTTGTGAATCAATAAGTTTCGTAAATACTTCGGCCTCCTCCCGGGCGATTGCCGCATGGCCCATCAGGAACATCTGAGCATCGGGATCAGCAAGAACTTGGCCGAGTGCACGGATGCGCGCAGAGGGCAATCTCTGATGCAGCTCTGACACAAGCGCCCGGCGCATGAGCGATTCGAAGGGGTGATAAACAGTTGCGATCGTTAGGGCCGCCTGTAATAGCTCGTCGTCTTTGATTGGACTGTTGTGCTCTCTAGTCGTCAAACCGTATCTTGAATCAATCACCCGAGTTAGGCCGAAAGAGATTGCAGCGGCATCCAGGTAAGACTTCTCCACGTCCCTGCCTCGAAACTCGCCCACATACCATTGCAATGCTGTAAGCGATAGATTGCGCAACCATATACTGGAAAGCTTTCCGTTCATGCCGTGGGCCCTCCATGCACGCCCTACAGCTTGGAATTTAGTGTCCTGCGCCGACACAAGGACGCTGTCCTGAACCCAATCGGCCAGTCGGTAGATCCAGTTTTGCGTCCACGACTGCATGACCTCTGCGACTAGTCGAGCCTTCTGCACCGCGTATTTAGAGATAGATGCTCCGTATTCCTCGGCGAACCATTCGGCAACTGGCCGATTGTGGGAAACGGCGTGCTCAAAGACAGCCTGTCCAAGGAGATCTTTGGCGAGCGGGTCTGCACCGAGTCTCAGCAGACATTTGACAATCCTTATATTGCCAGACTTGACTGCAATGTGAAGTGCTGTACCGCCCACGCCGAGAGCGTTAATGTCGAGCTTAGCTTCCACGACAAGGAACTCGATGATTGCTTCCCGACTTTCTGCAATCTCGGACTCTACAGCATATCCGATGAGCAGTCTCCCGGCGAGGTCGGCGTTTGGGAGGGTCCTGGCGTCTGAAATCAGGCGGAGGATGTCCAAGAATCCTCGAGATATGGCGCTGGCAGCTAGCAGCAACCCATTGTGGCAGGTGGGCGCTCCCTTTTCCAGCAGATACCGCACCACCTCTTGGCGACCACAGTTGACTGCCGTGAGAATTGGCAATGGCCGTAGCATTGGAGACACAATGTTAACGCCGCGGTTGTGGAGAAACTCCAGCACATTGATATGTCCACCAAAGGCAGCGACAGATGCGGTGGTGTAGTCGCCGATCGCCCAGTCCAGCTGTTCCGAGAAGTTTGCGCACAGATACTTGAGCAAGTCGACATCTCCCCGCACAGCAGCGCACACTGCCGATTTTGCGAGCAGATGTGCGGTTGGTGGTTCGGCAAGATTGTGCAAGGTAGTGGCGAATCGCTGGCAGGAGCCAAACCGCGCCTGCGCGAGAGCGACATCCGGCGGGAAAGGCCCAAGGGCCGAGAGGCGCTCATAGTATGCGTCGGCTTCCTCGATGCGGGTCTGAATCATAAGGGCAAGGGCTGCAGTCTCCAGCCAGGCAGGCGTACTTTTAGCCCGACTCCTTCGTATGCTAATAAGGACAAAAGCGGCAAAGTGATCGTTATCGTTGTCTGTGGGCGCTGGCACTTGGTTATACATAACTCGCAAAAGAAATTTGATATCCTTCTCAGTGTCGAACGCATCGCAGCCGTATAGTTGTTCTTCAATCGCAAGTTCGCGAAACGGCAACCCTGATTGAACTTGGCGGTGAGAGATACCAGGGCCATATACGCCCCTGAATGCAGCTTTCGCGGCATCTCTCAGATCACGAGAGGCCTTCTCTACCTGCGTCAAGGATCTGGCATCGAGGTATCCAAGAATGCAAAGGAGCAGCTCTCGGGGTAACAGCATGAGCTGACTTGGTGGCAAGTCAAGAGATTGACTGTCGTTCATTATGGCAAGGTAGAACCGACCAATTAGTCGGTCCGCGACAACAAGCAAGGGATGAGCGGATGGATAGAATGCATTTCAAAGATTTACATTGTACTAAAGGTTACGACTCCGTCTGATAAGAAGGGTCAATGACTCCAAGTAAAAGGCAGAACGGGAGGCCCAAGATTCACGTGCTCATAAGGTAGCGGAATAGCAGACACACGGAACGCCCGTATTGCACGTTCTTGGCCAGCGCTAAGATAGCTAGAAGCGATTTGTGTCTGAAATCCGGTATGTTTGACCAAAGTGTTGTGTTTGATCAACACGCATGTTTGTTGTGTTGGATGAACCCCACATTCGTGCATAGCACGGGACTGGGACTCCCCCGACGGCCTCTTCCGTCTTTGCCGGCGACTTTCCCGTAAGTATTGACGAGGAGACCTATATGGATGCTTGTATATCTGAGATCTTCGGCTTTCTGTGGACAGGCTATGTGGCGGCTTGGAAGGCAGCAGCTCTCGTCAAATCAGACGGCCTGGGATGCTCGTTAACTGGATGACGTAAAAAGTGGTGGATTCATACCTGCAGCTACAACCAACTTGGCGACAATTGACACCATAATTTACAAGACTCAGGCTGAGTACGGCCTGGTTGTGATTGGCGTGCTTCGCTTGGAGGGGTTACTCCACCGGCGCTGTAGCGCTGACACCACTACAGGGCTTGACAGTGTTAAGGATCAGAGCTGGGAGGGTAGGGTGTGGGCACTAGTTGCGGCTGCCCCTCGCACCATATCGAGGTGTGGGCCTAAATGTTTGTTACACAAAATTCAGGTCTTTGCAATGCCACCCTTCAGAGTCTCCCTCCAAACATAACCGGTCCCTCTACAGCCACGATTGCTTGCAGACATAGGCTGGCTGCAGCCCGCGATGCGACTATGTACGAGGGCATGTATGCACTAGGTAGGTGAGTAGGTGGGGAAATGCCTTATGTCGGATATGAATGCCATCAGAACCTCTCGATTTTCAGATCGTCGACAGTCCGGTTGGTCTTGGAAAGCCCCGGCAATCAGCCAGCATACATCTCCACATACTTGCTCGCCTCTTCGACCGTCTTGACCTAGCAGGCGCGGCGCTGGGGCCAACTCCTGTCAGGGCAGCGGTCGAGTTGCTGTCCAAGAGATCGTACTACGACATTTGTACTGAGGACTGTAGTCTCGCCGGCGTGCCGTTGCCCGACAAGGACAACTTCCAGCTGCCCTTCGAGAACAACTACGTGCAGCAATGCCCGCCGATCGCCCTCACGACGCCCAGCGGCGGCATCGTCATCTCGCGGGTTTGCCTCGACTTCATAGGTCCTAACCTGTACTTCAACTTTTCGTCTTTCCCAGGTTACACTACCAAGTCTGCGACCATAGCCTGGAAGCTGAAGGGCAACCTCGCTCGACCCGAGGACCTGGAGCAACCCTCCACCAACAACGACAATCACCTGCGGGCGGGATGGGTCCGGGTTTGTCTGCAAGCTGGCCTTTACCACCATTCTAGGGGTTTCTAGTACTACCCCGATCAAGGATGTCATGGCGGGAATGTGCCCCAACGGCGACCGGGAGGGCCTCGACTTCTACGTGGCATTCTCTGGCCAAACTGAATCAGTCGAATCGAGCACTGGTGCCGTAATCACTTCTGCTTCCCGTTCATGTACGTCCCACTTCCCGGCGTCACGTCCTCGATCAGCGGCCGCATCTCATCGCCCAGCCACCGCTGCCGGCCCCGCATCTGCGCCCAGCCGGCAGGCGCGTCGCTCCACGGCGTCAGCAGGCCCAGCAGTGCCACGCCGTCCCGCCACGCCGGCAGCACCGCATTGGCCGCGCCCGTCCGCTTCACCGCGCCGACCACTGTGCCCCCGATGGTCACGCCCCCGTCGTCCACCATGTGCTGCAGCGCGGCCATGAGCTTGCTCAGGCCGGCCGCGTCCTCGACGACGCCGCGCGGCACGATGCGCGCACTGCTCTGCCAGAACGACCCCACCGGCCCGGGCGCGACAAACGTCGTCCAGTGCGCGTGGTAGCCCGGCGATGCCAGCCACTGCGCCGTGCTCGCGATGCCGACACGGTCGAGCGCGTCGACCAGAGGCTGCACCAGCGCCTGGGCTGCCAGCAGCGTCAGGCCGTGCGCCGTCAGCGGGGTCAGGTAGAACACGTCGGCGCCCAGGCTGAACGTCGCTCCGACCCCGCGGTCGACAATGGCCGGCATCAGCTCGAAGAAGACCCGCATGGCCGCCCAGAACGCGAGGGGCGAGACGGTCTTCCGGTCGATCATCAGAAACAGGCCGGCCACGGGCGCGTCCGGGTGCACTCGGACCGTCACGCTTGTCACCACGCCGTAGTTGCCGGGCCCGCCGCCGCTCAATGCCCAGTATAGATCCGGGTTGGCCACTGGAGAAGCCGTGACCGCCACGCCCTCGGCCGTGACCACTTCGAACTCGAGTGTCTGGTCCGCGCCCATGCCAAACTTGGACCCCAGCGGCGAGTGGCCACCTCAGGCGTCAAAGCCTCCGGCGACACCCACGGATGGACACCAGCCGCCGACGGCCACGAACCCGAGCGGCGCAAGGAACGCTGCAGCCTCAAAGCCTTGCACACCCGCGCCAATTTTCAGTGCAGGCCCAGTGTACAGTGCCGACTGGTAGGCCGCCACGAACTCCATCGACTTGAGGTGATGCGTCCATACCGCCAGCGCCCCGCGCGCCGTCGACCTCCCGACAAAGTCGTGCCCGGTGTTTCGGATTACGATCCGAATATTCTCAGACTTGGCAAAGCCTATCGCTGCGGCTATGTCCGATGGCCCGCTCACGTTGACGGCGTAGCTGACGAGATTGCTGAGGTCGGCACAGGACGTCTCCCGGGGCGAAACGGGTTACAGGACTGGTTGGCCCAGAATCGCTCCATCATGGACGAGGACGAGCTGTAGTGTGTCTCTGGCTCGCTGTACGACGCGCGGAGGGCTGTACAAGCCTGCTCGTCGTAGGTCGGATCATGGCAGACTGAGCCGATGGGGACTGTCGCCACCAGTCTGCCCGAGACAGTCGCATTGAGCTCGTTCCATCTCGCCTGGGAGGGCCAGCATGAATCTCCTGGCAAGCAGCGGCAGTCTGTCGCGCTCAGGCTCCGCCGGCTGGGTGGGCGTGGCCATGGGACGGCGACGAGTTGAGCAAGCACATGCGGCTGGTGGTGGTGGTGGTGGATGATGACTTGTTGGCTGCCGACATTCTCGGAGCTCTGGCTGGCCGCCAGAGCTCCGAACGTGAGGAGGAGGCGCAGATTCATTGCGGGATGCCCCGGGGACGGGAACTATCCGTTGTCCTTAGACGAGCACTCCAAGGCGGCTGCCTGCTGATAGGTGACTTTGTTATAGCTATTCGGCCTTACAGTACTGTACGCAAACCTCACCGTGAAAGCTTGAGCAGACTGCGTGAATTTCTGCGCGCGCCGAAAAGAGACCAGGTGGTTCCCCCTCGGCTGACTCGTCTGAGGGGTTGCGGAGACCCGTGTTAGTGGACCTGATGGTGGCTGTTGACGAGAACCAACAACGGACCTCCCCCTCCCAGCACACGACCGGGGTAGGACAAATCGTCCAACTTGGGATGGGACCGTGTCTCGGCTCGTGATGCTTCTTGGAGAACTTGGGGTTGGCGGGACATCCCAGTCCAGTATCAAACCGCCACTTCCTGCCAAGTCTTCAAATCAAACATGACCAACATGACTGCCCAAGTTTGTGATGATGCTGCATATCGCCGGCGTATGCCCTACAGGGTCCCGTGCTCAGTCGGGAAGCAGCACGGCCCCGGTGCGCCGCCCCGGCTGGCAGAGCCCCGTCCGTTCATGCATGACGGCCGAGTCTACTGCGGCACTAGCAGGGATGCAGGCGTCGTGAGCTTGCAGCATGAGCATGGGCACCCAGAAGTGTGTGGATCTGACAAGGCCCCGCTCGCTCTCATTGGACTTACACTTGCAGTTGTGTGTTTGTTCAGGTTTGTGCCGGTTTGTGGAGCTCATCGGCTGTAACCAATTATATTAATGCTCTGCTCGACCCAATTTACTCAGGTTCCACGTCCAAACAAACCTCCTCACCCACAGACATTCGCGAACAAACCCCCACGGGATATACTCGAGTTCCACAAACATGGATCCACAAACACACACACACAAACCTGCCCGCCTTGGTGCCCAGCGTCTTTCACCCCAGGCGAGCTTAGAACACGCCACGATTCGTTTGGCAGCTGTGACCAGTAGCATACACGTAGAATATGAATACTCCACGGCAAGACTCAGAGGGCTTTTCGACAAAGCGAAGAGTTTGCTCAATAATACAGTGGACAAGCGATGAAATTACGTCACCATCTCTGCCGGCTCAGCCTGCCCAACCCGATATAGCGAAAGTGTCGACCGGGCCTCACTATGGCGACAGTGCGTTTGTGCAATGGGTCACCATTTCCTCTCACGCGGCTGCCCCCCGAGCTGCTCCTTTATGTGCTCGAGAACCTCGATGCCAGGTCGCTGTGGTATGCCGAGAGAGTATCCCGGGCTTTGAGACATGCAGCGCATAGTGCTTTCCGGGGAGTATACGGCCCTGGTGTCCAGCACCGAGTGGCTCTATCGCCTTCACCATTGCGGGAGCTCGCAATCGAGGAGCGAGCTTCTGGGTGTTCGCGGCTGCGGCGGCCCACTCTGCTTCTGTCAGAGGGCCTTCTTGTTGATTTTGTTGTGATTGCTGGCTCTCGGCCGAGTTCTTGATGCGACGCGGGTGATACAGTCCCTAGCGAAATCGGCTTCCGCTTTTTACTCACTGTTCAATTGTCTTGGGACCCTTTTTTGGGCCTCTTGGCGCTTACACCGTGCCTGTTCCCGCGGCCAAATGTCCCCTACAGTACCTGTACTATGCTGACCTGCAGCGGCAGGATTGCTTACTAAGGCACATCGAGCGCACAAGCTAGACAGAATCAACCGAACATGTGTCTGCGTCGCACGTACTCTGCCTAAAGAAGGTCCCTTTGAAGAACAACTTGATTCAACTCGTAGATGGCAGAGCGCCAGCTAGATCATGCAGATAGATAGACAGTACAAGGGGGATAGTGACTTAAACTATCCTAGCAATTGCAGTTACTGTAAGCCTAACATGAAAGGTTGAGAGTATATCGCATTATTCCCTCCCCGAGATTCCGGCCGCTTCCCAATCGGCTAAACTACGACTACTCGCTTCTTGCCATGCGTACAGCGCAGAAAGACTGGATACCGTATGAGGGTGAGCCGGGCCAAGTGCTTTGTGCCGAAGCTGGACGCATTGGCGCATCAAGTCCAGGGCGTCGTCAAGACGGCCCTGGCCTTGCCAAGTGAAAGCGAGATTGGCCATACTGGTCAGCGTGTCGGGATGATCGGCCCCGAGCTTCGTCTTGCTCGTCTCCATCACCTCCACCTCCATCTTCTCGGCCTCCTCCCACCGGCCTTGGTTCCGGTACGTCGACGCCAGGTTGGCCATGCTGGTCAGCGTGTCGGGATGATCGGCCCCGAGCTTCGTCTTGCGAGTCTCCATCACCTCCACAAACAGCTTCTCGGCCTCCTCCCACCGGCCCTGGTTCCAGTACGTCGACGACAGGTTGGCCATGCTGGTCAGCGTCGAGGGATGCTCCGATCCCAGTAACGCTCTTCGTAGGTCTACGGCCTGCGCTTGGAACTCCTCCGTATCTCCCCATTGGCCCTGGTAGTAGAAAAGCCCCGCCGCACAATGGAGGAGAGACGCCCTCGCCAGCTTCTCCTCCCTCGACCCAGTCCCTCCCAGCTTCAGTACCGCATCCACGTGCGGAAGGTACGCCGTGCATATCAACCGGTTGTCATGGTTGCCAAACGGGTAAATATGCGACACCGTCATGAGCGCCTGACCGCCGAAGTGCCTAATCGTATCCTTCTTGACAAGCCACTTTCTGGTCACCAACTGCACGAGTCGGTGCATGTCCAGGCCATGGTCTTTCTCCTCCACGACGAAGGAAAACGCCTTCAAAACCCTAAAGCCTTGCTGAGTTGTACTTCCCCCCTTGGTCCTTTGCCCGACTGCTGCTCGCTGTAGTCGGACAAAAAGTCGGATGGAATGGCCTGCCGGTCGAAGAGGCTCATGAGCGAGAGAAGCTCGGCTGCGAAGGCATTCTGCTGCTGGATCTGATCAAACGACAGAATCCACGTCTCCGTCACTGCACGAGGAGTCTCCGAGTCTCGCCCGACCGTCTCGAATTCCTCGCTAAGCAGATCCACGAGGTGCTGGTCGCCCCCGCCCAGCAGCTGGAGGTACTTACTGACGGATACCGACTTTTCCTGCATGAAGGCGGCGGCCTGGACCAATGCAAGCGGTAGACGCTCCAGTCGAGACGAAAGGGCTGACAAGTCGTCGGCCTCAATTCCGCCCTCCTCGAGCTTCTTCTTGAGCAGCTCCTTGGATTCGCTCTCGTCCATTTCCCGGACCTCAATTGGTCGTCCACCCTTCGTGAGCCTCGAGCCAGCCTCCTTGTTCCTCGTCGTCACAACAACGGACCCGTGGGCGCATTCGGGTATGTGCCGTCCAACCCCTTCTGGCCCGCTGAAGAGCTGTGCATCGTCGGCATTATCGATCACCATCAGCCACCGGCCGCGCTCCTTCCTCTCCAGCCACCGCTTCAGCAGCGGCAGCACATCCGTCTTGGGATCGTCGTAACCAGGGATCTGGCATTCCTGTGCGATCGATACATATGACTGACGAAACCGCTCGGCGTTACTCGCGTGGACCCAGAAGACCGATACGTCCGGAGACGTCTCTTGCAGCCAGTACACGTGTGCCAATGCAATCTGCGTTTTCCTGCGCCGAGTCAGCAGAGCCTACAATCCGGCAGCGACGATGTCAATTACCCAATGCCTCCTAGGCCGTAGAGAGCGACTCGCCGGTGTTGCTTGCCACTGCTCTGAGGTTGTCCATGGCCGAGCTGGCTTTTCAGCTTTTCGAGGACGTCGGAACGTCCAACAAAGTCGGGATTCCAGGTGTACGGTACAAGAACTGCTTCCATTACCCTGGTCTAGGCAATCACATGCGTCCTACTTACAGAGCGTGCTCGAGCCACCATTTCTATCCTGTGTCGCCATCGAACCCACTGACAGATCCGTGTTGCTGCCGCGGACGCCCCTCTTTATGGCGCGCCCCGCAAGCCTGGCCAGTCTCTGGACCACCTTGTCGTATTCCGCATCGTGCTCCCCAAACTTGACCATCTCCGAGTGAGAGCGAGAGATCGGGCACATGTGTTCCGTCCCATCCTCCCATGGGCGGCAGTGGGTCGCCGAGGTCTTGGTGACCAGGAATGCCGGCGGTCCACTCATCGCCCAGTGACCATGTTCGTCCTGTTCCTTCGTCAGCCTCTGAATCTCGACCAACGCATGCTGCACGATTACCTGCTGCGCCGTGAGAGACTGGAGCGTCTCGTAGAAGCAGAACACTTCCGAGTCGCCCTTCCCGCCGAGCGCTGCGTGAAACTCTCGTCGCTGCGTGCTGAGAATCTGCGAGTTGATATGTCCGATGGACTCCACAAGGAACCGGTTGGGTTGGTCGCCCACCATCGGGATGAGCGAGCTGATGTCCACGCCATCGTGTGGCACGCCAAAGAAGACGACCCCGTACACCGCCCCGAGCAAAAGCTGGTCGTCTCTGCTCTCCGACCTTGACAGCGATATGAGGGCCTGTAAACGTTAGCAAATGCGGAAGAGAGGCACGGTCACTCGGATCGAAGCCCATACCTGCTTGATAATCAGGCCACCTAAACTATGCGCAATGACGAGGATCGGCTTGATGTATGTGCCCGCTAGCGCTAGGAGGCTCGAATGGAAAGACGCCGCGAGGTCTTCCAAGTTCTGCATGCTATTGCTCTGGGGGATGCTGGAGTTGTAGCCGTAAGTCATGACCCGTGCAATGGGACGGTCGTTGCCCTCGAGGGTGAGGTCGTAGGGGAGAGCATCTCGCAGCCACATATGCTCTCCGCCTCTCTGCTTGAATGATCCGAAGGCGTGGCCGCCAAGTCCAGAGATGGCGAGGATGCTACATTTTCGTCAACTCGCTTGTCCTGGTACTGTGTGTTTCTACTTACTCTAGCTTATGATCCTCGGACGGAGGAGAGTATAGTGTGGTGATGCCGTGGAAGTCGTCGTCAAGAGTGAGACGTAGCTGCCGGCTTGACCGTGATGGCTGGGTGGCCGCCGAAGAAGGCGGGAGAGGGATTGTCCATTTTCCGCCTGTTTGTGACGCAGGTGGGACGCGCTGGAAGGTCACCGTGCCCACTCCCGAACGGCCACCAACCTCGTCTGCCAAGGACCAGACGGTAGGGCCGGCCGAACCGTCCTGAGGCCGGAACTCCTCCTTCCGCAGGAAGGACTGAAGTTTCTCGGCGTCCCAGTCTCGTGGCACTCCGCGAATGCGAAATGCCTTGCCGGCTTTCGCTTGTGGTTCTTGTTCACCAGCGCCCTGCGGCTCTCGGCGACTGCGATCCGGCAAGGCGTGCGGAGGCGTCACGACCACGGCCGCCTTGGTCCACCGGCGCAGCTCTCCACAAATCGCCACAAAACCCGGGTCGTCCGTGCTGGCGAACTTGGTCATGTCCATGTGGTCGCCGTGGATCGCGATCGGAATGTACCCGGGCAGAATGGCCGAGTCCTGCGGCACGACCTGCCAGCCGTCAATCAAACGCGCACCACGGGAGCCGCGTCATCAGACTCACCTGGCCGACGCCTGGCAGAGGCAGCTCCTCGAAGAAGCAGCTAATCTCGATCGGCCGGCCTTCCTTGCCGCGTGATTGAACCATCGTATGGAATGCATCCTGGATCCGCGCGAGCACCTCCGAGTCGCGCCTCAGGACCGCCACGATTTCGGTATTCGTCTGCTTGATAATCCCCATGGATCGCGACAGCAGCTCGACCCATCGTGCCAGCCCCGATCCATGGTGTGGCGTTCCGAGGAAGGCGATGCCGCGTGTCGATCGAAGGATATTCTGGAGGTGGCCTTCCGTTCGCTGTCTCGACGTAGACAGGGCCTGTCATCGTCGTTAGCTGCATTTCGTGGCTTGAAGCAGAGAAAACGTACATCCTCGCAGACCAGGCCCCCTAGGCTGTGGCAAACAAATATGATCGGCCGTTCATTCTGCTCGCGTTAGCATCGTCACTATCATACCCGGCCGCCGGCACCTACCGCGTCGTCCTCCTCTCGATATGCCGCGAGAGACGTCAGAAGATTCCACGCGTGGTTCGCAATACGACCCTGCGACACCACGCCCCGCTAGTCTGCCACATATGCATCGTATCCGAATTTGAGGACACGCGCCGTCGGGAGCTTGGACGGGAGGAGGGCCTTGGGCCATGGCTCGGATGCGCCGGCGGCCGTCCAGGTCTTCTCGCGGTCGCCCGTCAGGCCGTGGATGAAGACGATGCTGGAAGTGTCAGCAGCCGATTCAGAGGCTAGGGGGGGAGGGAAGAGACCACGCACTCGACGATGGCGTGGCGGGGTTTGCCGGGCTGTGGAGCAGCTTGACGCCGGCGGGGAAGGTCTTCCTGGTCGAGGACGACGGCGCCGCCAGCGATGGGGCTGGCGGGTCCTGCTCGACTGCTGCGCCAGTCGTCGGTTTTGGCTCCTTCTGCCGCCCGAAGAGTCGCCGCATTCTGCTGCGCGAGAGGATGGCGGCGTCTCGTCGGGACCGTCAGACTGCTCCGCGGCCTCGGGGTTGGAGGCGGGCCTGATGTGTGCGAGGACCCCTCTCTGGGTTCGTGCCTAAATTGGCCTCGGCTTTTCTCCGGCACACCGCTGCTGCTATTTTTGGCTCGCCTACGGCCGTCCTGTGGGCCATGTGTCCAAATGGAACAGGGGCCCAGAACAACGCGCATCGTCTGCGCGGCATCTTGAACCTTCCGATCTGTCCCACCGAATATGCAGAGAGCCTAATTCACTGCAACTTAGCGCGTGTAGAACACTCCAAAGGCTTCTCGGATCAAGTACTGATCGCTTGCCCTCTGCAAATGGCTCCCAACCTTTCCCTTTCCCAGCATGCCCAGATTCGAGACATGATTCTTAGCGGCTCGCTCACCGATGTCCAGATAGCCAGTGTTACTCGTTGCAGCACACGCTCGATTCGAACCGTCCGCCTGAACCTTCAATGCTTCGGCACGACCCGAGCGCCATCGAACCGCGTCGGCCGGCCCAGAGACATCACCCCTCCCATGCCGCGCGCGCTCTGCGATCGCCTGCTTGAAAAGCCGCAGATGTACCAGGACGAAATGGTCGTGTTCATATGGGACGAGTTCGAGACCCTGGTGACGGTCCACAGCATCGGCAGAGCGTTGAGGGCGATGGGATGGTCGAAGAAAGTCGCACGTCGTGTTGCGCAAGAACGAAGCGCCGATGTGCGGGACTTCTACCTCCACCGTCTGCTCGAGTTCCGTTTCTACCATTTGGTCTACATTGATGAATCTGGCTGTGACAAGCGGACTGGGTTCCGGCGCACTGTATGGTCTCCATATGGCGTGACGCCTGTCCAGATTGCGCGGTTCCACCGCGACAGAAGATACCAGATTCTTCCCGCGTACGCGCAAGATGGCATTGTTCTCTCACGCGTCTTTCAAGGCTCAACCGATAGCGTCGTGTTTGAAGATTTCCTGGAGCAGCTGCTTCCCCATTGCGGTAGGTGGCCGGAGCCGAGGTCGGCTCTCGTCATGGATAATGCTTCGTTCCATCGCTCGAACCAAATCGAGGAGCTCTGTGCCGATGCTGGCGTCAAACTGCTCTATCTGCCGTCATACTCGCCAGACTTGAACCCGATCGAGGAGTTCTTTACGGAGCCGAAGGCTTTCATCAAGCGACATTGGCAACTTCATGAGGACCTTCCCCGGCAAGACTTTGGGGCGTTCCTGGAGTGGTGCGTGGACACGGTGGGCACAAGGCGTCCAGTGCCGAGGGTCACTTTCGGAACGCCAGCATCACTGTGGAGCACGCATAGATAGAATAGTAGTATTTCCTAGACTCTAAACTCCATCGTCTTGCTCAGCCCAGACCTCAATACCGCTGATGAATCTCCGTGCAACACCCCTCTTGACTCCGCCGTCGACATAATACCCTGCATCTTGATCTCCGTACAACTGCTCAAGGTCAAGGCCGTCGGTCAGTGTGAGGTCGCACGCCTTGCGATCCTCCATCTTCAAAGCTTCGTCGCCGACCTGCGAGCACTGCCACTAGCAGTATCGCTTGACGGGTACGTCTCGTAACCTTAGGATGTTAAGACGGGCTGGTTTGCATGTCACTGCAGCGGATTCCGGCGTTTCTGGCAGAGAATCTGCCGATGCCTGGGGTGTTTGCGCCGGCAGAATGTTGGTGATGTTGATTGGCGGATAGCTGCCAAGGCCGGAATGCTGTTGCTTCCTCTGCCGCTCCAACGACTGCTGCCCTTCAGCGTACAGTTGTTCGCGAATCACGTCGGGCATATCGTCATGGTTCCGCACGTAGACTGTATGACGGCCGCGAGGGCGAGGGGAAGGTCTCTGGGTGACGTCTCACATGCACGCTCGTGTACAGGGAAGCAGACGGGTGTGTCTAGATCTTGGTCAAGCTATGATCACGCGGCGAGTTGGCTGGAAGTTGCACTAACGTCGCCCCTCACCGCGGTTCGGCCACGACGAAAGTAGCACGAGCAGGAAATGGCTCCTGCGCGGGCAAGTTGTCATGAGAGCCGTTATCGATTGCAGTCCAGTGTGGAATGTCTCGGTGCTGGGCCACCCTCACTTGCTGCCGGAAAAGGCGCTTGAAAGCCGTTTGCGCACCTTCAGCTGCTGGACGAGTTACTCGCCTTGCAGTCATGATCACCGACCATACGGCGCATGCCTCGAGCAGGCCACCGTCGCAATGATGACTGGCGGAATAGGCCCCTGGTAGCCGTCCTGGCATCCCTGCTGGTAGCCGACAGGCAGTGTCGGCTGGCGGCGGTAGGATACTACCCTCCTCGACGAAAGGCGCGGAGCTACAGCTCGGCCACTCAATACGCATTACGAGCACTGGAGACACGCGAAGACCTCTATAGTCAGTTGTCTTCAAACGCAGGATCATTCTATCCGGCTCGGCATGTAAGAAGTCCAGGGGTACGCGAAAGACTCGTGACATCCGCCCTGCCGACGGGCTGGCAGGCGCGAAAGGACTTCCTCGACAATATATTTGAGGTACTTGCAGAACACCAAATCTTGCTCGGTCTTACATCATAAGTTCCTCGCTCTGAGCTTGCCGTGTACAGGATTGGGTCTTACGAAGGATGATCTCTCCCTCCCACTGATGCTTCACGAGGGGACAGTGACGATGGGGACAGTGACGATGGGGATAGTGACGATAGGGAAGGATAACGCTTGCTGAACGTTATGTTAGAGTTAAGGTACATCTTCTGGACGAGGATAGCAGCTATACTATTGATAGTCTATATTCGCCACGTACCCTATCGGAAAGAACGGTGCGCTCAGCCCGCATTTCACGAAGCGGACGTCGCATAAAAGGACAAGCGGCCTCGGCGTGGGCCGATGAGCGAGGAAGGGGAGTGGCGGTTGTCAAAGCAATGTTAGTGGCGAATCTACAGAGTGCCGTTTTGAGCCGACAGGTCGGTCCGACGTGCGGCGCAATTTAGACCGCACCGAGAGGCCCCTTCCCGGAGGCCTGCTCACCGCCCCGGCAAGTGCGCCAATTTCACCGACAACCGAGCCGGTTTCCAAGCGATGCGGAACCCCAAATGCCCGTCGGGACAGTACCTCCTGGTTGAGGCCACTTGAACGCTCGATGAGCTCCAAAGCCGAGGTTGGGAGGTAAAGTTCCGCTGGGTCCCGGCCCATGTCGGCGTATCAGGCAACGAAATGGCGGACCAAGCCGCCAACAGGCCGCAGGACCCCATGCCGAGGCGCCTCCAACAACGATCCCCGGGATTCTTATGGCAACCACGAAGCTCGCCGTTCGCCAGAAGCTGCGAGGAGAATGGGAGAAAGCCTAGGAAATTGCCCTCTTCCGGCTCAGCGCGCGGCCGGGCAAAGCGACATTAAGTACACATCGCGGAGCACACAGAGCAATCAGTTCGGTGATCACACGGATGCGCACGGGGAAGATTAGCCTCCGTGCCTACCTCCACTCCATTGACAAGGCCGATATCGACCAGTGTCGATGCGACTACGGGCCGCAGACGGTGCGGCACATCCTCCTGGAGTGCCGGATTGGATCCACGAGAGGTACAGTCACTGGCGAAATCGGCTTCCGCCTTTCACTCTTTGGTTTAATATCTAATGCCCTTTTTTGGGCCTCTTGGCGCTTACACCGTGCTTGTTCCTACAGTCAAAAGTCCCGGATAGTACTGGTTTGCTTGCTTACCTTAGGCACGTGGAACAGAGGAACGGCCTTAAACAGTGCAGACGGGGAATTACAATACGAGAGCGAGGTTGCTGTATGCGCGCTGTTAGGTCGCAGTCAAGCCTTGTTTGGCAATCAGCACAAACGATGTTAAGAGGTAACTTGAAATTAGGGTCATTAGATAGCTATTAACATAGTCCTATATTCTTGGTCTACGATGACCGGATGTACCGAGAGGTCGCAACGTAGATGGGTGTGATATCTCTGGCGGGCTCTAGGGACGTATTAGACGCCGCCCCACGCATTGACGTCAGCGCCGTTGTCTAGTAGGAGTTGCACAATTTCTCTGTGGCCCAGAGCCTTGCCGTAGTAGCCGCCCTGCGCATTGACGTCGGCGCCGTTGTCTAGTAGGAGTTGCACATCTTCTCTGTGGCCTTCATGTGAGGCAGCTTGGAGAGCGCTGCCGTATTCGCCGCCCTGCGTGTTGACATCGGCGCCCTCGCCCAGAAGGCCTATTGCAGTTGCTACGAGTCCACCTAGGCAAGTGTAATAGAGTCTGGATGCTCGAGGAGGGCCCGGATCGCTGACCCATTCCCGGTCAGCCTGACACAACCGACTCCACCGCTGAAAAGTTGACTCATCCTGTAAAAACCTGACTGCTGTCCGAACAACGGCTTCTGAAGTCTCTGCCGAGGTTGCATAGCCCATCCAGTACTCCGCCGCATATCTTGCCATCGGAGAATCCTGCTTGATTTTCCAGGAGCTACCCTCGATATCCGTAAGGTAACTCAAGCAGGTTCTTGTGATGACAACGCTGGCACTGGTGAGGTCAAACTGGTCTTGTTTTAGAAGATACTCTTTGACAGAGAAGTGGGCAAGATGGAGCTCCTTCCTAGTCCTTCCATAGTCTGTGACTGACACCAAGCTGGGACAGTGCTGTAGAATATCGGCTTCACGAAACAGTCTGCGCTTCGGGTCGAAGCCTCGGCGCTCCTCATCCGTCTGTGTCGCTATTACCTCTACGGCCTCTAATAGTGTCAACGGCCGCTTGGTGTGGACGAGAAACTGCAGGAGGCGCATGGCATCCTTCTCAATATCTGCCGGGATGCTTCGAAGCATGCGACGGTACGTCTCATCGAGATCCCGGGGCAAAGTCTCGAGAGCTATTTCGATAGCTCTGGGACTCATACATGTTGCAAGACTGGCCAATTGACATGCGGCCCATCTGAACCTATACTGGATGTCAGATATTCGCTTGGGTTTATAGATGATAGAGGGAAACTCACATGCCATCAGCCCGGTCTCCGACTTTATTGCGTATCTGTTCGAGGAGATCCTGAGATAGGCCCTTGTCCACGAAATCGGAACTCTGTTCAAGCCTCGCTGTGACATAGGAGCGTATGTCGGCGTTAACAGCGTTCTTGTCCAGTGGCAAACAGTGCTCTTTGCCGAGCCAGCCGGGAATGAAGCTCAAAAACTCTTCTTCTGGCCGGCCAGTGGCAATCAGATGGACGTGGCTCAGGTCGGGTATTGTGAAGAATTCCTTCGTCCACCCAAGCAGTTACTTTCTCTCCAGACACTCGTCTAAGGCATCCAGAATAACATAAGTAGTTTTCGAGCCCTTGATCATCGCGCGGAGACAGTTTGTTAAAGTCGGTGTGTCTGGCTGCCGCTGGCCGTCGAGGTGGGATTGGTATAAGCTGTCGAGGTCTTTAGAGCGAGACCCTAACTTGTAGAGCTGAAAGAGGAGGGAGCGTAACACGCCGTCCATCTTCTGTTTCGCGGTGTCGTTGAAGTCGAAATAGAATTCAAGGGTGACGCAATCGTCCATCTTCCGGAGATGATCCACTATTGTCGCACTGAGGACGGTTTTGCCACATCCTGCTAAGCCGTGAAGCCACAGATGGCGATGTGATCCATGCTTCCACTCGTTGAAGGCAGCGCTATTCAGGAACCATAGCCCGGATCCCTCGTGCCATTGTTTTCTCGCATGATTGAAGTTCGTTGATGGGTCGGGTGGGCGAAGCCATCGATCGAGTTGAGCGAGGCGATCGTTATGTTCCATAGTCACAACTGCAGTTTTGGTCTCATTCACCGTCAGGTGTAAACGTTCGAGACCTTTTTGAGCTACTTATAGTTAGATAAAATTCCATGGACTAGAACTGCGCTACTAACCCGAACTAAGTACTTCACTGATCCGCCTCTCCTCTTCGACTTTGTTGGGCGGGATCTGACGCAGAAGATTGTTCGCATACGCCGCCGCCATCATTGCCGCAAAGCCCTGCCACTCCTTGTTCTTGTGCGAGTCGGAGTAGTCGCATATCCCGCGGATCACTAGGCATGGGAAGTGGTTCATCAGGCCGGCCGCCTCCGTCTCGAAACAAAGGACGCCCTTTTCATCCGCCAGCTTGTCCCGGATACGCGCATCCTTCATCAGTTGGCTTCCGCTGGCAATCAAGCCGTAGTGAATCACGGGATCGTCTTCCTCTTCGTCTCGTTCCTTCCGGACCACCAGGTGGGTTTCATCATTGCCGCACGCGACGTCGCAGCCGTCAGACGATTGTGAAGGATGCATAAAGTCGGGCTTGTATAGTCTGTCGCTTGCTGGAGGAGGCCGTGTGTATTTTTTTCGCTTCTTGATCTTCTTCAATGCCTTGTCCACATCGTCCACAAGCTGGTGGCCTTTCATCTCGTATGTGCCTCTGAGCGTGCTCACAGTCGTCCGCAGCACCATCGGTGGTTGGTCCAAGAATGCAGTCTCTTGAAATGACTGATTCTGGATAGTCTTGCCAAAGTCGTAGTGGAACACGCCGCCTTTGCCCCATCGCGACTGCTGACTACTACATCACCGAGTCGGACATCACGCTTCCGGCTAGGCGCACCGCCTCCGATGCCGACCATCAATCCGATACACACGTTGGGAAAGCTGTGGAGCATGTCTCGGGCTACTGCCGCCGCGGGCACTATGTCATATTCTGCATCAGGCAGGACGGCGATGACTACATTGTGGCCGCCGACCTTGCCCAGGACATAGCTATTGTTGTCGTGTTGTGAGACTTGGCAAGGGCCGTCGTGTTCTTCGTCGAGGAAGGCCCGGGCTGCTACGGACTCGGTGGTGATGGCGCAGATCCAACCGACCGTGTATTTCTGGGTGTCTGACATGGCTGGCGTTCGATCCCGAGCGGAGGGGAAGGTGTGGGTGTCTCTGGTACGCAATCGCTTGTAATATAGAGGAATGCCAGAGTGAAGATGCACTAAGTAGCAAAAGATCTAAGCAAAGTCGGGGAGGAGCATGGAAAGGACCGGATGCACTTTGACCCTGGTGGGCACCAGATCAGGCTCTCACCAGGTTACACAAAGGTGGGGGTGGCAGGACTTCCCCGCAGCTGATCGTCGTCAACGGAACCCAGTGGCCACGGCTTGGCAGAGTTTCAGTGTCCAAAGCTTGCAGTGGCAAAAGTTTCAGTGGCCGAAGCTTGAGAGTTTCAGTGGCAGATGTTTCAATGGCACTAGAATTCTTTGGACCTGGACTTCGGTGGACCTGGACCTCGGTGGACCCGAGGAGAGCGACAGAAAGAGCGAATGCGACCGCGAGAGTGACGATTCTTGTACCAGCAGCACTTCCGAAGACTCTGCGGGACGAGATTTTGAAGAGGATCTACTTATGCTTCGAAGCTACAGCCTAATCTCTACAGACGAGACAGGAGCGGTCCTCGGGATGCACAGTCTTGTGCAGCTGGCGACCAGAAATGGCTTAGTGCCGAAGACAGAACCGACCCGTGCAAGGAGCAGTTTGTGCATCGGATGGCGCGCGAATTCCCCTCTGGGGACTACAGTAACTGGGCTACATGCCGAGCATTGTTTGCTCATGTTGAAGGTGCGCTTAATCACCGGCCGAAAAGTCGAAAGCTGCTCGGGGAGTGGGCGCAGGTTCTTTACAATGGGCAGTGGGTACGCTCAGAGCCAAGGCAGATACAGATTGGCGGGGAAAATGGCGAAGCAGTCGAGGGACGCTAGGATAGAAGTGCTTGGAAAGGATCACCGGCTGACATGGAATAGTGTTTCAATTATTGGCGAGATCTTGAACGATCAACGGAAGTATAACAAGGCGGAGCAGCTGTTTATGGAGGTGATGGAGACTCGCAAGCAGAAACTCGGACCGGATCATCCTTCCACGCCTAATCTGGCTTGCACCTGGCACGCTCAAGAGCGCACAACCGCCGCCTTGAAGCGGCCTACGGTCATTACGCCTACACCTGCCCCGTTCGACAGACGGCCAAATGGGGCACCTCGTACTTGGCCAAGGACCCTCCAGTCTTCATCTATCACAGGGCACTTAACAAGACGGCGCTTTATGGCGCCAACCACGGCGATCAAATGCGCTACCAAACGTACAACCCAGAGGTCCGCACCATCTCACCCGCACAGGACGAGGTCGCAGGCAAGTTTCACGCCTACTGCGTAAGCTTCATTCTTACGAGTGATCCGAACAAGGCGCTGAAGGCGACGGGCAACCCCAGGTTTGCGAACCGACCACAGTGGCCTGGTTGGAAGGGGGGCCGGGGCCTGACTTTGGTACTAGGCGAAGGCAACGACGAACGCGCTGGAGGCACAAGTGCTGGTGTCGCGGAAAATGTGAAGGAAAATGGTTGGGCGGATAAGGAGTGTGACTTTTGGTGGAGGATGACAGAGAAGTACGAAGACTAGACGCCCATAAGCGCTGCGAGAGTCCATCGGTAATAAAACAATCGCAAATTATGTATTGACATTGAAGTCTCAGCAGGGAATCTATAACGACTGACGAATGCCACTAATGCTTGAGCCGCCACTATATATGTGAATTTGCTTGAGTATATGCGCCCTTGTGTTAACCTGCCACTGGGGCGGCGCAGTTTTGAGTTACGGTTATTACGTTGACCGCGGCATGGATGATTAACGCGGCTTTGCTTCCGCCATTACAGGTAGGATACACGATCGGCGTGGGGTTGCTCCAGGTCGGCAGGTTCGGAATACTTCCTGCTTGATAAGTGTACTGTCCTGGGGCGCACTTATCCAAGGGCAGGCAGACCAGGTTCACGTGGACCTCGGCCAAGGCGTAGGGCGGGTTCAAGAGGTAGGTGACAGTGACGCGGCCTTGCGCGTTAGCCGTTGCGACCCAAATGCCGACGTCGACAGCCTTGGTTATGTCGTTGCCGCCGGCACCGACGTAGAGGAGGCCCGAGATGCCGCCCTGTAGCTCGGCCACCGTGGGTGTCTCATACCATCCCCAGCGGTTGCAGCCCTGGCCCGACTGAGTGTTCAGGGTGGTGGACTTTGGGACGCCGCCGACAGGGTTCTGGTAGCCAAAAGCGGTGCCGAAGCCGCAAGTCTGAAGGCTAGGAGGTGGCAATGTAGAGGATGAGGATGAGGTTGATGATGAAGTTGAGGTCGTGCTACTGGACGTGGTGTCAGGGGAAGTGGAGGATGTTAGACTGGTAATGGACTCGCTCGTGCCCGACGACGTAGTGGTCATGGAAGTGTCTGAGCTGATCGATGATTCCGAGACTGTGCTACTGCTGGACGGTTCGGTGCTGGTGCTGGATTCCGAAGGTCCGGATGAATTCGAGCTAGAAGAGGAGGTCGTAGCGCTGCTCGATATTGTCGAGGACGATGACGGGTTGCTGAGGCTTGAGGTGCTTCCTGGCGATGCCGCTGGTACGCTCTCAGTCGTCGGATAAGGATGATAGATGTACGAGGGCGCGGTTATAGCCTTGGAGCATGGCTTAGCGTTCACAGCCAAAAGGGCCGCCGCTGTGAGCGCATATGCTAGAAGCTTTTGCGAGACCATGTTTGCTGGAAGAATCCGTTGCTTTCAAATTTGATTCCAATTGCTGAAGTGATGGGAGAAAGCGAAGCCAGGGTCAAAAGTGCAGCCTCAGGAGTTTATATATATGAGATCAATCTGGTTACCACTCCACGATCTGTGAGAAAACGAAACGCCTGGCCTGAATGCATGTGGCGTGGTGTTCAAATTTCGATAGCACTCAGCTGAGGCCCGCGATCTCCTGATTAGGACCTAGTCTTCGCGCTTACAATAGCCGTCGTCTTCTAGGGCCTGACGGCGCCCTAAAAGGGCTTAGCGGGTCTCCAACTGTAATTTCCACCTGCACAAGAACAAAAGCCATCGGTAAGTTCCGGCCGGGCTTCCAGGTATTTGCAGAGTGCAGAAAGTCGCTCTTCCTTCGATTTGCATCTGCAGTCGCAGAGCTGCGGAGGCATCAAGGTTTCCTCCCGGGCAGGTACAAGTCCCTGGAGAATCAACGAGAGCCGCTGGGGGCATCGCTTGCCCATCTTCACGGACACTTTGCGGAGCGTCTTGATCGTCGCCGGCCTAATGAGGCCATGGGCCTGCCAGCCTGCAGCGGTGTAGAACACCCGTACGCTTGGGCCGAAGCCATTGGCGTTGACGTAGTTTATGCCTACTGAGCTGGGGCAAAACAACAACCTCGACCAAAAGGAGTTCACCGGTTTCCAGTGTCGGCGGCACTTCCGCAAAGAATCGTGCGGCGATATTGAGATATGTCACCATTGATTCTCTGATGTCACTTAGGCAAGGGAGATTTCGCGGTTTCTGCGTTCAGACAAATGAAACATCATGCAGTAAGTTGCGAGCGGAGATATGTGGTTCAACGAGTGACCTCTTTTCCACTCCTATCTGCGGCTGTGGCAAACTCTCTCGACTTTGTTTGTCGTGCCCTAGGTTGAGCTACCCAATCTCACCACACTACGTTAGAGCGAGCCTAAGTGGCGCGATGATGGGGGTGTGCAACCAGCGCGTCGAGCTGCAGAGGGATCGGTTGACGGACTAACCCCTGCATTGACTCATTGTAAACGGATAAAGGGGCCTTAAACTATGCACGGCCGTTCGCGGGTTACTTTCCGTAATTGAGCCGTTATCAGTGGTTCAGGATGCATCAGATTTGGGCCGCAAATGACCCCACAATCAACACCTTGGAACCACGGCGGGGACACATATGCAGGAGCTGATCGCCCCACGGTCGGTCAAATTCTTCTCAGCAGAAGGATACGTACTTGGCAACAAAACAACGTTAGAGGCACTGCTCCACGAATGCACAGGGGTCCCTGTTGACGCGCTTCGAGGGAAACCTCCGGCTGACTTCAGCATTAACGAGCGACTCTCTTGGCTGGGACAGCGCAAGACGAAGCGTCCCGAAGACCTTGCGTATTGCATGCTTGGCATCTTCGACGCGCATATGCCACTCATCTACAGCGAGGGCGAGGAGAAGGCATTCCTCAGACTGAGACGAGAGATTGGTAAGAAGTCATGGCTTCAGATGCGTTTCCAATATACTGGAGCACAAGCTGACCAGTTTGTCCTGGTATGCATTCTTGTTTACAGGTAAGGATACTGTTAGCGAAGTAGCTAAGCAATACATTGCCGACTTGCGCGTGACCGATCCTCGCCATGACAAGAGGCGCATCGAAAACATGAAGGGCAGCCTACTTAGGGACTCCTACTTCTGGGTGCTCGACAACCCGGACTTCCGCTAGTGGCGCGACAATAACGACCAGCGCCTACTCTGGGTTAAAGGCGATCTAGGTAAGGGCGAGACCATGCTACTTTGCGGAGTTATCGACGAACTCGAGAGGATGCGCACCGAAGGATAGATTCTATCCTACTTTTGCTTCTAGGCTACCGATGGGCGTATTAATACCGCGACGGCTGCATTGCGCAGCCTGATATACATGCTCCTCGAGAAGGGCGCCTCCCTCGTTTCTTATATGGAAAGTAGCACGAGAAGGCAGAGACCTTTTCGAAGACACCAACGGCTGGTAGGCGCTATGTGAAATCTTCGAGAAAATTCTCCAGGATCCCAAACTTCACGGAGTTGTCCTTGTGGTCGACGCTCTCGACGAGTGTTTGCAAGGTCTGCTAGTGTTTCTCGACCTCGTGGTTAGGACATCGTAAACAACCAAAGCGAAATGGCTCATTTCAAGCCGTAACTGGCCACAGATTGAGAGGCCAGTACACAAAGTGGCGCACAGGCTGTCGCTTGAGGTTAACGAAACTTCAGTTGCGAAAGCCGTGAACATTTACATCGAGTACAAGGTCTCTAAGCTTGCATAAGACATGGATTATTGCAATGATGTCTCTGAGGAGTTATAGCACTATCTCTTGTCGAACGCAGATGGCACGTTTCTCTGGGTTGCCTTGGTTTGTTAAGAACTGGAAACGACTGAGGCATGGGACGTATTACAGAAAGTTAAGTCCTTCCCCCCGGGACTTGATGACCTATATCAACGCATGGCGGAGTAAACACTCGCCTTAGAATATACTGAATCCTGCAAGTAGGTTCTCGCACTCGTAGCATCGGCCTATCGCCCACCGTCCTTGTCTGAGTTGATCACTCTGGTTGGGAAGTCCTCTCGCATGGGGACCGATCGTAGAATGCTCCAGGGGATTATCAGTCTGTGCGGCTCATTCCTTACTGTTCGTGAGGACAAGGTGTACTTTGTCTACCAGTCGGTAAATGACTTCTTGATGAAGTCGCACGCGGTCGTTCTCTTCCCCAAAGGAGAGCCATCTGTCCACAGCCACATCCTCCAGAGCTCGATCGAGGCTATGTCCAGCATACTAAAGCGCGACAACTATAATCTACGCGATCCAGGCTTCCCAATCGAGAAAATCAAACCGCCGACCCCTGACCCACTCTCGACAGTCGGGTATTGCTGCGTCTACTGGGTCAATTATCTAGTGGATGCAATTACGTATTAGGTTGAAGGCAGCAGCGCACGCGACAGCGGAATAGTAGATAGCTTTTTGCGGAATAAAACTCTCTACTGGATTGAGGCATTGAGTCTACTACGTGGCATTTCGGATAGCATCGTTGCATTAGAGGGTCTCAAACAGTGCATTCAGGTATGTTTTTATATGCCCATTTGCACGTCAACATTACTGAAGAGAGCAAGATTATCAGAGTGCTTTAGGTCTTCAGACAATAGTCGTTAACGTGTATCGTCTTCTACGAGGCTTCCGGCCGGCGATTGAGAGCCGACCACTGTAATGTTACGCCTCGGCACTCGTCTTCAGTCCTGCTAAAAGTCTAGTACGGAGGCTCTTCCGCGGCGAGAAACCGGACTGGGTCGAGTGCAAACCGGAACTGTCGTAGCGGTGGATCGCGTGTGAGGCGACACTCGAGAGTTATACCGACCGGGTCCGGTCGGCAGCCTTCTCCCTAGGCGGCAGCCGCGTTGTCTCCGCATCGGATGATAACACAGTTAAGCTCTGGGATGCGGCTACGGGTATATGTTAGGCGACACTTGAGGGCCATACTAACTGGGTCTACTCGGCAGCCTTCTCCCTAGATAGCCGCCGCGTTGTCTCGGCATCATGGGATAAGACAGTCAAGCTGTGGAATGTAGCTACGGGGAAGTGCAAGGTGATATATGGAGATTTTGCTAATTGCTCTTTCTTACTCGACATGACTGACACGTACATCTATACCGGTGTTCGACTAGTCCTTATCGAGAATGCCGTGGGATACATGTTGGATCCACATCCAAACATGTCCGTCACGGCCGGTCGCTAACGTTATGCTATTAGTTCGGATGGTGTATGGATTTTGAGAGACTCGCAGCCGGTCCTTTGGCTTCATCTAGAGCTCCGATCGCAAGTTGTTGGATGGACCACAGTGGGTGTGGACATAAAGTTGGCTATTGGATGCTCGGCTGGCCGCGTTTTTATCCTACATTTTACTTCTATCTAGAAATACGCGATTATAATGGGCGCCTTTGACTATCGTTTCCCCGTCTGCCTTAAACAGAGGTTAGCTTTAATTTTGTCTCCGATATATCGTAGCTTCATATACGAGAACATACAGTATATCTTGATTTGTCATTTGTGAGATTCTTGCCATAGAACCAACATGGGACAGGCCTCACTCAGTAGTGTGCTTAATTCATACTGCACATCTCAGCTCATGCGACATCACTATTGTGAACCAACCTCAACCAATGGGAACATGTCTGTACGATTGATTTTCCGTACGAATTGAATTGCGAGTACGGAACCATACAACAGCCGTGGATGCGCCGCTAATATTCACGATGCGAGTCGGGAAACCCTTTCTGAGGCAGCAGACACGTGCGAGAATGCCATATTGGTTTTTACAATCACAACTTCCTGCTATGCCCAAGCCAAACTGACAGGAAAGTCTCTTGGAATGAAACCACCCTGAAGACCCGGGCGATTTCGACTTCGACTACAGAGTACTGTAATTTGTTTAATAAAAAGCTTCAAGACATCTTGGGGAGTCCTTCCAAGGGTTCCTCTCCAGATATCATCCCTTTTATGCAATAAGTGAAGGATGGGGCAATCCGATATCCCGAACTGGCTGTCGTGACTGCCATTTCAGGCTGCACATCGGATTGTCCCAATCTTCATTTATTACATATACAGGATGATGTCTGAAGAGGATCCCTTATGAGGACCCTTCACACTTTAGATATACAGTACTCAATTCACAGAGGTGATGTTACAGTAACACGTTTCATCAGCTGCAACGCAAGCAGCTGGCCTCGAAGGGCTACCCACAGTCTACCTCAGATCGACTTTGAAGATGTCACTGTCAAGCTATCACCGCCAAGAAAGCGCAATGGTAACTCTCTGAGTGCTTGCATTCTTACGACATTTTCGGCTCAAGAATCCAGGTTCCCTCAGCCCTGACTGCCTGCGAAGCACAGCACGCCATGGACGTGAGGGCACACTCCGCCGCCTTTCCCTAATCCGACTTCTCCCGCCACCATGTCGGGTGCTTCAGGCCCTGCCCCTTCTACACGTGCCGAGATAGAACGCATAGCCGTATCGCGTCGCTTCGACGAAGATGTCGCAGAACTCCTGATATGAGCAGACTCCTTGCCTCAATCGTTTCAGGCTGCCTGGAAAAGAACTAGTCAGCCGCACTACCGTAGACGTCTGGGCTCTCTGACCTACTGGCAATGGCTGGCATTACTCCCGATCACCAAGTTACTTTTGGCCACCGCAGGCGCCGCATATGTATCCGCCCTCGAAGCCGGTGTCTTTACATGTCGCGCACTTATACTTGGACATATCGAGTGAGCGAACAAACAAAGGCCGTTTTCCAAAGATTTGAGTTTACGTCGAAATGGAGGCGTACAGTCGAGAATGCTGCCCAATCAAGCGCGGGGCTCCGAATGTTTGTTGGACAGTTTCATTGATCTAAGCTGCGGATAAAGCTCGGCAGTGCCGGCCAACTGTGAGGCCAATGCCAGCAACTGTCGCCTCCCCAGACCCATCATCCGTCCCATTCGTTTACACCACCAAAGCCACCAATCACGATGCCATCGGATCTTATGAACCACCGCCAATGTCAAGCATGCGCAGAGACTTTTGACAGTAATGAATTGTTGATGGAACATCTGAAAACAAGTCAGGTACGTTAGTTCGATCGCTGGAAGTCAGGACGCTGATCTACCCAACAGGTCGAAGAGCTACAACTCAAGGATAAAGAACAGCGATTGAAGCTTGAACTGCATCAAATAGAAATCAAGCTTGAACATTGTCAGGCGCACCACGGGTCAGAGACTCAGCAGAGGGACGACGAGACTCCGCAGAGGGACGACAAGCCTCAGCAAAAGGTTGATGTGTTCGCTCGTGTCAAGAAATGTCCAACCTGTGGGCTGCCTTGTCCTCGTACAAGACACCTCAAGGAGCATTTTGGGACACGTAAGTCTCGATGTTCTCATACTTCATGCATGTCACTAATTGGCTCTGATCAGATATGCCCTGCACAGAGCACTGTGTCTTTTGCGGCAAAGTGCCACAATGCCAGCACTACTCTCAAACACTTCAGAAATTGCGACAAAGCATCTTCGGCGTTTAAAACGAAATGGGAATACTTGATGCAAACCTGTTCGGACCTTGATAAACTTCTCGCAGAAGAATTCGTCAAAGCACAGGCTGAGTCAAGCAAGGCTGAGCCAGCCAAGGGCCCTTACAGGCACGAACGAAAACGAGACGGAAGTCGAGACCCTCGTTGCGATAGCGAGTTGCCTAGCCACAAAAGGACCAGAGTCTTCTCGGAGGTGGAGGCTCAGACCAACCCATCATCACGTGCATATCATGAACAAACTCATGAACCACTCTACGTGCACTCCGGCAACACAAACGGTGGCATTCATGAACTGGCCTTGCCTGACCATACTGCCATGAATTTTTATGCGGCCCCTATTTTGCGCTGGACACAGCCGCATCAAACCCAGGTGGACTATTTTAACCCCCCCCGTCCTGAGACACCCTCCAAACCTCACAGTCCACAGCACAAGCGTTGACGAAGATACATTCGCTCTAATGGAAGGTGGACTTTCCGGTCATGAGTTTTCATCTACCATATAATGGAATACGAAACCAGACTCCCTCGAAATTTCATTGAGCTGCTGATGGACCTGCTGATAGACTGACCGCGACATTAGTATCCCGTCTACTCCGGGGTTCACCGTCGACATGAAGTAGACAGCAGTAAGATGCCCGCTATTGAGCTCAAAGCAAGTCCGACTGTCCTGGATCGTTCTGTGTTGAATGAGTAGATTGGACTTATGCGAGTATTCAGGTGACTTACAGGCCGCCGTCTGGGAGGTGAACAGGTGATGCAATATCCGCCGGCAATTGTGCTGGAGGAGCTTCAAACAATCCATTTGCTGCCGCAGTGACGCCGGGGTTAAGTAGGTGTGATTTTTTATAGTAGACAAGTTGCGTTCCTGGGGTGAATAGGAGAGCCAAGAAACCAAATGCCTGCCGCTCGCCACCCTTCCTAAACTGAAATATATGACGGCCATCGCTTTGGAACTCTCGGTAGAGGCCAACGGCGGGTGATTTCAGCAAGAATTTGATCGTATCTCTTATCCGCTGTGGTTCAGATTATAATGATCCTGGCATGAAGATCGAGAAGCCACTAACGATATCGCTCAGAATCTGCTTGTGTAGGAAGTCGAGGCCTTTTTGAGAGAGGCATGGGAAGCCCTCTTCCTTTCTTTCTCCATCATCTTGCCCAAAGAAGGGTCTGGGTAGACGACGTATCCGCCATCATCAAGCGCAGCTTTCGCGGATTTCGAGTCGCCTGTTTCGTTGGCCATGCATGCAAACGGAGGACGCGGTAGAAAACAAGGAGGCACTGAGGGAAACGACAGCGTGATGCCCAACTGTCAGGCGCGCGGATTGCTCATGTGCAGTTCACGAAGCTGCTGATAAGCCCCTTATCTGCTTGTGACATGGTCCGTGCGCAGTTCCCCGCCAGGGGCCGTTTGCTGTCCCGCTGCTCGAGGTACTGTACAGTACTGTACTGTATCGGCAGCCATCCCATTTTATCATAACTCACGACGTTTCGCAAGCGGTGGTGTGGCGGAAAACGCCATTTCACGGAACGACGGCTCGGAGCAATAGGCAACAGTCCCTCGCCTGGGCAAGTTTCATTCGAGAAGCTTGCTAGGGACGCTACCGAGACATCACACTAGCGCCCACTCCATCACCAGTATGGGTGTCTACTACGGCGCGCGGGCTTTGCGAGAATCGTGACGTTTAGAGGAGATTATTTGGCACCTTGATGGAATTAGACTGAGCTGCAGATCTCGACAGCGCCATGCCGCCCGGCCGGCCTTCGAAAAGGACTGGCGAGTCAGCAGACGGCAACTCATCGGACGAACACAGCATCAAAGTCAAGTCGCAGCGGACACAACGGGGATCGACGCAGAGCGACTTCTCAAGCGTGGTCAAGAGCAAGCTTCAGTCGTACACGCGTACAGGTCAAGCATGCGATCGTTGCAAGGTGAGCAAAATCGAAATACGCTCTTTAATCATCGTACCAGCACGCCGGTCGGTTCACTTCGATTTTCGGAGCGGCCTTGCCTGTTGGAGTAGTATGACGAATCTGGCCACGCACCTACCCGTGGAGGTCAAGCACGGCTGAATCTTGCACTGCCTCTTGGCGCTGTCTTCCCTCAGATCGTGTTTTTGATCGAAGATGACATGGCTCAACCCTCCCAGTCGCGCTGCAGCACAATTCCCGGCTTAGAAACCACGACTCTCGACGTTCCAAAGAGCAATCTAACATGGCAAAACTTGATCAGGTCCGCAAAATACGTTGCGATGCGTTGCCCGAAGGGTGTTCGCATTGCATTCGTCAGAACTTGGAATGCTATGTCACGGATCGCGTCACCGGTCGCACGGAGCGCCGTGGCTACACACAGGAGCTTGAGAGAGAGAAGGCAGCCATGTTGGCACAGATCCGGACGCTCAAAAAGATGCTCGAAGCGAACGGAATACATGCGGCGCGGTTTCAGTGGCCTCAGTCCTTGGATTCTCCGGGGCGCTCGTCATCGCGCTCACAACTCGATATAAGCCACCAGGACGTTTCTCAACAGACTTCACACCTGACAACACCTATGGGTCCTCCTTCTCCCTTTACCAACAGTGAGAGCACTTCTTTGAGTGTTTCTCAAGACGCCAATCCAAATCGACCACAGCTTGTTGCCTTCAAAAGTTTGACGCTATCCATTCTTGGAAACGACATCGATCTCGGCGCGTTCGGAGAGACTGATCTCCCAGATCCCTCGCTCCGCGTTCCCGATGTACCCCTACACTATTCACCAAGCGAGAAGATGATTTTGCATATGATGCTCAACCTACAGCGTCCCACAAATGTCGAGCTTCCACCATGGAGTGAGGCACTCCGGTATGCGGAATGGTGGTTCGCAAATATCTATCCGTTCCTGCCCATTCTGCACCGGCCAACCTTTTTGTCGAATCTCAAACTGCTTTACGAAGACCCTGTATCGCCTTCATTAGCGCCCGCGGACATTGTTGGCATCCATGTGGTGTTCGCGACGACATTGCGTCAAATCAGCTTTACCTCGCTCGATCACTCGAAGCGACCGCATCTAGCCGCATGGTCTGAGAAGCACTACCACTATGCTCTTGGGAGATTTTCAGAGGTTGTCGTGTCGCGGAATCTCCTGGATGTCCGAGCAATCGCACTCATTCTTTTCCACGCGACGAGATTCTCGAAGCCTAGGGTCAGTGCCTATGTCGCAAATCAGGCCCTATCCCTTGCAATGGAACTGGGTTTGAATCGAGCACGCCCCTCGCACGTCCGCACAGGCAGGCTGGAAGAAGAGATGCGCAAGAGATTATGGTGGGCAATCTTGTGGCTGACAATCACGATCCATGGTCGCACGGGACGGCCGATGCCGATAGGCCTACATGATATGGACATCGATTACCCGGACGCATTATCCGACGAAGCTCTCGAAGAGCAGAGCGGCACACTATCGGAGTTCCGGCCTGCCCTTTCCTCGTTGGTCTTTGGATTATGAAAGCCACGAGGATGTATCTGCATATGTACTCAAGCATATACAGCATTCGATCCAAATCATCCGCATATCTCATCTCGCTACAGGCACTGGAACAACAGCTCAAGAACTGGCAGGATAGTCTCCCTGATAGTCTTCAGCTTACCGAGGCTGATCTCGCAGACGCTGCAGTCAGCGACTTCCACGCACTCTATATCCACTACACCAGCCTAAATCTTCAGCTGTACTTGCGCCATCCCATGGCGCTGCCGTCCGAGGATCCCGCGCTCCTGGACAGCACTCTACAGGCCAACGAAGAGAACTCGAAACGCCTGCTCAGGTGTCTCCTGGCCCTGCACAAAATTGGATGGCTTGAAGCCACATGGCTTGCGTTGGGGACGTATACAAGTGGTGCCTTTCTGCATCTGACGTCCTATTGGCATAGAAGGAATATTCTGAACGAGCATGATATGCTTGACCTGCGGCGAGACATGATGTCCTGGTTCATGATTATCAATGAGACCAGCCAACTTCTTGGTGAGGAATAGCATGACGCAACAAGGTTGTCAATATTTGAGACTGACAATTGTACCCGTACTTGCAGACAATGGACAGAGACTATCTGCTGCGATCAACGACATAATCCAACGCGTGCTAACGTGGATCGAACATGATTATCACCGGCTGGCAAACGATGCCCGGTCCTTACACACACCACGCGATATGGCCGCCAAGCGCACAGCTCAAGAATCAGGGCAGATACCACATATGTCCTCGATGGTACCCAATCAGCGCCTGGCAGATTCTTCGAGCAGGGGCAATGTGTCATATGATTTGCCCTCGAGGACTGGCTTCTATCCAGACCCTTCTGTATCCGACCCCGGGGTGTACAGCCAGTCCACGGGCTATCCAGGCACACAACTTCAACCTCCGAATCCCGGGGCGCCCTATAATCCTGGTCACCCATTCACTTACGAAGGACAGATTAGAATGGAACCACCACATGGCCACGAGCACAGCTCAGGGCCGACTCCACGGACCGGCGCCTCAATGGACCCTTATGCGCCGGGTGGGGCACCACCAATGTCACAAACCTCGCAGCCCATGATGTGGCGCCCACCAATATCGACAACCAATACGCACGATATCGAGGCAGGCATGGCGAACCCGAGCGGAAGCGGGCCTCATGCAGGCGCAACATGGAGCGACTGGAACACGCCCATCCCTGGCAGCCAAGAGCACCGTTATGGGTCGCATTCCCTCGTGGGGATGGGTCCGGGCCCGCGACAAGAGACGCGCCCGGACAGTGGCATGCCGGTAGGACCTGAGATGGAGATGAACATGGGTCCTGGCGTGCCTGTTACCGGAAACGATATGCCTTGGCCCGGATTGATGTACCCAGCAACCTCGGAGCGGCAGCAGAGGCCGCAATGACATGATGCAGGAGCCATAGCAGAAGCCAATACTGATGAACCCTATTGCCGTTGACTATCCTTTTTGAGCCCATAAGGCTCCGATACTAAGGCTTTCCCGCCATCTTGGTGCTGATCGAGGTGCTTAGAGAATGCCTGTTCAAGCTGAAGTGACGAGTAACGGTGACGATCACAAGTATGGAAGTGCTATGCTTTTGCGCAACAATCAAAGTATCCTCGAGCACCAACGAAGCTTTTAGCTCAGATCGTAGGATTTGCTCCACAACCTTCAGCCCATACCAGAGCCTTGTGGGCTCCCGGGAACATAGGGCTGTCACACACTGCACCTGGTGTCTAGCACTAGACAAAACTGTGTTGGGGCAACGGTATGTGATCATTGTGCCTGCGGGCGAGTCGTATCGATCGGAGCCAGGTCCGATGGCTGATAGGTCCCAGTGGATCGGGAAAACTAGGCTACAGTAGGATGGCCGGGCTACTGGAAACGCATGGGGGAGGGGGGGTTGGGGGGGGGGGGGGTGAGTTACATTGGACCATGGGAGTGGAGAAGAAAACGATACCTTTCACACTCCCGTCACCAACATCAAATCTCCTACCCATGCATTCTTTGTGCCCGACCCAAGCGCGCCCAGCAGGAGAGGGTCCCCAGCCTAGAGCTGGCGCATGCGTGTCGTCTTGTCTGTGGTCTTGTACCACGAAATATGCCAGTCTGAGGTCGGGCGCACCTCAGCAGATCATTCAAGGCGAGGGTGTAGGGAGTCAGGGTCGGAGCCAACACATGATTTACCTTGAGCTTTTGTTGCTAGGTGCGACATCCCTGTGTGAGCCCAGGTGTCTTGATTCCACCACCCTCCGGAGGCTTGGCTAACTCTAAGTTATGGGTAGCCCAATGAATCCTTACTATTATCTGAGCGACGTATCCATGCAATGTGTGGCGCACAACACCACCTCTTGACAACGTCCTCCGCATCGCCTGCGATCCCAAAAGACCGGCTGATGTCGCAACGAAGCGGAACAGCGACTGCAATGCAACACATACAGTAGCACCCGACCATCCCGATTTCGGGCAAATGAGGCGTCCGTACTTGGCGTCCAAGACTTCGTCTGTAAACGTCAGCTAATTATTCAACCATTTTCGCAATCTGCCTATGAACTTACTCAAGTTGATGCGAGATAGCAACGGATTGACACCACTAGAGTCGTTACACAGGCACTCCAATGAACGTCCGTCAGGGGAGAGCTTGCATCTGGAGCATGTTTCCGTGAACGACCCATTACAATGAACATCTAAGCCTTTTGCCGGGACCAAAGTGCCGCCCTGGTTCCACAAGCAAGGTCCCAGGCTGATGTATGAGAAGTAAGTGAGATTAGAGGCCAGCTTGGAGTGAAAGCAATTCGCCTCTACAATAATGGACGACCCGCTACTCGTGCTTACAGGGTCTGCGTGTAGCCGAACGTCTATGAACATTGGTGTTAGCACTATACCTCGACGATATGCTTTGATGCCGTACCGTGAGAGTGGTCAAATTGATTTGCTCCTAATACTATCGGAGTGCCTACGGTTAATAGTAAAATACTTAGAAAGATCATGGAGATATGCTGCTCCATTATCGACAGAAGCGGGATGAACCAGTCTCGAAGACGCAGGCAACAAAGTGCCGCAAGGAGTTTAAATGTGCTCACACCGCAGTCAACCGTAAAGTGCTACATTATTCCTAGTGACCTAATCATCACCACTATATTTGGTCCATACCTGCGTGCGCAATGTTGTCTCAAGCTGCTGTTGCATCGTTGGCCAGAGGACGAAGGTCCCCTATGTGTGAGCGATCCTGCAGAATTGCTAGCAAGTCTTCTGGCTGTTTGCTCTAAATCCAACTAGTATACCTGAGATACCTCGCACGTTCAAAATGCTGAGCCACCTGCTTCATGGTGCCGGATATAATGGCTTCGGAGAAACCCCACGAACACCATGTCTACAAACGCTCGGCGCTGAGATTCAGCAGCGGCTCCTTGATGCTCCGAGGACATCTTATAGCATGACTCGCCCTCGATCATCATCCCGCACACATCATATTGAACGAACCAAGCCAGTGATGCCCACAGCAGCTTCACATGGAGAACGAAACACCGCGGGTCAGCCAGCATGTAGCTTCCTGGCAGATTCTCGAGATATGCCGCTCGTGGCCTGGGCAACTACACATGCATACTGGACTGTCAACCTTTACAGGCCAAGAGCTATTCAGACAAAGGACGCAGGAATTATGCAGAATTATTTATGAGCACTGGCCTAGCCGCCGCCATGCCCGGTGAACCCTCCCTCACAGCCTCCGTCTGCCGCCGCTCGCGTCCAGGATGGCAAGTTCGCCCTACACAGAATGCTATTATCATTCAGGCCAGCACTCTTCGCCTGAGGCTAAAGTAGTATCAGATCTAGGGCTATTATTTGTACCAACTCCAGAGAAAGGACCTGCTCTGTGATGTTCCACATTCAGATGCAAGCAAACTTTAGTAGCGTGAACGGCATAAACTGAAGCAGTCGTGTTCGCATAGAGGGCATGACGACACAAACAAACAAGGGATTGTTTATGGCTTAAGGAGCACTACAAAGAAGGCTGCGTGGTCAAGCGGCGGACCGCCAAAGGCTGGAGGTAAGCAGTGCATTAGGTGATCACCGATCTTAGTAGTGTAGCAAGCGACGGCCTGCCGACAGGAAGCCGTCGCTGAACCGACAGACACTATCGGCGCCACAACACACAACCGTCACGGGAGGCACAACTCACGATAAAGGACAAAGGACATATAGACGAGGGTTCTCCGAGATAGACAGCCACTACCTTTGTAGTTCAGCGATCAATCTAAGTATCGTTCCAATCGTCCACTTGACATAGTCACTTATGTGCACTGGGGTGATATCTCTTCCCAGAGACACGGCGCGACAACCCCAAAAGGAATATGACAGTACGGAGTTAGTATTGCTTAGGCTTCACCTACCTATCAGAACATAAACCCGTAGTATTCATGTTCGGCGACTAACCCCCGGAGCCCAGATCATGACAAGCAGGGTGGAGGCCAAAGCGGTTACAGCGGTGGCCACCGGGGTATCGAGTGACCAAACCAGGCAGGCAGCACGCTCTGAATACAAGTATCAGTACTCAACTACGTGACAGCTGTCGTCTGATATAGTTCTTCAGTCACTGATATAAATAACATGCACGAGTTAAAAATAGGTTCGAATTCTTCATAACATGTGAGGGGAGAGTGCTTCCTCATAGGCTTCCCGTTCATATCATAGCCGGGATGATGTAATAACCATAGTTCCTGCAATACTAGTAGTATTTAAGTGCTCAGGTACTCCAGACACTATCATAGCACGATATTATGTCCCTCGGCACAGGTGAATACTTGATTGTTCACACATATTCATAGATCACCCCGTTATTACCCTCTTTACCTAAATATGAGCCCTCTTTTTAGCACTTACGACCTCCTTGAAAGGCTTCTTGAGGACGATTGGTCTGATGTCCCGAGCCTTTCCCGATTTGGAGACGCTAAAGCGAAAGTCCAAGAAGAATTGGAACGAATTTCTACTGAGGAATGTTATGATAGACTAGAAGTAATGCTCCGACGATGGATTGATTGGAAGGGCCAAAGGAAGAACGACGCCACACAGATTATCCATAGCGGGCCTATGGGACTTTTCAGTCTTATTGAGGATGAAATTGCGGAGCACTACCAAAGCCTCGAAATAGGCAGGAGGTTACGCACTTATTATATCTACGCTAGGTTAATAGATATATCGATATTCGGTGCAGAGTATTCATATTATCTATCACCTCCGATGGATAGATGGAGCTGGATCAAGGGTAAGGAGCTGTGGAATATTTCACAAAACCTACTTTTGGAACATTTTCTCCCGATATGCCAGGGACATTTCGAAGTACCGGAGCGAGATATTCCGCAATTCTTGAGGGCCTTAGTCCTTCACCGTATACACGAATTACGACATGTCCATTACCTTGATTTGAGGCTCTTCGATAGTAGGCGTCAAGACGCAATACGGGTTACAATGTGGCAGACACGGCCTGCTACTGCGGCGGTCCCGATGGCATGCCCAGTGGCCAGGACCGGTCCAGGCTCACGGACAACATATGTCTGAGCTACTTCGCCAGAAGAGCCAGGCCGGCCCATCTGCGAGTGCACCGTCTCGGGTCGCGCCTGGACCACAAAGAGGTCGCCCGAAACTCCATCTCTTGCCCATTCGATATCCATGGCGCAGCCGTAGTGCCTCTCAATCACACATGCCCATCGTCCAAGCTGCAAGATTTCATGATCGCTGAGCACGAAGCTCGCACGCTCGGCCGCGGTCGTCGCCACGCTAGTCGTTGGAGCGTCCGTCTCTGCCTCGCCTCCATACACCATCTTGATGGCCTTGCTTCCACACGTCTTGCTCACAATGGGGACAACACCGCCCCCACTACCAATCAGCGGCTTGAACACCTCGTACTCGTCTGGATCGACCGTGCCCTGCACGACAGTCTCGCCCAGACCCCAGGACGCGTTGATCAGAACCACTTGGTCGTAGCCACTCTCCGGGTCGATCGTGAACATGACCCCCGCCCCGCCCCCTGCCCGGTTCGCGCGGACCATATGCTGCACACCAACCGAGAGCGCCACACTCGTATGGTTGAATCCCTTGGCTTCGCGGTAGCTGATGGCCCGGTCCGTGAAGAGCGACGCATAGCATCGCCGGCAGGCGGCCAGCACCTCCTCGGCGCCGCGTACGTTCAGGTACGACTCTTGCTGCCCCGCAGAGCTTGCGGTAGGGAGATCCTCTGCTGTGGCGCTTGACCTGACTGCAACGCTCGGATCGCCCACCCCCGCCTGGGCGCCGAGGCCAAGGGAAGCAGCCTCAATCGCAGCCGCGACCGGGGGTGGCCAGGAAGCCCCGAGGAACAAGGATCTGATGGTGTGGCCCGTATCAACCAGGTTTGTCTTGCCCTGACGCCAGTGGTCAATGGCCGCTTCAAGCCTGCTGCAGATGCCATTGACCTCAACAAATTGCCAGTACCTTATGCGTGGGATGTTGTGGCAAAGCCATGTGGCACGGCAATTTCCTCGCTATCAAGAGCGCTAATCATCTCACCCAGTGATGCGGTCTTGCTGCCAACCAAGGCCACATCCTTGAGAGACAAGGAGCGAAAGGTCCGGACAAACTCGCTCGATTTTTCCATCTTAGATTGTGGGTCTGGTGGTTCCTGTGGTGGCGATCAGTTAGAGGAACGATTTGTCATGGAAGGCTGTGGTACAGGGAGGGCAAGCTGATGTGGTCCAAAAAAAAAAAAGGAAAGAAAAACAACAACAAACTGGCTCCGGACCAGCCCCAAGGTCTTGGACGGGATGATATAGTCCCTCACCAGGTCAGCAATTGAAGTGTGTGTTCCAGGGGGTGGGCAGTTCTTGATGGCACTGTCTGACCCCGCATGGTTGTCAACATGATGCAGCATTGGCGCATCTGGCTCTCGGGTCGGCGTGTGGCTGTAGTCCGTAGAGTCTAGGCAGCTTGCGGCTGAACCGTGCAGCCTGCAGGTCAGTCGTGCAGCTTCGTGCAGCCACGCCACTGCAGGGGGCACAGGCGTGCATCGCATGTCAGGGCACCGGACCCTGACATGCAGTCAGACATGTGACCTGTGGTGATGCCTTTGTCAAATGGTGATCCCGGGAAGTATGCTCACTCAGCACATTCTCAGCTCGACACGTCCCTTCCACCTTGTCTGGCGAGTGCAGATCGTTGTCTTTTTTTTTTTTTTTTTTTTTTTTTTTTCAATCGCTTTCCGATGCATGTCTCGTCAGCCAGGGATTGGTCAACTCGAAAATCGAAGTGATGTGATCAATTTCTCATTCAAGTTATCTCCTAACGATTACAACTTGCGAACAAGTGGTCTCTTTGCTTGTTTCCCCCCCTTTTTTTTTAATACCTTTTAGCATTGAATCTTTTGATTCCTCCAAATTCGACGGCCGTCCAAGAATCCATATGCTGAACTGAACAGCCCGCCCTCTGACCAAATTTAGATCAGCAACCATACCCTTTTGAACTCGTGTGCAAAGGAAAATCAAGACACTTGCGCAAAATCCTCCAACCATATGGCGTTCATGTTATCGAGCTCTTGTTGGAATTTATTGAAACTCGCGCGCACATTGTACCATTGCATCTCGAGCGCCCGGGTCTTCTTCTCCAGCACCAGGACCTTGCTCTCGAGCACCCCGTTTTCCAGCCTTTTCTTTGCGCGGCTTTTACGTGCTGCCACGACGTTGCGCTGGCGCCGTGCGTCCGTGCCGTCCGCCAGAACTCGCATGTGTAGTCTCTGCTCGTGCACGTGCGTGACTGGCGTGATGTCGTGCTGCTCTGGACATGCGGGAATGATGCGTGGTTTGTTCTGCTCAGGACCGTCGTCACCTTTCGACTGCGGCGAGACGGGGTCGCTGTCCATAGAGTGTAGCTCCACGGTGTCGTTGCTGCTGTTGTTTCCGCTGTCTCCATGTCTAGCCCGAATACCTGCTGCATTGCTCTTATTCTGCTTTGCGAGGCCTGGGTTGAGCTCTGTGCAGGTCGGGTGGAAGTCTTCTCGAAAAGGCAGAGAAGGGATTTCTGAGACGTGTAACTGGGCTGCCCATGATAGTACAATCCCGTCCGTGTCTTCTTCGTGACTGCTGATAGTTGATGCGAGACTTGGTGACTCCGTCTGGACGCAATCCGGGATGATGAAGTTAAAGCAATGCTCCGGGGCCCATCTGGAGAGTCGCGAGTATGGGACCAGGGATGTCTCCCACTCCATGGCGTTCTCCGGTCCGCCAGGGAAATGCTTGTCCTTGATAGATATCTGGAGTGCAAGACTTACTCTGCACAATAAAAGTTGTCAAGCAGCTTGATGTGCTGAGCCGCTGGCAAAGATATGTGGAGAAACGTCAGACGACTTATATGCACACAGGCTGAATCCTGCTTTCGCAATGACCCAATGGCGTGGTACGACCACTTAGATAACCATTGTGCCTGACGCATGCATGCTCGTGACTAAGATCGACCACGACTAATTGCCGAAACGCCCGCAGGTTTGAGCTGCAACTAGTCGCAAAAGGGCATATGCTTGTGCCCTTGCTCTGCATAATCAAGCATTGCGACAGTAGCACAATGGGCGGTGGCCGATCGGACCAAAACGCGCCCGTTACACGGCCTAGAGTTTTGCCAAGAAAGGCCCCCTTGATAATTCAGACAGGGGCTCTTGTAACGTATCGCTTTGCCATGGCGGACACACAGGGGTCATATCCCCAAAATGTATTCCTCACACATAACAGCGCAACTATATTGTACGTTACAAGGATTTCTCATGCCAGTCCTGCTAAACGGTGACTTCGGGGGCTTTATCGTACAGCACTCTTCTCTGGCATAGAGGACACACGTCATGATCCCGCTCGAACCACTTGTCAAAACACGCCTTGTGGTAAATATGCTGACATGTCAGAGCTCTAATCAGAGTCGTATCTTGTATCGCATCCAGACAGATGATACTTTTCCAGGAGCCAATTGGCAATGCTCGTTAGAGAACAAATCTCATGTCCCGGAAAGGTCTCGTAAATCTTTATTCGTTGCGAAGGATCCATACACACGACAGACAGACTTACCAAAGTTGACTCTCGAAGCTGGATTCCGTAGCAGGGACGGCAGCTGGTAGGGATGGCCAGGCCGAGTCTCTCTGCTGCCTGCCCCGCCACTTGCTGAACGGCTCGGCTTGGAGCTGCTTGTCCAAAAGTCTGAGCCGCTGATTGGCTATTTGTTGGCTCCTTTCCATCGGAGCATCGGGTAGTTCATGTCGATTGAACATGCTTTACTGGTTCAGTGGTCTGCCCAGAGGATCGTGTATGCACATCTGCGGAGCTTCGGCCTTAGCATACAGTATCAGAAAAAAAAGCAGGACCGATGCTGCAAGCACGACAGCAGGGACGACTGCTGCCGGAAGGCTGCCAGACATGGGCTCTGCCGCGTTGGGCTCTGCCGGGTTAGCCATGTCGGGGTTCTCGGGTGCGGTCCCCGAAGGGTGGGGGAAGAATGTTGAGTGACTGGACATCCTTGATTTCGGCAAGCTGACGAGGGCGACGTGAAGTTTGAGACGGAATTCGTCATCTAAACTGCCAGGGAGATAGTTTATATGTATGCAAAGACGTGCCGCGGCCCCCTTGGGAAGCCAATCTCCGATAAATCACATACGGCACCTTGCCGGCGGGTGCCAGTAGACCGATGATGCATCCCGATGATGCATCCCATTCATCGGACCGAAGAACCCGAGTACGTGTGGCTTGCCGGTCTGGACTACTTTCAGGGTTTCTAGGCATGTCACTCCGATACCCTACATATCGTGGCGTGATGTCCCCCCCCCCCCCCCTTGGTACTATGGTAGGGTGGGCCATCTTGGCATTCCGACTGCCCCACACAACTCTTTCTTCTCGGGTACGCCCACCACCCTGCCCTGCGCGGGCCGACAGTAAGTGCAGCTCAGACGCATTGCTATCGGAACCCTGCGACGCCCTGGTCGCTCGATCATGGGCCCGCTGCAAGTTTCGTTCGACAGAGAGTTCTTGGGCCGCGCAGGGACAAGAGGGTTTGCGCTAGCCCCTTGTTCGGCATGAGCAGCGGAGCGGTGCATTGCCGCTCGGTTCCTGGCTTCATTGATAGAATACCTCTCATGGTCGGGCGCAGCAAACGCGTGAGTGACAACCTCAATTTCGACATGGATGGGCACAGGTTGGTATCTTGCAGGGCTGCAGACAAACGGCGCAGCCGCACCAGAAGGAAACAGAAAGGAAGAATACGGCAATGTCAGAATGACTCGGTGGGCTTTAGCGCATCGCCGTCTGTGACGTCTGCCGCAAGGGCATTCCGTCCCATTCGTCTCCGCTGGGTGGAGCGCAGTGTGAGTGAAGTTGGTGGCGTGCGGCCATTGACAAAAGTTCATCCGTGCTTACAGCATCTTGTTGGAGACTGTGTTGGCTCGGTCAGGTTCTCAGTGGCAGGGTCCAAGTGATGAAATGTGGGGCATCCACCGTTTCTCCGACAGGCCCGGGCTTCGCGCTCGTCTCCCAGAGTTGGCTCTCATGTTGCCAAAGGTTGCAACGGTGTTGAGTTGTGGCAAAGACTTCTCCGAGATAGGAGGACGGAGGAAAGCACAAGTTTCTGGTTAATGTCGCAGTGCGGCATGGGGCTGGGACAGTCTTTTTCAGCAATCGAAGCCAATGCTAATGGATGCGAGCCCGACCGAGGCGGACTCCGATGCCTTTACGCTGAAGTTATTTGCTGATGACGGAGATGGCGGTGGTGTCTACTTGGCACCGCAGCTTAGACGGCATACGCGCTGAGGCGCCGAGCTGTAGTTGAGGTTTCCCGCGCCACACTCGCAAGAACGGCCTCAGAGCAAGGGACCAGCAATCATCGACCAGGGGTGCATCACGCAATTGACACCCAGTCAGGATCGCCAATGCAAAGCAATGTCTCCAGAAGACAGCCCCGCGACGTGCTGGGCGTTGCGCGGAGACTGGACAAGTGGGTATTAACGGGTTGTTTTATCTGGTGGCGTCCTTCACACAGGCGAGACAGACTGGCTACCAGTAAATGTCAGAGTCCTTTCAGTGGTCGGACCTGTAGGAGCGTCGGCCTGCCTTTGGGACCCACGATCAAGGACAAGCCCGCTGGTTGAAGGAGACGTGTACTGGCTCTTGATTCAGCTGGATGACACGTGGTGGCAAGGGCCATGCAGCCTGCAAGCCACATCATATCAACCATCCTGCATGGGTGTTTCCCTCGTTTGACAGCAAGGATCGGCTCACGTCGAGCAGTGGTATGCAAATAGCCAATGACGGCCTCACTGGTGCTATGAAGACGACGAGGGTCTGATGTATGCCATTTGCAGTAAACTCGAGTCTACCCATTGGCCCAGAATGGTATTAAATGATAGGGCAGCCCTGCAACAGCATCATATCCTGTAGAGGGCACATCCAAGACCACAGAGCTTTGCGGAATCCTGCCGAGTCATCTTCCCGAGTTTCGAATATTGTGCCGCCCAGAGATGCATGCAAGGAAAAGGTTTGTGCTCAAGGCACGCGTCTATGGACGGCCGCTTTGTCGTCGTACTCTGTGTGGTAATTAAGGTATTGGCGGCGGCGACTAGGTACAGGGGCTGGCATGACGAGTTCGGGGCTCCTGGATCGTTTCTTTATCGTCAGGGAAGCCGGCATATACACCTCGGGCTGGACTGGGTGCGGCGGGTTCGATGTGAAAGGGTGCTGTACTTGTGTTGAAGGCACAGCGGTGAACGATTTCGGACTCACTGTGCCGCTGTGTGCCAGTACACCCACCGAGTATGCCGGCGTGCTATTTGGGGTCACACCAGTAGTGAGTTCTGACACTCTGGGTAACGCCGCGGCCGTCCTTGGCTGGCAACGGGTTTGTATTGGTGGCAAGGATCCGCCGTGTTCATGCATCGAGGGCGGCGCTGGAGGGGCGGCAAAGCTATGTCTCTCCTCCTGATGGTTCGTGGCCGCCGCTGTTGCTTGCGAGTGCTGTGGGAAGCTGTCTCTCCGGGTGGCACTGGAGCGGTTGTGGCTTGGCGGTCGCGGTGGCAATGCTGGTCCTGGCGGCACCGATCCTCTGACAACGTGATGGTTTGATTGTCCCATGACGTCTCGGGAGAAGGTCGAGTGTGTGTGAGAAAGCGAATGGGAGTGGGAGTGGGGATGGTGGTGGCCGCGAGTTGTGGATGCTCTGGTATGCCCTGCCTGTCCCTCGACGTTGACTGCGGAAGACAGAAGGGGGTCACTCCCGCCCTCTCCGCCATGTTGACCTCTCCAAGATGCCAGTGCATCGCCTCTGCCGCACGCCATGGTATGCCCATCTCCTCTGCCACCTTGGCCCACATCTCCTGTTTGAACCTTTATGAGTAGTTATGTCAATGGTTAGTTTAGGGTCCGGACGACATCGCCGGCAGTGACTGTGTTTGTGGGGCCTGTCACCGCAGCGGACACGCGGTCGCTTACCTCTCGTAAAGCCTTGCGAGCTTGTTCTTGCGCTCTTCATCCCATTCGCTTCGGCGTTCCAGGTAGTTCTGATAGTGCAGTCGACAACTGATGGCGCTTCGTCCTGGCAATCGTTTCGAGATGTCTTCCCATTTCATCCCGCTGCCTCTTAGATCGATAATTAATGCATCTTCTTCTGCAGACCATTTGCTCTGCTTCTTTGCAGGCGAGGCACTGCTTTGCGAGGCGCTGCTTTGCTTCTCTGCAGGCGAGTCACTGCTTTGCGCATGTTGCCCTTGGTGGAGCTCGGGCCTGTCCCTCGATGGGCAGTCGCGCTTGGGCTTGCAAAAGAACGAACGATGGATTCTGAACTACTACTAGCACCTCCTTCGCCGCTATCGCTTAGCACTCAGTCTAAGCCTATATTCGAGTTCGAGGAGCCCCCAGTCGGATGTATCATCGACAGGGCGGTTCCCAACCATTTGCCGGCCGGGGCTACTCGACCTTCAGGACAACGAATCAGCGCAATCATCTTAAAGTCAAACGTCTATCTTCCAACGCTGGTGGAAGAGCCTTTCGAGAGCGAGTCAGAGGAGGAATTGTGTGTCTCGGAATTTGCAAAACATGGCCTCTGTTTTTCAAGCCTTACAAACACCCTCGCTCTGGACCTCTTGTCCGAAGCGCGAGAGTTCTTCAAGGACAGTCCGCCTTCGGAAGTGGCAGGATTTCTCAAACACTGGAAGCTCTCAGAGTTCGGCAGAGAAAATGTAACGACTGAGTTAAACTCCGCAATCATGAGAGCAAAAGGGGAAACAGATACCCAAGATTCTGGTTCAATTGGTACGGCTACTCTGAACTTCCATCGCTACCTAGACTTGATCATGGAGCTTGTGGTGAATCCCACGCTTGAGGCTCTCCAGTCCGAACACGAACCCTGGACGCTCCAGTGAGCAACGAGGATATGAGAAGAGAGCTGGGAAATGGGGAAGACATCGGGATTGTAGTAGTCAGTAGCTGCTCGACGGCTGGTCCGTAACACATTCGTTTGACTGCATGCTGCTGGGCACTGCTTGTATAACTTCATCCTGGGGTTGGCCTTGTCGACTGGTAACAAGCAGTTGCTTCTCTACAAATCCAGATTGTAGGAGAGCTAAAGCAAAGATTGGTGGCGGACTATTGCCATCCCTGTCTATTGTTAGATGCAACACTTTCGCGTACTGTGAAGCGAGGTACGTACATTAGATACCAGTGATTCACAGTGGCTGCGACCCATCGGTTGAGGAAAATATTCAATCCAATGAGAATCACAAAGAGATGTGGTCCAAAGAGCACTTGTGCCTCATGAAGAGATATGATAGAAGCTGTAAAATTAGAGGCTGTATAGATAGCAGCCTGCGTCGGAAGGATCTTGTAAGTCGACATCGCCTTTATCAGAATCCGCGGGTACACGAAACCATTGATTACCCGAATAGAGGCACGATAGTAAAACTTATCGCCACGAGCGTAGCCGATGAGAGAGAGAGTAGCGCGAAGAAAGGCGATTGACTGGTAATTTGGGCGAGCAATAACTTTGTCCCCTGCGGATAGTCGTGATACAAGCCGCAGTGCGGTGAACGAATGGGCCAAGCATAAGGTAAGATCACAAGCTGTTGGGCTCGGCTGGGAGTTTATAGCGCGGAAATGGTAGCTGAATAGTTCCGCAATTGGAATGGCAATGTGACAGATGAGAGTGAGATGCCGAAAGGCGTTGAAGTTCTTCCGCCTGATGGGGAGCGATCGTCTGAATGCATGAAACACAAAGACACACGCATAAGTTGAGAAAACCCATAAAGGCTCAACAAGAGTTGTCGCTTTTTCGAGCATCATCCTTAGTGTGTCTTGTAGAGAACGGTAGACTGATTTGCAGTGTGGAATAGACAACGCCAAGGTTTGTGGTCAACTGAAGCCGTCTTTTAACAATGGCTTTGGTTGATGGCGTTGGAATGGGCAAGGGAGCGGATCCCGGGGTTGTACCCCATCTCCACGCACAGGGTTCCAACTAACAGGAGTGCTGTGAGGGGCCTGTAAGGGGCCTGTAAGGGGCCTTAACTACTGTCAGGGTCCCTGTGAGGGGCCATCGCAGGGATTCCGGCGTTAGCGTCTGGGCGCACTCGAATCAGCCAATCATGCCTATCGTGCCAGTCATGTTCAGCCATACCGAACAACTGAACAATACTTTAGCTCTAGGTTGACTAGCTCGGAATCATTTGTAAAGAGTTCGAACTGATGGATAGATCGTTAGGCGTTGCACTGTACCATGTTCGTCAAATTTCAACTTCTTCCAGCAGAAATTCGACTTCTGATCTGGCAAGAAGCCTGTTTTGATGAAGCTCAGCCCGGTGTCTGTGTTTTCAGGCCGAGCAAACGGACCGAAAACAGCTTCGAGCATTCAGGACTAGTCGTCAACATAACACATCCGCCATCCATACTCTCCGCGTGTGTGGAGTCTCGAGTCCTGGCCATAAAATTACTGAAACTACGGCGTGTTGAGGCCTCTACGCGATCCGAAAATACAGAGACTCAGGCTCCAAGCCCATGGATGCGTCCTTATCACCCTGAGACAGACGCATTGTTCGTCAGCGACATCTACTATAACTATTTCATGACGACCCTTTCCTGCCAAATTGGCCTCTCAGACCGTGGGTCGCCCAGCTTGTAATCGATGAAGGATCGCTGATCCGGCGGTTTGCAGGGTCTCTGTTTCTCAGCACTGCCGACTTCGGTATTCCGCAGCTGCCCACTTTGAGGAAGTTGTCCATTGCAAGCCTTGAGGACGAAGACATTCACGTCAACCCAGCACAACGACTTCTGGACTTAGTTCCTGATTATCATGCTCTTTCAAGCATCGTTGGTGGAGTCCTTCTCTCAAGTCTCATCTTCGCTGCAGGCCGGAAGGTTCACATGGACGCGCCAAAAGTTAGCTTTCTGAAGAAACGGCCTTGGTTCGTAGGGGAGGCTGATGATTGATCTGATATTGGTTCACCAAGAGGACGCCGTGGGATAGCTCATGTCCGGGACGGAGGTTGGTTCTCACAGGCGAGCTTCCTCTGCGCAGTCCCACGACTCATTGAGTAGCTCCGCCGCCGGGCTTCGTAGTTGCGGCTCGCCACGAGATTCGCTATCTTGACGGTCAGGAGCAAGTATTATCATTGTACAATGGATCATTACTCGTCACATGCAGCAGAGGAGCAGATATTTTGTGCTCGTGATGGCTTTAGGCCTGGCGCAGGCTTCAAACCCCCAAACGCCGCCCCCCCTGATACCTGCCACAATGTAACATTTTCTCTGGTGACATCAGCTTATCTCCTCTCGTCTTCGAGTTGCTGGTAATGTGTTGGTCCGCAAAGATGGTGTACAGAGTGACAGGCATCGATCAGGGGAGATCCGAGCGACCGGGAGCAAGGCAGCCTTGCCTAGCCAACGCTCTCTTCTGCAACTATTTATGCTCATTCCCTTCCCCGTCCTGACCTACTCTTCCCTCTCCAGCTTCTCACCCATACTCCTCAGCCATACTCCTCACCCATACTCCTCACCCATACTCCTCACCCATACTCCTCACCCATACGTCTCTTGGATCTCGAGACCATGTCGCATAGCTCGGGACTATCAACATGCCAGCCTGGAGAAAGTGCGAATCCTACAGGCAGTCAGGCTCCCGAGGTCGAGATTGCCAGACGTCGCAGCGCTGCCTCTAATTCAGCTCGTATCCACCGAACGATGCCCTCGGAAGTTGCAATTGCTCGATGCCCGTATCAACCAAGCTCTGCAGCAGGGACGCCCCCTCCCGGTAACGGTTCGTGGCCATCAACGTCTTGGGCACCTGGGAGTTTCAAGATGCAGCCCCAGGTCCCAGTCGCATTGCAATACCAACGCGCATGGAGAGCCCAGAAATGAGGTAAATTTCAGTGTCCTTGCTGGAGTTGATGGTTCTTCTTCTCCGCAAAAACCCCGCAACCTCTCAAGGTTTTTCATGTCCGCTGACGTTTTGTGATTAATTTCTTTCCCTTACGCGAGCAGGTCGACCCTCGTCAGCAGATCGAGGATCTCCATGACGCCGTGACCTGGATCAAGCAACATCCTCTGGTCGACGAGACCAAGATCGCATTGTGGGGATTATGTTGGGGAGGAACGTCACCCTTGCGGCGACTGCATTTGAGTACGTGTGGGCTGTCCTTCCGGTTTCACGCAACGAATTTCGCCCAGACTCGCCGTGGACCCCTCAAAGCTGATTCAGACTTCTTTTTCTTTATTTTAGCAAGCGTGTGGCGGCCACCATAGCCATGGCACCCATGATCAACACGGACGGCAGCGCCGAGAGGCGCAAGCCGCTGTTGGAGCTCGCCATGCACGACCGTGAGAGCCGGCTGCGCCAGGCGGGCCAGAGCCCCATGTACCTGCCCTACATTGACGAGGACGGCAACATGCCCAACGGGCAGGAGATGGCGCCCGAGATCGTCCCCGCGCTCGAGCGGCTCGGCATCGCCCTCGAGAACCGCATCTCGGTGCAGACGTACTACTAGTGCCTGGGGTGGAGCCTGCTCCACGTCGTCAAGTACGTCACGCCCACGCCGGCCATGATGGTCACGCCCGAGCTCGACGAGACGAGTCCCCTGGACAGCCAGCTTCATTGCTTCACCCAGATGGGGTACCCCAAGGAGTTGGATATCTTGAAGGGAAGTGGTCATTTGGACTGGATGTTCAAGGATCTAGAGCAGATTCTGCGCAGGCAGTTTGACTTTCTGAAGAGACACATGGAGTTCTGAGGGAGTTTTATTACTATGTATAGAATAGTATAGAATAGGGGGCCGCCGTCTATCCGGTTCTAAAACTTTATGTTGAACTTCTATAGCCGCAGGAGTACAACGTTACCCATCTCGCGACCTCTAGTGTATTTCCGCATGGTCCATTTCCGCCTGCAGTTGTTGAATGATGCGCCTCAGTCTCTCGCGCTCACTGGGTATGTTTTCGACAATCTCTTGCACATACTCAAGCAGACCACTGCGGCGCGGCGTCGAGTGGTGGGCTGATGTGGCCGACGATGCAGTAGACTGATCGGGGCCAATGTCAATGGCATAGTCGTCGGTGGCCATGGTGCTGCCGTCGAGCATGGCCGCGGGTGCGATAAACTGGCTCTCCTGCTCAGCCGTCGTGTTCGATATCTCCAAGATGCGGCCCATTCGACTGATGAGATGCATCAGCAATTGCAGCACCATGACGAACTGGGCGACATTGAGAGGTCCCACGCCGCTGTTGTCTCGGGCGGCGTGTTGTTGTTGTTCTTGCTGTTGTTCCCGCTCTTCTTTCTTGGCCTGCAGTCTACCCTTTATGGCATCGCAGATGGCTTGGAAGAGCGTCATGAGGTTTTGGTGACAAGCGAGAGCCGAGATGGCCAGTTCGGCGCAATCGGTCGTGGTCATTGACTCGTCGCGTCCTGCTGTCGCTACCGCATTCATGATGTCGTTGACGGTGCTTATCAGCGTATTCGTGTCCTCCAAAGCCTCGGTCACCTCGGGCGACGACACCATCAGGGTGGTCGCGCCTGCTCCTGTGCCGGAGCGGGCTAGGCGGCGGGCTGTCCGCATGACCCTTTGGCTCACGGCCGTCAGCTGGGAGAACAAGAAGCTCCTAGCGTCTTCGTGGTCGGCGTCGGTCTCCATCAATGGAGCTGGGGCGGTGGCGTCGTAAAAGGACATCCCCGGCATGCATGAAGCAGATACAGCGTCTGCTAGCAAGTTTGCAAGTGACTCGCGCGAAGTTGGGGGCATTTGAAGTGCCAGCAGGTGGTGCTCGGCGTCCGGCGCACCGAAGCCGCCGGCAGCCGTCTCGCTTTCGTCAACATGCAGGCCGGAAGAAGGGTGACCCATCAACGCTGTCATGACGTGGGAGGGACCAGTCGATGACCTGGGCGTCCCATCGACATGACCAAAGGCCGGCCCGAGGTCGAAGAGGTCTGTGCTTCTAATTTCGCTCGGCGAGCGAACAGAACAGCGTCGGCGCTGGCCTCGTTGTTTCTCTGTGAGCGATTGGTCAGCTTGTTGGGTTTCATCGTCTGTTGGTCCGCCCTGGCACCCGTACCGCTGTCCGTACCACTCTTTCTCCCCCGCCAAGTAATGTTACTGGACGACGAAAAGGATGTGCGGTTGGTTCCTTGATGAAAACGCATGAAACATACCACTGTACCTGCATTCCGCTCCTGCTTTAGCACAACGGTCGCACAACAGGGAAGCGGAAACCGGGCCTGGGCCTGGGACAGAGAGACTGTTGTCTCGCAAGCACCTCACTTTCTGCTGACGACAACGGTCGCAGGACTGGCGGTGTGCAGGTGGCATGGTATGCCGAAGACAGGCGGCCGGAGATGAAGATTGAGGAGATTGAGGATCGGCTAAAAGAAGCACTTATTTCCGGTGAAGAGTAGCGATGGGGAGGATGGCCCTTTTGGTGAAGCTGGTTGCACGGGGACCAGCTTTAACCACGATATCCGCTTCGTTTTCACTCGGCGCTACCAATCATGTATTTTTCCTGCAGTGTAATTCTCGCAGTTTCCTAAATCAGCTTCGGTTCTCCTATTCATCCGCGGCCGACTTACAGCGCTGGACGTCGATGATGATGTGCTCTTGTTCGCACCTAGCTATGATCACATCAAGCTATGATATGCGGTCAACAAATCCTCTGCGACGTTGGCTAGTATAAGGTGCATAAGTATTGCGCCATCTATGATATGGTACGCTGAAGAAAGGTCCCCTGCCACACTAGTTTAATGTACAAGAACACCTTCCTTGTGCCTGACGGAAAGGACCGACTCAGCCGCACGTACAGGTACAGGGCCGAGAGGCAATGGAACCAGCCGAGGCGGTTTCCAAGAGACTTGGCGCGTCCCCACCACCACCAACGTGTTCCTTTGTTTACATTACTACCACACTACCACATTGTCGAACCTCAAGTAGCTTTATTCCATGCCACAGACGGATCACGAGCTACTACAAGCGGAGGGACAGTTGCCGGAATGGTAATTGTATTGTAGTTACCGAGGTAGGCAGCAGAATGATCTCGTTAACTGCAGTGCTAATCAGTTGGGGGTGCGCTAAGTTCCTCGGAAACCATCTCGCTAGCTGCAGCTTACACGACGCGCTCTCATCATTGGCCACCTGGACTAGCAGGCCCCAGGGTCACAGCGTGATAAGCCTTTCGAGGTTGCAGTACATGTTAGTAGTAGGTAGCATTGTGGACGAAATAGGTCAAGTTCTGTCCAGGAGGACAAGCCGGGCCCTAGTGTAACCCCACGACGAGTGCCGATCCTGGCTGTTTCTGTGCTGCTCTGTTTGCTTGTTCAAAGAACCATGCATAGGACCCCTTTTCGTCTTTAAAGTACCATGCATAGGACTCTGTTCAGCGCAAGCTGTCATGTCGTATCTATCTCGTATTTATAAGCGAGCGAGGTTGTTTCGAATTAATAAGCGCATAAGGTCGCGGACATTCCGTTAAAACAAACAAGCGAAATTAAGAAAACTAAGCAAGGCTTCCTCCAGCTACTGTACACCGCCGTTACCATAACGCCGTCACCAACTCATCTCCTTGTTTCCTCTTCTCGAAACTCTTCTTTACCTCGGACTCTCCCATTGTTCAGTTCTCGCTCCCCAAAGTGGTCACCGCAAGCAGGAAACCATGTCTTCAGAAAAGGCCACCCCAACCGGCGGCGACACCGTGTAGGGGGGGTTCACAAACTACCGACGAATCACAGCTGTCTCACGGTTCTGATAAGCCAGATAACGAGGTCCAGCTGCAAGCTGACGGCCCCCCTGATGGTGGCACTGGCGCCTGGCTCGCTATTCTCGGCGCCTAGTGCTGTTCCTTCAATAGCTTCGGCTGGATAAACAGTAAGCTTTGCCTAAGCTTTGCCTAAGCTTCGCCGGCCCGTCCCGAAGCTGACATAGCGCATTCATCCGGCCCCCGACTTTTTCTTAGCGCTCAGGCCCTAACTCTTCTTAGCAGGCGTGGGCGTTTTTCAAAGCTATTACGAATTTAGTCCTCTCAAGGACTACGACAGCAGCACCATTACATAGATCCCGTCGCTCGAGATCTTTTACCTCTTTTTCATAGGGCCTACCGTCGGCTTCTTATTTAACAAGTATAGCCCGACGCCGCTCATTCTAGTCGGCACGTTCTTGCATATCTTTGGACTCATAATGGCGTCCCTAGCAACCGAGTACTACCAGTTCCTCTTGGCCCAGGGCGTCTGCAGTACAATCGGTCTTAGCTTTTTATACTCGCCCGGTAGGTTTCTTCCAGGCCCCCACGGCCTCATGGTCCAATCTTTAACCTCATCCGGGAAATCTCGATTTCCTTGCTGACAACACCCCCACGACAGCGATTTCGACTATTGCAACATAGTTTCACAAAAAGAGAGGCCTTGCGATGGGCGTTATGGTGACCGGCTCGTCTCTCGGCGGCGTCGTCTTCCCCATCATAATCAATCGCCTAATTGAGAATCCGAGCACCGGGTATCCCTAGGCCATGCGCATCTCCGCCTTTCTTATCTTGGCCCTGTAAATCGTCGCGATATTCACCCTCCGGACGAGAACAGCACTAGCTCCCAAGAAGACGCAGGCCGTAACCCTGGCCGCTCCCTTTAAAGAGTTCCCTTTCGTTATGATGTTGCTGGGAATGTTCATCCTAATGTACGGCATCTTTATTCCGGTCAACTTCTTGGCCTTGCAGGGTTTGGAGCACGCCCACGTGTCCGAATCCATGTCGCTCTACTTAGTGGCCATCTTCAATAGTGCGAGGTAAGTTTAAGCTTCCCGCCCCCAAACGCTAGGATTCGCTTAAGAGGTGGCTAACCTTGCGTACATTACAAAGTCTCTTCGGGCGTCTGGGCTCTGGATACTGGTCTAACATCGCCGGCCGATGGAACGTGTTCATCATCGCCGGTGCCGCCTCAGGCATCATCGAGCTGGCCCTCTGGATCCCGGCCACATACGAGGCCGCCACCATCGGCTTCGCCGTCGCGTTCGGCTTCCTCTCGGGCGCCTTCGTCAGCCTCCTCGCGGCCCTGCCGGCAACCGTGTCCCCTCTGCCCGAGATCGGCTACCGGATCGGCGTCGTCATGCTCATCCTCTCGCTTCCCGCCCTCACCATGGCGCCCATCGGCGGGAGCATCTTGCAGAGCGCGAGTTCGGTCGACGATGGCTGGCTGCACGTCAAGATCTTTGGAGGTGTTATGTCCCTCGCCGGGTCGGCCGTCGTCTTCTACGCCAAGACTCTCTACACTAAGAAGGTCTGGGCGGTTTTTTAAAAGACAGTGGAGGCTACGCACACAAGCACACGCGCCCACCAAGTCAAGTTCACAGGGGCGCGTTAAGAAGGCGTGATTGTTAGTCTGACACCTATAGTGCTTCATCACAGCAGTAGGGGATCAATTGTCGATGCTAGTGAAGGGCATCAGGCCTCAGGCAACATAGGATAGAAACGTCTTGTCATAGCATACTCGTTCGTGCAAATTACTTTGCCTCTTACAGACACGAAGCCGTGGTGCCACGGCTTTGTTCCACAACCTTAAATTCAAGAGAATGCCAAAGCTTACCGTCAAATTGTCTTCTTCCTCAATTTCAGCCAGGGCCTAAAGAGCTGGATAGCCCCGGTAGAGGGTGCCACCCGTGAGATAGTGGCAAGACTTTTAGTATGGTTCATTTTGCGCCGGCAGCTTGTGGCTTGCCGCAAGGGGGTTGGATCTTCGCGTCGTGCAGCTATGCCCACGCTAGGCGGAGATGCCGCTGCGCCATGGAAAACTGCCCTGTTCGATTGCCATCTACGGTAGTGCTACGCGCAGGCTTGCCGGCCGAGCTGCACGCAACTTGGGCCGACCCGTATCTGGGGCCCCTGTGCTCACGCCATCCATTCTTCCACCTTTTTCCCCTTGCCCTCCTCCATCCGCCCCCGTTTCGCCCGGTCTCGGTCACAGCCGCCACGACCAACGGGCCGTGTGCTTCTCACATTGAAGCTCAAAGATCGCCGTCGTGAAACACAGCCACTGCGGAGGATCAGCCTGAAGGTACAGTACGGTATGCATTGAGTAATCGCGGCAGCGAGAGCCAGGCCGCCTCCCTCTATCCTCCCCCACACTACGCAATGCTGCCATGATTCAAGCACGCCTCCGGGATGCGTGCCCCTTAGCCATGTTCCTGAGCTACCAGGGACACCCCTGGTCGACGATGCCAGCCCCTGCATGAAGCTTGATTGCCTGGGTCTGGTGGTGCGCACGGTGGGAATTTGGAGGAGCTCGCCCCTCAAAAAAACCTCTGTGGAGTTATCCAGGCGGTTTTCCTTCAACATGGTCATCACGGACAAGCTCCAGCAGGCCCCTTGCCCACGCGACTGGGCTTGTCAAGTGCGATCGTCCAAACTCTCAATTATTACGACAACCCCAACGGCCCTGAGCCCGGCAGCCCCCCTTTCGCAACGTCCATGGTTGCTTGTCCTCCGCACCGGAGGGTGAGGTCCATCGTCGTATCGGTGGGGGTGGCACATTCGTACAGTCCATCCACTTTCCACGGCACCGTCTGCAGCAGGCTCCGTCGGCTTGTCGATCATCAGCTCCATGGCAAAACAATGGGGAAACACCATCTTGCTGCCAAGACGACGAGTCGAGCTGGGCACCGGACTGCCAGGCGGCGCTCCGCTAGCTCCCCGTTGGCATCGCCATCAATGGCACCCACGAGACAAGCACGAGGTCCAAGCAACCGACGGACTGCTCATCATTGGAGGTCGATGCAGGGGTCCTCACGCGTCCAACCCCTGCCGCACTGCGCAGGGCTACGGCTGCCAGGGGACAACATCCCCGTAGGTGGGCTTGGTGGAGTTGTCTCGAAGTTCGAGTCGAAAACACTTGCAGGCTTGGACGAGCATGGTGACCATTCGGATCGCCAGATCCCGTATAACTCGAGGGGCGTCCCCGGCCCTCCTCGTCTTTCCCGCCTGGTCTCTCTCTCTCCAGTTTCTCAAGTCATCATCACTTTCGTCAGCCTGTAACAAAAAGTTGTTTGTTTCGCCAAAGCCTTTAATCACATACACACTCCTTCGACACTCTTTCCAACACACACACACACACAACACCGCCAACATGCAGATCAAGACTGTCGTCCTCTCCTTCTTCGTCGCCGCCGCGACCGCCCAGAGCCTCCAGGAGCTCGTCGCCTCCGTCCCCAAGTGCGCCCAGCCATGCATTCAGAAGGCTGCCGCCACGGTTGGCTGCGGCGTCACCGACCTTGTCTGCCAGTGCAACTAGGTCGAGGAGCTTACTGCTGCCGGCACCCAGTGTGTCGCCACCAGCTGCACTGAGGTCTCTGACCTGACTGGTGAGTTTTCTCATGCCTCTTTTCTTTCTATCAGGCTCTCCCGAAAAAAAAGCAAAGTACTGACTGCCACTGCTATCCAGCCACCTTCGAGATCTCTGCCAAGATCTGCGCTGCCGTCGCCGCCGGCGCGGTTGGCGATGCCGTCTCCAGCAAGGTCAGCTCCGCCACCGCGGCCATCGGCGCCGCCACCAGCTCTCTCGGCAACCTCGTCCCCTCCGCCACCCCCACAAAGTCTACCACCTCGACTCCCTCCGCGACTCCTGCCGGTGCCATCCGCAACGGCGCCGCGCTCGGCCTGGCCGCTGCTGCTGTCGTCATGGCTCTCTAAATTTTCGAGGCCATGAAGAGTGTGTAAGCTGGAGAATGGGCAACATGAAGGTTGCTTGTATGGACGGAAGCAGTACAAGAAAAGACTGCCTAAAGTCGGTTGGGCTGTGGTTACTTATTCAGATATCCCCCATTATTGTCGTTTTTGTGTTCACGTAGCGTCACAATGAACTGTCGTTAGTCCTATGCGAGGATGTGTGTGATCCGAGATTTTATCGTGCCTGTCCCTCCCACATTGACCATGGATCACGTACATGTACATCGCAGCATATCGGGTCGGTGTTGGTAGCTTAGACGGGGTCTCGACTATTCAGTTGTGTTGTGTCATCGGCGTGAAACCACAAGTCTGGCTGTAACACTCGAGCTATGACAACGCCTTTCCAGCGGATGCTTGGCTTGTGGCCGGCTTTCCAGTTCCGTCTTATAAAAGTCTTTTGGGGGGGGGGGGGGGGGGGATAATCATTGCTCGTCAGATCGCCATCTGCGCAGGCCAAGAGCAAGAGGAGCACAACTGCCCGGGACTGACCATCCTCGCTCGATACTCACTACACAGCCAGATCCGCGCATTCAAAGGCCATAACTATCATGAATGGTCTAAACTTTCTCTCGATGTGTAATTCTAGTTGGGGTGTGTCTCTTCGTCTATCGGCGTCCTGTCTGGCGCCTTCTGTATCCGACCCTCTGCCGCCATCAAAAAAGTGTATATACAGAGTGTATGAAATCAATCGCCCATCCCACCTTCTTTCTATGACGGAAATCTTACGTATGCAAGCTAGCTGAACAGGACGTCGGAAGGGGGACATGGACGTGCTGAGCTCGGGGTATGCCAACACCGACCCGACCCGACTGGCCTCAACACAAACACAAATTCCATTTGCGGGTGTGTGCCTTGTCATCGCAAGTGAAAGAAACAGAAGTCGCTCTGTTGCCACGAGGCACGGCACAATCTCCTTTTTGTTGAAAGAATGGGTGAGAGTGAGAACCCCTTGCGACCAAGCTCATCTCAAGACTCAACCTCAACCTCAACCTCAACTCTAACCCAGCGAGAACCGGCCTAGCATGCCCTCCTCGGTGCCGCGGAACTCGCCGTGCAAGCCCTCGAGCGCGGCAAAGTGGCTCGCATACGCCAGCCCGCGCTGCAGCTCGGCCTCGGTGCGGCGCCAGTCCCACTCACCATCTACCGCCGCCCCTAAGGTGTCTTCGCTCTCTGCCGTGGTTGACGGAGCAGCGGCGACTGGCTCGGCGGGCTTCGCGGCGCCGTTGGTCCCCTCTGTCGCGTCTGCCGAGCCGTTGGCCTGCACCTTTGCCTCCTTCTCTTCCTCGACTACTGGCGCACTGCCGTTCTGGGCAGCAGCACCAGCACCGGCAGGAGGAGTCGACACGCCGCTGCTGCTGTTGCTGCTGCTGTTGCTGCTGCTGCTCTCCTGGCCCTCCGGGGAGCAGTGACCCACCCGCCCGGCCGCTCCGGCAGGAGCCCACTCGCGCCGATCAGGACCGCCGGGTGCACGGTCAGCCGGCCAATCTTGAACACGTACTTGCTGATGGCGGTCGCGTAGGCCATCTTCTCCCACCCGGCGGGGAGTGGCTTGCCCGGCGCGTGCTTGCCGCTGCCGCCAGCGACGCCCGGCTCGAGAAAGTGCGTGACAATGTACATCCACTTCCTGTCCCAGGCGAGCACGCGCGAGTACATGTCGTACCTGGCAAACGGCCTGATCTCGCGCTTGAAGGAGCACGACACGGAGCCCAGCATGACCCCGAACTTGCCCCTGGCCGGCCGGCCCGTGGTCGGGTCCAGGACGAGCCCGGTCTTGGCGTTGTTCCCCGCCAGGTGGCACCCCTTTGCGAGCAGGTGCGCGATCAGGTGTGTGCGGCTGACGTCCAGGTCGGCAAAGTAGGTCGAGTTGGACTTGTGGATGTTGTAGTCGACCTCCATGAGCGAGGTGTGTGTCGTGCTGATGACCGGGTGGAAGAGCTTGTCTGGCGAGTGCGAGTGTGGGCGCCGGACGAGGAAGTGCTGGATCATGTTGCCGAGGACGCGGACCTGTTTTTGGGGGGGTTTGGCTGGTGTTAACATGTTTGTAGTTCTTTCAAGAAAAACGGTACGGGGGAAGAGCAAGGCGGGCGGGAGGGGAGAAACAGAGAGAGAGAGACAAACGTACACTCCACGCAAACGGCAGGCTCTTCCAGTTGAACAATAGCACCACCAGCGCGAACAGCCGACTCCATTTCCTAGGACCGGTCAGGAACTTCTTGAGCTGCAGCGCCACGTCGACCTTGTATGCGCCGTACGCGAGCGCCGGGACCAGGACCGGGCCGGCGACGCGCGTGATGCGCCGCATCGCACCTGCCGAGGAGGCCATGTTGAGTGAGGGCCTGGTGTTGCGCGAGCCCGGATTGTGTATGTGTGTGGTCCTCGTGTCAGGAATCTAGCTGATCTTGCGTGTAGCGCCGCCGCTGCCGCCGCCGCCTGTGCTGGGTACTCGACGAGACTCGCTGCGCCGGCTGGTGAACAAGGCGACGAGCCGGGAACGCAGGGCGCCGAGGAGGACGAGGGCAATGACGAGGGCCCACAGCGGGAGGGTGCGCAGCCAGCAAAGCAGTGTGTCGGCACACTTGGAGGCGATGTTGGCGCTGCTGTTGGGCGCAAGAGGCATTCGCGAGGACCGGGTTGTCGTGAGGAAAAGGAGCGTCAGGGCCGGCAGAGGAAGATGAAGCCAAGCAGTTCGGATGGTCCGGTTGGCACGTGTAAGTGGAAGTTGGCAGACGGGACCTGACCCAGCAGATAAAGGCTTCAGGGGTCAACGGGTTCGCAATGGTTGGTTGCCCTGAGTGCGGGAGCACCCCTGCCGTAGCGCCACTTTTTAGCGTACTGACACTGACGTCTCGGCCATCCCGTCAGTGCTGCGCCCACTGAGCCGAGGCCCATCCCAATACGGAAGTCGGCCATCCGAGCTGGGTTTGGTCGTCCTTCAACGTGCCTACAGCCAGGTTTGTGCACGACACTCAAGCCAATGTTCGCAAGGAGCACAGAGAAAATACTAGATGTCGGAGGCGCTCCCATTGAGTTGCGAGCCAGCATGCGGAAAGAATCGACCGACACAGTTGCGTTCAAAAAAAGGGCTGGTCTAGAATGTTCTGCACACTGACACTGAACAGACAGCTCGTCCGGCCTTCGTAGTCACAATGTCTACCCCAATTCGGCAATCAAGACCCTAGTTCGCTAGTAGTCCCAAAGAAGGTGGACTGGGCCTGTTTTGCGTACATGCAGGCTTAGCCTCGCTACCTCTCATAGCCGACAGTCCGGGCTCTGCAGCTCGCCTTAGATCTGCCATATTCTTGCCGGCCAGATGCTCGGCCCAGCCCATGTGGCGTACCTAATGGCGATTCGAAGTCGATGCCGGGCTTGTGATCGATCGTTCGGCAACGCTCCACATCCTCGGCGGTGATTCTAGCCTCGTACGCGGCTATGTGGGTCTCCCAGCCGTCGTGAATCAACGACTCCCGCCCCGCCTGCGGTCCGGGATCCGGTCCCAGCCCCACGTCGTGCTCCTGGCACCGGAGCGTCGACTATCCAGTACCGTCTAAACTGCCTAGCCGACGAGAATAACTGGAGCGCTACCTCGGTCCAGCTACTGAGGCCATCGTGCTGTGGGCGTCCATCCTCGGCACTGCTGTCTTCTTGGTTCGCAATCCAGTGCTGCGACATGAGCTGCTGGCTTATTGTGAGATACCAACACTCGCTACAGCAGAGCCCCTCCTGGACCGCAAGCTGCTGGATAGGAGTGTTGTCATCTGCCGGAAGATCTGCCATGTATGGGTCTACAAGCCCACCGGTACTAGCAACTGTCGTTGCAGCAGCTGCCGCGAGCTGGATAATCCGCTGTAGCTCGTCCTCTTTCGACTTGTGCTTCCGCCGAAAGTGCACAGTGACCTTCTTGCCCGGTCGGATAGCCGCTTTACAGTGTAAGCAGACTAAAACCCGAGCGGGTTCGTAGAGAAAGACTCTCGCTGCTGGCTCCCGCTCTATCCCTCCTCCCCCTCTACCGCCCTCACTTCGCTACTTTCCTTGCCCATCGCTCTATCCATAGCTGCCGTGCGCTAGCGTTCGTTTTGCTTTACGGTGGGATGTACTCCCTCGCGTGTTATCGGATTGGTCTCGTATTGACTGGATTTGCCCTTAGCCGTCTTATGTCCTCCTCACTTTATATGGCCGACAAGTCTATCTCGCCCGTCCCGCGTTGCCGCGTGCCCCCTTGTCGCGTCGCATTGTTCTCCGTTATACGAGCTATCACATTAAACTTTAGTGACCCGGCTGGGCTCGGGGGATCACCCGGGCTCAGCTACTTAACCCCAGCCGTTACGCGTATCATGATGGACCTTAATTGGAGTAACGTAGTTGACCTCAATGGTTCTCAATTAGTCCGTAGAGAAGCTTCAGCCTTTTATTTCAACTTAATTCTGACCCCCTTCTCCCCTCTAACATTACCGCTGGTTCGGTTTAGCTGAGATATGTCGCGAACTATTAGGTAAGAGTTCGCGGGTGTTCCTGGCAACCCCAATAGGGTACTACTCGAGCCTAGATTCGGTCTTAGATAGCACACTATACTATAGTACGGTCAGGAGATCTCGTTCGGCGGGGGAATGGATGAGGAGTAAGGCCAGATAGATTTGGTATTAGAGAATGCAATATAGGAAAGTGGCTTTCTAGATACATTTACCCTCTCAAGTTAGAAGCCTACTCTCGACCAATCATCTATTGTCCCCACCGAGAAATCACTAGCTCAAGTTATTGTCCCACCGCCATTATATCAAGCTGCCGATGGCCTCCCAGACTGCGCATTCTCACCCCCATTCCGACAGGGCCATCCAGCCCTCGATCTACAATTTCAACACCCCCACCCCCTCCAATCAGCTGCTATGGCAACCTCCATCCAGCACCTCTTATTATTCGTCGGCTTCAATTGATATGCTTGAAAGATAGAACACGCTGGATCATATCTGTAATTGGGCTATCGTGAGCGCCAACACACGAGGCGAGGACCCCGGCAGAGTGGGGCTTTCCAAAAGGAAGAGGTCGTTCTTGAGTACGCCTTCGTGCACCTACCTATTAAAAAGGGCCTTCACGGCATCCACCTCACATCATAATATGCAATAGCTGTGGATTTTCTAGACTCATTGGTGTTCTTTGAATTCCATAGAAATCCACTGCTGGACTCTCTATTTCGAGCGGCATCTAGCTGGTGTCCTGAACGGAGGTGGGCCGGAGACTGAGAAAGCGGGCCCACCGTGATCAACGAAACTTTGCCTGCAAACGATGGCCAAGCATCTGGTCTGCGAGCGTGTGGAGAATAGCTCGCTCCATATGCATGGGTGCTCTGGGTTCTACGAGGCACCGGCTCAAGGGTGGCCAGCTACGGGCGGTCAAATCAGCAGCGGCAGCAGTAGCAGAAGGCTTCCAAAGGCACGTGGACCCATACGAGGCAGAGCCCCCGGTGGGCGGCAGTCCAACTATCACGGAGCTGCAGGTCTACTCCGGATTCTGCTGTATAGCGTGCTGATTCGTGACAAGAAGGCGGGAAGAGATTCAGAAGCACCGGGCGAGAGAGGCGGTCAGCCATGATCCCGGCCAAAAGGACTGTTCGGCAGGCATAGGCCACACGTATTGGAAAGAAGTGCGACTACAGTCGTTCTCGTCGGCAATGCACCGCACGCGGTACTGGGTCGTAGGAACGCCGGCAGCGGGGCAAGCTACCACGCATGCAAGGGCGGAGCCGGGGCCGGATGGCGGCGGTGGAGGTCAAGACTGTGAGGCCAAGATGGCGGCAAAAGTGGTGACCGAATATGCGGAGTGGGGCCGGACATGGCCGAGCTCCAGCGCGTAGCTGGTCTGCATGCCAGCTCTGTCCAGGATCCAGAAGGGCCTGGTAATGATCATCGGGGGATCTCGCGTTGTCACGAATTAGGCCTCTGCGTATCGCATTACAGGTCCAGAGGGATTGGCGCGTAAGTATAATACTCGGCGTAATCTTCTGCATTGGGGGTGCCTTAATGGAGAATCTGACTTTAGGTCGCTGTGGTGGTGCCCAGCATGGCGGGGGAACACACAAAGCAGAGGCGGCTGGGCTTGGCTGCTGGCACACGAGTTCGCTGACAGGCTTGAGGGTGGGGAGTATTCGCCGGCTGAAATCCAGTCTTTTTTGATGGAGTATAGGGCCTCACCTCTCATGGCGGTGGAGAATGTGGTAGAGTGGATGGTTAGGATCAGAGCGGAGCGGGCTGATGTGGTCAGTGAGGAAGTCGAAGTCTTGAGCCAAGAGACATCGTCCGTGACACCAATCTCAGGCGTTGTTCAGTCTTCCCAGCACACAGCAGAGGAGTTGCCGGATCAAGATCATACATCAATGCAGTCAGGTCCAGTTCCCGGGCCGTCGGCTTCCTCCCGACCAGAAACTCCAGGACCCGTCTTGGTCGTCCATAATGGACCCACGACTTCCTCAGTTCAATCCCTCAGCCATCGTCCCTTCTCAAAGTGCCCAAGCACATCCGCCACAGACTATAGGAGCATCGCAAGAGCATCTGCGAAATGGAGACACACAACTCAGAGAGACTTCATTTACGACTTGCACTATGGACGGTCGAACTGAAAGGACCCCCAATACCTCACTCCCCGTGTCGGGCCGCCTTAGTGGTCCTACCGAGCTACACTCTCTTGAAACTACTAACACATCGACATGTATAATTGGTGCGGTAGCCTCGGATCAAGGCTTGCTCTCCTCAATCTCCGTCGCAATCACGCCAACTAGCCCTGATGCAACGAACATGGCCTGCCATTCTCGAATCTACAAGAATCGCAGGTGTGGGTCTGGGGAATCTCCTAAACCAGATACTGACGGAGAGCCTATTCTCCCTGTCGACACCGTGTCCTCTGACAGCTTGACTACGGTGGTTCATGATATTACTGTCTCGGCAGATCTATCTTCGACTACTGAGTTACAAACACATCTGGCTTCTTCTGCATCGTCACTATGGGGCTCATCGTCTCCTTTGGCTACGGGTCGTTCAATTGACGGAGATTCGGCGTGTACCACTTTTTCAGACCTCGACGAGTCTTTCGAAGAAGGCCCCGAAGCCCCGGTTTTCGAAATGTTAAGTTGCCCTATACATACCTGTTCGATGGTCGAGTCGTCGTCCTTGCGAGGTCCTCCTTGCGGGGCAGTAGTGCTTTGGTGGCAACAAAGAAGTCAGTCCGACGAGACAAGACAGGCGTAGGTAGAGGGCCTCGGGTGACTCTCCGCGAGTCCGTCACGCACGGCGCCGGCGGGCGATCCTGGCACTTGTAGCGTGGCGGGACGCTGTGAGCCGGCATCCCATAGAGCGGAAGCATTTCGCTCAGGTGTCCGATGGACAGTTCCGTGTCTCTAGAAAGTGTGTCGCGTCGCGGACCGGACTGTCAACGAAGTGCTGCTTCCTCCCAGCCTCATGGCAGTGCTAGGAAGCCAGCAAGGCGTCCGCGGCGCCATCCCGACTCTGAAGGGCCTTGGTTGCGAACTGCGATTGACGTTGTGAGAGCGCGGCACAGGCTCGAAAGCTGATACGGCTGCCAGCCTACCAGCGAGGGCGGGGCATTTTGCGGAGCCATGGAGGCCGTGAGCACGAGCAGGAGCGCTCGGGGTCGGATCGAGAAAGCGTCGGCGCTGTCGGCCGTGGCCTTCAGTGCCAGATGGGAAATGGAGGCGTCTGTGCGAAGCTCATTAGTGGACGGCCAGCTGATAACCGTGGAGACGACTGTTGCCTTACCGTGTGTCCTCAGTATGTCCTCCGTTTCCCGAGTCTCCGCTGTCTTATGTGGACGTGAGCGGGGGCATCCACAGACACGTTGTTCTCGCGCTTGACGCGACTGACGCGGTGGACGGGTGCTGGCCGGGTTCTCTTGGCCAGAAGGCTTCTACGCGACGCTGGACCTCAACTCTTGGGATCCTGCACGCTACTCTAGCCCCTCTTCTCTCCGCTGGCGACCCATGATACGGCTTGCACCGTGAGAGCACCCCCACGGACACTGTCGCTTCATGGCCGCAGGTATCGCGGGCGTAAGTCCTGTCGTGCTTTGCCGCAAGCACAGCCTCCTGATAGCCGCACGAAATGCACAACGGGTTGGGGGCCACGAGAGTGCCTGTAACATCCCGCCTCAGCCACACATGAAAGGGCAGGTTTAATTCGTCAGGCCAAAAGTCCCTGCATGTCCTGGAGTCCCCTCACAGGCGAACTGCGTCGCCGTGGCCCCGCGTGAATCGTTGACCGAGGCCGCGACTTTCGCGCCCAACCACTCCAGCTCGTCAGCCGCTGGCATGCGGTGACACCTTTGCTTGCTCCAGAAGCTGAGCCCACCTTGCATCGATGACCAACCCACCCTCAGCGAATAGAATTCCATCTGGCCCTAAACTCAACTTTGCTGGATGTTGGGCAAGGGAAGAATACGGTAAAATTTAGCTGACCCGAAGAGGCGAAAGCCATTCATTGCACCGCTGAGAATGCAACGGTGGGGCGAAGCACACGTCTATCCGACAAACCGCAGGAGTCCTGAGGCCTGGCCATTGGGCCGCTATTGTCGCGCTAGATGCGATGTGATGTGGCTTCTCCCGGTGTGATGTGGCGGGAGAAGCCACCTATCAGCGGTCTCGACACAAAGCGCGGCTGCGCAGGCCACCCCTTCACTGGGTTCTGTCGTGAAGGACAGCGTACAGTATGAGGCATGTATGTGTTCTGTCCTGGTGATTTTGAGGTTGAAGCTGCTGTTATACACAGATGGAAGTGGCAAATATGCTAGGCAGCAGAGTACTGCCTAATGGTCCATTCAGATACCGAAGTCTAAGTCTTCCAATGCCTTGAGAGGCCCGTGTTACGTGACAGGTTCTTCAAGCGGGGCAAATCATTCGAGCGCCGCTGCATTCTCTGCTCAACACACAGCATCTGCTCCTCTTTCGCCATCATCTGTGCGTCCAGCGAGTCTGAATTCGCCAGAAGCTGCTGTCCCCTCATTACCGACTCGAGAGATCCCATAAATGGATGATAAGCCACTATGTCTGCTAGCATTGGGTAAGCTTGTGGACCGAATCTGCCGTCACTCCTATCACTGACCACTGCACAGACGGCGGGGGCATCCGTGGGCTCTCCGAGCTCGTGGTCCTCGAGGAGATTATGAATCGGATCAAGTACGACCTTGATGTAGACGGAGATCTTCTGCCGGCGGATTTCTTTGACCTTATCGGCGGCACATCTACAGGAGGGTAAGAGGAGAACACTGTTGTCACCACTGTTACCCGCGCCGGAGGCTAGGCCTTTCCAACCTGTGGCCTCCGGTGTGTCGCAGGGAAGAGGGTCCAAATGACAGTAACCTTGGGCTTTTTGGGCCTGATTACGTTGAGTTATTTCCAAAAACTTGATTTTGACTAAAGTTGATGTTAGAAGGTCGGATCAGCTTACTTATCTGCTGCGGGGTATACAGCGTTCCGAATTCGACATGTCTTCGGATCCTAGGATCAGAGCGAGGACGCCCGTCGATTTGGTCATTGACAACGATACCCGGTGGCTTTCTCAACTGTATATGATCAGGCGAGCCATCACTCTTCGGCCCTACCTCGAACAGCTCATATTGAAGCATCGTCAACAATGGGAGCAAGAAAATAGGTCGAAGAGGACAGGCAATGTCCGGAAGTCAGCCAAGGAGCCCCAGATCTGCTTGGAAGAAAACCAGCTAACAGCCCATGATTGGGCTGTCCTCGAGCACCTAGCTACGGTTCTGGGGTTCTACGAGGATGCCGTCAAGACTCTAGAAGGCGACGGTCAAGTGCGCAAGCGGAAGCGTGGATGGGTTGGCTCCTATGGGAATGTATGGGAAGTCATCCAAGGCTTCGAGTTTCTTCTGGAGGTCCTCGAGGAGAATAAGCAACTTGCGGCCGGAATACCCGACCCGGAGCACTTCAGAATCAACGTTAATTTGGGGTGGGAGAAGCTGAATAAGTACTACCGTGCGCTGGACGAGACGCCGATCTATTATACGGCTTTGGTCCTGCACCCGGCTTTCCGATGGGGATATTTCGAAAACGAGTGGAAGGACAACACGAAATGGGTGACGAAGGCGAAGCAAATGGTTCGAGAAGTGTGGGAGACGGAATATCGTCACCTGCAGGTAGCACGAAGTCCCGTGGTACATGAACCGATTGCTAAGCGACAGCGGAAGTACTACAACCCTTTTCAGGCGTACTGTGAACGCACTCGACTAGTCTCTGGATGCAGCACGGTGAAAGAGGAAGTTTCCTGGTCCGACCATATTGATGAGGATGTGGACGAATTGGAACTATGGCAGTCGTAAAGGGAGGACGGGGACGGCGATGTCAGAAACCCAATAGCGTATTGGCATGAGCGCAGACGACGATATCCGCGCCTGTCGCGAATGGCGCTGGATTTCCTTACGATTCAGCCAATGTCAGCAGAATGTGAAAGATTGTTTGCAGCGGCAGGACGCATGGTGACAGCGCTGCGAAGTCGGCTCGATGCTGATATCATAGGGATGTGTCAAGTGCTTCGATCGTGGTTACGGGCGGAGTGATGGACGACCTGGACGTTTTGCTTCTTCCCGTTGAGGAGAGTGCTGTTGACGAGGGTACAGTTCAGGAGAGTACTGGTGATGAAAGGGGGGTCAAATGATGTGGATAGGAAATAGAGGACGAAATGCCCGAAGTGAGAAGGCAGAATAGAAATATGCGGGCTGTGTGTAAGACGTCAACTGGTGGACATTCAACTCAATTTGACCCCCAATTGGACTCCACCGGAAAGCATCGTTGACTAGGTCAACTCAACGCAACTGAGGCACTTGGTGGATTGAATTGAGTGGTGCGCACCCTTGTGCATCGCTCAGCTAAGGCTCGTCTTTTTGAACAGAAAAATCAAGCCAAAAAGATTTATTTGCGCCAAAGCTATTGTTGGAACATCGGCGCGGACGGCGCTGGCAGGGGCCTCCCTGCTGGTGCTTAACCACGTGACCACCCTGGCATATACCTTCGCGCCCGACCGGCGTGCGCGCCCCTTTCCTTTACTAAGAACATCATCGACTATCAGAAGCTTTAATACAAACGGTATTACGGCTTCCCTTGTCGAGTCCCTATGGGGTTATGCTTTCACCCCTGTGAGACCTACAGCTATGATTGAACTGAAATATTGAAAACATCGTTGGTAATTTTCGACCTGTCTCTCTGTACGATAGGCTCCCATGGTCGGAAATGTTGAAATGGTAGAGTATGGAGCCTTGATTGACTGTCCTTACCCCTCGAACATCGGGGGAACCGGCCTACTTATGTTTTTGAGCCTGTCATGCTAGGTAGAGTACATTACGCAGCTGCCTCATTTCAGCAGGAAACAAGACGCTGCATCCTGGATGTCAAGCAGCCCCCAGCTCTTTTGCAGTCGCTGTCGTACTTCCCCTGGTCCCCGCCATCTCCAGAACTTTCAGCTTTCATCCTTCTCGTCTTGTCCCTCGCTTTCATCTCATCTCTGGTTTTCGCCGCGAGCTCCGCATTTACATGGGCATCCTTTAGGGTGGCGAACTTCACATGTTAAACGCCACCTATATAGAGTTCAGGTGACGCAATTCTAGGAGCAACTCTGCGTCTAATACAGTACACTGACAATGTGCTGGAAACCCCTCCCTTCACCGAGCCTAGTTCTGTCAGCCTCTTTGCATGTGATTCTTATCCAGAGGGGTCGCAGCAAAAAGGCCGGTATAAATGCTATCCCCACCACCACAGTAGTGGTTGTAGGGATCTCAGACCACTCGAAAGCGCTGATCTTTGCCGTATTGTAGCAAGCCTAGTGGCTGAGCTAGTCGGTACATTGAAGACAGGGGCGTCACAGGGGGTCCAGCGGTTGAAGACGCTCTGGCTCATATTGGCACTCAAATTTGGTACTAGAACGGGATAAGGGCGTCGAAAAAATAGTCCTTGGCATGATTTGCCCCCTGCCGCAGCAGTGGCCAACCGCCAGCGGTGGGGAGCCGATCAGGCTCTAAGGCGAGCTTGGTTGAACGATTGAGGGCTCGTGAGGACCAAAATCAGGCCGAATCGGCTTACCTCTTTTTCTTATTCGTGAGATTGCATGGTAATAGAGCGGTGAGTGGTAAAAAAAGTTGCCAAATGTTAGGGTGGCCAAATGCGGGGGTGGCGACTTAATATTCTGTCTGATATCAGCGGCGACGGTGCAAAGCATTAATGGAATCTGTTCTGATAAAAGTCTACGTCCCATTTCGGAACTGATCATCATTCGGAACTCTTCAGTTTAACGCCATGGCATCAAATGCAACCGCCGTAAAACCACAGTACTTCGAAACGATATGGGCCGCCTTCAGCACCATCGGGCTTAACAACGTACTTGTCGGCCTTATGATCGCTGGAATCAGGGGCAGGTTCTCAGCCGTCATCCTAGTACCGATCGTTACCTCGGCTGCGTGTGCTATCTCCAATGGTTTATATTACTACGTTTCTTTTTCCGACGCCCCGGCCGTTAACAGGGCGGTCGCTTATGCGTTCTCGGATTTCGCGTGGTTGGTGAGCGAGACGTTTCTGGGCCTCCCCATCCGTCCCCCGGGGCTCAATGTCCCCGTCTCCGTTCCCGGCTTGCTATGTTACATTCGACTAACGCGATGGCCACCTCGGCCTGCTCCAACAGGTTCAAGAAGGTGGACTCCCATTCTACGGCTATGCGATCCTGGCCCCTATCCTCTACGGCGGCGAGCACGCAATCTACCTAACGCTCTTCTGGGGGTGTATATTCGTCACCGTGGTTGTCCGCGTTGCAATAGCCGTGGTCGACGTGCTCTTCACACTCGCCGACGACCCTTCACCAACCCCCCTGGCCATACATTTGACCATGGTCAACCGTCTGCACTTGGGCTACTTCATACCCATCGCGATGGCCGAAAGCGTAAACGCCGTATTCTTGCTGAAAAAGCTCCGCACGACCCTCCGGTCGTCGATATCGGGCGGACTAAAGGGCGGCAAGCTATACCGCTACCTCATACGCAGCGCCGAAATACGCCTCGCTTCGCTGGCGCTCATCGGCATCCCGCGCTCAATAACATTCTTTTTCCACATGGTGTCGGGCCCTCTAAACCCAGTCAGCCAGATTGACCTGTTTATTTACACTCTGGGGTGTTTGTTCCCAATCATCCTGTTGTACGCTTGTCCTCTAATCTCGACATCGCAACGTTAATAAATGGTTAAGCCTGCTAACCGAGACATCATACAACAGCGTCGACATCCTCGCCTCGCGTCTGGTCTTCGCCGAGGAGAGCGCTGCGAAAAGCAGCAACATCGACAGCGTCGTGCTAGTAGACCATGCTATCAGTAAGCTGCACCCTTCGGCGTCGCAGACGGCCGCAGGCGAACGCCACGACATCGGCCTGTTCGCCATGTCGCACATCGAACGCGATGTCGGTGTGTCTGGTGCAAACAGTCCAACGCCGTCACGGAGACCGAAGTCGCTACCAACTATACAGGGGGGCGTGGCATACGGGCGGCTGGATCACCAAATGGATCAAGGTCGAGGTACATGAGGGCGGGTCGATGATCATCATGATCCCGCCGAAAAAAACCCAAACGTCAAAAAATCACGTGCTGTCGCACATGACTCTCACCAACTGTTTTGGGCAGCTGACTGCGCGTCGGGAGCCCATAGAGCGACGGGTACCCGTCGCTCTATGGGCTCCCCTGCGCGTCACACTCAGGCTATGTCACGTGATATACCGCTTCATCTAACCGCTTACAGGAGGCACAAACCGCAAACGGTTTGCCCAGAAGAGCATTGAGGAACGAAACTGGATGTGAGGATGTTCAAAGTATCGGACTATTCATGTCGAGATATATAATCTAAGTTGGGGCTGGGAGGCGCTGAACGAAGAAGACCTTGGCGAATTTTTCAGCCACTTCCACTACTCTAAGAGCGCCGAGAGCATGAAAGGCGGCTCATGCCACCCTTGATAGTATCAGGGCTGCGGCGTTTCCAGCACTGGTGGTCACCCTGCTTTCTTGCTCGCCAGGACAGGATTTTGATGCAGCAAAAGATGTTAAGGACGTGAAATTATCTCGACGCTTGTGTGGGGGGTTTGTGTCAAGGCCAAACAGGTTGGAAGTTCCGGGCAAGAGGAGCCACTGCGCCCCCAATCCAAATCGGGGACAGGATCCAACAAAGCAAGTAATCAGTCCATGGGTTAAACCCTTGCCAGACTGCACTACGCCATAATTGACCCCAGTTTCGACGGGCGTACTGTGGTAGGCACCTTTGTCATTAAACTGGCGCAGTCGTAGCGTCTCAAGCCACTTCGAGGTTGCTGCCACGACATTCTCCCTCCCAAGTTAATGGAATTACCCGGAGACACGGTGCAGGGTCCCTGTCAGGAGAGGTAGAGGTCAACTCGCTCACCAGCGGAGCTGAGGTATCCGGTCGATGGGACACCCACTGCCGCTCTCGAGCGATGCATATGGAAATTGGTGTGCATATGGTACCTTTTCACTTCATATGGGATGGGATTCCTACATATCAGGAGCCTCTCGATATTCTTAATCCCATCGCTCCGGGTCCCGGGCTCCAGGTCCTTCGCCAGTTCCCGAGAGATAGGTGCCCAGTCGTTCCAAAGACACGGCATCCGGAACCACCTCCAGCTGAGCCTTGAACACTCACGGACGCCATCATTCGGCCCCCCTCCCCCAACCCCCAAGCGGCGCATGGCTCTTTCCTCCCAAGTTAATTACTCCAGTGCCACTATTAGGGAGCGATCCGTTCATCCCAAGGTCCAGCCTTTCCCCAATGAAACGTCTAATGGACAAGGCTTCAGTTCTCCTTCTCTTCCACGTCATTCATTTCTGTCGTGTCGCGTTTTTTTCGCTCACTAGGAAGTAGACTGAGGCTGGGGGATAATGGATCCGTGAAGCTTTTCTCCGCATGACTCGGTTAGGCAGCCATGGGACTCGGTGGGCTCCATGTCGAAGGGATTAGGCAGCCCAAGTGAATGATCATTTAAAGCGGTCCGCCAATTAACTTGGCAATTACTACACGGGCATGAAGAATTGCTACCCGGGCATGACTCTTACACGGGCATGACCTTTTGCAGCCTCTGATTGGTCCATCCCTTTTTGTTAGTGCATCTAGATTCTGCCAACGCTCCCCTTGTACCTCGGGATTAGCTCTCCACCACGACGATCGACGAGACATATGGAAGCTATTCACTAGCTAGCTACTACACCAATTACCTCTTGTCGCATGTCAAGCCTACTGATAATGATTGTTCGTGAAAGATACGATATTTGTCAAGGTCACAGGGCTCCAGGCGTGGTGTGTTAGGCCCCTGCTGAGACCAACACTCAAACACACGCTGTATCAGGAATATCCAATAGCCTCATCTTCCAAGGCATCTGCATCACAAAGCAGGTCATTCCTTTGTGCTGAAATTGGTCCCCTCTTTCCTTCTTTCATAGTCAAATCAACTGCCCCTTTAACCATGTTCTCATCCGTGCGTGCGACACTCTTCCTGTCGCGATCAAGGCCGTCATTATGTCCCAGCCCGACTCTCGATCTAGCTCAGCAAGCAACCAACGACTACGAAGCCATCAATTACGTCCCCGAAAACGACAGCGGCAGAACCAATCTGAGAGTTCAAGACCACCTTCGTCTAATAGCACAGGGACGAGCATTGGCCCACACTATGGCGTGGGAGACGACGAGGCACTCTATAATGCTTTCGCCTCGCACCCAGAGACCTTCACGACCGCTCCACGCCCCCATGGATCGCGTGGGCTGAACGAGCCACCATGGGAGCTGCGATTCGATCATGAGATTCACCTATCGAATGATTTCCCAACCCGAGGAAGACGGTCGCAACGAGTAAGAATGCCTATACCAGGCCCGGAAATCGACCAGCCACCTACCTGCTCTCCACAACAATCAGCACAAGAACAATTCTCTCCAACAAGACCCCAGTTTCAGTCCGCCTTTAGGCTAGTGCGCGAGGTGATTGGGACAGATCGAAGACTTACCATCGAGCTCGTCCGGTCATACGAACGAGTCCGCCAATGGCGCGAGATATGGGGCTACTCGCCGCTCAGTTCAACTGCATTCGAATCATCTCCGCCATACTCGCCTCCCCGAGAAAGGCACTCTCCGCCTATCGCCTCGCCGCCCTCGCCCGACCACCCTTGTCGCCTGTCCCTGACCCGATCCCGAACCCACCTATCCCAGGCGACCCAGCGCCGTCAGCCGAAGTCCTGTTCGAGTGGGTGAATACTTTCGCGAAGGCTAATGGCTTCGGTATTGTTCGACGAAATGCCTACTCATATAAGGGTCGGAAGATCCGGTACTCTTTCCAATGCGATCGATTCGGAGAACCACGCCCCTCAGAGAGTACCGGTATTCGGCAACGGAAGTCTCGAAAGTGTGGTTGTAAATGGATGGTCATCGCCGAAGCACTGGAGGAGGGTAGATGGCTTCTACGACACCACGATAACTCCGAGCATAGCCAGCATAACCACGGGGCCAGTATCAAACCATCCGCCCATCCCTCCCACAGACGACTCACTACACCTATCAGGGCAACAGTCGAATCGACAAGCCGTCGGGTCGGAATTCGGGCCCGTGACTTACGCGCGATCGTCCTGGAGCAGCATCCCGAGTCATCCTTTACACGAAAGGATATCTATAACGCCAGGTCTCGTATCAGCCGAGACAAGTTGAGCGGCCACACTCCTACTGCAGCACTGATCAAGCTGTTCGACGAGATGGAGATTCCCTATCTTGTTAAGTGGGCGGATGATGAGCCAAACCGCCTCGTCGGTCTTGTCTGGACCTTTCCGTACTGCCTCCAGATGTGGAAGCGGTTTCCTGAGGTCATCAGCTTCGACAACACATACAACACCAACCGCTTCAAGCTTCCATTATTCCAAGCAACAGGACAGACCTGCCTTGGTTCTGTCTACAATGCGGCGTTCGGTCTGATCGACAACGAGAGACGGGAGGGGTTCCAGTTCCTCTCTGAGAGCATTCGACAGATCTCAGAGCAGCACTCTATTCGCCAACCGGACGTTATCATTACTGACTTCGACGGTCAGATGAAGGCCGCGCTGAATGATCAGTTCCCTGATGCACAGCAGCAGCTGTGCATCCACCAAATCAATTCTAACGTCTTGCTCAAGTCAAAGCAGAAGTGGGTCAAGGGCCAATGTAGCAGTAGTAGTCCCGACAGCAGCAACGGGGAGGACTACGCTCCACAGGCACAGGCTGAGCTCGGCCCAAAAGACGGACAGTTGGTCAACGTGCAGACAGCTGAAGTCGTCCCTCATAGCCATCGAGGGGTTCTCATGATGTGGAAGGTCGTCTTGTTTGCGGAGACAGAGGAGGCTCACGAGAAGGCGTGGGGAAGCCTCTGTAGGGAATTTGACGATCAGCGGGCCATCCTGCGGTATCTCCATGGAACCTACATGCCTGTCAGGGCGCAGTGGGCACGATGTTTCATTCGCAACTATCGCAACTTCGGCATCCGCGTCACATCTGGGACAGAAGCAAGCAACAACAACATCAAGAGCTATCTCCTGAATGGTATGAGCAATCTCTATCGGCTTATCGAGGCTATGCAGGACATGATGAAGGACCAGGAGCGAGATTTCAACGACGCCTGCGCAGCGGACGAGGTACTTACCGCGCGAGAGCACATAGGGTCCAGCTCGGAGTATCTAGGCGAACCCCGGACAGCACTCTCTTCGAAGGGTCTCGGGCTTATCAACAAACAATATCGGCTAGCAAGGAAAGCAATGCCGACGGGGAAGAATCCGTTCCCTGACCCCATTGGCGATTGCAGTGAGGACTGCTCGGTTTCGACCGAGCTTGGAATCCCCTGCTGCCACACAATCTACTCAAAGCTGGTGAGTGGCACGCCTCTCACCAAATGGGAGGTCCATCCTCGGTGGCGCCTACGAGAGCCATCCTCTCGAGATCCATACCGACGAATCCTCGACCCTAAGATCGCCACTGCTCTCCGTGGCAGACCTAAGAACACCACACAGGCTGTTCCAGCGCGGCTAGCCATTGAGGCAAGCAGCCAGCCGAGTAGCCAACGAGCCAGCAATCCAGCAAGCCAAGCGACAGGGCGCAGACGAGGTCGACCACCAGGAAGTCACAACAAGTCAACGCTAGCTAGGCTTGCTCTGGAAGCGACCCAACAGGCCAGCAGCCAGGCTAGTAGCCAGGCCAGTGCCTCATCCCAGCGCCAGACGCGCAGCCGGTCAGCTGTTCTTGGAGCTGGAAGAACTACAGGAGTACGTGCCAACGGACGGAAGACGCAATCTAGCATTCGCAGGCGAAGGAGTCAGTGGGAGCTGCTTGACAGCGACGAGGAGGTTCTTCCATCTATAGTAGTTAGAGGATAGAGATATAGATAGCTGCCCTCTAGGGCGTGCTGGAATTGGCCGTGTTCTGTATTGAAAACCAGACCTTGTTTTGATATACGCCTAAGACCTGTTCTAGAGGCCTGGTTGACCTGGTTGGTTCTGACTATACCGAAAGCACGGCCTTGTTAAGAGACCTTGCTTCACCGCCTTTGCACTGATGTACCTGTAGGTCGAAGGAAAAAAAATGAGCGAATCAGAGGCGATAGAAGTCATGCCCGTGTAAGAGTCATGCCCGGGTAGCAATTCTTCATGCCCGTGTAGTAATTGCCTTCTTGCTTGTGTCACTTTTCCGCTTGATCTCTTGCAATTTTCAAATTTCTCTGGCATTGTAGGTCACGCGCGGGACTGAGGCTATACCTGTGCTTATATATTGGAGAAATATAGTTAAATAAGTATCCATCAGTATCGATTACTCTCTCTGCCAGCTCACTTCTTCCAGATAACATTGTTCAACCACTCCGCCATCATCTTCTCGTACGCAATCGCCTTGTCGTTGGAGTCCTTGACAGCAACCGGATCAGCATGCATGCTCGGCGGGATCAGATTGAACCCATGCACCGCATCCGGGATCAGCAACCACCGTTCCGACTTGCCGCCCTCATCATGCTCCCAGTAGAACCTCTCGTCTCCACCCTCGGTCACCAGCTTGCCCGTCTCCGTCCCGGGCTCCTCCCGACCAGGTTTCTCCTCCGCCGAGTCAGGCGGTACCCTCTTCCCTCCCAGTCTGCACGCGAACCGCCACCCCTCGTGGCACAACTGATCCAGCTCAGCTCCCACGACAAACACACCCTTGGGCAGACTCTCCCGCTTCGCATAGAACGGGGAGAGCAGCGGGTCCCGCAGATCCTGGCCGTAGGGGAGATAGCTCCACACGAAATAGGGCGACATGCGGGAGAGCAGGTCCTTCGAGTCACCGCGCAGGCCGGGAAAGCTGGTCTTGTAGTGCCGCCGCAGGGCGCGCTCGCCGGGCTTAATGCTCTGGTCCACGACCGGGTACACGGGGATCACCGCGGACGGCGCCACGATGGTCTGGATCGCGGGGAGCTGGCAGAGCCCGAGAGCGAGGCAGCCGCCCGCGGAGAAGCCGCTGAACGCGACGCGGGACTTGTCGACGGGGAGCCAGGCATCCGAGCCGGGGCTGTCGAGGTCCTTGTACAGCGCGAGCAGGATGGCCTCGAGGTCGTGCAGGCCGACGGGGAAGGGCGAGCCGGGGGCCTTGCGGTAGTTGAGCTCGACGACGAGGAAGTTGTGCGTGTCAGCGACGCGGCGGTTCACGAGGTCGTCGTCGGACGGGTCGCCGATGAGGAAGCCGCCGCCGTGGATGACGAAGAGAGTGGGGAGAAGGGCCTTGCTGTTGCGCTCGTAGCCCTTGGGGAAGAAGATTCTTTTGTGAGTGCGGCCGTGGTTAGCAAAGAGTCTCAAATTGGATCCCATGGTGGAGTTCGGCGTGAATGCTGGGCAGGCCAGCGTGGCGTATTTACCTGATGGGCAGCGACGACCGGCACGCATATGTCTTGACCAAGTCTGGGGCGTTGGGGCTCTTGTTCCACCAGTGGCCCAGCTGCCTAAAGGTGAGGAGGGTGTTGATGACGCCCTTGACGGACCACGCGATGGCGCCATGCTGGAGAGCCTGGAGGAAGGGGAAGTGCGGCTGGACGGCGAGCTCGCCGGGAGCGCTGAGGTCGGCCATGGCGGTGGCAGGGCGGGCAGGGCGGACAGTGTGACTCTGTGTGTCGAGTTTTGCAGTGTAAGTTCCGGGTGAGGATCGCGGAGCACGAGTGTTGACCCTATCGCGCTGCGCCAGTGTCGCGAGAGGGACGCTAGCTTATAGCCCGCCGCGGGGCCGAGGTGAAGCACACGGCGATGGCAAAAGGGCCGCCGGTCGGCAGTTGCATTGGTCCGGTTCGTAAAAGTTGTGGCCAATCAGCAGTGGGCACAGACAGATCCAGAGCACTAGGCAAAGGTTCACAGGGGGGGCCGGGCTAGCCTCGTCGAGGCGCCATCGAGGTTGGACATTGGCAAACATGCGCATGGCGGAGTCAGTAACGAGGTCGACAACGTTGTTTACCGTGTGCGTCGCCATGAGATATACTCGAACCTAGTCCCGGCACTAGACAGTCTGCACCCGCGTCTACTCACTTCCACCCGCATCGCTCTCCGAGACCCTGATCTGCTCGTCAGATTTTAGCGGGGGACGACGGCCTTGGTGGGGCAAGTTTACGGAAGCATTCCGCAGCCGGGGGGGTGGCGCGCGGGACCCCAATCGCCGTCCCCAACTCTTCTCCGTGCAGCAAAGACAGCACTCCAGGCAGGACATTCAGGCAACACAGGGCTTTCGTTATCTTCGTATAGGACAATAGGACTCGCCAAAGGCGCATCGTAACGCTGTCGTTGCGCAGCCACCCAGGCGGCAGTAAGGGGACGGCTGCCTAAGGTAACAACCCACTGCGGGCGCCAATACCGCCATTGTCAGCTGTGGTGGATCTTATGATCCACTTTTGACAGGTGAGGTTCTTCTGACTCCCGAGCCTCGGCGTTAACGTATGTCCAGGTCCATCTGCAGTCAAGATTAGCGTAATTGTGTCAGCTAAATGAATTCAGGGTCCTCGGCAATCTCCGAGGTCGGCTTATGCTATTGTCGCGTAATTCGGAACCTCGTCCTAAAGAGCATATCTTCACGAAGAAGCTGAACACTCTCGCCCAAGATCTCTCCGAATCAGTAAAACCTAGTCAGAAGAGCTCACGTTCAACACGATGTCTGTATCTCAGGTCAACAAAATCCTCGGGTTACCCCGCCCTGGCGATGCTGCCGTAAGCAACGAGTCGTCCCCTGTCGCTGCACCGCCAGAGTCAGACTTCACCAAAGCGTTCGGTCCCCTTCTCCCAGCAGCGCAGTATATTACCACGCCAAAGGGCAAGTTCGCATACTTTGATCTCCCGCCGTCAAGTTCTACCACTTCACCTACCACCCAACCCTCTACCGTCCAACGAGTCCTCCTCGTCCACGGCATCCAGACTCCCGCCCTCGGGCTGTATCCTCTCGCCTCCCATCTCCGCAAAGCATTCCCATCAACACACTTCGTTACTTTCGACCTCTGGGGCCACGGCCTCAGCGATACCCCTCGTGTTCCGCACGCCCCGCAGCTTTTCCTGGAGCAGGTCGACACGTTACTCGACCACCTCTTCTGGCCTAGTGCTCATCTAGTCGGCTACTCGCTCGGCAGCACCATTGTCGCCGGGTATACCGCCACCAAGACCGCGCGGGCGGACTCAGTCGTCTACGTCGCTCCCGCGGGCTTGTTCAGCATACACGACTTCTCGGCCGCCGAGCAGGCCTTGCTGCGCGGTGAACCGATGGAGCAGGGTGGAGCAGTCGACGAGGTAGCCTCGCGGGACTTCATCATCGACTTTCTCGAGGGTGGGGAGCTGGTTGTCCCTGCTGATGCGGAGGCGCGGATCGCGAAGGGGGAGGTGGTCGCTGAGGCTGTCAAGGACTGGGAGATGAAGGTCCATGCTGGTCACGCGGCTAGCGTGGCGGCGATCGTGAGAGATGGAAATATCATGGATCGAGAGGAGGTCTTTGAAAAGGCCAGTGCAACTGGGAAGCCTCGATTCGCGGTACTAGGAGAGCATGACGGCTTGTCCAACCTGGGCAAGGTACAAGCTGTGGGCATTGAGGAGGTCGTTGTTGTGGAAGGGGCCGGGCATGCGGTGGTGAGAGCACAGGCGAAGGAAGTTTGTCAGGCCATCGAGGGGTTTTGGAGGGGGCTTGACTAGACTTGGACTTTACGGAAGTGATCTTCAGGTGTCAAAAGCACAAGCTCATATATAGTGTACGCCACCACACCGAAAACAGAGACCACCGCCATGATCAGCATTTTGAACCAGATCTTTAGGTTCCCTGACCGAAACCAAGGATAAAACTCTTCATCGGCGTCAAGAGCTAAAACCATCAGATGCCACCATAGATATGATGCCTTTCTCTAGGCAGACAGACGCAGTCTACCTTTCCGGAATGATCCCACGTTTCCAGCATCCTCGTTGCGTTCTCCTTGGCTCTAGACTTCGCTCATTCCCCCTCGAACGCAGACCTCGTCCTTTCGCCCTTTCGTGGCCACCTGGCTCTATTCCTTTACGCTGATATACCAGGGCTGTGAAAACGTCCCCCCCTGCGTGTCTTGCAGCCTGACGCTGAATGGCGTGGATGTGCCAATATTGCCAAGCATCCGCACCCTGACTCCCTCCGAGTTGTTGACCATCTTGTCCAGATTGCTGCGGATGGCAAGTAGCATGGCGAATATAGCCCACAGGGCGCCTACGGCGAGCGGCTTGATGCCGACGTCGATGGCGATCAGGACACGGCTGGGCTTTGCTGTTTTCTCCATGGCGAGGTCGTTGTGGTCGCTCAAGTGCTTTCTATGAGTTCAGTGATCGGTTGTCCTGGCTGTGATGTAGTATGGTCGCTGAAATCGATGGACGATGTGAATAGTGGCAGGTGTACACAACAATTTGTGGTTGTCAAAACGAGAAACCGGTTGTCCTGTCTACTACCTGAGTAGGAAATGGGCACAGAGGAGGCACGAGGGCTAGACGGCGCGCGCTTGCCGTCCCGTTATATATTTTCCGAGCTGAACCCCAGGATCGCCTATGCCAAGACAAGGGAGGCATAGACGCCCAGCCTGCCAAGCTGTGAACATGCCCACGCTATCCTCGAGTCGGATGGATCAACACGCTCAGATTCGCACAGCTGAAAACTAATCGGCTCCCGTCACTGAAGGGACAGAAACCCTGTCAGAACAAGTCACGTCCCGTGGCCTACTCGCAATGCTCAGCACACTTTGAGGGCCCTGGTCACAACCTCTGCCTGATGCAGACTCCGCCACGCGTTCCAACACAGGGCGTCGAGAGGCGCGAGACCGCTTTGGCAAGAACCTCGAGCTGGTCTTGATCTTGTGCAATCGTTCCAAATTTGGCCAGTCTAGTGTCTTGGTTGCGCTCGAGGATCTGCAGCTCACCCGACTTGAACAGAAGCCACCGTTTCCGTGCCGGCCGTGTTCGGGAAGCGGACGAATTGTGCCATCTGAGAACGAAGGAGTGATGAAACAGCACGAGACTTTGGGCCTGTGGGCCTTTGGGCAAGACTTCGTGTTGGCTCGATGAGCAGTGGCAGGTCAGGTCGTTCCTTCCTCGTGGGAAACAGGGTTGTCTGCAGGAGCGGCGCAGGGGTCAGCATGTCAGCATCACAAACATCTAGATCGTGACAAGCCGGCACCCTTGCCACATGCACGAAGACCAGACGAGCCTGCTCCTCCCCTTGTTCGAGTCTCGCACGCCCGTCAATCTCCACCGTCAGTCTGTGGTCGCCGGGCTCCCGAGTCTGACCTGCAAGATGCATTCCTTACGAACGGCTCTCGTACCCGGCCAGATCCGCCTCTTCTGGCTCGACCCTGCACCTCGAACCACTAGCACGCCAGGCGACAATGACGCCGTGCCCTCCTTTGCGATCACAGGCAGACTCGCGATCCACACCTCAAACAAGCAGAGGATAATCCAGCATCTGCTTCCTTGCCGTCGTACGAAGCCCTCTCCTACACATGGGGCGCCACGGAAGGGATCCAGCGGGCCATCACAGTCGATAACGGAAAGATCCAAGTAACACCAAACCTACACACTGCGCTATGCCACCTCAGAACAGACAAGCCTCGCTTGTTGTGGATCGATGCGCTTTGCATCAATCAGAACGACCAAGAAGAGAAGGCTCAGCAAATCGCCCTCATGGGCAACATTTACCGCAAGGCTGAGCAGGTGGTCGCCTTCCTGGGTGAGGCATGGCCAGGCCACGAGGTGATCTTTCAGTACTTCACTCTTGCTGCACATCGGCCAGAGTGGCACCTCTACCCATCAGCAGAAGATCAGCCACTACTAGAGGTCAGCTCATCTTCGCTGTCATCATCTCTCTAGTGTTTTGGACAAAATTACACCACGAATGATACGCAATACTAAGCCTCACCAGATCGGCGGAAAAAGTCTGATATCGCCTGTCTTCCTGGACAACTTTTTTCGCTTCTTCCAGCATGAGTGGATGAAACGTGTCTGGATCGTTCAAGAGTTCGTCAACGCCAAAAGAGTGATTTTCCAGCTAGGAAGCAGTACCATAGACGCCCAGGAGTTCTTTGACGGCTTTCAGGCCATGGTGAGTCACGCCTGGAGACCGTGCTGTGGTGTGCACCCCAGACTGCGCGAACCACGCCAGGTCGGTCTGGACATGATGGATGCTGTGCAGGCCATGGAATACTACGAGGACCTGGTGGACATGCGCTGGACACAGGACAAAGAACGGCGACCACTCGACTCACTGGGGATGTTCCGCATGCGTGGCTGTGCGCGGCCGCAGGACCGCATCTATGGGACGCTTGGTCTGCCAAACCAAGATACCACCACCCGCGGGATGACCGCGGATTACAACGTGCTGGTGGAGAGGCTCTTCAGGGAGTTGACCCTCTGGCACATCGAGAACAGCAAAACCCTTGACATTCCGAGTCACTTGGTGTCATCGGAGGACAAGAGACATGCCGTTTCCACGGGAGAGCTACCTACTAATCAGCAGCAACGTAGACAATCTCGTATGCCAAGCTACGTCGTCGACTGGGCTGCACCACTGTCACAAGATCTCTACACTCTCTATCGCTGCCGCGCGACCTCGATTTGTGGCGAGGACGCGCACCACAACGCAACACCAGGCACAGTCGCTGACTTCAGTGCAGTTTCTCGTCACGACCAGGGCGCAACCCCCATCGTTGACAACGACTACGAGATGGCAGCCTCCTCGGGCATAATCGTGGACCGCATCAGCGTCGTCGGCTCCGTCACATATCCAAGCCATACCACCACCTCTGCCGAGGGCAAGAATGACACCCTACGACAGTTCGTGCTTCAAGCCCGGGGGATAGCGGACAGGAGATTCGACGCGGCTACATCAGCAGTACACGAGCCACCACCACGCTACGACTGTGCAGCACCACGAGACCTAGCGTTCTGGCGGACGCTGTGCGGCAACCTCTGCACAGCCTTTGAGCCCGGACAGCGGATGGCCTGGCGGCGCACAGAGCCAGAGACAGATTACAACGACTACGTCGAGTGGTGGCGTTCGAGAATCAGCCCGGTTCCTCACGAACGGCGTCCATGCCTGAGCTCCGATGGTGGTCCCGTCGAGAGAGCGGCGTTGGTTCCAGAGAAGGCCTCGGGGTGGTGGCCTGGACATTCTTGAGGATGCTGTAGGTAGAACTAATACAGGTGCTAGCGATGCAAGTGCCGCCGGTAACGAGTACACTACCACCATTACTACCACCGCCGCTAAGGAGGGGCCAGCCAGGATATCAAGCCAAAATGTACTCCATCCGGGGCGCATGGCGCACGCCTTCTTCACTGACCCGATGCGCGACATGGCACCAGACATCACCCACAAGGCCGACCGTGGCCCGGCCCCATCCTCTCCAGCGCTGTGGCTTCCGTGTGACGATTGCAAGATATCCCCGATGGGCCACAGATAGTATAGACCAGTCTTCACAGACTCGATATGGGGATGCCGTCGATACATAGATGCAGGACTATACCAGGCACGCCACTGTAGGCCTTGGGGGCATTGAGCCCAGTACTGTGCATATTGATGCAACACTACATCGTGAACTATCCTCGTGCACTTGGGGATGAGAACTCGACTTCTCGGGATTCAATCATGCAGTAGTGGGCTCCCTCCTCCCAGGTATCATATGATTACATAACTTGGCGCCTAATGCACTATTCTTATGCCGGCTGCATGGTCGACTATATTACCTAAGGATGTGCGCTGCTAGAAAAATGCACTGTTTTTCGAGCTTAGAACGGAGTGTAACGTTGGGCCAAAACGGACGACCATAACGGACTACGCATAACGGTATGCTCGTGTCGAAAATAGCCCTTGAAGTGGGGCGGCCTGGGAACATCAGAAATGTGGCGCGGTCACTCTGCCAAGACATGTCGAGGGAAAGTGTCTTCCGTTTATAGACCCCATATCTTCCAGAGATGGATGTCACTTACCTATATACACAAGACCTATGACCGGTATCTTTGCCGCAAGGGTGGGGCGAGGGAGCGGATCCCTGTCAAGCAGCAGCTGTGGCTCAGCACCTTGTGTGGCGTCGGCGCGTAGCTTCCGGTCCCGATTCGCCGGTGAATGGCCCACTTTTCCCGGCCTGCCGCCCACCGCCGTCTCCGTTTTCCGGGTTATCTATTCCGCATGTCCTCGTTACGTTCAACCAAACGGAGTACTCAGACTGCAAGTGTTATCAATAAGCGCGCACACCGGCCAACAGAGAGGACCGGACTAGACCAAGGCAGACCATCAACACGTGATTCACCAACCATTGCTTAGCCAAGCACCCCATAAATATGTGCCACTCATCTGCCTGGTCCCCAAATCTTTCCTTCCTTTCACTCACTCTGGCTGGAGTACTTCGGACGATAAACTCAGCGATGACGCGATTGCGATCCAAAACCCACGCCGTAGCGGCGTCATCAACAGCGAAATCGACGGCCAAACCTCGCGGGGTCTACGCACGCAAACTACAAAGGAATCACGATCAGCAGCGCAAGGATGACGAGCAGAGAGTCAATGACTTCGCCTTGAAACCTCTTGTCGAGACAGAGAAGCCCCTCGCCCGAAAGACTCGAACACAGCGCGAAAGCTACTGGGATGCCTTGACAATGTGAGCTTCATCGTCCAACCCTAAACACCAACACTTTGTGATTAACAGGTCAAGCTGTGCAGGTATTTGGAGATATATCACCCTAACAGGACTGTAGACGAGATCTTCGTCAAGCTTTGTGAGGGTGGCGACGTGTTGCACCTAATCCAGGGCTTTTTCGTTAGTTATATCACGAATTCCCAAGTCGAACGCCCATCCCTTGGACCCGAAGAGTACGTGACAGTCCGACAGGTCAAATGCGCGATGACAGCGATGGACATTTGGAAATCATTGTGTATGAGGGCCGACTCGACCGTATTACTCAACAAGAGAGCAGAAAATGCGCAGAATGCGCAGATGTATATTCTGCACACAAAAAAGAACGTTGTCGGCCGACAACATGGGGAAGTCAGGAAGATCACCGAGGTAATACAGAGCAGTAGCTACATTCCTTGCTACTCCACACTGCTGACGCACTCCAGTGGATTGAGAGGAAGCTGGCGGTTGACTTCGACCTTCGGTACGACCAGACATTCGAGAAGAAGGAAATGACACTTGAAGATATCATGTGTTTCCTTCAGGTGCTATGGGAGCATGCCCAACACATACGGTGCTCTCCACAGACCCGCCTGTCCGTGCACCTTATGATTTTGCTGGCAGGGATCACTGGGTTCCGACCCTGCGAGGTCCTGGGATTGAAGTACAGTCAGGTTAAGCTAGAGGTCGTACGCAGTCCAAGGCGTCCCCAAGAGAGATCACTGGTTGCCCATATCACGATCCGGCGGGCCAAGAGAGAGCTCGGTAAGGTTGAGAGATCACAGAAGAATATGTGAGTAGTCGCGAGGCAGCACCTTTGAGCAATATCTAACAGTTATTCAGATTTTCCTTCTCCATCGCGCTGAACTCCTCTGGGATATTGTGTCCGTTGAGGATGATGGTGGCACAGGCTCTACACAATGACGCCTTTGAAGTTCCGTACAAGAGCCTTCAGGAGATTCTGTGTCGACCGAACCTCGGAAACGAGAACACCCTGCAGATTCGGTGGAAGCCGTCCATATTGGACAAATCCATCATCCCTATCACGTACCCCAGCTACTGGGAAACGTTTGGACGCGGAGTGCTTGTCATGGGAGTGCGAGATACGGACATTCGCCTATATGCTCTTCGTGTTGGGGCCGGTCAGAATCTAGATGGTGTGGCTCTTTCTTCCATTAAGCCCGTGTGTCGTCTATTAACTCCTGTTAGGCACTCTGACCGCAGCGCTTCGCAATTATGTGATGCGTCACACCGGGAACGTCTTTCAGAAAAGCTATCAGCCGCAGCACTTCGCACACGATTTGGTCTCACTCGCGTTCAAGGACCATGCTGGAGACAATTCAGAGTTGTTCTCGATGCTGAGAAATGCAACACTTCGGAAAGATCTCGGAGCACCTATCTACCCGAAAAAAGAGGATCTGCAAAAGTGGAAGCAGCGGAAAGATCTGACGGATCTGAAAAGCCAATATAACGATCTAGTCTCCCAGTCCTCAACACAACGTCCTGAAGCCAAGGCTATAATGGCCAAGATGCAACACATCACAGAAGTACTTTCTGAACTTAGGGTTGCACAACTACGAAAGGAGTATTTCTCCAAGATTGATAGGCTCAGAGAGCTTGGAGAGCCGCTTCCAGCCCCGGTCGACCACATCAACCCTTTCAGAACGTACAATGAGAAGGCTTGCCTTGCAGCCCGCGAATTGGGCCTTGCACTTTCTCAGACAACACAGCTTAATCAGATGGAGATGTCTGCTGTGACGGATGCTCTTGTTGCATATTTGGGACATCAGCCTTTCAGGATTCGTGCAATACTCCAAGATGCTGGGATGGCACAGTCACTTCCAGACCCTCCAGTCATGGAAGTATGCAGCAAACCCTCCAGTCATGGAAGTATGCAGCAAACCCTTCATGTGTCTCATCGATGGCCGACCGTTTCAAGATCGAGGGAAACTCAGCAATCACAACAATCTCATCCACTATCGGAAAGGGACATTCGACAAACCCTTTCAGTGCCCTGCGTGCACCAGTAACATCGATGGCCCGATAGCATGGAGCAACCATACAGAACGTGTGCATGGCAGATGGTGCTCGCCCAACCCCCCACCTGGCCTTTTCCTGGGGCGGAATGTCTCCTGCGCGGACGATATTCACCCGGATGAGTGTCATTTCTGCGCAGTCCCGTGGGCCAGTAACTCGGGCTCCTTCCGAAGGCATTTCAACTGCTCTCACAGCAAGGTCTTCGATGACCCATTTGATTGCCCGATTTGCATTCGTGCGAGCAACTCCCGGTTTGTCATCAACGGTGTCGAAGAGTGGCAAGATCATCTAGAACGAATCCATGATGGTGGAGGGAGGTTCGGGCGTCTCCATGTTCCACCCAATTAGAGCGGAGCGCTAAAGCGGGCACCTCAGAATGTATCGCAGTGAGAAATAGATTGGATACGATAAACGAGTACATAGCATAATTTGAACGTCTTGATGAACCCGTAAATTTCGAAAGTAGTCGTGACTGAGGAGGGAGCTGACCGTGTCTGCTTCGCTCTCCTGCATCCAGAGGGATAGACACAATGCGTTATCATAAGCATATGGTATCTGAGGTGATTGGGAAGACGCGGGACTCTTATGGGAGCGACAAGCCTCTATCACAGACCGGCCATAGTGCGGCGCGTTCGCGGGCTCAATGTTCTGGCTAGACTTGTGTCCGGGTGGTTGTGTCGAGGCGGGCAGGCGGTCAGCTAGAGTGGGCAGGCGGTCAGCTAGAGTGGGCAGGCGGTCACCCAGAATTAGTGCATGGCCGACCCTCGGGAACAATTCCTAGCGTGAACAGAGACGCCCGACAAACACACGGGAGCGAAGGCTCTGGCTATCTTCTGCAGACAAGATGGAGTTGTTTGCTCCTCTATGAAGTCCCTTACATCATACCATGTCCTCACTTCCACATCCTATGGTTCATAACTTATCACTACTACATAACACGTCAAGCTTTTCGCCTGACTGGTATGAAGCAATCGGCGAATGTCAATAACTGGTAAGCTTACTCCACGAGAAGTTGCTGTAGGATGAGCCCGAAGGTGGGTTTACTCCTGTGTCCGGGAGATTCCACGACACTTCACCTCTGCCTGATATTGTAAGCCGGATGAAATGGTCCTAGAATACAAGGCGCCAGTAGAAGAACAAGGATCGGGAAAAGTCCACAGCCGTCGTGTAAAGTAGTGTGCATATCGGACGGCTAAAGCGGGCCAGACATCGGCGATGAAGGCGCTTACAGTTCGTGCTTAATTGGGCCGCTTCCCGATGCCGGGGACCCACAGAATTCCGACCACCGAAGGAAACACGGCCCCACACGGAGCACGAGCAAGCCGGAGCCGCTTCCGCGCACCATCCAACACAGGAATGATGAATAACCCCAAGGTAAGCGCGGCGGCTACGTCTAAATTGAGATATGGCAAGCTCGCTACCAACCATTTCATTCACTTCCGGCTCCACTCACCGGGTTATTTTATCGACATGCCGATTGGTATCACCAGCCGAGCCGACTGAAACCAACATTTCTACGTCCGTCACATGGTCCTAACTGTGACCCACCCAATGAAATCTCCCATTTGCTTGGTGACTGGGTTCAGTACATTCCACAGGCACGAGGAGCCTACCCTTTACCATGTGGTCACCAGCTGAAATCATGGATAACAGGAAAAGCTTGCTGCCCGACATGAAGATGTTCCACATAGGCATGCCATATATGTTTTAGTCGCTGTCTCTCTGCTACGGCTTGATAATATTATGACATCTAGCGCTTTCATGCTTGCGCCCTTAGATTGATTGCCTGACGAGGTCCTGTAATATGATAGCCAAGGTCTGACTGTTGCTGCCCACTCTTGATTAAAGCGTGAAACTCGCAGCTCACTGGGCGTACGTGATTACACGCATCTACAGAAAACGTGCTTACTTAGATTCCGAATCTCAAGAATTCCAACTGGAATTCATGTACCGATTAGTTGCAAAGCGCCATCGAACTCTTCCAAGCGTCCTCTCCGAACTCTTGGACTATCTGCGTCCTCACATGCTCGTACACGGACTAGTCCAAGCAATCAACCGACTCCACCGTGTCCTGCCTCTGGACGAGAAGCAATAGGCCTTTATCTGTCGTGAGTTGTGGGTGAACGATTTGAGCCTCGTACAGTGCTTCTGGGGGAGAATCTGTGGTATTGATGGCACATTTGCGATAGCCTCAAGAACTTCATAGCCAAGAACTTCAGGAAAGTTCTGCTCTATGTGATCCAAGGCTTCATCGTCCACAAAGCTGTGGAGTGGGACTAGAGAAGGTGACCATTTCAGCTGGATTTTGAAGCCCCCGGAAGCCTCATCTTTGACTAGAGAAAGCTTCTCGTAGGCATAGTCAACATCTGGGAGAGCCCAGACCCGGACAATGCGGGATTGGTCCATCTGGGCATGCTGTGGACGAGAGCTCAGATACTCGTGAGCGGAAGTGTGAATCGCCGTGCCCGCTACCCCGACCGCATCATCACGTGCAAGCAGTGTACCCCATTTAAGGAGAGCTGCGATGCATGAGGCTTGCCATGTCTGGAAAGTCGATGATGTGGAGGGGCGCTGGGGGAGGTGTTCGTCGACGTAGTGGTATCTCCCCAACTCGGGAGCTTTGAAACCAGAAGCCTGAGGACCGATATAGGGTTGGATATCGCCTTCTAAGGCTGCATCAGCTAATATGAAAAGCCCTGATAGATCCAGGCTGGTTGCATCCACCTAGCAAGACTGGTTGGTGCTCTCTAGTGTTAGACATAAAGCCAAACCACAGATACAGTCCGACCCTGCTGTGTAAACGACAGGTTGCAAGCTCTAGATCGCGTCCGAAACTTTGTTGTGGGAAGTCTGTGACTCAAAGGGGTTCCCGAATGCCCCAGCATCCTCGACGCTCGTGACGGAGTGTCCGTGGGTAGTCGTAACTGCGAAGTTCTCCATGGTAAGGTTTGTAAAGCTTGATGCCGCTGTAGGTGGGATGTGTATTTGAAGACAAATGGACTGCTTCAAAAGGATTTGAGGTAGGTCTGAATGGTGAGATGTTTAGGGAGCGGTGTGTGGCCTTGGGAGTGCCGGGGAATATGGATGGCTTATATATTATGTGGTCTCGAGAATGCATAGCCATTGTTGCGTAGGGGTCACGTTTCACTACTGAACACGTCAACTCAGGGACCTGGGAGTCAACTTCATCGCCTGAGCCCGAGACTGTCCAACAGTATGCGAGGGTCCTCCGGCTGTACGTTCCACCATTGATTCTTATCTTCTGGCCGCCGGTGGACTTTGGTGGTGAGGGCAGGTTGGAATCCGAAGTGCACTTCGTCCATTGAGAAGTTAGTTTTGAGCCACTCCTCGTCGTCGTACCTGCCGACTTGAAGGCGCTCCTGAACCCATTGAATCCGGGCTTTCTTGGCTGTGTCGCTGAGGCCCTCCTTGACCGTCGACTTGCAGGTATGGTACTTGAGGTTGTCGCGCATATGGTCGCGGATCGTCCTCTCTGTGCAGGTGACTTCGAGCCCTGACTCTGCCGCTGCGATTGACCATGACAGACGGTATCCCTGCCATTTGTCAGCTTCCTGGAGGTCGAGAAGCAATGATGCAGGTGCAGACCATCTTCGACTGTAAACTCTATGCGTCTGCCACGTCGATTTTCGAGGAGAGGGTTGTGGGCAGTACGGCGCATATAGTGGTCGAGGTCTTCGGGGGCGTGCTTTGTGGGTGATGGTGATGGTGACTCCTCCTCCGATTCCTCTGGAGCTGACAACTCGTCGATTCCTCCTCGAAGGTCTTCAGGAATCGCACGAAGCCACCGGAATCCACTCCTCTTTGGCACATTGAAGTCTGCAAAGACCTCTGCCTTCGTGTACAGCCTGTTGCCGTCGTCGTCGTGGGTGTGTCCGCCGCGTGCAGGTGCAAGGAGGCCGCGCTTCTGGAGCCACCATATGGTGCCGAGGGGCCTCGCCCGCCGAGGTGTTATATGCTCCGTACCGGGCATGTCGATTTATCGGTCCAGACTCAAGATTAAGGGATAAGGGTAGGTGCAATTTGTTGCAAATAGCTTGCTCTACAAATGAGTCTATTGCAATAATGAAAACAACAACGGTAGCAGTAGTGACGTCGTGTACAACCTCGCGGTTGTTTACATCTCTTGGGGCGCGTACCCCTGCATTTTTGCTGGTTAGCGCCTTGGCGAGGGTCGTGCCACCTTCAACCGGGAGAGGGTGCCAGGTTACACAAAGGTGGGGGTGGCAGGACTTCCCCACAGCTGATCGTCGTCAACGGAACCAGTGAGGGCCGCCTGGGTATGGGCTCCTGGGCAAGATAGCGCACGGAGACGGCCGGGTCTCCGGGAGTCCGGAGGGTCACACCAGTTCGTCCCCTCGACCAGGTGAAGGGTACGCAGGTGGTACAAGACAGATGCCAGGGGATTGATGGCCTGTCGTGAGGGCGTGAACGCGGAGGCTAGTGTCTGCTAACCGAAATGACAGATTCGCATCCTGTCCGCGCTAGGGCCATCCCGCTTCTCAGATCCTGGAGCCCAATAGATGGCGACATGACGGGAAGTGGATGATTCTAAGATGTGCAGCTGCTAAGTAAGACTCGAACAGACATAAGACCGTCACTCCGCCGCCCGCTTCTCCTCCAAAAACCGCAGACGGTCGCGAATCGCAAACTTCCACTCCTTCGCCACCTTGTACACCAGGAGGAGGCCCAGAGCGAAGAGGACGATGCTGGACAACGCGATCACTATGACGCTGATCCAGAACGCCGCCCCCCTCCAACCACCCTCCCCGCCGTTCCCGACCGCGACGAGGACCTGCATTCCGCTCAGGACCACCGACGCGAACCCGATCACGAACAGGATCGGCCCGAAGAAGCGCGCAAAGTAGGACCCGTACTGGTACTCGACCCTCTGGAAGTGCGACTTGCCGAGGAGGAGCGGAGCGTACAAGTTGAGCCGCGTCAGGCGGATCTCGCCGTAGGTGTAGCGCAGAGATACGTCCCGGTCTGCAACGTCGCCTAGGCTGGACGTGAAGTCGCAGAACTGCTCCCAGGTGATGTCCGGCGGGACGAGGCACAGGCTGGGGTCCTGGGCGATGCGCAAGTCCGACTCGTACTTCACGAGGTGATAGTAGGTCCGCAAGTAGCCCAGCGCCGCTCGTCGGATGCCTTCTCCTCGTCCTCCGCTACCAGCCTCCGTGCAGAGATAGTCCCGCCAAAACGCGTACGAGCCGATGTATCGCGGGAGCGGCTTGATGGAGACGCGGTCGTAGGTCCACACCAAGTGGAGCTTCGGGTCCTCCGTGACGACGATAGTGTATCGTTTTACTAGCTGCCGGTGGAGCGGCGAGATGTTTCCGCTGTCCTGTTTTGACATCCACCAGAGCCTGTTGGCGACCCGATTCAGATCGTCCGAGCAGAATTCTCTGGCCAGCAAGTCCCACACCTTGCTCCGGTCCTCCAGAGGAACGCGCGGGTGTCCCGGCACGTGCCGGGGCGGCTCGTCTTGCTCCCGTGTTAGCTGATGCGCAAAGGCAAAGGGCGGTGTCGGGGCATTTGACACCATCGTGAAGGTGAGGAAGCGAAATTCAACGAGGTCAGATTGACGAACTCCTTTGGTGGGGCAGGGACTAGACAGAATTGTCCCTTACGTCACGTGGTCGTCAGCCGCAGCAAACAGGCAAGATGCTAGATGGCTCAAGAACGCTGAGGAGAACGCTGAGGCGAGCAATTCGCATCTTGCCTGTTTGCTGGACATTCGCTGGCACAACATTCGGGAAGAATGGCCTACTCCTCGCGCCATCATGCCGTCCAATACTGGAACGAGATTGCGGCCTGGCCGTATGGGGCCACGCCGGTCTGTGCCACCGTCATCGTCGTCCTGGTAACTGCTACCCTTATCCGCAGATGCTCCAGGCAGGCGTCGGAGGCGCCCAAGAGCTTGACACTGCGCATCGACGGTATCCCAACCGATCATGCCGATGAGTTGTTCACCAACCTGAGGTCTATCGCCGAGAGGAGTCCGGTCCTGCGGGCTGCCGCTGCTACCATGGTCCTTCGCTCTTTGGCACAACATGGCAAGGACTCTGTATGTGCCACCATCTCGACCACCACGTCACTCTCCGGAGACGACCTGTCCGCCCAGCTGCGCCGAGCTGGGAACAGCCACCCGTACAGGTACACCTGCAAATTCGAGGGAATCACGCCGCTCTACGAGGACAAGAACGGTGCAGATGTCGAGTGAGCCTAGCCTCCGCCGACCCTCCTTACTCGTGCTGACTCCTGCAGCATCATCGCAGTACCCGGCCTCGGAAGCCACGCACTTGGCTCCTGGAAATCCCCGAACAGCGACGACGTCTGGCTACGCGACTTCCTTCCTAAAGACGTGTCCAACATCCGAGTGCTGATCTACGGCTATGATACCAAGCTGCCGGGCAGCCTCTCGAAGCAGTCCATCAGAGACTTGGGCCGCACCCTCTTGGAACAAATCAATGCCTTTCGAGGGAATGATGGTGTATGTGGTCTCGCCTGGTGTCCGGTATATGCTAACTCCTGTAGACTGCTCGCCGTCCGATCATCTTCATCGGTCATAGCCTCGGCGGCCTGCTGATTAAAGAGGTATAACGCGCTGCCGGGTCCGTGGTGATACAGCTAGCTGACTGTTATAGGCGCTTATTCGCGCCCGCAGGCCAAGTAACGACGTGAACTCCGACCTGTCCAAAGCCTGTTATGGACTGCTTTTCTTCGGCGTGCCGAATCTCGGGCTGCGAAACGATCAGCTGAGAACGCTTGTCCAGGGCCAACCAAACCAGGCCTTGATTGACGACCTCCTCGTGGATAACGACTCGGAACCCTCGACCTTCCTGAAGACACTTGCTGAACAGTTTTCTGAGAGCTGCAAGGGCTCCTACCGAGTCGTGACGTGCTTCGAGCGCGCGCTCAGTCCAACCTTGAAGGTAAGATGCACCGTCAGAAGCGCTTGAGGTAATGCTGACTTGTCCTGCAGCTTGATGACAGGGACGGGAGATGGCGCAAGACTGGCGACCCCTCTTTATTGGTGACCGAAAAATCAGCAACCAGTACGGGCTTAGTGGCCGTGGCCGACGAGGACAACATCCCCTTCAACACGGATCATTCAGGGCTCGTCAAGTATTCCAGGGGCCAGTCCGACTACACCGTCGTCAGAGAACGACTAAGAAGACTCGTCAATGAAGCGAAACGGGAGGTTACCAAGCGATTTGCCGAGCACAGTGCGTCCCTCTCTGATGCTTCGTGAGCGCTGCTGATTATAAAGGGGAAGGCCTCTACCAGCTCCAGTCAGAGACAACGCTAGCTTGCCTGAGATCACTGGCCTTTGATGATATGGATGGCCGGCCCAACGAAATCGCCAACGAGGCCGATGGCACCTGCGAGTGGCTTCTCAAGCACGAAACTTTGGTCCAATGGACCCGTCAGCATCGAGGCCTGCTCTGGATTAAAGGGAAACCAGGATCTGGCAAGTCAACGCTGATTAAATATGCCCTGCGTACACTTCCTTCCCTTTACGGAACCGACACGCTTGCATTTTCCTTCTTTTGCGATGGCCGCGGCCATGAACTGCAGAAAACTCCCCTTGGTCTCTTCCGATCCATCTTGCACCAGCTACTCAAGCGTGTCCCTGGCGCCCTACCCAACCTGATTGACCATTTTGACGGAAAACGGAAAACAGAGGGCGAGCCTGGAGAGAAGTGGCAGTGGCATATTCAACCATTGCAGGATTTCCTCAAGTCGTCACTTCCAAGAATTCTGAAGAGATTTCCAGTCATACTCTTCATCGATGCGCTCGATGAATGCGGCGAACAGCCAGCTCGCGAACTGATTGGGCAACTCAAAGATCTACTCTCAAGCCTCCCGTCTACCGACTCTCGATTCGGTATCTGCTTCTCTTGTCGTCACTACCCCATTCTGGAGCTCGACGGCGGATTGACGATACTGCTTGATACCGAAAACACACAGGACATCGTTATATTCGTTCAAGCCGACTGCTCTAGAAATCATCTAGGTGCCGACGTTGAAAGACTAATTATCAACCGCGCCCAGGGTGTTTTCATGTGGGCACACTTGGTCCTGAAACAAGTACTACAGCTGCACCTCCACGGAGAATCGACAGCCGAGATCGAGGCCGAAATTGAGCGGATACCGCAAGACTTGAACGGCATTTACAATGAGCTGATCAAGGCCGTGAAGCATCGCTCAACTACCTTGCAGCTTATGCAATGGATCTGTTGCTCCACGCGGCCGTTGACAACGGGCGAGCTGCAATGGGCCATGGCAGTTGATCCCGACTGCACTCACAACTCACTCGACGAATGCCAAAACAACGACAAGATCGACAGAAGAATCAACACCCTCAGCTGCGGTCTTGCAGAGATCGTCCCGTCCGACAACGCCCGCGTCGTTCAGTTCATCCATCAGCCAGTCAAGGACTTTTTTGTCGAGGGTGGATTGATGGCTCTGGACAATACCATCAGAGCAGCAAATTTGGTGGTCCTTACGGCCCACTGCCGCCTATCCCGGTCCTGCGTCCGCTACTTTAGAATGGCCGTATCTTCTCATCCGGGACGCTTCAGTAGCGGGGACGAGTCTAGGTTCCCCTTGCTGCATTATGCAATAACATCATGGGTGTCTCACGTGAAGTTGGGCGAGCCAGCCGAAATATCTCCAAACGATGTTCTGGATATGCTTGGATGGCCGATGGAGCCCCTAGTTGCATCATCGGTACAGATATACGAGGCATTGGAGCTATACGCAGGTGATTGCCCGTCAAGCGGGAGTAGCGTTGTACACATCGTAGCGAGACACGGCTTGACCAAGCTGCTATCATGTCTGCTCCTCGACACGGGCAAGGTCGATGTCGACTCGAAAGACGAGAATGGCCTGACACCTCTATCGGGGGCCGCCGCGGGCGGACACGAGGTCGTGGTCAAGATTCTCCTCGATACGGGCAAGGTCAATGTCGATGCGACAGACGAGAATGGCCTGACACCTCTATCGTGGGCCGCCTGGAGTGGACAAGTGGCCGTGGTCAAGATGCTCCTCGACACGGGAAAGGTCGACGTCGACTCGAAAGACAAGAATGGCCTGACACCTCTATCGGGGGCCGCCGCGTACGGACGCGAGGCCGTGGTCAAGATGCTCCTGGGAAACGCTGGTGTCCAACCCACGAGGACGGATCGTCTCGGCAGAACCGCATTGTTCTTGGCTTCCAGAATGGGGCACCATAACGTGGTTAGAGTCTTGCTTGCGGATGGTCGGACCCCCCGGGAGGCCAAGGATTGGCGCGGCTCAACATCATTGTTCGCCGCAGTGAGGAATGGCCACGCTGAGGTCGCAGAGCTTTTGCTCCCCGCTGCCGGTACGGCTATAGAGGATCAAGATGGCTTCGGCCGCACATTGATATGGTGGGCGCGACGTACTGGCAACTCCCGGGTTCTTCAACTCTTTGTGCAGCAAGCCGAACGCACCAGCAGCCCTATCCATGACAACGCTGCGCCTCCGGAGACCGTCTCTGCCCCATTTATTTATCAATCTGCTTGGTGCGACGCCTGCACACTGAGCATCCCGGAGAGCTGTGGCTATTCATGCAGAATTTGTTTAGGTGGGGGCTTCTGCTTGTGCGCGGAGTGCTTCGACAGAGGTATTGGGTGTTTGGATCCTTCTCATGCGCTACCCCTTCTGTCTTCTGAATCGGCTTCTGATACCTTCATCCGAACGGCATCTGGGTGAGTTTGGCGGGTATCTAAGATAGGGTGATATCGTCAAGGCCGCGGCGGGGAACTGGGTCAGCGGGGCCAAGGTGATGAAGGTCCTTCTCGACGGAAAGGGAGACCAGGTCATGATCACGGAGGACAGCGTCATGGCCACGGCGGGAACTCACAGAGCGGTGGCCAAGTAATGGAGGAGTATAAATTGACCTTTGAATCCTTAATAAAGTGAACTTCGAAGTAAAATAAGAGTAGTCAATCGACAGTGTACAGGAAATTGTCCTGTCCGTCACCTAACGGCACTAGTTTTAAACCGTTTCGGCACATCCGTTTTCGCTTCCCCCCGTTGTGCATGAAGCGCGTAATTCCTCTCCCTATCCGCCTAAGTGAGGCGTGGCTGAGCTTGACTGAGCCGAACCTGAGCGAGAGCGACAAGAACGCTAGTCCTAATTGGTTCCTTGCACTGGCCGTGGTAAAACCAGTGCCAGCAGTGAGATCCGATGATTGCCATAGTCGTACGAAGGCCCTGATCTCATCTCTTCCGACGATAAATGAAGCTATTCATTTGTGTCACTCCCACGCATTCTATCTGGATTTGTTGCGCTCGAAAAATCTAGACATGTCAAATTCACCATTAAATAGCCATGTTTTTTGCCGTTCTGGATCCAACAGGAAATTTGCCAAGCCCACGTGCTCACAACCGCAACAGCTGAATGGCCAGCCCTGAGTTGAGCCTACCTGGGAGCCTCGAGCCAAACTCCCCCATAACTTCGAGTTGGCAGCACGCGGCTGTTGCGCCTGTCATTCTGCATTCTTTGTTTCGTCCATCCACGGCACACAAAAGAGGGCACGCGACACGTCCCTGTCCACAATGGCCATCCAACGTCGCTTCGGCTGGCATCCTGCAGAGGTGCAGGACCGCCTCTGGAACACGCTCCGCGAGAACTGGTACCTTGGCTTCACCTCCTTCGGCGGGCCGCCGACACATTTCAAGATTGTCAGTTCGTCGTGCAGCTCGTTCCCGTGTCACCTGGGCTCTTCTAACAGGAGCACATTCGCAGTTCCGTGACAAGTTCACCACCAAGTTGAAATGGGTTGACGAGCAGATGGTAAGCTTGCACCAGCGACACTTCAAGCAATAATGTTCATTGACTGACTTCTCTGTGTCGAACAGTACCAGGAGCTCTTCAGTGTCTGCCAGGCCTTCTCCGGGCCCGGTAGCACGAAGATGCACTACTGCATCAACCTGCTCCACGACGGTACCCTGTCTGCTCTGTTCGGCTTCCTGCTGTGGAGGTAAGTGCACTATACCACTTGCACACGATCCTTTGCAATGACTAGCGCTCACTCGGTCCTGATCTTCCCAGTCTTCCCGGCGCCCTGGGCATGTTCGGCCTGTCCATCGGCGTCTCCAACATCGGCGAGACACTGCCGCGTCCAGCCTACGCCGTGCTATCCGGCCTCAACGCCGCGACAGTCGGCATCGTGGCTCTCGCCGCCGTGCAGCTCTCCGAGAAGGCCATCACCGACAAGCTCACCCGCATCATCGTCTTCCTGGGCGCATCTGCCGGGATGCTGTACAACGCACTCTGGTACTTCCCCCTGTTGATGCTCCTGGCCGGCATCACGAGTGTGGTGTTCGACTTCCGCTGGCTGCATGGCCCGGTCAAGGCTGTAGTGGGCGTGTTTAAGCCCAAGGAGAAGCGCAGACAGACGCCACCCGAGGAAGAGGCTGTCGACATGTCTCATCAGCAAGAAGCCGCGTCTCAAACGGCGTCAGTGGATCCCATCCCAAGCAGACCAACCTCCAGAGCCAAGACAGGCGACACAAACGACGCAAAGGCAGCCAGCCGCGGCACACTCCCGCAAAACGCCGCCAGCACAGCAGGCCAGCTACCCCCTTCACCCCTTACCCAAGCGGAAGAGCAGGACGACGAACTCCGCGTCGTCCCGCAGGACCGACAGTTCAACATGTCCTGGAAGACCGGCGTCGCCATCATCGCTGCATTCCTCGCCTCCTTCGCCGCCGTCATGATCCTGCGCGGCACCCTCCCTGCCAAGTCCCTGCTCTTCAGCCTCTTCGCAAACATGTACCTCGCCGGCACCATCATCTTCGGCGGCGGGCCCGTCGTGATCCCGCTGCTGCGCGAGTACACCGTGACCGAAGGGTGGCTCAGCACGCGCGACTTCTTGCTCGGCCTGGCCATCACGCAGGCCTTTCCCGGGCCCAACTTTAATTTCGCTGTGTACCTCGGCAGCCTGACGGCGATCAACGCCGGGTACCCCGCTGCCGCGGGCGCGGTGCTGGGCTTCGTGGGGATGTTCGCGCCCGGGCTGATCACGGTGCACGGGACGATGGGCGTGTGGCATGCGATTCGGGGGTGGCGGTGGGTGAAGAGCTCGCTGCGCGGGATCAACGCTGCTGCTGTGGGACTGATCTATACGGCGGTGTACAGGCTCTGGCAGACGGGGTATATCGACGAGAGCTACCAGCAGGGCACGAACTTGGGGCTCGACCCGTGGTGGGTTGTCGTCACGGCTGGCAGTTATGTCGGTGGGTATTGGTTCGGGGTCAGCCCGCCGGTTGCGATCCTCGCGGGTGCAGTGATGGGATTGGTTTGGTATGGAGTTGTGTCTACATAGCTTTTCCAAATATGTCCGTTGTGAAGTGATGAAACCATCATCTCTCATTGAGGTTCGGGGTCCCCGGTATCTGAGACTCGAAGTCTGTTGGCGACAGCGAGGCATTCGTGAACCAGGAGTTTGTCTTGTATTGATGTAGATATAGTGTTGCAAACAGCAGTAGTTGCCCGGTCCAGACCATCTATCTGGTTCTTGGCGGGAGTTTCACAACCTCTAGCTAGTTCAATATCGACCAGTTCAGCGTCCACTGCGCAGCAAACCTTCCGCAGTGATGGCCGCACTGGTAGCAGTCACGAATCGTCCTATCTCAGCAGCCCAATAGGCTCAAAACTCGTGTGAAAGGCATAAGGTGACGCGCGCGCACGCACTGGTGATTCTAGAGGTCCTCTTCCAACGCTTCTGACCCGCCTACGTCGGCACAGCCAGCAGGTTGACCTTCTCCATGACCGGAAAACCGTCAGGCAGGACCTCGGGGGCGATGACCAGGTACCGCGAATTGGGGTTCGCAGCAGTGGCGCTGCCTCCGGGGCTTTGTGTGTAGAACGTGAAGATCGGGCCCTCTTCATCGCAGATGGCCCTGGACGGGGAGCCCGGGACGTTCTGGGTCATCCTGCACGACGGAGCGCTGCACGACATCGGGATCCCCGCCGCCGCCGACGACGACGACGGATCCGGCCGCGGGGCGGAGCACGTGATCAGCCGCACGCTGACGTAGGCATTCAGCGGGGTCTGCGGGGAGCAGGTCATGACCTTGGGCGGCGCGGTGGCGGCGTACGCGGGTACCGGGTACGCGGCGCACAGGGCGAAGGCGCCGTTGAACACCAGGATCCGGCCGGACGCGGGGTCCCACGTCGCCGGCGCCACGAAGAGGTTGCCTCCCACGAAGCCGAAGGTGCCCTGTATGCCCGGTGAGCTCCGGGCTTTCAGGAGCACGCCGGCGGCCGGGCCGCGGTCGACTGTGATGGTGAAGCCACTGGGGTGGGCACCGGGGCGAGCGAGGAGGACGTCGAGCTGGTTGGCTCGCTGCTGTTGGTCGGTTCCGAAGGGGCCGATGTGGTCGATGATGCGTCGCTGCTGCTTGTGGATGCTGTGTTTGATGTCTCTGAGGCGGGGCTGGTGCTTGTCGTGTCCGTGCTCGAGGTGCTCGAGGTGCTCGTTCCGTTCCGCTCGGACCATGACAGTCACTGGACAATGGCGAGGGCCCCTGGGGTGGGGTGCTAAAGTCGCATTTCCCTCGTACCCTAGTTCTCCGCAACAGTGCTACTCCTGCCAGCATTCACGTCATAATCTCGGAACTAAAGCGCATGCTTCATCAACTATCTTTGGAGGCACGAGAATGCAGCATTCGAACACAGTACATCGAGGCGTTCAGCGGAGGCATCCGAGTTCTACATTGAAGTCTACGTCCAATAACAAGTTGACATTGAGAAGAACTACAGAGTATTCGGAGCTTGTGTGTTCGTCCAGTCCAGTCATCTCCATAGTCGGAGACACTGTTTGACTTCAAGTGCAACAACGTCAGCCGATTGAGAGGCATCGATCTGTAAATGTTAGTATAGATCAGATGTATGGGAAGTGAGAATGTACCTTGTGAAATGGCTTTTCGCGGATGCGCTTGATTATGTCCGAAGTGTCTCTGTTGTAATCTGCAGCCCGTCTCAGACGGATCGTCTCGTCCTCGTCATCAACCCGACCGGACGACTTTGCACGCGCGCCTAGCCTGCGGGCTAGAAGTTCTGGCTGGTTCCTCAATTACGATGGATGGCGAGCTGGGCCCACAGACCGACTTCGGGAGAGGTGGAGAGTGGCGTGTTGTTTTGCTCAGGCGGATCCGTCCGCCCGCCATTCTAGGATAACTGGAATCTGCACGTCCAGTGTAATCCATCGCGCCCACAACGGTGAGCGCACCAGCCGCAGCATTTCCTCTGTCCATCGGGCCGAGCTCCAGCGAGTCAGAAGACGGCTCACGTGGGGGGCCCTAAGATAGGGTGCGGGGAACCCCGATAGACTAGCTCGCACTAGTCCCCGCTCAGCACTAGATTCAAGACGGACAAGCGCAGTATGGTCAAGCTATTTATAGGCGTCCCGTTGATGCTCGAAAGCGGTTGTTGCGAAAGTGCAGTGATCAGACCCGAATTGGAAAATCGATCAGAACGATACTCCTTCGCTTGAAATCGGTGCAGTCACTCGGTCTCTGGATGAAAACTGCGGGTGGGCGACGTCAGGTTGGCGGTATGTTGCAAGGGAGGCGAAGCAAGAGAGGACAGCACCCTCCCCAGCCTTGTAGACAGGGGTCATCCCAGTGACGTGCGGAATCTCTTCCAAGAATAGCCACAGGCATCAAGACACACTTTGCCACGGTTCTGTCGAGCACTTTCTCGTCCTCCACAGCTCCAGATCATGTCTTCCTGCTCCTTCACTCGGTCTCAAAATAACACCGCAAGAAGACTGCCACCAAGCACGACCGCCGCAGCCAGCATGGGCCAAGCCTCGTCCTCCTCCTCTGTCCTCATCTACCCCTTCAACGCGCAGTCCCAGCAGCAGCAGAACATCCCCTTCAGCGAATGGATCACGCTCTTCACCGTCTCGCTCGCGCCCCTGATCGCACACATCGCGGCGGGAACACCGCACCCCTCGATCCTCTCGTCCCAGTATTGCCAGCGGCCCAGCTGGCACGACTCAATGTGTCTGTACAACCCGACGTCGATCCTCTGGCGGTACGCGGCCATCGCGGACCGGCGCATCCGCGCGCGGGACTGGGGCGTCGCGGACATGGCGGCCAGCAACGCGCTGTTCTGGACGGGGACGCCGGTACGGTGTGCGAATGATGCCGATGAGGCGGGCATGGCGTACGGACATGTGGACCACGTAACGCCAGGACGAAAGGAGCCGAGTCGGAGACGACAAAGCACCACCACCGTCGGGGGCTGGAACGGCACCGAGGCCATGATCACCGCGAGCATCCCGTACTGCACCGCCCTGCCCCTCCACGCGCACGCGGAGCTGCTGTCCTGGGAGACGGTCAAGACGGCCATCATCACGTTGCAGGGCGTGCAGGCGCTGTACGTGCTGGCGGGCGGGCTGGGCAGGAACGTCGAGGGCACGAACACGGGCCTGCAGGACGCAGTCGACAACGCGTTCTTCCCGTTCACGCTAATCGGGCTGTTCCGGTTGACGGCGGCGTACTGGCTGACGAGCAGCGGGTTCGGCTATGCTGCGCGGGACGAGGTCTGGATGGAGCTTGCGGCGAGCAGGGTCGCGCGTGGCAGTCGAGAGCAGGTAGCTCTGGCCGGGGAGTACTGTGGCGAGCCCAGATCCTACGCCGGGTCTGATGGGATGCGGAGGGGGTATACGTACTCGGGGCTGACCGGCCCTCTCCACGACGAAGAGAAGTACGACTCCCCGGACACAACTGGAAGACAGCAACAGACACCCCCCGATCACGATCCGCTCAGCCCAGGCCCAACAGCACCCAGCCGCTTCCGCCCGACCTCCTACATCCCCAGCATACTCTTCCGCACCACCTACCTCCTCTTCATGCTCGCCGTTTGGGCCCTCGCCCTACTCAAAGGCACGCCCTTAGTCGGCAACACCTTTCGCCGCTCCGTCAGCACCCTCCTCAGCGGATCGTTCTACATCTTCTTCATGACCGTCTCGTGCGGCGTGTATGTGTACTACTCCCTCATCCCTGCGCGGCACACGGGCCTCGGCGGAAGCGGAGACGGCGCGGGGATCCGGTCCACGGTGATCCCGTGCATGGGCAGGTTGTGGTACAAGTGCTACACTGTTGTGGTATTCGCGTGGATGGCGGCCATGTTTGTCGTCGCGTGCTGCGAGACGGTGAGGATGCCGTGCGGGCGGTATACGAGTCTGGGAAAAGAATTTTGGGTGGGGCGGACAAACTGTGGAATGCGGTGATCCGAATGTAAGTTTATCTACTTACAAAAAGTTGAGTAAGAGCGGAAGCCAAGATTCATGAAGAAACTCGAGAAAGTGATTCCTCAAACGATCATTTCATGCGTACCTGTGCCGATGTTGTGACTGCACAGTCCGATGATATCCCAAATTCATGTTACTGTCCACATTTATCCCCAATTTCCCGCTGATGAATACAGCCAACTCATCAGTCCTCACTCACCAGTCCACAGGGGTCTTTCTCGGTGGTCCTGCTCTGCGAGGCGCTCACTTCGCACCGGCCGTCTCCTCGCCGCCCCCGAACCGCCTCATGTGCTCCTCGTAGTCCTCCGCGTCCGAGTCGCGACCTCTAGTCTCCGGCACACAGAACCACGTCACCACCGCGCCGAGCTTCTCCAACCGCGAGGGTAACACTTCGCCGGGAAGGATGAATGTCGTAATATCGATTTGCTCCCCACTTCATCGCCAAGCCCCTACGAATAACAAAGAACAGCCTGAAGGACATCTTCTTTCATCAAGCACTTGTGTAGGTTGTTGCTCGGAAATAACACGCACACTTGGCGTCACGGCAGGGCCCTGGCTCACCGTGTAAAGTCCTGCACCGCGCGGGTGTCGGTGGCCGGTTACCTCTTCCTCCCTCGTGGTCCAACTTTCGTGAGCTCTAACAGAGACCATAATGCCACAACCATCACAACACTCTGGGACCGGGCTCTTATTTTCGCTGCGGGATCGCCAGCTCGTCCCACCTGAGACGCCTCCACCAGGTTGTCAAACACGATTCACATGGTGGGCATAATCAATGAAATTAGACTCGCTGAGAGTAATAATAGGAGTTAAGAGACACGTCAAACCCCCTCGTAAGGACATCCATGGACGGGCAGGTGTTCCTGTTCCGCCATCCCCCTCCATGTACAACTCAACTGGCAAGGCCGAACAACAGGCTGCCAAAACCCAGTCTCCCACTTCAAGCCCAGCTGTAGCACTCCTTGGCAATGGGGACCTGAACGTTGTACACCGTCTTGGACCACATCTTGGTGACGAACGCGACGAGGCTGAAGCTGAAGTCGCTCTTGATGCTCAGGCCCTGCGCGCAGGTGAGGTCGCCAGACTGCGCGGGGGCGGCGATAACGCCATTGGCATCCCCGCCGGTTTTTCCCTGGCCGATCCCGATCCCCTGGCTGCCCGTGAGTGCGAACTCGTTGTTGAAGCGCGGCCGGGCCCTGAGGCCGGCGCTGATGTCCACGACGCCGCCCAGGATCTTGACGACGAGCTGGAACGTGACGTCGATCCAGGTATCAGCCTTGGCGAGGGCGCGCTGCGAGAGGTTCAGCTTGGCGTTATAGACGGGCTTCCAGGGCGTGACGCTGGTCTTGGCGGTGTTGAGGAAGTCGAAATGCACGCGGCCGTTCTTGAGACCGGCGCCGGCCGAGCCGGTGACGGTCACACCAGCGGCGACGTCGGGATCGAGGCCGATGGCGAAGAGGAGCTCCGGGCCGAGGCTGATGATGCCGGGGACGTTGACAATCATGTACGACAGGTCGCCGGGGTTGTAGGTGAAGCTGTCGCGGTATCCAGCCTGGGCGGCGACGGTGACCCCGACCGAGGCGTCGATGCTGGAGTCAATGTCGACGTAAAGCTGCTTGAGCTTGCCTTCGATGACGTTGTAAGTCCACCCTCCGCCTCGCGACCAGGGCGCATCACGACCAGGGGTCGCGACGCGACGCGTTCAAACACCCCACCATACAATCTGCCATATAAACCTGTTTCCTCGCGTCTCTCTGCGACATAATTACGACCATTACAAACCCCAAAAATGAGGCTATCGTCATGGTGCCAAAAGACTACCAATTGCGCGCCCGCCGCGCACTGGACGACATCGAGGCTGGCGTACCTATTGCGACAGCTGCCAAACTACACGAAGTCGACAGATCCTACCTACGTCGTCGCCTCAAGGCCGTTCCAACCTTCAAGCAAAAATACCAAGTCCGACAAGCCCTCTCCGTCACCCAGGAAGACTATATGGTCTCCTGGGCCCTCGACCAAGCCAAGCTGGGCTATGCAGCACCATTGAAGCAATTCAAGCACTTCGCGATGCGGCTGTTGTCGATCGACGACCCCGCCGCACATCTTGGGCAGCACTGGTACCGTCGTTTCATCCACCGAAACCCAACCTTGACAACCTCGAGATCACGACTTATCGAATACAAACGGTACAACGGTGCCTGCAAGGCCAACATTGATATCTTCTTCGACCGGTTGACGTCATTGCAGCGCAGAAAGGTGCAGCCCGAGAATATCTGGAACGTGGACGAGTGCGGAGTGGCAGAAGGCCTAGGTCACAATGGCTTCGTGGTCAGTGATGCTCTGCGCAAGTTCACGTTGAAAAAGGACGGCGCCAGGAGGACCTGGATCACGATAATCGAGGCCATTTCTGCCGGCGGTCGTTCCATCCCTCCATTGGTTATCTTCAAGGGCCAGTCCGTTCAACAGCAATGGTTTCCTGATGTCAAAATCGATCGATGGAAGCATTGGTGTTTTGAGACTTCACCAAACGGGTGGACCAGCAATGATATTGCGCTGAAATGACTCAAGGAGTTGTTCATCCCCAACACGGTTCCTGCTATTCCTGGTCAGTGGCGATGCCTTCTCCTAGACGGCTATAAGTCGTACGTAACAGAGGAATTCATGGCGGAATGCTTTATTAACAAGATCTGCCTGATTTACCTCCCGGCTCATACCTCACATGTTCTTCAGCCACTTGACGTAGGCGTGTTCTCGGCGGTGAAGTCGGCCTACCGTGCAGCGGTTACAGAGGTTGCTTGCGACACCATGAACGAGACCCCAGGCAAGCGGGAGTTTCTTGAGGCATATGAAACTGCGCGCAAAAGCAAGATGAACAAGGAGAACATAATGGCCGGCTTCAGAGGCACGGGGGTGTGGCCACACAATAGGTCAAAAGCGTTGAGCTCCCGGTTGATGTTGACCCCTGAGGAGTCCCAGTCGACATCTCAAGATGGCCCAAATCAGGCCCAAATGACGTCTACAGAGCCGGACTTTTTGACGCCCTTATGCGCAATTGACGTCAAAACGCCAAAAACAGGTCGCGATATCTATGCATTGCATCAGGTACTGATAAAATGCGATTCTGCGCTGGCGACAGCGACGTGCAGGAAGCTGTTCCAGAAGGTGGCGAAGGCAATCGAGACTTCGAACCTCCGATACACCACTGCAGAACACCAAAAGGACCGCCTGCAAACTGCATTGGAGGCTTCAAAGCCTAACAAACGTCGCAAAGTCGACCCGGATCCCAACAAAGACTTCGTTACCGTTATAAACGTCGAACGCGCGAAGAGACAGGTGCGGCGGGAGATGGGGTCGGACATCAGCACAGATAACAACACCGACAGTAGCGACGACGAGGTGGAGCTAATTGAAAGTGATAGTGATGAGGAGAGTTGCATAGAGGTGCAGGTCAATTAATTTAAAGCCTTTTTATTGGGTGGCTGACGAGCTATTGCAGAGTGACGGCGAGGTTGACGATGCCTTCATGCGCAGGTGGGGGGTGGTCGCGAGGGGGTCTGGTCGCGAGGCGGAGGGTGAACTTACGGGAGCTCCCGTGCCACGCTGATTTAGAGCACCGGTCTTACGATGACTTCAACTTCTTGTTCGCTTCCTCCTTCTTCCACTGCTCGCCCATAACCCTCACTTCCTCGTTGGCGTCCAGAATGGCCTGTTTGGCCCCCTTCCACGACTTGCGCCCATACGGCGTGTCAAATAGTCGGTACGTAGCAGGGCAGTCGATGCCGTCCATCAGCAAGTTGTAAAATTTGCATCCTGCCACCATAGCCTGAATGCAGCGGGGCTGCAGTTGCCGATGCGCTCCGTAACGCCCGTGCCGCCCACCGTATTGAGCCAGTTATACGTCGCTTGTTCCAGTGAAAAGCAGAACCCAGGATAGTGTATGGGCCCGTTGGCGCACATCTTGACGATGAAATCGTACTGCTTGTCTATGTCGGACCGCATCTACGCTTTCGATGGCATGCCGCCCGGGTATGAGCCGCTCCACAGGCTGGCGATGGCCATGGCCTCCAGGTCGGCTACGACAAAGGGTGGCTTCATGATGAGCATATGACCTATGATGGCCAAGCTGTCTGGATACTGCTCGGACAAGATGCCATGGTACAGGCGGGCGAACGGGTAGTCTGGATCGTAATATTTGGCGGCTCTATGAGCCCTGAATCCGTCTGGTGCCAAGGCCGGGTCGCAAGGGTTGCCAGGGCCTTGAAGGAATGACAGGTCATACGTGTACCCGGAACACACGACTATGGCGTCAATGTCGTCAAGCTCAGTTCCGTCAGTCATGCGGACAGATCGGGGACCTGTGATCTCCGCAATGCCTTGTGTTGTCTGCACGGTGCCTTGCCGGATGTTGTCCGCGAGGTCGTCGGAAAACATGGGCACGCGATATGGCAGGCAATCTATCTTTCTAGGAGCATTGAAGGAAGGGTGGTCGTTCAACCAGGGATAGGCCGCCTTGCGTGCGGCTATCATGGGAGTGGCGATGAACTTCATAATAGGACCCGGAATCCACGCCATCAGACAGCGCATGATGGTGCCCATCCGCCGAGACATGCTGTGGTCGAACGCCTTACCGGAGACCATGCGCGGAAGTAGTAGCATTTGTGCTCGATGGCTCAAGAAGACCTGCTTGGCTTTGGCCTTGACGATGAAGGACGCGATGTCTACTCCCGTAGCGCCGACTCCGACAACAATCACCCGCTTACCCTCATACTTGGAGGGGTCCTTGAACTCCCTTGCGTGCATGAGGTCGCCCTCGAACTGCTCGGACCCTTGGAACTTGGGCATCTTGGCGACGTTCAGCATGCCCGAGGCTACAACGACTCGATCGAAGCGATGCACCTCTGTCGCGCCGTTGCTGCCCTCCTTGGTACTCTTAGTGGTGACCATCCACGCTCCGTTATGCTCGTCTCGTTGGACAGCGACTACTTCTGTATCGAAACGGAAGTGCTTGAGGACATCAAATGTGTCGGCATAGCTGTCCAGATAATTCTCAACCTGTTTAGCACTGGGGTGTGTCTTTGCCTCTTTGGGGTATCGCAGATCTGTGAATGACGACTGAGACAAATTTGGTCAGTTACACGTCCAACATTTGAAGGCTTGCAATGAAAATACATACAACTTGCTTCGAGGTGTTCTTGGTTGTGGTAGGGAGCACGCTTAGCTGGCCGTCTCGTATCGTCCAGATCCCCCCGACCTACTGTCTTATTCCACCCCGTAATTGAGTCAACTTCAAGGGTTCAACATGCCCCACATATGCAGTGTCGACCGTGCACACCTCGACGTCCCTCTCATTCCCACGTAGGACATGTCACGTCCTACGAAAGGTCTGTGCACGTAGCAGATCCGTCTCATTCCAGCCCCTTTTCCAAGTGGACTTGAGTCCACTCTTTACCCCAAGTTTGCCCAGATTCTTCCCCAGATCGACCCACCGACAGTCCAGAATGCCGGTACTACGAAGACGAACTACAGTACGACGATGCGGAACCAATCGCCAATTCGATCAGCTACGAGGCCGGAAGGCGATAGTAGTCCCGACCAGGTCTTCGCGTACCTGCAACTCTACGCCGATCTGGAATATCATGTTCTGATCTGCCGTAGACCCGAGTGCCGACACGCCATCTCCCCATATGGAGCCCAGGTTACCGCACATCTCTGGAACAAGCATAGCGTTCCACTGGCCGGCCGATTAGGACTTGCGGAGCATATACGCGATAACTACTCTCAAGGCCTCCGCAAACCTACGGATGCAGCTCTACCGCCCTGCGGTTCCAAACCCCATCCAGAACTCCAGACCTACGATGACTTCAGCTACCGCAAGTGCGTCTTCTTTACGACTAGCTTCCACGAGCTTACAAGGCACCTCTCTCATAAGCACCTCAACGGGGAAACCGCGACCCGGCCGCGAATTGGCCTACTCTACGACGACGTCTACCTACAGTCTTGGGCGGGCGGGCCTGTGTCACGATCCTGCCTCCGGGGTCAACCGTCTGACAGGGCGCTGGGGTTGCTGCTGTGGAAGATAGGTAAAGCCTTCGCAATTCTCATTTAACTCCTGCTGTCGTTCTCTCTCGATGGGTTGTCGTGTCTCTGGGAAGAGATACCAGTCTCGGCAATTGAGTGACTAGTTCAAGTGTGTGGTGAAACTGATACTTAGATTGATCGCTGAAGTACAAAGGTAATGACTGTCTGGGCTAAGAGATCCTCCATCTATACATCCTTTGTCCTTCATCGTGTGTCTTGCGTGGTCATTCTTTTCTGCACGACGGTCATGCTTTTGATGGTGACCGTCATGCTTGGCGGAGTGATGGTCATGCAGATATGCATGACTGTGGTACGGTACCCGATCCTTATCCTTATCGTGATCCTTGTCCGTGATTACATAAGAAACCTGTGACGGCACTGCCACATGGTCCGCCCTTGTCCCTCGCCTGATCCTGTGGCCTAGTTGTTTGTGCTCTTTCCTGCCCGAACAATCGTCCCCTGTTGGTGCGGTCGTCACATCGGTCCTCCATACATAGCACCGAACTACTAGAGTTTACGTAGCGCTAGCGCCTTAAGCTTACTACGCCTTACGGTAAGATTATAAGATAACACTACGACTACCGAGACTTAACTATCGACTATATATAGGCCTCTAGGGAGGTCTGGGTTACCTTCGAAGGGGATATAGGACCCTCATCGCCTTCTACAGCCTCGGCAACGAGCCCGCCAAGACGGTCCCCACCGCGGACCTGGTCAGCTGGACGAGCGAGTTGTTCGACCTCGTCGCCACTGGCGACCTAAATCCTACACTTACATATCCTTAGTGAGAAAGCTATCAGCAGTAGCGAGGAGAAAGGACTCAGGGCAGCTAGCACTCGTAATGGTGACGAGGATGCTGTGGTTCCTACGGCCGCGCTTCTGCTACTGGGCGAGGCGGCACAGGGCGTACAGCGTGGCAGAGATGACGAAAAAAATTGGTAAGTAGCCTGGCCCGTCCTGGAAGACAGCGCGCAGTACTGACGTGTGCCGCTATAGAGCGTAAGGGGTGTAACAACCGCATGCTAGTCTCCCTAGGCTGGATCGTGGCCAAGGGCTCGCGGGAGAACCCACGGAACACGAAGTGTAGTCTACAAGATCCGGAGAGGCTTATGCAGCTGCGGAAGGAGCTGCTGGCCGCGCGCAAGCCATTAGTGGACTCCCTCGTCATGGTGTTTGGTGACGAGGATGAGATCTGGCTGGAGCGGTGCGAGAGTATTGCAAGCCAGTTGTCGTATATAGACTAAGCGGCTTGTTATCTAGATCCCTGTTCCTTATCGCCGGATTGACCCCTCTGTGACACGTGTATAAAGCTCAGGTGTCATCTTTCAAATAGCCCCGCCATCGACCGAAGCCGGCCTGTGACGACGCTCCTGCACTGGCGCTATGGCGCTAACGAAACTACCGGTCGAGCTGATCAGCCTTATCTCGTCCTTCCTTGATACGCCTTCCTTCTTGACACTGCGCTATGCCTCCAGATCTGTCGAGGCTGGTACAAGACTTTTGTTTCGCCGGCGCTACTTCAGCTCTCGGGGCGTGATGCTATACGAGCCGAGCCTCGAGAATCTGCTCGAGATAGCTAGTAGCGAGGAATTTCGGACGTGCGTCGAGACTGTAATAGTATGTCTCGATCACATTCCCGACTCTACGGCAGCGATTATGTATAGCGAGCTTCGGCTGGATGCTCTTGGAGAGTATGTCCCACTTGACCAACTCCCCGGACGCGACGCAATCGGCGATTATGATTCCGACCACGGCAGTCCAGCTGGAGAGGTAGAAATCGGCACCGGCTCGGCCGATTCTAATCGGGGGCTTCAGGACCATGCACGAGAGCAGGCGCGCTTCATAAAGTCGGGAATCGCTTCGTGCTACTTATCCAGTGCATTCTCCCGGCTCCCGAACCTTAAGAGCATCCAGATATCAGACACTTTCATCCCATGGGGTGCACGATCCTTCCGACGAGTAACAGGGTTGAGAATGGTGTCGACGCTCACCAACATGGTAGACCTAGATCTCGTACAGGCTACAGTACAGGAAACGCTTACGGCGACCTACAGCTCTTCGGCTCAGCCACTAGCACTGTCGATCATTGTCGGATTCGCAGACGAGGCTATCCGGCCCGACCTTCTAGTTCCCTCTGGATTTCTCGCGCGGTTTATGCGAGCGCGGCACTCAGTGATAGCCGAGCTTTGTCTCTCGGTATCGCCCTTCCTCCAGAACGATAGGAGAGTATGGATAGACGACTTCCTGTCGTTTGTTCATCTCTTTCCACAACTCGAGGTTCTCGACCTCGGTTTCAACGTAGTAGACGAGCATCTCCATTTCTCGACCATCGGCCGGAGAGCGCACTTCCCACGACTACGCGAGCTCAGACTAGGCTATATCGTGTGTGAGGCGGATAGCATTGCGCATATGGTAGAACGTCATAAGTCTACGCTCCGGGAACTCGTTTTGACGCCGATGGAGCTACCGGCCGGGTCAGGAAGCTGGCCTCCGCTATTGGCGTTAATACTCGGCGCAGAACTGATGGTAGAAGAGGTTGTGATAGAGGAGTGTATAGAAGGGGATCTGATGCTCTATCTGCATAGTACAAGGAAATTATCGAGCTTCCAGATATCAAAGCGGGGGCCAGACAGTCTTCCGGAGATGTTTGCGGGACTGCAGCTGGAACGGGAGGCGTAGGTAGGTGTAGACTAGATTATCGTAGTACCTAACCCCCTATACTTCTACGGGTGTCTAGGCTAGGTCCGGAGGATTAAGCTCCTCCCACTGACCGTCATTCCCGGCCTTATCCTAGCTAGGGTTACTCACATATACTATCTTACTCTTCGATCTAACACTGCATTTGTTATTGAGGACCGTGAACATCTACCCACCGCAAGTAGATCATCGTTGCCTAGCGATGGCGATACGCTACGAGGCCGACGGTGGTCGCACCGGCGGCAAGGTCGGACTGCTGAGCTGGCCTGCGGCTGACGCCAGTAGTAGCCAGGAGCATCGCGTCCTCCTCTGCGTCTCATGCAGAGTCGGGATTCGGCCAGACGACGGCATACGACTACACTTCTGGCGGACGCACCGTGTCAAGGGCGAGGCACTACGCCAGATCGTCGACTACAGCTACGCCGCCGAGCCAATCGCGAATCCTCACACCGTACCACTACCAACCGACGGATCACCCCAGATAGAGCAGCTGCTGGCCATCGACGGCTTTAGCTGCTCAGACTGCCGTTTCCTAACGACGAGCCGGAAACTAATTAGGGTCCACCGCTCGCAGGCGGGACACGACCATACGACCAGCTGCCGTGGCAGTAACAGCGACTGGAATGAGGTACGGCTCCAGACCCTGTCGCCGAGGAGCTATGCCCGGTACTGGGTAGTCGAGCAAAGACATGCCGGAACGGCCAGCTTAGATGCCGCCGGCTCTACTTCTACTTCCTCGCAGCATATATTAAACGAACGCCTCGCATGCTACGAAGCAAGGCTAGCTACCGAGCTAGCGGAAGTGCGGCGTACGGTTGATAGCCGGCAGGGGCCTAACTGAGTCGACCTGGGTCCGCGAGATGGGTTGGGCAAGGCACCTAGCCGGCACCGATATGGGCGAGCACCTACAGGCGAGCCTAAGTGCTCTATCTGCTACGGCGCGTGTCAAGCTCCGAAGTGAGGTAGAGATTATTGAGGAGCAGCGACTTCTCCGGCTCGGGGTCAGCTTTGACCGGCAGATCGGAAAAGGCATCGAGCGGGTCGCGCAGGTACCAAACGAGGTGCTCCGATACCTCGCAAGCGTCGACCCTAACCGCCCAGCAGGCGCCCCGTTTAAGACGGAGAACGGCCAGGACACGAAGGACCGGTACCAGGTCTACTGGAAGCGCTACCTCTGCTACTGCGTCCGGGTAGGGCGGCTCGGCCGGGAAGTAGCGACGGAGAGGTTCCGGATCCGGTTTAACGATCCCCAGTGGGCTTCGCTCGAGGAGATCATCCAGCGACTAGAGACAAACTCCGATAGCGACCGGGAAGCCAGTACCTCTCCAGCCTCGTCAAGCCACATCGGGTCTGAAGAGCCAGCTACTCCAGGAGGCGAGGTAGACGAGGAAGAGGACCGAATCGGGGACCCGGTAGACCAGGCTGTAATGGCTTTCTGTATCAGGTCGCTCCAGCAGAAGGTTGCCGTCCACTTATTTGATAACCCGCTCCTACACTTCACGTGCGTACTCGGGATCAGCAGTACCCGGAAGAGCTACGCCTGGCGGCCAGCTACTGAATACACAACTCAGATAGCAGGGCTCATCTGGTGCGCGCGTCTCCTCCTGCTAGAGCATATATTCGCAGCCGATGAATGTAGCGAGGATATCGGCCCAGAAGCCATCGAGTACTTCCTGACGCAGCACCGCGACTGGCTCGCCGATGGCTCGTTCTCGCCCTTCAGCGCGATGATCCGGATGATGGCATACGGGAAGGGCTTCCGCAAGAAGGAGGGCGGCACGCCACGACTAATGTGGGAGGACAGCAAGGAGGCACTACGATATCTTGGCCAGCGCATCCCGCTTAACGACTTCCGGTTTATGGCGGCTAGCATTATTACGGATGCAGAGGAGCTTCTGGATCAGCTTATGTTCGGAGAGTGGGTTTCGCTTAGCCAGATCGTCGTGCTCCGACGGATCACGGATAGCCTTAGCTTCGAGGGACCTGGGGCGTCATTTGCTACGCACGAGAAGAACAGCTGGCTCGAGCCAGGCTTCCGGAAGCTCGTCGGTCCAGGTATTGCTCAGCTCTGGGACGACGAAGTAGGAAACTTCCGTATGGCTCAGGTCCAGCAGTGGCTCAACCAGCTCCAGTCATTCCGCCAGGCTCTACTCGTCAGTACCCACACGTGGGGAGGTCAGCCCGGCAGAGGGCCAGAGATCATGACGATCCGGCACTGCGACACGCAGGATATGCTCCGGAATGTCTTTGTGTTCGACGGCCAGGTAATGCTAGTTACAGACCGCGATAAGGCTAAGGCTATCCGCGGAATCGGCCGCAAGGTTGCACGGTTCTTACCAGAGACGGTTGGCCGACTAATGGTCGCCTATATCCTATGGATCCTACGGCGGATCTACTAATAATATATGACCATCATTCCCGGCCGGGAAGCGCTCACTTTTCGCGCACTCCTGGTGGGCAGGGGGCGCGGGCGCACGGGCCATTGAGCTCATTCCGGTACCCCAGGTTGAGTTCATCCCGGCCAGCAAAAGGTCAGCTAACCCACGACCCCCCCCCCCCAGCAGGGGTCTAACCTTAACCCCCAGCCCAGCCCGTCCGTCCAAGGGGGGCAAAAAGGAAAGCGAGTGACGGGCAATAATGAGAAGAGCGCGTCCGCGTAATGGGACTAGCCCGGGGGGGTTGAGGGAGCAGGAGGATGAAACGGACATGTACGGGCTCGAACAGCGACGCCAGCTCGGGGCCTCTTCCCACGATGCACGCGACAGGAGAAGTACAGTAGTAGCCCCAAGAACAACAGGCACAGACAGCAGGGACAATGAACCGCAGCAGCAGCCAGGGGGGCGATTCCGACAGCGATCGCAGCGATGCTGAGGGAGACAACGTCGCGCAACAGGAGCCGGACACGAAAGCCACGACAACGATAGAGTCAGGGCCGGCGCGAGCCACGACGATAGCGACGCCAGCACTGTATCTACGCAGGGCAAGCCGCGTACTCATCTGTACGCTATGTAAGGCAGGCATCCCAGCTGCCGTGGGCGGTCTAGTTACCACTACCGACAGAGGCACCGGCTTAAGGGCGGCCAGCTACAGGCAGTTAAATCGGCAGGGCGGCAGTAGCAGCAGGGGTAGAGGGCTGCGTATGGTCCTTATGGTCAACGACCGACAGGGCCTTAGCCACAGCTTCTGTCACGATGCACTCATGGCGCGATGCTACAGGCACGGTTACGTAGCAAAAGAATTTTTCAATTGTGTATCCATCATTAAACAGTCTACCTGATGCTAAGCACGCCTTACAAAATGTTTTCGCCGTCCAGCACTTAAGCTCAAGACCAACTGCACGACCTCCCCTCACCGGCTCGAGCGATCACTCGAGCTATCGCGCTTCCTTCGCCCGGAGTAGCCCCAGACGTCCTTGTCACGATGGCCCAGCACGGAGCCTGAGCGGGCATCGGCCGCCGACTCCGTGACTACAGTGATCTCCTTGCCAACAACGATATCCTTGTCGCCCATGACAGCCGCCCCGGTGCCAGGGCTGAGCGTCTTGCCACCTCCGTCGAGGAGGATATGCTCGTCACTGCCCCACGCGGCGACTGCAGTCGTAGTAGCGGCACCGGCAGCCGCCGGGCCGGCAGTCGCATGGCGAGACAGCTGGGTGCCGAACTTGGAGCGGCTGCCGAGGCCGTAGGATTTGGAGTGCGGGCCGGTCCGGGGGTTGTCGCTGAGCGGGTAGCTCTTGCCCGACCCTCCGCTTGCGCCGCCGTGGGCACCGTTCTTGCCGGAGCGCCCGCCAGACCTGCTGAACAGGATGCTGAGCCCCGTGTGGCTGGCCAGCTTGCGCAGCAGGGGCTGGATCACGGGGAGATTGGACACGACTGCGGACACGAAGATCTCGCGGCACGCCCACTGGCTGCCGGAGACGGCACCTTCGGGGCCGGCCTGGATGATAGATATCCGTCAGTCAAAGGTCCAACTGATGCGATGGAGGCCTGCTAACGATGACCTGGACGGGTAGCTTACCGTGATAATGACGACGGCGCGGATCGTGGCGGCGGCTATGATGAATATGGCGCCGCTGAAGAGGAGCATAAGCGTGAGCTTGCGGCGGAGCGAGATATTGACGCCCCAGAGAAGCTGTTTTGCAGGGGGGAAATCTGATGTCAGTGGATTGCTCCGTATACCAAGTCCAGAGGTGCCGGTGACCAGAACAATATGTACGTACAGGAAGAGGAATGGAAAGAAGGTACACGTCCGTGATCACGTTAGGTAGATAGACTATGAAGACGTTGAGCTTCGAGTTGGTAGGTTGGCAGAGATCTGACCACGGGACGATTTGTTAGTTGTTTGTGAACCAAGAAGTCAATTCGCGCGCCTCTGCCTTGACAGTCTTCTAGGGAAACAGAGCGATGGTGATATTATCGGAGGGCAAATTTGGCGAGGGAGTCGGTCTTACTTCCGGGATTCGGGTGAATCTGCCAATTACGCGATATGGGCTGGCATCCTAGGACGATTGAGAGCCCCACGGCAATGTAGCTCACGCCAATGACGCCGTAACCCACGAGGACGCGGGTGTGGAGGTTGCTTAGGCGAGTTCTGTACAATTTTGACGACGCTTTAGCCGACGATCGTTGCTTGCGACAGCAGCAAGGCATGCCGATCTCGAGGTGGCCTGAAGCTCAATGTGAGAAGGGCACTTACGTCAACCTCGAGTAAAACACAGTGATGCAGACCTTTAACACCCACAGCTCCATCGCATAGAACGACCAGCCGATCACCTGGATCTTGGAGCCCATCTCGCGGTTGTAGGCCTCCTTGGACGTGGGGTCGAGAGCCGCACGCTGCTCGTCCGTCATGTAACTGTTCGTGAGACCGTCGTAGTTGGCACCAACAAGATACGCGAGTGTCGTGACGAGGGAGAATAGTAGCTGTGGGAGGAAGTTTTAGACTGCGTCCTGTAACCAGCACAGCCCAAGAGCAAGACCGGGTTCTGCGAGACAGGGAGTGACCTACGCCAGAGACGGGCATGATATAGTCGTCCAGCTGGAAGCCGGAGAAGCCGACCTGAGACCATCGGTACCAAGTCCGCACGGCGATTGTGCAGAGCGCGATGGACAGCAAGGTGAAAGACTCCACGATGGCCGACATGTTGGCTCGCTCGACTTGCTCGACGAGTGGGAATGTTGCAGAACGGGAAGAACCTGCCTAATAGTAGATGGCTTCGGCGCTAGGTGCTCCACGGCAGTTGGGATGGTTGTTGGGGGGGAATGCGACAAGAAGTGGTGGTTGAGGTTGAGGGCGCGAGGCACAGATATGTACGAGTCCGGAGCCAGAAGTCCTTGGATGCATGTGATATTGGCCTGTGTCCTGGCCGGCGGACAGGAGGCTCCGCAAGCTGTGCCAGAATCTGCACACACCTACATCTTGCCCATCTTTCCAGGGATCCTTGAAGCGAACTAGTGGTGGCCATGGCATCCAGAGTCCAATACATAACCAACTTGTCGTCCCTTTCAGGCCTGTTACTTTCTGTCCTCCATGGGTCTCCATCATAGAGGGTCGGGGCATGCAAACAAGCATGGGGGACCTTGCAAGTCCGACGGCTGCGTGGAGCAGTCCCTGAGCTAGCAAAGGGGCGCTGGGGGGCTGTCGGTCCTGCATGCATGACACTAGAGGTCTAGTTCGAGCGAGTAGCGCTGCACAGACACAGCCAACACTCCTCGCCTCGAACCCCGAACTGACTTGGCTTGGCCCAATATTATGCTCAAACGGCTGCTCCACAAACGACACACTGCGGGTCCGGATCCCGGCAGATGGCGGGGGATCTGCGTTGTGGAGGGCCGACGCCGGAGACCCTTCCGCGAATGGGGATGGCCCCGGTCCCTCCCTCCCTGTGTCGATCAGGAGGGCAGACAACCACGCGGAGCCCAGCGAGTCGGTATTCATCCTTGGACATCCCTTGACCGGGATAAGCACGCAAGCCCCAGGGGGCCGACTCGGCTTGCTTCAGCGGCGATTATTAATCTGTAATATAAAAATTAAGTTAGTATTCATTAACTGTTGTGTAACCACCTCGAGAGAAAATTCGAACAGCTCCTTACTCCTACCTATCCCATTCCGAGTCAGCTGCTTAAGCGACGTGCGAGAGAAAAGGGGGTCGCCATCAGAACAGGCCCCCCATTCAGGGCCCATTCAGGACCCATTCAGGGCTCATCTCGTCTGGGCTCGGGGTAACGTTCTTATATTCCCCAATAGAAGGCGGGAGGCTTTTCTCCCCGCCGGCACTCGAATATGTCCCATACACCAGCATAATCTCGGGCCAAACACTAGAAGGTCACCACCGCATGCGAACACCAGCACCACTACGCGATCAGCGAGACAGGAAAGGCTTCAGATGGTTTAGAGGGCGGCCCCCGGAGGCGATAGTAGACCATAATGATCGACTCCAGCAATCTCTTTAGGGTTTCAGGAGCACGTCATAGTGCTGCCTGTCGTTGGGGTAGTTCTGGACTGACTCGTGGCTGAGAGGCAACTATCGAGAGGAGAGCCGGTAAGCTTAGGGCTAGGAGAAGCTGTGAAGCGAGCATTGTCGGATACCGCTTGATACAGAAAAGGAGAAGCAGATCATTGACTAGTGGCAATCTGTGGCGCCAATCTGCTCTTGATTGGCCGACGCGCGAGTCGCTCGAGGTTTCCCTGTGGAGTTTCAAGTCTTGGAAGAACACAGAGAAAATCCACGTGTGAATGTTCAGTCTTATCAAATTCCGTATAGGGTTGATGACCCAGCTTCAGGTTAGCCATCCCCACGCCAAGCTCCTCAAGGCAACACAACGTGATGTGATGTGGATCTGGCAGGTCTGTTCTCCGGCACGTGGTGCCGACACTGACACCAGCTGAGAAGGGGCTTGTAGCACGGGCCGACCAGATCACGAATTAGTGCCACAAATGGTACGATTACAATACTGACGCCTAAGTTCATGCTGGGAATGGCGGGGAGCATAAAAAATACGCTCTTGCCGGCTCCGGTTGGTAGTACGACAATAAGAACTTGGTCTCCCTGGAGTGCTAGAATCTCCTGCATGGCGTCTCGTTGCTCGTCGGTTCGCCAGCCTGCGTCTGCGCCTAGTAACTTGTGGAGCCCGTCGTTCAGCTTTGCGTTAGTACGCGCAGCTAGTGGGCTACTGTCGTTACTTCTGCCCCGCAGATTCAGATCTGCGACGATAGCTCGTCTGGCGGACCAGTCTGGAGTCTGGGAGCCACTGCTGTCCTCAATCCCGGCCTGGGCTCGTGACCGCTTCGCTGACGCCTGCTGCCTCCTATCTGGCGTCTGGAACTGGTTTCTTACGCCGCAGCTGCTGCTCCTATTGCCGAGAAACTGGTGCCATAGCCGGCTGATCTCCCGATAGTTAGCTACCATCTGCGGCTGTAGCTGGTTCGGGAACTGGACGTTGACTGCGTAGTGCTGCCGGGCGGTAGCGCTGCCGTGCGTGGCCTGCAACTCCTAAACGTACTCGACCTTGTTCTGCCTGCGTGCTTCGCTAGTAAGCCCGTCCTTAAAGTTCTGCGGGTTGTCCCAGTCGGCCTCGTCGCCCATATTAACCTCGAGCTGCTGGATAACTAGTCCTCGAATGTGTCGACCTAGCTCGATAGCGACGTGGCGATAGTCAGCTACGCCCAGCTTAACACCGATATGCTCCGTCGTGACGGCTGCTAGCTTGTTGCTTAGCTCGGCCGTCGTCCAGATCCCTTTCCGGTTGTCCTTCTAGAGCTATGCGTCTAGCGAATTCGAGAGTCCCTGGGCCTGGGCCTTGGCGTCCGCGAGTAGTAGCCGCTCGAACGGCAGAATCCATAGAATATATGCGACTATAAGTCGTCCGACTATGTCTGGTAAAAACCGTGCAACCTTACGGCCGATTCCGCGGATCGCCTTGGATTTATCGCGGTCTGTGACCAGCATGACCTGGCCGTTAAACATAAAGACGTTTCTGATCATATCCTGCGTATTATAGTGTCGGACCGTCATGATCTCCGGCCCTCTCCCGGGCTGACCTCCCTACGTGTGCGTACTGGCGAGTAGAGCCTGACGGAACGACTGGAGCTGGCCGAGCTACTGCTGGACCTGTATGATACGGAAGTTTCCCGCCTCGTCGTCCTAGAGCTGGGTAGTTCCTGGTCCCATCAGCCTCCGGAAGCCTGGCTCGAGCCAGCGGTTCTTCTCGTTTGTCGCGAATGACGCTCCGGGCCCTTCGAAGGCGAGACTATCGGTGATCTGTCGGAGTGGGACGATCTGGCTAAGCGGAACCTACTCTCCGAATATAAGCTGGTCTATAAGCTCCTCTGCGTCCGTAACGAGACTGGCTGCTATTACCCGGAAGTCGTCGAGCGGTATACGCTGGCCGAGATATCGTAGTGCCTCCTTACTGTCCTCCCACATAAGCTGTGGCGTACCGCCCTCCTTCTTACGGAAGCCCTTGCCGTATGTTATTATCCGGATTATCGTACTAAATGGCGAGAATGAGCTATCGGCGAGCTAGTCGCGGTGCTGTACTCGGAAGTGCTCGATAGCTTCCTGGCCGATATCCTCGCCGTCCTCGCTGTCCTTACCGTCCTTATAACCTGCGAAGCTATGTTCCAGTATAATTAGACGGGCGTACCATATAAGTCCTGCGATCTGGGTGGTATACTCGTTCGCTGGCCTCTAGGCGTGGCTCTTCCGAGTACCGCTAATCCCTAGTATAGCTGTGAAGTGTAGGAGCGGGTTGCTGAATAGTTGGACCGCGATCCTCTGCTGGAGCGACTCGATATAGAAGGCCATTACGGCCTGGTCTATTGGATCCTCGACGTGGTTATCTCCTCCGTCTAGCTCGTACCCTAGAGTCTCTGGCTCTTCGGAATTGCTGTAGGTAGACGAGACTATAGAGATATTGTTGTCCTTATTACGAGTAGAGGTATTGTCCAATCTCTGGATGATGTCCGTGAGTGTAGCCTACTGGGCGTCGTTAAACCGGATCCGGAGCTTCTCTGTGGCCTCTTCTCGGCCAAGCCGGCCTGCCCGGATGTAGTAATAGAGATATCGCTTCTAATAGACTAGGTACCTGTCCTTTGTGTTCTGCTCCTTCTCCGTCTTGAAAGGGCCTGTAGCCGGGCGGCTGGCGTCCGAGCTGGCTAGGTAGCGGAGCACCTCGTTCGGCACTTGTGCTATCCGCTCGAGAGCCTTCGCGATAAGCCGTTCGAAGCTTACCCCGAGCCGGAGGAGGCGGTCCTGCTCGGTAATTTCTGCCTCGCCTCGGAGTTTAGCGCGCGCTATAGTAGATAAGGCGCTCAAGCTCGTCCGGAAGTGCACGCCTATGTTGCTCCCGGCTAGGTGTCTCGCCTAGCCTATCTCGCGAACCTAGGTTGACTCGAAGTTTGGTCCTATCCGGCTATTAACTATCCGGCGTGTCTCCTCGAGCTCGGCTGCTAGGCTTTCTTCGTATCTCGTAAGATAGTCCGCTAGTAGATGTTAAGGGGAGCTAGAGGCGATGGACCTTAGGCTAGTCGTCCCGTTAGGTCCTATGCTACCCTGTACTTGCTCGACTACCTAGTACCGAGCGCGGCTTCTTCGCGATAAGCTCTGAAGTCGTACCTCCTTCTAGGTACTGTTATGTCCTAACTACGAGCGGTGGACCCTAATTAGCTTCCGGCTCGTCGTAAGGAAGCGGTAGTCCGAGTAGCTGAGGCCGTCGACGACTGGTAGCTACTCCACGTGAGGCGAACCGTCGGCGGGTACCTAGACGGCCTGCGGATCCGCAATCGGCTCGGCCATGTAGCTATAATCGAGGGTCTATCGTATTACCTCGCCCTTTAGACGGTAGATCCGCTAGAAGTGCAGCTGTACGCCGTTGCCTGGCCGAACCCCGACCTTACACGATATGCAGATGAGGACCCGGTGCTCCTAGCCGCCGCTACTACTGCCGCCGCCGCTGCTCGTAGACCAGCTTAGCAGACCGACCTAGCCCCCAGTAACGCCGCCGTTAGACTCGTAGCGCACTGCTATAGCCGATAACCTGGTGCTTGTAGTCGTTATTGCTGCAGCCGAATGTATAGTAGCTCAACTAGTTGATCATACTTGCAAACCAGGAAATACGTGTCGCCTGCTTCCCTCTCTCCCTCTCTCTCTCTATCTCTCTCCCTCTAACCCTCCCTCGCGTAGCCCCCTTTAACCCCTGGTCCTTACCCCAGGTCCCGGGGGTTGAGGCAAGGGAACGCGCACCCCTTGTTTCGCCCTGGTAATGACTGTCATGGTAGTGGTCGTCACTCGAGCTAACCCCCAGCCCGCTGACTCAGCCTTAACTATGGGGTAACCCCAACTTGCCCCTGGTAGTGACGGTCACTACCGGGCTGAATGATGTTCAGGCTTCGGAACTAGTAAAGGACCGTACGAGATATTTCGCGTGCTATCTACTCGTAGCGAGAGAGTATCCAGTCGAACATAGTAATAAGCCTAGAGATCTTAATCTCGTCTACTCGAATACTAATATAGGGCGGGTTTATAGGGTTGAGTGCTTTTCTAAGGTATAGGAGTCGAGTGGGTGGGTTAGAGGGCAGAGCTATGCGGGCGATAAGTACTATATAGTTTGCGGTCTCGAAGATCTCCGGCCAGCCCGTCCGATCTAGCTATAGCTTGCTCTATGAGATAGTAGTCCGTCTATCGTTTAGATCTTTCCGTGCCGAATTGTAGTCCGAGAAAGTAGGTCGTTTGGGTATCTCGAGAGGGTTCTGTTCCGCTAGGCGGCTAGGCACTAGACGAACCGTACCTCCCTTCCTATCCGTAACACTCCAATATCGTCGATTCAGCCCGGCCCCCTAGGACTGCAGGTAGACATCGTCGTAGACTAGGCCGATCCGTGGTCGGGTCGCCGTTTGCCCGTCGAGGTAGTTATAAGAGAGGTGCCTTGTAAGCTCGTAGAAGCTCGTCGTAAAGAAGACGCACTTACGGTAGCTGAAGCCATCGTAGGTCTGGACTTCCGGATGGGGTTTGGAACCATAGGGCGGTAGAGCTGCGTCTAAGGGATTTTGGAATACCGAAGAGTAGTGATCACGTATATGTTCTGGAAGTCCTAAGCGATCCGCTAAAGGGACACTATACTTGTTCCATAAGTGTGCAGTAACCTGGGCTCCGCCTAGTAAAATAGCGTGTCGGCATTCGGGTCTACAGCAGATGAGGACATTGTATGTTAGGTCGGCGTAAAGCTGTAGGTATGTCAAGACCGGATCGGGATTATTCTCGCGGTCCGGCGTCGTCGCGGAGTCGGTTCGTAACTGGTTACTCATCGTTCTACTATAGGCTGTCCTACTGCTGTCGGGTTTGTGGATTCATCGGTGGATCACATTTAGTGGAAAATATGGGGGTAGAAAGGGAATCTGGGGTAATGAGGTTGAGTAAATCCGCGGGAAAAGGGGCTGGAATGAGATAGACCTGCTACGTGCGCGGACCTTTCGTAGGACATGACATGTCCAGGAAGGCAATGAGCGAGACTTCACGGCATGCAGGGATTCTGTTGGAGATGTGGGGCGCGTGGATCCCTTGGATTTCACCTAAAACCGCCCTGGAATAAGACAGTAGGGTGCTCAAGTCGTGCAACTATGTCCTCAAGAACCTCATCTGAAAGCGCCGACTGTTTCCCTAGAACTTCAACTGCTGGTCTGCGAACACTCAAGTCATTATCTTCTAGTCGTGCAGCTATGCCTTTAAGTAGTTCATCGGACAGCGCTAACTGTTTTCCTAAAACCTCGACTGCTGATTTCCGAATATCTGGGCCGCTATGTTCTAGTCGAATAGCTATATTTTTAAGAAGCTTATCCGAAAGTGCCGATTGTTTCCCTAAGACCTCGACTGCTAATTTCCGAATATCTGGGTCGCTATCTTCTAGCCGTATAGACGCCCGTGGGTGAACTTGTCCGCGGCCTTCTTCATGGCGGACCCGGCTCGCTCGAGGAAGGCGAAAGGTACGACGGCACGAGTGATCTCTTTCTCATCAACCTGGGTCTTCCTTCCAGCGGTACGCCGGGACGGATCCGTGCATCAATCCAGGCGGCCTCGTCAATCCCTTGCACCACCCACTTGTGGCGCTTGACCTGCCCAAGTCGGATACGCTTGTCCGGGTTCTTAATGAGCATCTTGTTCAGAAGGTCATGCAAGCTGTCATCGATATCCTCGTAGGAGAGGTCGTTATCATCACGGTATGGCGCGCTATTGACACGTTTATAGAGAGATGTTGACGCTGGGTAGGCCAACTGCGGATCAACTGGCCTCAGGCGGCGACGAGGGATGTGCACATCGTCCTTAGTGATCTTCCGGAACATCTGATACTCATCTTCGGCCATGAAGGGGATCCGGGCGAAAATGAGGCAGTACAGGGTCACGCCCAAGGACCATACGTCGATCTGTTCGGAGATCTTCGGCTGTGGCTCATTCAAATCAGTGTAGCAGAGCTCCGGTGCCAAGAAGGCGGGAGTGCCCACCGTTTTGGCGAGCTCCAAATCATCGTCGAAATCCCGCGCCTCCGACTCAGGGACGAATTCATTCGGCTCTCCGTCTCGAATAGGTCGCCCGAAGTATGAAACTCCAAAGTCGGAGATCTTAGTCCGATGGTCTTTGGTCCACAGAAGATTAGCCGGCTTAATGTCGCGGTGCACAATGCCCTCATAGTGCAGGTACTCCAATCCAAGCACAGTGTCGCGGAAGGTGGCACGAGCCTCCTCTATGGTGAAGCAAGGCACATAGGAAAAGCTATCGGCAAAAGGACCATGGAGCTGGGGGTCGAAGTCGACTAAAGACACATGCGAGATGGAGTCAGCCATGCAAGGCGAACGGCCACGGAGCACAGCGTCTTCCGTACCATCGCCATACATGGTGCCATCAAGAGCGGTCGAGGATCCGGGCTGGGAGTGTAGCAATCCTGGGGTCTCGAGATCACTACTAGTGTCATCGACCGACGCAAAGTCAGGCTCGGTTGGATGTGGCGTGGCCGCACGAGAGTCTGAATAGGCTGAAGGACCACGTGATGGAGCCCGCGAGGTAGCACACGAACCGGATGCGGATGCGGATGCGGGTCCTGGGTTGTAGAACATAACCTCGTCGGCCCTGGCTGGGGAACTCGACAAGAACACGGCGTTAACATCGTTGGCACCACCATCCTCGATGCTCCACGCATGGTCTACATCCTTCTGCCGTTGGCGTAACTTGGCCCTCTTGAACTCGGCGATGGCTCGCTGTCTCTCGCGGTGCTGAAGATACTGCTCCTCTTCTTCAGTGGTCATTTCACCACGCATCTCCTTTTCAGTTCGGCGCTGCTCGATGGCGCAGATATGTGGTAGACCCTTCTTTCTCCAAACGATCTCGCCCAGCTCGACGTGCTCCAGAACCATATAGATCTCCTTGAGCTCCGGGTCGTCGATGATCTCGAGCAGAGCGACAACGTTCGGGTGCCGGACCTTCTTGAGGATGGCAATCTCCTTCTTGGTCTTGTTCTGTGGAGATAGGGCGGTGATCCTTCCCAGCCTCCGCTTCTCAGAGAATCGGGGGACGATCTTTATGGCCACATTCTCTCCATTCTCCAGGTTCCTGGCGAGCTTGACCTTCCCATCGACACCTCGGCCGATCTCTTCAATGACTTCATAGTGATTGATGAGCTTGCGACCCGACATGTGATCGAGATCAACAAGAGCTTTATGAGTCCTAGATGCCGTGATTAGTGGGCTGGAGGCAAAAAGCGGACATCCTCGCGTTCTTTGACGGTGCAGCGAAGGGCATCAAGGTGTTTTGCCGTAAGACGCAAGGCTACGCGCAAAAATTCGCTCTGGTAGAAGCGGGGTAGGTGGGATGGTGGTGATCTGAAGGCGTTGCTGGGTTTGAGGTGTCGCGGCGTTGGAACCCGAAAAAAAAAAAAAAAAAAAAAAAAAAAAAGGTTTACGGGAGGTCATGATGCGGAGAGAAACGAGCAAGATTTTCTGTCTTGGGTCCGTATCACTGGCACCGAAGACGGGCAAACACTAGTTGCAAGCTGCGATCGCGATCGAAGACGGGGATCGGATGGATGCAGTCAGGGCTATTTTTGTGCAAGGCTGGACTTTTATGAATGAGCCTCCACTGAGATGTGCTTGAAGGCGGGGTGCTGCAAAGCTTTTAGAATGATGGGGTGCGGAATGTGACGTCATATGAAGCTGTAAGCGGTTCGAGTGGATCCAGGTCAGGGGAGGGGCATGTCTTTGCTTTTCGCGCCTCTTTGGTGGGAACCCATCGGAGAATCGAAATCGGCCCAATCGACCCAAGCGTCCACCGCCTGCCCCTCAAGAGTGGCATCAGCATCAGCATTTCGAAGGCAGTTAGAACTGTGTTGACAAGTGAAAGCATGTCACGCACCCGTCGGCACCGGCAATTGTCCCCTTAGGTGGCGAGATGTGCCCAGCCTCCGTCCTTGATCCGTGCTTGGGATGGGATGCAGAATCTGGGAGGGGAGACTAGCACTAAAGAAAGCAGCACACGGTCAATCAAGCCCCTGTATGCGTGGCTTCCAGCAGAATGCGGCAACCCCGGCCACGATCTCGGAGTTGATGCCGGCCTTCCCCGCCAATCAGTGGAAGGGGCGCATCTGTCTTTCCCCCCTCTTTTTTTTTTTTTTTTTTTTTTTTAGCTGTACCATGACCGAGAAGATCTACATCCAAATCGATCACTACTGCAAAATGGGGCGCTGATAATAGCTTGTCACATCCATGATCTTTCGCGATCGAGTCTACCAGGTTTTAGAGGAGTGACTCGGACCGTTTCTCATGGATGGCGAAGCTTAATCTGGTATCGGTCGTCTAACGAGAGTGTCTCCCAATCCGACCTTCGAGATCGAATCTCCAGCCTCTAGACCCTCGAGTCTAAGAATAAGCCGACCCTCAGTCCGACTTCTGACACGGCCCCAATCAAGCAGTTCAACCCAGAAAGCGGAGGGTATTTGGGACACGGAGTCCCACCACCGACTCGGGTGACAAGGGCAAGGTGACAAGGGCACGATGTGTCACAATGGCCGTGACTCCATGCGTCGTGCCCAGTCCTACCTCCCAGTACTGCGCTCAAAGGTCATTGCCGCGAGGCCAGAAAATGGGCGATGACGAGAGCAAGAATGATGGAGCTGCGTGGGCCGCAACCATAAAACATTGCATACACAAGGGCATCCTTACTGGAAGGCCGATTGCCGTGGAGGAAGAGGCGCGGAGAGCGCTTTAGCCTAACAGCTTTACGAAAACCGGGAAGTTGCAGTCGACCTAGAATCCATATTGCGTAGCTAAACTAGGCCAAATACTTCGAATGACGATATGCGTGTACTATTCAGTATTGCATTTCATCACCTGGGAGCTTATTATGTCCTCCAGTCTCGTAACTGCCAAAGGTCTTCGATGAAGGAGTCTAGTGACGCATTTGTGGCCATGTTTTGGCCGGGTTTCAAGAAACGCTTCCTAGCTCGCGCAATCTCGCTGCTAGATGATGTGGAATGTAAATGATCAGTTCAAAGTAAACGCCTTCAGGGAATAAGCAATTTGGAGGAAGAGCAGCACAGCTCGTATATTAAGAGATGAGCGTCGCTGAAATAAGCGCCTCGAGCAAGCCCGGCAAGGCCAAAAACGTCCCATCACAAAAGCAAACAGTAACCCCGCACCCAAAAATTCTGGACCCTGCCATCAGATTCCAATCGACGAGACACGACACTTTGGCTGGTGCGAAGCCTGCCCCGGGACACCAGACTGCAGGCACAAAAACAGGATGGCCGAGGACCTGCAAGCCACGCAATGGCTGCTCTCAGACTCTCGGATGTAGAGCCGGCCAGCGAATGGGAGCAGCTGCAAACTTAGGGCATTGAGTGAGGGAGGCAAAGAGTGTGCGGCCGCGATGCTCTGGGCGAGGATCTGCACTCGAATGCGGTTCCATGTATGGCTGCTCCGCTATCAGCAGTTCTCATTGGCATATGTACTGCGCCAGCTCCCTGTTTCCCTGTTTTCTTCCGTGGGCCGGTTTAGGTGCTGATCTACTCTTCCAGGCCCATACGTCGCGGCACCGTACTGAGCGCCAGGTAGGGTGCCCCATCATACCGACAGGCCAACGTGCTTGTGACATATACTATCTACAGTACCTAATGCTGCTACCTAACCCGCCCACACACACTCCTTCGACTCGCCCATAACGAAAAGTCAGTGCAGCGTCATAAACACAGTTCCGGGCTCAACAACAGCCGGGCGCAGCAGCAGAAATAAACCAACATCCAGAGCTTATGGCTCTACATCAACCACAAGCCGCTATGCTGGCCCATGTTGGTGTGTCCCAGCGGTTCGACCACCAGGGCCCGCTTGGCCAACACCAGCATCAGCAAGAGCGCGCCATTTGGTCATCGCAGTGCCAAAGTTTGCGGCGGCAGGGGATGAATCCCTTGGGCACGGGTGGCTGGATGGAGCAGTCCTCGGGACCTATCGACTACCTCAGTCTTGAAGTCTCTGCCGGGGAAGATTGTTGTTGTTCTGGGAGCTTGTCCGCTTTCGAGACCCCAGCCTACAGTGCTGAACTGCTGGGCTTACAAACACCTGCCACGGAGCCCGGTTTCTCCAACGATGTACGAGTTCTATCTTATTTGTTTCCCATCTTTTAAGGGGCCCCCCTGTTTAGCTGCTGCTTCCAAGCCGAGAGGCGTGCCATGCAAGATTAATAAGTTGTAATAGTGTAGTGAGAACCGCCAGCATTTCAGCCAAGCCGACTTCCAGGAGTTTCAGTTTGCAGAAGCGAGTAGGTATGACACGACGCCGGCAGCACATGGGATGATGGCATACGACTCGGTCCTAACAGCCCGGCTATTCTATCCCACCCGCCATGCCAATGGCATGCCGGGACCCTCGGTCCCCGCAAGCCCCCACACCCCCGAAGAGCGCCCGGCGGCAAAACGCCAGCGGAGCCATGACGCGGCGTCGTCAATACCCACGGTTCTGCCCGTCACGGATTCATATCCTCCTCGGCCACGCCGCAACAAGGAGAGGAATCGTCTGGCCGCCCGCCGTTGCCGCGAGAAGTCCAAGAAGCAGATCGACACTCTGAGGCAGCAGGAGCACGAACTGGCCATACAGCAGGCGGAGCTGACTGCCCAAGCCGCGAGCCTGCGCGAGGAGGTGATGCAGTTGAAGAGCGAAATCCTCCGGCACGGCGCGTGCGACTGCAACTTCATACAGAAATACCTAGCTGAGACGGCCGAGGCCATAGCTTGAGCCAACGGTCTTCAGTCTGTCCTGAGGACACCCGCGTTACCCATTAGGTCCTAACTTTTAGTTACGAGCGGTCGGAAATACGGCTGGGACGCATCGAACTCGGGCAAAAGGCTCGCCCTTAATGCGCCGAGATACTTTTAACAGCCGACTTCTCCGTACCTATTGCTCCTCGGTTTCTTACCACCCCCGCGAATTTGACCGCGGCGCACTGGGCGTTGACAAAGAATGATAGGTTAGCGTGGAATCGGAACTCCAACTTTGCATCGTCAAGCTCGATGTTGAAGTACCCGTGGAGACATATGTTGTGCCGGTGCCATCACACAACATGAGACCACAGCCTTCATGCTCAGCATACCGTCCACGGCAGTCTGGATCATCTGAATCACCGCGTCCTGGCCCTGCTAGGACTCGTGCCCAGGGAGGGCTGGCAGGCAGAAGGTGCCCAGACCTTGTTGCACTATGTCGGGCACGAGGTTGACGAAGCTCGTCGTGTCATTGAGCAAGGCGGCCCGGATCGACCAGCGGGCCTGGGGATGGGTAGTGATGAGCTGAATCGGCGCGCCACGCAACGGCCAGCTGGTGACTGTCGTGCGGTCGCTTATGTCCTCGAGAGCATGACAGACCAAGGCCACCCAGAGGAAAGTACCACCTGAGTTAGACAGCAAATACTCTTGGATTGCCCCCCGTATTTGCTGATCGTAGCTCTTTCGCCACGCTAATTTGTCCACCATGTACTGGACATATATCCTAACAGCTATAGAGATTGACACTGCATTAAGTTCAAGAGAAAGGTTAATTTAAATTCTGTATCATCTAGGCTTTCTTCGATGTCTGGCCAATTGCGACTAGATACAATCCACTTGACTCGGGATATAGACGACCGTTTGATAATGAGTTTGACCAGTTGTAAGTAGTCAATGCACTCGTCAAGGGCATCGACAATTAGATATGAAGGTGATAGATGCGGGTCTTGGAGAATGTTCTCGAAAATTTCGGCCGGAGTCCACCAGGCATTTGGGCCTTCGAAGAGCTTCCCTCCTGCCTCATCATACTTTTCGCGTATATGGGATATGAGGGCCGGTTGTTGCTTTACCATCAGGAAAATAAGGCCACATAAAACGCTAGTCGCATTATTGATCAGCGCGTCGGTTGCCTGGCAGAAGAAGTAGGAGAGCAGAGCAGGGGTGTCCTTGTCATTTAATTTTGTCATAGGATATAACTCGTCGATGATGCCACAGAGAAGCATCGTCTTGCCTTTGCCAGGATCGCCCTTAATCCATAGCAGACGGGATTCGCCATCGCGCCATTTGAGGAACTCATCGTTCGTGAGGATCCAGCTGTAGGCGCCGTAAAGTAGACCGCCCTTCGTATCCTCTATTCGCTTCTTGTCGATGCGAGGATCGGTCGTACGCAAGTCTGCGAGACATCGGTCTGTTTGGTAGATGCTGATTCTATCCCCAACTTGGACGTTCGCATTGTTCGCATGCACATCTCTAACCGTGTTCGGCATGCTGGTAGAATCTGACTGCTACGATATCTTTTGAAGAGCGAGGGTACGGTAACAGGGCTATCGAACTCACCTTCCGTGATTCTTTGACCTTGGATGAAACCCGAAGCGGGCGGGGTAGAAAAAGCATTCGGCTTTGCAGCCTGGTCGAAGCTACAGGGCGAGACGCAGGATGGCAGCCAATGGCGTCTCATAGACGCAATGCAACGCGTCTGACTTGCAACAAAGCCTGGTGGCATGGCAGAACACAAAATGGCGCGGATTATTGGATAACATAAAGCGAGTATGAACGTTAATAAGCATCACTGCCAGAATGGATGTTATAGTTGGTTAGTAAACTCAGTTAGACAGGTTCTACCTTAGATGCATGCTCGTCTACTCTTGTTCCGTCCGGCACATCTGTAAGGAACATATATTTCCACCCACGTCGCTGTCCAAAGATGAGGGATAATTGAGGCGCCAGCACGATAGCAAAATGGCATAGGAACAACTAGCTTCCGGAGGCAGTCCGCGGCGGGAGATTTATAGGCGCCGAAGATCTTGGCATCACAGAGCCCATAGAGAAGGCAGGCCACCGGCCGTCCCCATCCCGCGCCCACCCTCGAGTCGGAATTACCTCGGAATTACTTTTGACAACCGGCGCCCCAAAAAGAAAAGCGGGTCCAGACCCCCAGAGACACAAAAAAAACGTGCCAGCGCGAATCTGTCACATGCTGGAGATGCTCGAAAGACCGTGACCGCGTTTTGTTGGTCGGGTTGGCCAATAGTAACGCCAGGTTTGTGGTAATAAAAATGCCCCAGTCCCTAAAAAGTCTCAGTCAGGCCTCAGGCAACAATAATTGCTACGCAGCCAACCTTACTGCCAACGGTTCTCAAAGTTTTTTGGGGTTCATTCTGTGTCGCGAAATTGTCTGTATCCTCTCGCTATCTCTGTCAGGCATCTTTGCTTCTCCCAGCCTTTTTATTCACCAGTCCCAGGTTTCCGCATCCCTGATGGTCGCCTCACTGAACAATTCTAGCCTCTTCTCTGCCGCGACCAAGTTCTCGGGCACAACGTTACCTACCATATCTCTTTGTCGGTGCCTTTGACAGGGAGCATGAGACGTGAGCACGATTTGCCTTGTGGACGGTCACCCTCGGGCTGCGTCCTTTCCGCAAACTCCCGCTGCCGCTTCTTCCCCGGCCGTTGCTACCCGCTCCAGCGACTAGTGTGAAAGAGTGCCCTGGCGCCGCGACGGATATTGTGCACTGTGTTCTCTCTGGAACCTCGGCCATGGCAGCAGCCCGAGACGTCGCGCCGCTGATCAAAGGCGAGCCGCTCCCATGGTGTTTCCGCTGCAGGACCTTCTCACACATCATGAAGGACTGCCACATCCCAAAGCCGCAGGATGATTTCGAGGCAGACCCCATCACGATCGACCCGCCGCTGGACGACTTCTTGTTCGCAACCCAGCGTGAATTCGACCGGGACTCCCGCACGCCGACGGTCTGCAAGCGGTGCGAGGACCTCGACATCCCGAGCCTCTACAAGCTACCGTTCCAGCCGCACTTCCCCGCCGCTTTTCGGAATCGCCCAGTTTATGGTGAGGGCGTCGACATCGTCGGCAGGCTTGGCAGCGCCGGCACGGCCGAGTTCCTGAGCAACTGCCCGTGGTGCCGGATGCTCGTCGCGTCGGCGCTGCGCCTCGTGCCGGCCGAGTGGAACGAGCTGCAGATTGTGCGTGAGGCGGAGCCCCTCCTCACGACCTCTAGAGTCCCGAGCGGTCAGGAGAATGGTGTCGACCTGCCGTCGCTGCTGGATGAGCTGGGCCTCTCGACTACGCGGCAGCCGAGCTTATTCCTCGGGGTTCTGGAGACTCGCCCGACGATCCATGATCTTGGGGTACGCATGGGAATATCCCCAATGGCTGAAGGCAGAGACGCGGCGTACGGAGCTAGGAGCGTCGGACCACAGCCGGACTACGAGCTTCTCAGGTCGTGGATCGAAGAGTGCGAGCACGATGACCAACACCTAGCCTGTGGGGACGCCATATACCACGGGCAGAGCTCTCTCGATATCATCTCTGTGGTCGACGTGTACGAGAGAAAGGTCGTGCCGTACTCGACCCTGGACCGGCCGGACTATGTCGCGCTCAGCTACGTCTGGGGCCTAGTTACGCAGCCCAACATCAGGCCGAACTCGCCGCTGCCCCCGCTCCCGAGGACGGTCGAAGATGCTATGGTGGTGGTCGGAAAGCTCGGGAAGCGATACCTGTGGGTCGACGCGATATGCATAGACCAGGATGACGCCAGGAGCAAGAAGCTGCAAATCACCATCATGGACCGGATTTACAGCAGTGCGTGGGCGACCATCTTCAATCTCTCGGGCGCTTCTGCCGACGCCGGCCTCCCTCGCGTCGGTGGGGACGCGAGCCGGGTCCGGCAGATGCACGTAGAGACCCCCCACGGTGAGGCTTTCCTATCGACACTCCCTGCTCTCCCTGCGTATGCCAAACAATCACCGTGGACGACGCGCGCCTGGGTGTTGCAGGAGGCCGTCCTCTCCCGCCGACGTCTGTTCTTCACGCACTCGCAGGTCTATTACGAGTGCGCCCGCGGCCAGCGGTCAGAGGCCTGGCCGCAGACTCCCAAGGAAGAGTCGCTACTCAGCCACCACTTCCATCTCGACTTCGACAGTCTCAAAAAGGGAGGTAACATCAATGTCGCCTACAACCGCGTCCACTTGTACCAGACACTGCTTGAGGAGTACAAGCGGCGCCGCATGACATACTTTGAAGACTCGCTGAACGCTTTCTCAGCGCTGGGGGCAGCGCTCAACCAGGCATTCACCTACACCGGCCAGTCGGCGCCGCAGGGCGGGGCCGTCTGGCGCGGCCTGCCGACGTACGACCTCCCCTGCGCGCTGGGCTGGCGCTCGTCCGCGCCAGCGCCTCGCGACCGCCGCTGGCCGAGCTGGTCGTGGGCGGCCTACCCGGGCCCGCTGATCAAGGGCGCCGTACTTCCCCCAGATACCACGACTGGCAGCTCGACGAGGACCAGCGGCTGTTCTTCGACGTGCACTTCGTGGCCTATCCTCATACTCCCAAGGTCGCTCTGTACAGGCGCAACCTAGACGAGGACCACCGGCCGCCGTGGAAGAACACAGTCGACGACGTCGAGTTGCTTAAGATCGGGGCCATGCCCTTTGAGGACGCCACCGGCTTGGCTGCCCTGCGGCCCGTTCCCGACACAAGCGGGGCCGACACCTGGCTGGGCGGCTTTATCGCCGAGGCTGTCGTCCTCTCTCTGGCCCTCGCCGGGCCCGCGACGGTGCCGAACGCCGAGGCACTCTACTCCAATGCGGTATTCGATGTGTTTCTCGGCACAGTGAAGTGCCATCTGGTCGCAGGCACTCAGGCGCACGCAGACGTGATCTTTGCAAAGTGCGGCGAGAAACCGTTTGAGGCACTGATGCTCCACCGAGGCGAGTGGCTGAAGGAGGTAGTGTACGACCTCATCATCTTGGAGTGGGAGGCCGGAGTGGCATACCGCGTTGACAACGTCTCGCTCAAGGTGCCGGGGAAGGAGCTGGCCCAGATAAAGGAGGCGAAGCCGGTGAGGAAGAGGTTTTGGTTTGGCTGAGTGACTCTGGCTCGGGCCTCGCGAGCTGCTTGATGGATGAGGGGAGGGAGCTGTATCCGTAGCCAAGTTAGAATCACGAGAATGCCAGTAGCCATGGACGGGGAGCTAGATGCTGACAATTTGGCGTATCCATGACTGTCGTTTTCATCACTAATGTCGTCACATGCTGTCACGTTTCAGCGTTCAACCATGACCAATACTCCTGGTTCAGACACTGGATTAAGCCACCAAAATATACACCAATCCAAATCTTGCTGAACGTCCATACATGCAAATCTCGCAAACATGTTTTGGGCATGTGAATGCCCGTCGCGGCGTCCCAGATCATGACGGTCTTGGTGTAGGATGCCGATGCGAGCCGCTGCGAGTCGGGCGAGAACGCGACCGAGTTGACGAAGCCGCCGTGGCCCTCGAGCGTCTGTAAACATGAATTCCAATCTACCTCTTGTTTTGGCTCTATTGCAATCCATGTTGGCTCTTCCCCGCTGAAATTTTTTCGTACGAGACTACGTGGGGCTAAAATGCAGTGCAGATAAATATGTCTGAAGGGGTGCATTCTCGGTCACCCATCTGTTGTAAAGGATGAAGCGGTAAAGGTCATATCCTAAGTCTCTAAGCTGGGTTGTTACCGATGCTTCCTAGTGACTATTAGGAATCTTCCTTTACGACGTATTTTTAACTTACCGAAAGGTGATGTCTAAGACTTGTTATAGCTCTTGCACCCTCTTGTACTTTTCTTAGTAGACTTAGGGCTTCTAGCCAGTAGAGAGATTTGGTTTCTAAAAAATTGATAAGGCCCAGTTGATGAGTTTCGATGCTATTACTCCTAGCATCAAGCAAGTGATCGATCCAATAGACACGTGAATATGCTATAGCGGCTAATGGGTCTGAGTTCGGTGGTTGGATTTCGTGAATGATGCATCCAGGTTCTTGCAGATCGTACATTGTTCTATGCAGAGCCGACGATATCGTCTGCAGCGCCTGTGTAAAGATTTCGCCATGCTGGTGCCTTATCCCGTATTTAAAGAGCTGATTAGTCGATTTGCTAAGTAAGAAGTCTTTCGCCGACTGATGAATGAAGTAGATGGTATTGTTACGAAGCGTTGAAAAGGAGCCACAATGCTCGATTACATCAACTAAAAATCTTGGATTATCATTTAGGTATTGGGGTAACTCGATTATAGTTTTTAATTCATGGAATGTGATGGGCCGATAGACAATCGTAGCCGTAGCCAGTATTCGATTTAAGAGGTCAGAATCGTTTGATTGAGAGACTTGGCCGATCATACGACAGTAAAATGGTTCGAGCCCAGGTGGAAAGTCTCTCAGCTTCGAAAGAGGACATACCGGTCGCGACATCCTTTCCGAGTTCTTGACAAACCAAGGCCACCCAGAGAAAGGTATTATCTGAGTTAGATTGCAAGTATTCTCCGATGGCACCCAGGGTTGACTGATCATAGCTCTTTTGCCGCGCTAATTTCCCTACCATATGTTGGATGTATATGCTGACAGCCCTAGAGATAGACGTTGTATTCAGCTCGAGACGAAGAGTCACCTTAGACTGTGTCATACCTAGGCGTTCCTCGATGTCTGGCCAATTGCGACTAGATACAATCCACTTGGCTCGAGATGTAGACGATGTTTCGATAACAAGTTGAAGTTCTGAGTAGTTCCTGCATTCATCGAGGGCATCGACTACGAAGCAGGAAGGGCCTAGAATTGGGTCTTGGAGAATGCCCTGAAAGGTATCGGCCAGAGTCCACCAGGCATTATGGTCTTCGAAGAGGGCGCGCCCGTCGTCGTTGTATTTATCTCGTAGGTGGGAAATGAGAATCGGTTGCTGTTTGACCACCTGGTAAAAGGCCCCGTAGTACGGCAGTCGCATTATTGATAGCAAGATTGGCAGCCTGGCAGAAGAAGTACGAGAGCAGAGTATTGGCATCTTTGTTCTTCAGTTTTGTTGCGGGTGATAACTCGTCGATAATGCCACATAGTAGCATCGTCTTGCCTTTGCCAGGATCGCCTTTGATCCATAGTAGAGAGGCTTCGCCGTCGCGCCATCGGAGGAAGTCATCGTTGGTAAAGGTCCAGCTTGAGACGCTGTGTAGTAGGCCGCCCTGCGTATCCTCGATCCGCTTCTTATCGATGCGAGGGTCGGTCGTACGCAAGTCTGCGAGACATCGGTCCGCTGTGGGGTGGACGTTGACTGTGTTGCCCACGTGGACATCGGCGTTATTGGCGTGCACATCTCTGACCGTGTTCGGCATCGCTAGTGAAATCATTCTGCTCTGATATTCTTGAGGGGCACAAGTATACTGGTAGCACGGCCATCTACCTCACTTAACCACATTACTTTGACTCTGGATGAGACCCCGAAGAGGGCGGGGTAGGGAAAGCATTGGGTTTTGCAGCCTGGTGGAAGAAGCTGCTAGGCGTCATGCAAGATGGGAGCCAATAGCCTGGCATACCTGCTATGTATCGCGCCTGACTGCAATAAATACGGCGCATACCGAAACACCAAATGGCAGGATTGTTATTGCTGAGCATGAAGCGGGCAAGCACTTGCTTGCTACGTTATGTGCAAAGAACGCGACGTGCACGCGTCAGAATGCCGCCTGCAAGCACCATGGCCAGAATAGAGCATTGTCGGGCAAGACGTGTCTGCTTGCAACCCATAATGTACCGACTAAGGCATAGATGTAGACACTACGCGAGTACTGTGGTAGTTCTCGCTGACATGTTTAGGTTGAAGTAGAAAGCGACTCTCGACTTTCGGCAGAAGCAGTCTAAAATAGTGGGCCGATGGCCAAGCACACGTCCAGGTCGGAAATAATGTGTCGATCGGCGCTTGTAACCAAGCAGATATGTCTGGTGTTGGGGTTCAACAAACCGGTTCCGGCACCATTCAAGCTGGTAGAGACTTGAATATCATCTATCAGAGTATATAACCGTACTTCAAGTTGCACATAGGTGATCGCGCATGACGTACTGACAAACCCCAGGTTTGCGCGATGCACCAGAACTCGATGATGTCCCCGAAGCCGCTTTCAATTCGAAAACAAACCAGAAGCTACCGTTCTGCCTCGAAAACACAGGACAAGATATCCTTAGACAGATCAAGGAATGGACCGATGGCAACTCTGATAAGCACATATTTTGGCTCAAGGGCGTGGCGGGCACCGGTAAAACCACGATTGCTCGTACCATCGCCCAACACTATCATGAATTAGAACGTCTTGGCGCAAGCTTTTTCTTCTCCAGGAACACTGGTGGCGATCTCGTGTCTACCAACAAATTTGCCTCAGCGATCGCAGCTCAGCTTGCCGACCACATCCCCGCGTTAAAACCATCTGTTACAAGAGCAAACACTTCTAGCCGTCTTCGTCACTTAGGTCTGTTTGAACAATGGAAGAAGCTCGTCCTCGAGCCGCTAGCAACGCTAGATGTTACACTCAAATCTTCGATAGTTTTTATGGTGGACGCATTAGACGAATGTGCAGATGAAGAGGAGATCCGCCTGCTGATCCACTGTCTTGCTGGTGCTGTAACGGTTCAAGGGGTTCGGCTTCGTGTGTTTGTCACAAGCCGCCCGGATCAGCCGGTGAATGTCGGCTTCAGCACAGCTCGACAGAATACTTACCACGGCTTTGTGCTCCACGATATTGAACAATCTATTGTGGATCAGGATCTCATACTATTCTATAAGCATAACGTACTCCACAAGGGAGTGGGACAAACAAGGGAGTGGGACACTTCCGTCCTACCTACGCGACAATATATAAGAGAAATCAACCACAACGCCTCAAATTAATTCAAACTATTCAGAATCCTCTTCTTCAGAGGTGGACTCAACTTTCTGACACGTACGCGCATTATGGCCGGGCTCCCCGCAGACGCCACAGCGTCGCGCGCGCGTCTCTGTCCTCCCCGTACGGCCACTATGCTGACTCGTTTCTGCCCTTAACTGCCCCGTCGCGTCAATCTGGGACTTTAAATCCTTTGCCTGATCAATCGTAAGGGACCCTCCTTTCTGTAATTGCTTTCTCTTCGTACGGCGACGGCGGCTAAGGCGGTCGTTTGCATCTCGAAGTTCGGCGAGGTCATGGCGCATAAGGGTCTGCTCGTGGCCCATCATTGTGATTCCTTTATTTAGCTGCCGTAGGCTTGCAATTATTGATGTTAGAGAGCTGCCCTGATGTCGTACGATGCGATTCTTGATGTATTCGGTCTGTGATTCCGCCTCAATTGGGTTGTTCGGCGTCTTCGAGACCCAAGGTGGCGGAAGGCCTGCAGATGAACTTGGCGGAGTTGGCGTATGAGGCTTTACATCTAGCTGCGAAATAACATATTCCGGGTCGTACGGTACTAGGCCAGTCGCTCTAAAGCCTGCCTGTATATTTGACTTGGTAATTGAAGCGTCGTACGCCTTGTAAAAGGCTAGGAGGAAGTCTTCCTTCGCGATGTGGGTAATATGCGCCCGCATGAGACCTTCGATTTCTTTTCCGTACGCCCTTTTAAGAGGTCCAAAGCACCCAACATCGAGAGGCTGGAGCTTATGCGACGAATGAGCAGGCATACAGAGCGTAATTATGTTCTGGTCCTTGCAGTATAGCTCGAAATCGACCGAGTGGTGGCTCTCGTGGCCGTCGAAGATAAGGAGCCGGTAAGCGCCCTTCGTACGGCTCTTTGTATGAAAATCGAAGTGTTTTACCCATTCGAGACCTTTCTCATTCGTCGTCCAGCCGTTTTCAGTAAGCGTAATTACCCAGTTAGGCGGTAGAGGGCTTTCGGTCGTCCAGGAGTCGAGGTGGACCTTGCCTGCGAAGATGTACGGCGGAATCGAATTGCCGGACGACCCGATACCCTGGATTACTGTAACCCATTCCTGATTCCCTTGTTGTACGGCTCTTGGCTTGCCGCGTCGATCGGAGGTCGTAACCACAGTCTCGGCGGAGATCTTACCCATCGCGCAGTCCGTCTCGTCGAAGTTGTAGATATCGTCATTGTAGATACCGTATTTCGCGATTATATTCCGTACGAGGGTAAACCACGCGCGATACGAGTCCGGATCTTCGCAGAGGACTCTCTGATAGTCGATTCTTCGATTAAAACGCGTACGGAGCTCAGGTCGTCGTCGTACGAAGTTTGTAGCCCAGTTCGTTCCGACGCGCGGCGCGTCGCGTGCGCGGAGGAGTCGATCCGCCATTTCTCGAACACCACTAAGGCGCGGTGGAAATGATCGCGAATCTAGGTCGATTACGTATCGTACAATGCTGTCCTCTTCGTATGAGGTCAATTTCTGGGTTTGTGGTCGTGAATCGCGCTTTGCAGGTTGACCATGGTATCGTCTGTGGAGTGTTGATTTCGACACGTTGTATATCGATGCAGCTTTACGAATTGTCAATTGTGGGTTTGTTTTAAGCGCATTAAGCGCTAGAATCAAATCGCCTTCAGTTGATTGTCGTGGCATAATTATTGGTGGAGAAAAATAAGAAGAAAGAGAGTGTCTTTCAGAAAGCGGGAAAGTGACCCACTCCCTTGTTTGTCCCACTCCCTTGTGGAGTACGTTATTCCAAGATTCTTTGTAGCTTCCATAGAATCGGTAATTGTCCTTGGAATTTCGTTCATCGGCAGATCACCAGTTTCGTCTATGACGACGGAATTTTGATCTCCCCACACATAGCTGAGGGCTAAATACTTCGTACGATGTCTCTTCCTTTCGTCATAATGAATCAGTTCATTTGACAGAACATCAATAAGATAAATATCCAACAACTCTGGTTGATAGCTGTTCTGACAGTCTGATCCATGTTCCCTTTGGCAATGATTTAGCCAAGCTTTAACCGCGTCATAATTCGGATAGTCCCCAACACGACGGACAAAATTTCGTGCACGGGGGGTCGCAGCTCCGAATACTTCCAATTCGTACATTGTATCTTCAATTTTGATAGATCGGCAAAGCTCTTGTGGCCTTCCTCCAGGATACATTCCAAAGATTGAGGCACTCAAGCGTTTAGCAGCCTCATCCTCAGAGAGATCATCTCTTAAACAACCGACGAGGTCGAATGACTTCAGCAGAGGAGCCTTGAGCCAACTTATATAGCTCTGTGCACAGGTCACATGTTTCATAGTCCGGAGGGTAGAATAAGAATCGCTGCACGACGATGGCAGCGAAATCGGACGAGCTGAGTGCCTCTTCTTCCAAGGCTAGGATATCCGAAATCTTCAGCTCACGGCATGGGCTACACACATGCCTCATGCCATGCGATACCCCCAAACCGACTGCAGGTGTGGACTGAATGCCAGTACCGCCCTTGTCAACATTTAGGGTTTTGTGTAGAAGCTTTACTCCAGGCTTAATATAATCAAATGGACGCATTTCCCGTGTAGCCATTGGTATGGTATGGATGGTATGGATGGTATGGATTGGGAAGATGTCTATGTCGAAATATTTGTTTTGGCCGGAAATCAGTGATTCTTGATTGACCAAGAATGATCTTTGCTGCTAAACTACAGACTTCTCCAATAGATTGGGCAGCAACATAAAGCAGGTTGACTACAAGTATATAAATACCCTACCTAGCGCACTCCGTCCTTGATTGGGGAGTCTGGAGGTGCAAGTGCCACCAAAGTGACCCACGTCTGCTTACAGCATGTTGCTGACTCACGGTTTGGCGACTTGCTATTGTTTCGTTTCTTGCATGGAAGTTCGTTCTTAGGATGAAGATGAATGAAAATTGATTCAAGAATGACGTTAGCTCTTAAGCAGTATTGACTGTGTTTGAGGAGTCAGAAAATATGTAAGATCCGGGGATTCGTACATTGCGGTGTTGCTCAGTTATGTGGAGGTGGAAAGCGTTGTGGAAAATAACCAAGGTGGGGTCACGAGAGGAGATACCCGAGAATTTTTGACTTAATGATGGGTCGATGTGCATGAAATGTAAGATTCGTGCACGGGGCCGGGACTGTTCCGCTCCGGGGCTGCATATTTTCCTTTCCCGTCCCTGATAGAAGGGTCTCGCGCATGCGTCAATAATCTGGACCGTTCTTGTTGTACGTGGGATATTGATTAAAGAAAGCTCGCTGTTTCAATCAGTACCTAATTTGTTCGCTAGTCTAAATAGTGAGAATTGTGGGCTCGCCCCCAGCCGCACGCCTTCCGACAGTTGTAAGCCCAGTCGATTGTCTTTGGTTCGCAAGTTTGATAGTGAGCGACATGTCACACAAGCAACTCAATCCGAAGCCAAGGTGGTCTCATCGCATAGCTCTATAATTAAAACTCGGTCTCTGGAGGCTGAGATGTGCACTACCCTAAAAGATGTCCGGCCAAACGCTGGTGCAATGGTGACACATCATGCGCCGTAATGAAGCCAGTGGTTGAGTGGATTTGGAGGGGAGC